AAAACTAAAGCGAGTATAATATTTATTTATGGGTTGATAAGAAAGATACAAAAGAGAAAGGGACTGGAGTTATATAGGATTTATGCTGGCTTATTGAATGCTTAAAATCAGGAGATTAAGTACTTTAAGAAAATGTCAAGGTTAACTATGATGATTTCTATGCTGATAATAGATTATAATAGGTATATACTGAAAAAGAACAAAACTTCAAATTACATTAAAGTTTGATTAAGTGTTAAGACTTACATGAGAATATTTTGGTTTTTATAAATATTGCTACCAAAATGGTTAATGAAGTTTAAGAAGCTTCAGATAAATAAGAAAACGAAAATAATAAATAAATCCAAAAAGATCAATAAAATAATTCTGATGATAAATTGATCATGAAAACTCTATACGTCAGTTTTTAATTCCTTACAATGTTACTTTGGAATCATCATGAAAATAAATAAGATTCCGATTTTATAAAAATCATTCCAAATTTATTTTAATACATAAAATACAATCTTTTTTGCATTTAATTTCTAAGAGAACTATTTCAAAATAATAAATCATTATTATTCAATGAGTCTAAAATATCTCAGATAATTAATGAAGTTGTCAAATAATGCAATACTTTAAACTTTGATTAGTATTATAAAGCATAATTAATTGATTTCCTTAGAATCTTAACCATTTACAACAACAAATCCATCAAGATCAATTAGAATTTAATAATGGCAGCTTTGTAAAACAGAAATTATCAAAAAATCATGATCCTCTTTGATAACAAAGATTCTATATTCGATGAAATTGAGAAGTTAATTGCTGATTATCAAATTTAATATTTTAAGGTCTTAAAAAATAGCAACAACAAGGATGATAATAAGTTTATTAACATCAATCCGAAATTAACATATCTTTTTAATTATTTTTAATTACTAGTACTCTTAATATCAAATAAAAATGAAATCAATCTTGGAAAATGCAGACAAATGCATTCACACTTAAAATTGATAAGACTCTATTAACGAACAGGCTAATGCTGGCCCTTAAAGAGATACTTAAGAGCATACATAAATAGACTATATTATGAGCATAACAAAGATTTCATTGGAATATGTCAAAATCTAATTGAAATTGATTTAGAGAACATTTTGAATGACCTTAAAGATATTCTAGAATTAAGGGAATCTGGATGCGATTATCAAAAAATTAAATTGAGTAACCCAACTAGATTTTCATACTTATGTTCATATTTTTATATGACATTGGAAGAAAATTTGGTATCTTTGAATTTTATATTTGATCAATTATCCTTTTTTGATGAATTAGAGGACACTTTGAAATTAAATTAAAAAAAATCAGAACCATAATTAAAATAGCATTCAGTGTTACTAGAATTTGGTAATATTCTATTAAAAATTGAGCAATTATGGTCTGAATCAGAACTAATTACAAATTTGGTCAAAGTACTGATGGTTGTATTTTGCAATATTTACAAAACCTTTGATTTACACACATTAATATTAAGAGACGTATTATCTAATCCAAGACCATTTACAAATGTAATAATAGAGACAACCTGTATTCATAAGAAGTATGTAAATGGAAAAGAATTATTTGTCTAATAAGATTTGAGGAAGTAAACTCCTTAAATTAACCAATCTACCATATTGTCCCAGAAATATCAAGAATTGCAATAGAAATGGTTTGAAATATATGGTGGTAGATTGGAGCCAAATAATGCGGATTATAATGATTAAATGAAGGATATTCTATTGAATGAAGTTTATGACTTTGCCAATATCGATAACTAGATTAGAGTTTTGAAACAAAAGAATTAATGGGATGTGGAGAAGAAAAAGAAAAAAATAAGGAGAATTTATGAAAAAGAAACCAAAACAAATATGGATCTAAATAAAAGATATAGAAATTTAATGGAGCTCTTTTTGACAGATAAAACTATTAATGTTTATTTGGAAGAAGAATTTAATTCATTTTGTACTGATTTAGATTAAATAAAATATTCAGACAAGTTGGCACTTTAACCGCCTATTACATTGAAGGAGTTTATTTAGAATATTATTCATTTAAATCTAAATCACTATGACACGTTAAGCTAGGATATTTAAATATTCTTTCTTAAGGCGCTCGAAAAGATTATAAGGAAAAGTGAAAATGAAAATAATCCAGAATTATAGAATAAAATGGTCAAACAACAATAAAACTTCTTATTAGAATGTGGTGCTGCTGAATTGATTTGTAAATTTCTTCGCATTCCTAATCTTGAATTAAGATAGGCATTAACAAATTCATTAATATCTTTTGGTAATGCTTTTCTAGAAAGGGGTAACAGGAAATGCTAGAATGAAATCTATTCAAAACTTTTGAATGATTCTAAAAACAAGATTTTAATTAATTATAGATAATTAATTAGAAGAGTGAGTAGAGCAGTTTACAATAATTTTAAATTTAGAAAAAACAAACCCCATTCAAGTTTTCCAAATATTGAATTATGTGATAACATTGATTTTTATGATGAAATTACTTAAACAACTTCAAGATTAAATCATATGGAAAAAGATGATGCAAGAGAGGAGAATATCAAGGAAGAGTTTATCAATTTATTAAATAGATCTTTTAGATTTCTGTAATTATTATGTGAAAATAATAATGTTCAGATGAAGAATTTTATAAGACAATAAATAGATCCAGATCTTAATCCAAAAATCGGTTCAATAAATTTCATAGAACTTGCAACATCACAATTGAGAGTATTTTGTAAAGCATTCAATTCAAAAATAAGTGAAGTACCAATATATATTTTGGATTTCATCTTAGAGGTAGTTCAAGTACCTTGTCTAGAAAATTAAATTACTCTATGTAAGACAACATTTTTTGAGGATGTTTGTTATTTGGTTTAATAATTAAGTATTAGATAAAATTAAGAATAGAGAGGATTGTTATCAGAACCAGAGGGTATGTAATCCTTATTTAATATTTATAATAAAATCATAATAATCATAATGAGCGTTTTGGAAGGAAATGATGATAGAATTTAGGAAGATTTACAGAAGAAAATTGATCCAAAATTTCTAATTGAAATTGTCAGATAATATCTTCAAAATCATAATCCAAAGATATAAAGCAAGGAAGATATGGAAAAAGCACTAGAAGAATAATCATTATAAAAATATGACATAAAATTGGACAAAAATAATGAGGAGGATCAACAAATTTAAAAGAAAAATGACAACATAGAAAAAATACTTAATGTTTTGATTATAAAAGAAAAAATTAAATTTCAGAATTTTTAATTAGATGAAAGTAGTAATTACATTAAAGAAATTATGAAGTTTTTAGAAACCAAAATCTTAAGAATAGAAATCATTTATGAAAACAAACCCTAAACGATTTTATATCCATCTCGACCGTTGTTTACATTTTTATCAGATGAAACAAGAGATATCATTATGTATAATGTGAACAGAGAAACATAAAGAGATAAAATAAATGGATTGTTAGAATATAGGAATCAAATATATAGAGAGCTCTAATATAATTACGAATTAAGCAAAAGAGAATTCTTACCCATAACTTCATAATATATTTAAGTATTAAGACATCTTTCAGCCTTTTTCTCTATTTCAGTAAACATATTAATGATATTATTTTATAATATGGAAATCTATAATTTTTAAGTTCTACTCAAGGCAGAATTTTATGAATAGTTAATCATTAATGTACTTTCATTTTGTTAGCTATTTACTACATTAGTTTATTACATTTGCTATCTGAATTATCGAATACCTATTTGTATCGATAAGTATCGACCTATGGGTTAAGATTTATCTTCTGATGACTCAGATAGTGAACTGAATCAAGAAGAATCAGATGTTTCAGATAATGAATAAAGTGGTGGATTAAATGATATTAAAGAATAAATCAAATAATCTGAATAGAATTAAAAAAAGAATTAATCTAAAATTTAATTATTTTCTCATATTCTAAGTTATATCTTAGATTCTGCAAAGAAAATTAGTTAATAGAATGAGGATTTTATATAAATAACATTCTATTTAGTGTTTTCGATACTTGGAACATTTTATAAGAGTTATTTTTTTTCTTTACATTTATTTGACTTATTTAGTAGATTAACTCTATTGAATAACGTATTTTAAGCAATTTCGCACAATGCCAAGTAATTAATTGTTGTCTCATTATTGGGAGTTTTGTTTATTTACGTTTTTTCATTTACATCATTTGATTAGTATGCAGATGATATTTACACTGAAAAATAGCCAGAAGAACATTGTGAAACTCTGATTTCCTGTATGATAACTCTAGTTACAAGTGGGGTTATTGGAACTTCAATGTCCAAATGGGATTTTGTAAAATTTTGCTATGATACTTTGTATTTTGTATTTTTTGCATTGCTTTTTACAAATATAGTCTCTGGTATTATGATTGATACTTTTGCAGAATTGAGAGATCAAAGATAAAAGATTGACGATGATAAAAAGAATTGTTGCTTTATTTGTGGTGTTAAGAGAGCGCATTTAGAAAAGAATCTTGAATAGTTTGAATAACATGTTAAAGATAAACATTTCTTGTGGAATTATATCTATTATATATATTGCTTAAAATTAAAAGAAACTACTGATTACACTGGTTTGGAATATGCGATTAGTGAAATGATCAGGAAGGATAATATTTCATGGTAAATATATTTTTTGAGCTAGGTTCCCAATACAATTTGAGTAAGAAGCTAATTAAGATAAGGAAATAGATGTTAGAATTGCTTAACTTGAAGGAGAAATGAGAGAGAAAAATGACAGAATTGTTCAGCTAGAATTAGATGTCAAAAATAAATTAAGTAATATTAATAATATACTGACATCATAACTAGAAAAAGACATACCTTCTAAATTGGAAAACTTAAATTAATTAATTACGTAAATGTAATCATCAAAAAAAAGTAATTGAATTTATCTATATTAAATTTAATATTTTGATATATGAACAAAATGTCTTGCTTACCAATATTAAAAAAGGTATCCATGAATCACAATCATACTCATTTGGAATCCGAAACTTCTGATGTTGAAAGAACCACTAGCTTTGAATCAAGTTAATTGGGCAGAATAATTGAAATTACATCATTTAGGAGAATTTCCACATCTTCAAAAGGAGATAATAATTAAAGTCCTAGACAATAAAGGAAAAATTCCCTTGTCACTTTCGAATCTAATGATATTAGTATCTCTGTCAGTCAAATCAAATCCATAAACGAGTAATAAATTAATTATATTATTAGTCCTTCATTGTATGTAAAAATGAATGATTTGTAGAATAGAATTTGGAAAGCATTGACTAAATTCACAAATGCATAATTAGTACTACTCCTTTATTATTTAGGAATCAGTTTTTTTGATTGACATTATAGTCTTGCATAATGATACTGAATTTGAATTTAAGTTTGACCTTTCTCAATTGTCTTGTTTTATGACTATTAAAGAATTAAGAGAATAAATACATGTTATTTTTTATTAATACAAGAACTAAAGTAGGCAATTTATTTTAACATTGTAGAAATAAAAGACCCTTAATTATATATTTTGATTGGAGTTATCAAAACATAAAAATTAGATAGCGATATAAGATTGTTTGAATTACTAAATATTTTATTAAATGGGAAAAAAACATTGATTTTGTAATCCTCTTATTAAAATTTTTGAAAGTAAAATTTTATATTTTTTTTTAAATCAATAAATTGTATTATCTTACTCTTTTAAGATCCAGTATTATTTAATCTTTGTTTTTTATATCTGATATATAATTCATTTATTATCTGAATAACAGTATTTAATTAAATTTGAGTCTCTATAAAAGCTAATTCACTTTTTTTTAGTTCTCCAATTAATATTCATTCAATGGATTGATTGAATATTAAGCAATATTTATTTTTTAGTTTTGATTATATTTATAATAACTTCAATTATTATCATTAATTTCTGATTAGACTTCCATTCTTAATCTCCAAAAAAGCAAAATAAAGACAAAACTCTCTATTGAATTTGGTTCCACTAAATATTTTACTTATATTTAATATACTAATGTTCTAATAACTTTAGTATATAATAGATTGGATCTACAATTGATTTCTTTATTTTCTTTTACGTTTAAACATATTTAGTTATTATAAATCTTAGAAATTATATTTTTAATTCATTTTCTATAGAAATTTGGTAAATTTATTTTTTTTAATAAATTACAAGTTTATAAAAACAATTAATGAAAAAGTGCAGTTTAGCTTTATAAACATCAATGCTTTTTGATGAATAAGAAGGTTATTATTAAATTGAAATTAGACTTCTAAGATCATGATGGCGATGGATTAGGTCCGTGGTTCAAGATGAAAGAAAAAAAATAATTGGTTGCACCTTTGTAGCCTATACGAATCCCTTAAGTTAGAATAAAAAGCTAATAATTACAAAAACGAGTCCTCTAAATAAAAACAGAAAGATATAACACTGAAAGGACTCTACATGTGAATGAGGATCCAATTCGGATAAATAACTTAAAATAAAATTAAGAATACACTGATTCTTCTTCGCCAGTAGAATAAATCATCAAGAAACACTTTTCTAATAAATAGTCTGTATTTTTCCCAAAAAGTTAACAGAGTTCATTTGTGTAAAAGACGGATAGATCAAATCGATAAATAAGGGTAAAGAAACTCAAAATTTGTAATTCTGATATACCATTGATCAACAAATATAATTATTTTTCAAGATTGTTGTGAATCTCAAATAACAGAATCTCAACCAAGTGTAAACCTGAGTTGATAACCTTTATCAATATATTATTCTAAAATTTAATATTTAAAGTATTCGAAGACATATGTATAATATTGAAAAAAATTGATTAAAATTACCCATCTTACTGAAGCTTAAAAGAATAAAGATTTAATTCAAATGGATGACAGCTACATAATAAATCATAAAAGTTAATATGAATAATAAATCAATTCAATGACTTAAATGATTAATCATTCAATTAAATAAGAATTTAATGGAAATACTGATCTGATATCGAATATATATTTATAATATCATATAATGAGGCATGTAATGCTGAAAACTTTAAGTTTAATCTTTTAATATACACATAAAAAAGATAAATTGTTAGATTTAAAATCGATAAACCTTGAATATTTTTACTATTATTTATTTAACATATTATACTAAAGGTATCATTTTCCTTTTTTAGATTAGGCAACCTTTTTTGGTGCCTAACCAACTTCTACTTCAATCCAACCTTCATCATCATCATCATCATTTTGATTATTTTATGGTTAAATTTATTGTTGTGCTTATGTAGATTGTTATTATTATACAGGTTCAGGTTTTTTTTATTTTTATGGCGGTTGTTTTTTTGCTGATCCAGATGATATTGTGATAGAATCTGTCTTGACTTCAACAGCAAATCCAGGAATATGTGAATTTTTTTATTAAATTTTTTTATTAACAGGCTTTTTTTTATCTTTATTTGAAGCACCTACAGTATGCCATCCATCTTCATCCTCATCATCATCATCTTACTACTACTACTATTATTATTATTATTATTATTATTATTATTATTATGATTTTTAAGTTGTTGGTTATTCAACTTTAGCCTATTATTTTTATTATTATTCTTTTTTGGGCTATGAATTCTTCTTTGCTCCAACTATTTCCCATTCATCAGCGCTATCAACAGCTTCTTATTACTATTTAGGTTATTAATTTTATTCTTATTTAGGAGGCTCAGTTTTTAATTTTTATTACTACTAAACTTAAGTTTTTTATTATTGGATTTTTTATGGTTATTATTAAATTTCTGCTTTTTCTGGTTTTCTTGTTTCCAATTTCTTTAAATAATCTTAAACTTCTTGATTAATAGTACCATCTGATTCTTCTTTTGGTTTTTCCTCTAAGATCACTTCTTATTATCTAAAAAGATTTAAGTTGATAAATACTTTTCATATCCTTTTTTTTAATACAAATTTCCTCTATTTCCTTCTACATGCATACTCTTATTATCGCTTCTTTTTCTTTCGGTAGGCTTATTACTTTGTTTTGATTATTATGGATTATTTGTATATGCTTTAGTAACTTTGACTTAAATAGGTTGTGCCACCAATGGCTTTGCCCATTATCCCATATCAATATTCTATTTAATTTTTGAATAGTCTATTTCAAAGTCAATTCCTTATTCTACTTTTGGTTTAGACTATTAAACTTTAGGTTCTTCTAATTTTTCGACTTTAGTGGGTGAATCTATTGACTTTTATTGATTTTCTTCTTCTTATTTTAATTTTTATGCTTCTTTTAATTTTTAATCTGCTTCTTTTTTTTTATTAACAGCTTAAACAATCTTTTCGACTCTAACCAATTTATCTAAAGTTTCCAAAGCAACTTTAGTTTGCATATTAATAGTGCCTTTAGTGATCAATTAATCAATTTCTGCAGATGTGTGAGGTCCTTATGACTTTTAATTTTCATCTAAGTAAAACCAAGCTTTTTTGTTTGGATCACAAAGTCCGCTTTCGACAAAAATTGTAGAGGCAGGTTATGCAGGTTATTTAGTAATTTTTTGAACTTTATTGTCTTTTTAGTAGTATTTAGGATGTGTGAATTTTTGATCCGGTTGAACTTCTATAAGCATTTCTTTTGCATCTAATTTTAGAGGGTATTAAACCCCTAAAGTAGAAGGTTATTAATTCTGAATGAGAAACAAGTCTTGATGTTGAGTGAGCAATTTTATGATGTTGGGATTGGGTTATTTGGCTGGTTGATATTCAAGAAGGGAAGAAGGATTGCTCATTAAAATTTAACACGTATATTTAATAGCAAAATAAAAAGTCAATTAAAACTGCAATTAAATAAATTCATTTTATCTTTTTTCATTGTCTTGAGCATATGTATAGAACTAAATATTAATACGCAACTACTTGAGAAGATAGAATGAATTATCAGTCTTTTACTCAATCGTCTTTTTAGGAGGAATAGTCTATTAGTCGATTTCTTCAATTAAGGTGGGTTTCTTAATGGGGTTTAGTTAAAATTTTGGCTCTTCATTCATTTTTTTTCTGCTTTTACCTGAAGGTGGTTTTCGCATTGCTCTTTCTCTAGTTTTGATGAAAACGAATTTTGCATCTTATTCTATAGTGGGATATAAGCGATCAATTAAATTATCCGTAGGGTCATAAGTATTAGATTGAGAATAATTGAAAGGAATTATTTTTCTTTATCTGGATTGAGTTTTCGGTCTGGGTTTTTCTTCTTATTCATAGTAGGAATTGATTTATTAAAACAATTGAGAGATCAATTAATGATGAGAGGAATTTCGAGTATGAGAGTCTGTAGTTTTGGGTCTGATTTTGCTAAAAGTTTAATTCATGAAATTCATTATTTATTATATTACTAACATTCAATGCATTTAAAAATCTAAACTCATTTTAAAATTACATAATTTATTATTTCAATATGGCATAACTCCTTAACAAATTCTTTACAATCGATTCAATTTTTACTATTCGAACTTTTTTAACTTCTCCAGCTATTTCATTCTCTTAACATCTTCCTCACTTTCATTTTGTGTGAATTTCAAATTCTAATCTATCTCCTACTACTTCTTCTATCCTTGCTTAATGATATTCACAACCAAAGGATTTTAATTCCTTATATTTTATTATTATTATTAATTTTCAGATTTAAGTAAATACTTTTTGGATTTCAATTGGTGAAGTAAATGAACAATTGCAATTCTTGGACTCTTCAAACAAACTGGACAATGATACTAAGCCTTCTCATCCAGATTCAGACAATTAAAATGGAAGGTGTGACCACAAGCTAAAACTATTATTGGCTGAAGTTATTAATCATATTCATAATAATTGTAACAGGAATAACAACCTGGTAAGTAGCCCTATCCTTTCAATTACAAATGAACTAAAGCTCTCATGTTTTGAACGCATTTAATGAAATTGATATCGACCAATTTTGTATAAACCGTAGTAGAGAAATTGATATGTGTATACATTGATAAAAATGTCATTTTAAGTTTAGCTGAACTTAGCCTCATATATTTAGTTGTAATTTTATGAAGAAATGCATCTAAATGACTACATTCTGCCCACTTCTTCAACAATAATGGAATATATTCCTCTAAATAAGATGGATAGGGTTATGGAGTATATCTATTTTGTGAGAGTTCCAAAATGCATTAAGTCACCATATCCCAGGATTCGTCCAATTCGTCTAGTTTCTTATTTCTAAAGCAGATGTTACAAATTTCCAAAAAATACAAATAAAACTCACTCTAAATCATTCAAATTAAATAAATACTTTGCTTAAAAACGCTTTCTATTGTATTTTTTATATAAAATCGTCTAATTTTACACTGATTGCTTCTGTAATTGCCCCTGATCTTTCAAGCAAATATACCAAAGCATCAGGAACAGGATATTATTTTAATACTCCAATTATATCATCTAAAGGATATTCTTATTCTTGTAGTTCCTTTAAAACTTTCTCGGGTTTAATTTAACAGAGTAATTTTATATAAAGTTTTAACAAATCTGTATTAGATTGGTATTATTTTCTATCAACTTACATTATTTATTCTAGATATTCTAACTATAACTTAGGCAATTCTCCCATCTTATTGAGGATGCTGATGTCATTGGCTTAAAAATATTTAGAAATCAATGATCTGGTGTGAATAGCACTATAAGAAACCAAAGATCCAATGTGATGTAGAATTCTATCTCTAAAAGTGTCAATTTATGGAATTGGAGGGTCTCTCGATAAAATTTTGGAAATCCAAGTGAAGATTTCAAATTTCACTTAGATATTAAATTGTTGTAATTGATTCTTTATTTTGATTCTGTAATCCAAAGCTCTACTGTAACTTTTAAGTTCTTCATTCAAATACATTTTGACCCAATCAAACTATCCATCTGATGCCATCGAATTCAAAATATCTTCTTTATCAACAGTTGTGTATTTCTTAAATAAATTGATTATAAATTAGTTGTATGCATAAATCAAACAATATTTGAGAGTGGGTTCATCATTATGTAAAATATTAGGCAGGGGCAAACATTAAAGTGGTAAAAATATCAAATGTCTATGCTCACTGACTAAATCTAATAATAATTCAGTTAGTTATTTATTTTATAATTATTCTGTGTATCCCTTACTTAAAATACTTGCTTGGATGGATCTACCAACTTAATTGATCATCTTATCCCATCCAATTGCATCTGGTAATGTTTTTATTTGCAATTAAGTTAATTGAAATTTTAAATCATTTTAATCTTTAATAGATTTTAATTTTTAAAAAGCTTAAGTCATGTTAACATAATATTTCTTTAATCTTTCTTTATCTAAAAATTAATCATAAGGTGGTATAAAAAACTTGTAACATAACTAAACACAACCGCCAAATTCTATACTCATTAATAAAAATAATGTGGGAACTTCAAACAACCATAAAGAAATCTAATCAGACTTCTCTTTTATCAATTATTCAATATGTAGAGTCTATTCTAAATAATGGATGATGCTTTTTCCTTATTCTATTACTACTGATGGATCCTTCTTTTTTATATCTTATTGAATGATTCCCCACAATTTTGCCAAAGGAGTTAGGAAGTCTCCAGACCTTGTGCAAACATAACTCAAACTCGTAGTCAGTTTATTTAAAAGGCAGAATTATATCAATTATTCAGTATTAATTTTTGAATAATCAATTTTTTAAATGAAAACCTCTATACATTATTATTCTCCTTTTTGAACATAATATGTTAAGATCTCATCTAATAAATTAATAATATATAGAATACTTATAGTTTATTCATTTGCATCTATCACTTTGACCTTTCCATTCTTCAGATATAAACTCAGTTCATTACATATTATACTAATGTCTCCATTTAAAAACTTCTTTATGATACTATATATTTGATTAAATAGAATATCACTTGAAACTCTCAAAAGGAAGTCTACAAGCATTGAGAGCAGAGTCTTAACTTTCTCCACGTCTTGTTAATGACCAAATTAAGAAGTTGGAGTATAAATCAAAGTCTTATGTTTATCTAGTGTAGTTTTGATTTCCTCTAAAACAACCTTAATGTAATGAGTGGCTATTTCCAGTACTTTCTTTTTTAAAACCTACATGTTAAATTTTATTGGAGTGGATTTCATGCTTCCATCCATCAATGCCAAAATCAATAACATTCCCTTCGCCCAATCTTTATTCTATATAAAAATATCAATAGTTTATTCTAAATTATTAATACTGCCTGTTACAATTGATCCTTCCACTAATATATGGATTTACCTTGTCTATTTGTTCAAAGTATATATCTAATATTGTAAAGGATATTATTTGTATGCAATTCCTTCGTCTTTACTCAAGACTTCAACTTAATAAAGGGAAGTGAAGGGGGAATCAGGCCAATTCTTTTTTTAAATGAAATATGGGATTTATTCAATTCCTTTTGGAACTACATGCAATTCCAGATGAAGTGTATTAAACAAGTATATATTTTGATTTGCAGTTATAACTTCTATTATTGATTACTCAACAAAATAAGCTGCATGTATTTGTTGCTTAAAAATCAATGGTTTAAGTGTCATATACCTTGCCTAATCATGGCTTCTAATTAATATGAACATATGGCAATTCCAACAGAGCAAAATTATTAGTCGCTTTTCCTTCCATTGTTCTTCTTAGTCCTAATTTGGAGGAGGCAAGACTCCGTAACCACAAGAAAGATAGCAATAGAAAGGTTTTTCTGGAGCTGAAACATGTGGATTCTCTATCTCTATGATTGATTTCAATTTTTTTTCGTCATCCTTATAAACCGTGATAAGGTAAAATTTGCTTAGTGAACACAATCCAATTATTCTACTAGACTTTTCATATAGCTCTCCCATAAATTCCTTAGTTTCATTTTTATACAACACTACAATGTTTAGCATTGGAAACTATTAACGTGGTATTGTCAATTATATTTCATAATCAAATCCTAACATTCCTTTTCGAAAATTTACAATTCTAATGACTCCCAAATCATCTGAAGTTATCACATTGTAAAATTTCTTAGATTAAAAAATGAATTTCAACACTATTATTTTCGACTTAGTAATGTTCTAACATGTACACAAATGCTTCTTTTTTTTCATATTTATTATGCTAATCCATCCACTCTCATACCCAACAGCCACTAATTCATTTAATGAGTCTAAAGCTGTGACAGCTCCTATCTTCTATTACTAAATTATAATATCCATCTATTATTAAGAATAATATAGAATATTTCCTAAAGATCCACCTACTAACAAAAATTCTCCGTTGTGATGAACTACTTTTGGTTTTCCGAAATTCTTCACTACTTGTGGATTAGAAAATATCAATATTTACTAAAAAGACAGAGTGTTATCGATTTTGTTTTTTAAGGAATCCCTAAGAAAATCCAAAGGAGTCTTGAAATTTTTCTATGCTATAAAATTAAAGATAAGTTACTTTATTTCTCTTATTTTGCTTTATTTCTAAATTTTTCTTAGATTTCTAAACCTGCATCCAATAAATCAACAATCGATTTTGTTCTGATTGATGATTCTACATCTTCATCAAAGACTGAATAATATTAAACAAGAAGTTGGAATTCTTTAGAATGATCGCAATTATCGAATGTAAAAATCTCCATTATTGAATATATAATATTAAGCAAAATCTATGTATTATTTTATTGTATTTTTATATAGAATTCATCATCCTTGAGTCATTTTTTTCAACTCACTTTCGGTTGCGAAAAATCCAGCCAATTTACCCACGAATCCACTTGGTTTTTAAGAATTTGCATTCTTTTATTTGAATTCAAGCTATTCTTTATATTCATCCCTTTAAGCAGTCAATTACAAAATTTTTGAATTTAAACCTGCTATTTCTTATTCCATTCTCTACAACTTCAAATTTTATTCAACAATAAATTCCTTTGTATCTTCAATCTTAGATGATGTCTATTATTACTTCTCAATTTATGATGACAACTGATCCCTTTCAATCTAAAATATAAGCTATAATAATTACAATCAACTCTTGGTATTTAACTTTTAATTTCTAATACTCTTATTCATTTTAAAGATAATTATTCATTTGTTACTCTTACTCTTAAATTTATTTGTTCAACTGATCGATTACTTTTAATTTCTAAGCGTACAACTACTTTAAATTAGTATTTTCATCCTATAGAGTTTGATATTAATTATGAGATTGCTTCAATTAGCTCACATCATATTCTTTTGATCTTAACTCAGCTATTGTATTTAAAGCTTGTTCATATTAAATTTTTAATTCTTCGTTCTCTGCCTCCTTCTAAGATCTCTCAGATTCAACTACACCTAATTCTTCAAGTAATTTTGAAATCTAATCTGTTAAATCCTAATTTTCTTATTCCAAATTACGATATTCTTATTAATCAACTTTGTTGGTTGTCTGTGGTTGACTCTAATGCTCAAATAATTTTTATTGAATCTCCTCTATTTTTTAAGTTAATTAAGAATTTAAATTGCTATAATGTTCAACTTATTAAGATAACTAAGTAATTTAACTATTTAGTGTAACTCTCTCTTCATTAAAGGATGTAATTTGTAATTTTAATTATTGTTTTTCACTCTCACTTTCTTACTATTGTTATGACCTTTCATTTTGGGTTTATTATTATAAATTTGCAAGTTCTTAAGTGCTAATTGAATTTTGGTTTGATAAATTTCGTAAACTGGTTTCTAATTATATTATAGCTTCTTTTTTTTCATTCAATTCTATTGTATGCTAATATTGTATTTAAGCAATCTCTTAAGTATTGTTATCCTTTAATTGTTTAATGTTCTCAGTCAATTCTTCAATTTATTCTTTCTATTAATTAATTATGTTAACTTTAGTATTAATCTCTTCTTGAACTTGTTATTGTAAGTCAGATTGATTCTAATTTTAGTTTTACTATTCTATCTGTTCATTCAATTCAACAATCAAATTTTCAAATTGTTATTAAGTTTATTAAAGTTATTCAATTTCATTTTTTGAATCAAGTAACTATTAATTTAATAAGTCTATTTATTATTAAAATGAATCATTTTAATGTTTACAATTTTAATGTGAAATTTTCAATTCATCATATTAATTTTATACTATTTATAACTGCTTTTCATGTTCTTCCATTTGATTCTATAATTATTATTTAGTTTAACTCAATTCTTCCTATTATTATAATATAAATTCAAATTCTTGTTCTTTTTATTAGTATTTCTCCATTTATTCAATCAAATTTTAATTTTCTTACTATTACTCCTCAAATAACGTCATTTATTGACTCAATTATTCAGTAATCTACTCAACTTAAGTTTATAATTCAAGGATCTTATGTTAATACTAGTCCCTTTGTTACTCTAATTATTTCTTTTCTATTTCAATTAATTTTTCTGAATTTTATATAGAATGTTGCAGTGTTTTTTTCTCCTGGTCTAATCTAATTATTTGCTCTTATAATTCTTTTGAATTTAATGAATATTTTTCTATTTCCTTTTCCTTATCATGAATTTGTTTCTTTAGAAATTCATGTTCAATTTTAGATTGCTATAGACTTTTCTCTAAATCAGTTGTTTATTCATTATGTTCAAGTATCTTTTTCCTCAATTATGACTAGAATTCTTATTATTGATTTATTAATTGCAAATTAGTCTAGAATAATTAATCTTCACACTATTTTAACTCATTTAGAACAACTGACTTTTAATCATTCATTTCTGCTATTTTTTAATCATATTCTTGACATATAAGAGCAATTTCTTTCTTTGATGATACAACATCATTAATATAATTATTAATCTATTTTTCTTATTAAGCAACTATTGATTCCAAAGAAGATTTTTATAAATTTATCTAAAAGATTTAAGCTTTATAATCTTATAGAATAGATAAATGACCTTATTCTTTTTAGAGTTTTTACTTTTAATATTCTCTTCTATATGAATGGCATAATGTTTAGATGTCTAATTTAGTCTCAATCTATCTAACTTCTAGAGATCCTAAGAATTTGAATCCAACATTAATTTCAGTACTAATCTCATATAGAAGTTATTTAAGATTTTGAATCTCTGACTTGGCGATTTCTAAATCAAATTGTAATTAATCTTTAATCTATCTTAATTCAGCACACTCTTAATCGTTTATTAATAATTGAGATTACTCTAATTGAGAGTTCATCATTTAAATATCTTCATCATATTGTCTTCTTAATTTCTCGTTTTATTTTATATACATGTCTTTATCTCTTTGAAGACTTTGGACCTACCTTTTATATACTTCTTTCTCTTTTTACAGATTTTTGATTTGTAAATCTTATTATTTAATGTTAAAATCAAGTTACTTAATATACTATTAATAGTTTTTCTTTTCTTCACCCTAGCTTTCTAACTATTTCTTGAAGGCATTAGTGCAGTTCACAAACTCCTCTAATTTTCTCAATAAATCATTTATTAATAATTGCTATTATTAAACATACAGATCTTTATTCTATATCTCTTATTATTATTATTCAAGAAGTTCAGTCATATCGGATAATTCTTCATTCTGCTCTTGGATAATTTAAGTCAAGTATTCATTGCTGCTAATTGGAAAATCTATAATTTAAGGAGGAACAAAAACTTGAGTTTGGTTTTTTAATAAATTTAGGTTGAACTATTACAAGTCTAAACTAATATTTTAAGGTTAGAATAATTTAAGATATTTCATATTTTAATCTAAATTGTCTAAATAATTCTAAGGTAAAAGTGCTTTTGGAAGAGTTTGAATAAAGTTATTGCATGAATCATAATTTAGGATCAGCTAATTATATGCTTTACATAATTCCTATAATTGTGATGAAAGTTCTTTATTTTCTGTTGCTAATTATAAAACCTGTTATTAAAGCAACACTAACTGTTGATTATTTACATGATGGTTAGATTGTTGTATTTCAGGTTGGTAGGATGTCTAATTTGCATTTGACTAGCTGATTGCACTTTGTGAATTATTTTGAGCATTTCTTTATTATGATGATTCAAATTACTCTAGTTATTTCTCTTATTCAGGTTGCTTTTCCAATTGTTTAGTTTAGTCCTATTATTATTAATTTAAAGTCTAGTTGTTATTTGTTTATGTAGGAATAGCAACTGGTGGTACTTATTTAATCGGATGGTCTTTCTATTATCTCTGTTGCTTTCCTCTTAAATGAGGATTCTATGGCTTCAAATATTCCTTCACTTCTCCAGGAGGAATCTATTCCTCAACTTTAGGCTCTGGCTTCTTCTCTGAGTAAACTTCTTTTCCTGGGTATTCATACACTCCTTTTTCTTTATTAAATACAATTTGAGTGTTGGGTGGTAAAATGACTTTCGTGGCTCCTCCTCCGCCACCTTAGAATACAGCTAATAACGATTTTAAAGGGGACTTTGATTCTCTCTTTTAAGAAGACATTGCACGTGTAAACTATATATGTGAATAATTAAATATGAATATTAGTTACTCTCATTTATTCATTCATTCATAATCTAATTTGTATAAAATTAATTTAGCACTTTATTTATCATCTGAACTCGATGATTAGCAACTTGCCAGATATTCTCCATTTTATGATATAGCTGAGAAATGGCCATTATTTGGGTATTTTATGTAATCACCAATTATTTGAAAATTCTTATCAGATAATTACCTAATAAAATAAACATATTGATTTTGCTTCAATATCATGATATTTTTGGTCTAATTGTATTAAATTGGTGATAATCCAATGTTGTCTTAAGTATCAATTTGATTTAATTAGAGTTTTTAAAACTATTAGAAAATATTATCTTTCTCTTCATAAACAATACAAATTCCGTTGTTTGAAGGTTGAAATATCAAATAAGTATTGTTATAAAAACCTATCCTAAAACCATGGCCAAATTCTTATGACATGATATCTTGCTTACGATACCATTAATCTTAATTTTTTGAATATTCCCATATAATTATGCAGTTTTATCGACTGCAACATGCTAACTTATCCTCTGATTTATTGAGAGTTAGAGAAAATATAGATCCTTAATTTACCTTAATTTCTTTCTGTTTCTAGATGGTATTTTAAGCAATATTTAAATCCCATATTATGATACTTTCATCTTCACTACATGAAAATAGAAGATCTTCTTTTTAGTTCAGTAGGAGACAGAAAACAGTTCTTTAATGTGCATTTAAACCAATATATTTTTTCCATTCAAAATTTTAGAATTTCCATATTAAAACTTCACCCGTAGCTATCCCTGTTGCAAGCCAATTCTAATTTTTACTATAAATGATTGAATAAACTTATGCCTCATGATTTAAAGTTGATTTAATATCTTCTAATTTTTTATTCTCAATATTGTATATATCAACAACATTTTTCTTATAAGTGGCGACTGCTAAGCATTTGCATTCGTAATCAAAAGCAAGAGCAATACAATTACAATCAATCTCGCTTATATTGCTACATTGGACTGCCTAATCCCTAATAATTTTTATTCTTGAAATTCTTGAAATATTATTTTCAATTAATTCTTTTTCCTTCTTTTCATCTCGATTATTATATTTAGTAATTTACTCAATCATATTAGAAATAGACACTTATACGTTTTACACTTTGGTTTTAAATTTTTCTTAATATGAAATCTTAATATCTGAAAACTTTTTATGGAATTCTTCAAAAATGAGGTTATTTTGATTACTTTTATAATCATTAAACATTGAATTAACTCTATATTATTCTGCTACCTCCTCTATTTCTTCCACTAAGTTAACTTATATTTTATAGTTTAAATGCGAGAGTTCATTGTTCAATTAATCAATCAAATTATTTGTCTCATTTAATATCTAAAATATTGAAGATTATAAATTTTGAAGACTACTTTTTATCTCAATTAGTTATTATTGCTCCTAATTTATTTTTTCTTAACGATACTATTCGATATTTTTATATTTTTCTATTATTACTCGAATAACATTCTCAATCCCCATTCTATTTTTTCCTGGAGGAGTTTAAAGACAATATTTGCATAATAAACGATTCTTCTTTTCAATCCCTGTTTCATTTTCCACATCTACTTATATAATTTCTTAGTTTCCATGTTATTATGCATATTCACACTTAAGGTGTTTTATTTAATCATCTATATCTCTTAATGACATATAATAGAATTTCAATAATATTAATATTAGTTTATATCCAAATTATTAAATATATAAACCTACACTCTCAAGTTAAATTATGCTTAGAACATAGGATAAAAACTGAAAATATGGCAATTAATGAAGCTTAAAGTTAAATTAATATCAATTAATCTCCATGTTTCTACTATTTAGTAAAAATTGAAAAATCTAATAAAAAGTATGTCTATAACAGCGAATTCTCAAAATTAATTTCAAAGTATTATCTATTAAAAAACAAATAAAAGTTAATAAAATACTTACTTATTAATTATAAAAAAATTCAGATGGATTCAGATTATTAAAATCTAGAAGCAAAGAGGAGTTTAAGAGCATTATATAATGTCTTAGATGCTGATTTTCTAAATGTTTTTGAGTGAGAATATTACACTGAATATATGTTAATAATTTTTTAATTATAAGGGAAACTTAGTGAAAAGTTGTGGAATATTTTTTATTAATTATAAAAGAAGCATGAATTAAAATATTTAAGTATGTCAAATGATTGATTCACTTGAATCTATAACATGTGCTAAGCACAATGAAAAAGTTGAATTCGTCTTGCTAAATAATGAAATAAGTGGAAAAGATAAACTTTTGTGTAAGGTATGTTTTAGTCATTTTTCTGGTGTAAAATAAGTTTATAGCATATTTGAGGCTGTGGAGTATTTAAAAGAAATGAAAAATCTAGAATATTAGGATTAAAAGACCTTGATCTTAGATTAATTGCAAAAAATTTTTCTTCATATTGAAGACATGATATCATTCCAGAGTAGCTTTCAATAATATATCAATAATGTACTAGAAGTGTTGAACAACTGGAAACTGGAATTAGGGAATAAATTAATCGCTATTTCTCAATACAAATTTTAAGACGAATTAGATAGATTTAAAGATAACACAAAATCTTCTAGAAATATTGAATAATTATAGCAATTTATTTAATTATCAAGATTTTAATATTCAGAAAAGATTTTTAACAGCTTAACTAGTATCACACTTTTAACTACAAATAATTAAGGTTTTATTAAACTCTTGGAGTTTGTTAAAAGTTGTGAAGACTTTGATTTATTTTAGAAACAAAATCAGCCATCATATAACTAGGATCGATTTGAAAGTATATTTTTATCTAGAGAGGATAGTAATGGCACACGTGCTGCTTTTCAAAGCCAACATAACCCAAATTAAGATGTTAAAATATCATTAAAATTAATTCAAACTATCACATAAAAAGATACCGTTTTATCGATATCATTTAGCTATGATGATTAATTACTTGCTTCAGCTTGTAATAATGAAATATAATTATGGAAATTTTAAAATGGAAAAATAGATGATTGCATTGGTACTCTGGATGGACATACATAACCAATTTTTACGCTGATTTTTAGTAAAAAGAAAAATTGGTTATTTTCAGCAGGAAAAGACATGTCAATTATTTTATGGAAACCAAAAATATTTTTATTTAATTTTACTATTACCACAAAACAATAATATTTAAATGCTCATAAGGATTATATTCTGCAATTAGTATTAAATAAGAATGAAAATTAATTGATCTCTTGTAGTTCAGATACTAAAATTTCCATTTGGTCTGTAAATTATAGATAAAACTCAATATAATTTTAATAATCATTAGAAAGACATAGTTGTCCTGTGATTTCTATTTGTCTCAATCAAAGCAACAAATTACTGGTATCTAGTGGTTTAGATAGATAAATAATTGTTTGGAGTTCAAACAAAAATTAAGAATGGACGTTTCAACAAGTTATAAGTAAATTAACTAATGATTTTGGTTATAGAATAAGCTTTGTTTCTGATGTATCTATAGTTTGGTAATCATTCAAAATGGGATTAACTCATATCTTTAAATTGGAAGATGGTACCTTCAAAGAGGTATTAGATTAAAGAATATAACTTTCAAAAAATGCTGAAAATGATGGCGACTACTCATTTCCATCAATATTCAATTCTAATAAGTAAATCTTAATTTAAAAACATTGTAATCGAATTCATTTTTTGACTATAAACTCACAAACTTAATTACGAATTTAATCCGAATAAATCCTCTTAAAAAATTAACAAAGTTACGGAAATTTATCAAATGATGGTAAATATTTAGTACTATGGTGCGATCAACTATTTTTGTTATATGAAATAGGCTATGAAGAATGTTCCTAAATACCTTATTGAAACATTAATATTTATTTATTTAAATAATCTAAATATACCTTTTATTAAGAGTAGAAATATTTAAAAGCTTATTTCATAATTTAATTAATGTGAATTTTGAATTAAGATGGAGTTAATGCTTAATTTCATATTCTATTTATGAATGAGTTTGATTTTTATTGTATTTTAGGGAGTTTTCATCTAATTTATAATTCTTTTATTTTACATAGATAATATACGATTTATTAAATAAATTAATGTATATCAACCTCACATAAAATAATAAGTCTTGGTGGACTCACACGTCGCTCGTCCCAACAGAAACTTAAAATAAAGTCTTCAATTTAGTGAATGGATAATCCAGTTTCTAGAATAAGTCAACATTACTTACCACTTATTTGAGTTTGGAAGCCGTCAATAGAATAGGTCCAGTAAAGAAGTTAGCCATATATTTTAAAGCTGGAATTGTAGGTGCAGTATTTTTAGGAACAAGGTAATTATTTAATAAAATGAATAATTAGATTTGCGTCTGGAAGTTATTATGCAAATAGCATCAAAACAGAAATAGGCAGATTACTTGATGGTGTTCCTGTTTGGGAAAATAAGTTTGATGTGCCAGAATTAGATAAAAAATTCTTTTTTATCGATGATGACAATAACTTTGAACCCTCTTTATGGCACCACGGCATGTATTAATAATTGATTTTATGTAGCAATCAGATTGATAAGCCTAAACAATTTTACAAATTTGAATGAGCATTAAAATACATATATATAATTTAATAAAAAAATGAATCCCATAGATCAGCACAAATTATAATTTGTACTCAAGGATTGCATTCTCAAATTGCAATTTATAGGAGAAATCACAAGAGATAATGATATTTCATCTGAATTGGCTGGTTACGAATAAAGTAAATTGCTAACCGATTAACAAACATTGGAAGTTAAATATGCAGAATTGGTTGCCAAACGAAGCACATTGATAGGGATCTCAAATAGAAAATAACTAACCGAAACTCAGAAGCATATTTAAGAAGTGGCATAAAGGCTGAAAGAAAGTACGAAGAAGTTATGCAGGTATAAGTTTCATTTAAAATATTAGGTTATTTAAAGAAAACCCAAATATAGATTAAGATTCATTAAAAGTATATGAAGAGAGGGCAGGATTGATCTCAGACTTAGAAGTATTTATTTTCATTTATTGAAGAATCTCAAAACATTCATTTAAAACAATCAATTGAATAAATTTGCTCAAAATGTTACAAACAGTTTAGAAGAGTAGGATTCACTAAGAAAATTCGCAGTAAGAGAAAAAGAATTAGCTGCTGAAATAAAGAAATTATAAAATGATAAAACTTAAGAAATTAAAGAACATGAACATGAGAAGACTGAAAAATAAAAGAATATTTAATCATTAAAAGAGAAACTATTATATAAAACAAATAGAGCCGACTTAAAAAAAAAGTATGATGAAAAGGTGGGGACTTCTAAAGAAAATACTCAAATGAGAGTGTTTGAATTTGCTTTAAAGGATATTGAATAATAAATTTTAAATTTTACAACCAAAATAGAGACTGAAGAAAAGGTCCATAAATAATTAAAGGATTATTTAATAAGAAAAGAAGTACTTAATATTATTATATAAATTTAGGAAGAATCAAAAAAGAAAACTGATGATCAAAATAAATATATGGATGAGAAGAAATAAGAGTTGGAAGATAAAATTGAGAAATTGACTGAACAAAAAAATATTATGTTAGAAGAATTAGACAAATTAAACAGAAGATTTGAGAAGGAAGAATTAGAAAAATAGGAACGTGAAAGAAAAGTATATTTATTCTTTATTTCAGGAAATATAAGAACAAGAAGCCAAAAAATTAAGAGAATTACAATAATTGCGAATGGAAAATGCCATCAAATTAATTTAGAACGAATTAATGGAAAGAAAAGAGTTATATGGTTTAGGTGCCAAAAAAAAGAAACCCAAAAAACCAAAGAAATGACTAAACAAATTTAAATAAAATTAAATCTTAAATTAATTCATGGGACGTATGTAAGCTAAGGGAAAGGGAAAGGGTATTTCTGGTTCAGCCCTCCCATATAAAAGAAAAGCCCCAAAATGGTTGACCTTATCATCTAAATCAATCGTTGATTAAATTGTTAATTTAGCCAAGAAAGGTTTCATTTAACATGATTGCAATTATAATAGGTTTGAATGGATCTCAAATTGGAGTCTACTTAAGAGATTAATAAGGTATCCCATAAACCAGATTCTTAACAGGTTAAAAGATCTTGAGAATCTTAAAGAAAAGAGGTATAACAATAATTAAATTTTAGGTTGTGCTCCAAAAATCCCTGAAGATTTGTATGCTTTAATCAAAAAGGCTGTTTAAATCAGAAAGCATTTAGAGAAGAATAGAGGTGATATTACCAGCAAATTCAGATTGATTTTGGTTGAAAGCAGAATTCATAGACTTAGCAGATATTACAGAAGAACCCAAAAGTTGCCATCTAATTGGAAATAGTATACATTTCATATTATCTTCAAGTGTCTCAAAGACAGCTTCTGCCTTAATTGGTTAATGAGTTAGAATATAAATACAATAATGCATATATTTTAATATTTTATATCACTTTTTTATTTTTTTCAATGACTCACACACTTCCTTAATATTAATACGATCTTCTTCTTTCTTTTACAGCATTTTCTAATAATTCATAAATATATTTAATACTGTAATTAAGTCTTTCATCTCTTAACTAACTGGATTTGTATTTGGAAATTGAATTTTCTAATTATTGATAGCATTCAGCAACAACATTATAGAATTTGTATCTTTCCATGGAAGCACTCCAAATAACATTTAATACAGAATTACACCCAAAGACCACACATCACATTTTATGCAATAGCTAAATAAATTATTTCTATATAAATACTCTTCCCCTGCTAAAATCTGTGGAGCCATGTAATAAGGTGTTCCTACTGATGTACCATGTGCAGCCACATCTTTTTTATCCTCTTCGATTACTTTAGCAAAACCAAAATCTGCTAATTTTGCTGTACCATTATGTATCAATATATTTTCTGGCTTTAGATCTCTATGGAAAACACTTTTGTCATATAGGTATGAACATCCTTCTGCAATCTAAAGAAAAATATCAACAGTCTCTTATTCATTCAATTTTCCTTTGTCTTTGATGAGCATATCCAAATCACCACCATTGCAGTATTCCAAAAAGAAATAAATATTATTTGGAGTCTCAGAGAAATCAATGAACTTAACAATGTTAGGATGATCCATTTACTTCCATAATGAAACCTAATCAATATATGCGAAATCTGATACTTCTATTTTTAATGAGTTGATTATATATTCTTTTCTGCTTTCTGGGTTATTACTCTTTTTGAGCTTTTCAATTATATTTTGTTTTGCAATCAATTTGCAGGCAAAAACTATTTTCTCATTTTCTTTCAATGTAGCTAAATGACTTTTTTAAATCTTTATAGATACGTGTCTGCAAAATTTCCTTTTCCAAGTTTTGTTGTTTTAATGTAGTACTTCCCATCAACCATCTTATAATTTGGAATTGTGGCTGCTATTTCTTCCAAATTTTATTTCATTTATTATATTTTATATGTATTTTAATAATCCCATTAATAAAGTCTTTAATAATTCGTAATTTATATACTTTACTTAGTTGGTCATCACAATCGACTTACTCATTAAACTCTTATTTGTTTTAAAATTTCTCCTCCCCCATCAAATCTCAAAGGAATTATCAATTAGAATATTGTAATTTATCATATAATAATCAAAATTCTAATTAATAATTTGTTAAATTGATTTGTGATCTTTTTTTCTTATATTTTTATCAAATTTTAGATGAAAAATTAACACAAGAATAAATTAATAGTGTAATTTTAAAATAATGAAATCAAACAAATAACTTACTCATAATAGCAAATAAAAAGATTATTAAAATAGCTAATTTCTTACTTTTAAATTTTCAATTACAAAGTTTATATATACAATAACATTACTAACTTATTTAATAATTTATATTTAAATGAAAGTATGCACATAATTCTTTTATATTCTTTTAAATGTTTGATCATAATTGGTTGAAGTTTAATAGAGAAAATTACAGATTGAAAACTTCTAAAAAGATCGAAGTCATTTAAAAAGCTATGTGATTTTAGGTATTTTCCTAGATTTTACGAACCTCAATATTAATAGATCTAACTTAAGTAAGGATCTATTATATAAATCAATTCCTCTGCCTTAAATTAGTGAAAGAGAAGATATATTTAAAAGAGCAATATAGATACATTAATAAATTTAAATATTTTAACTAAGGGTTAATGTTTTCAATTTATTTGTTGAATGATTTTTAATTTTATTGATTCACATGCAGAAACTATATAGTTATTTAGTAATTTATTTATTTTTAACCCTATAGTATTCATCGAACTGATTACATTTGTCGAAATAAGATTGGGGGACTGTTACTAAAATCAAAATATTGTGAGCACAAATGAGTTTCGTAAAATACATAAGAAATCCTGATTTCATTTTTAGTTGGCTAATTCCAAAAAGTTTGTTTTAAAAAAAAATAAGGAATTTAAAAATAAATCTTTGAGAAATTCAAAAATTTGATATTTTTGTAATTATTAAATTAAAAAATAAAAATGTTACAAAAAGAGCTCAACGATTAAAACTAAACTAATTGTTAATGAACAAAGAATTAATTGTTAGACTTTTAACAGAAAGTCTTAATTCTAAAGTCACAAAATTAATTTAATTTATCTTTTCGTTTTTAATGTAGAATTAATTATTTATGTAAAATAAATAAATAAAATTGCGAATTGAATGGATATAAATAATGGATATTCAATAGTGATATTCAAAATCTGTTCTTAAAAATGTGAAGCATTTTAGAGATTCGAATATAAAAATAGATATTATAATTTTAATATAAATTCTCGATATGTCAAGAAGTTTAAATGATGATGACAAACCTCTAATTCCACTCCTTTAGGCTACAGGTTAAAAGAAACAGGAGAAACTAGCATATGAAAGATAAATGGCTAAAATAACTTTATTGAAACAGACGGAGTAGAAAAATTTGCATCTAGTAAAACGTAACTTGAGTTAGGCAGGCTAAGTTATATGAAATGGCAGCAGATAAAATTGAGAATGGAATCTCGGTGAAGAAGCAATTGTAGGAATTGACAGATGAGGCGAATTAAATAAAAGATGAAAAAATGAAAAGAAGGAAGTAGCAGATTGAATCTATAAAAAAATGTGAAGAAGACTTCATTATTAAGAGAAAGACAGCACAAAAATTAGGGTAAGATAAAAGTGTGTGATTTTAGAGATTCAATGAAGCAATCTCAAGTGAAAGAATACAAGAGTACAATGAAAATGACTTTAAGCAGAACTCGAGATTGCATACTTTAAGAGAACCAAAAGATTAGAGAGGCATTGTATTAGGAGGAGAAGGAGAGGAAGAAAAAGAAGGAGGAAACTAAGAAATTGGATGAGATGAAATCGCAATAATTCTATAAGGAGAGAGTTTCTTATGAGAGGTTAATAGAGGAGAAACTAAAGAAGTCAAGGGAATAATTGTTTAAAGATGAGGAGACATTGAAAGCGCGTTTGAAGGTATGATAAGTTGGTTAGGTTAGTAAACATAAGATATGCTGAGCAAGTCTCAAAACAAGTTTATGGAGCTTCAATCTTGGAGTGGACAGAAGAGATGATAAGGAAATAATAATTATTATTAATAAATTATATATGTCATTGAATTCACGATATATCAACGACAACTTATTTAAGACTCATCAAGAACAGCTACAATAGACGATAGCCCAATTTTGTGATTAAGTGAATTCTAATTCTTCAGAGAATGACTCATTATTTTATGATGGATTCAAGTTTTAGGCAGCACATTAATAAATATGTATTCTATTGCATTTTAATTAGCTGACCTCATAACGCAGGTTGAGATAAGTTCGAAGATAGACGAAGGAAAAAGATAGCTATCAACATTAATATTAGGTTAGGCTCAGTAGATTCTTAAAAATTATAGTTCATAACAAAACCAAATTAAGGTTAAGATCACATAGTCATTATTCAATTTACAAAGAGATACGATTAGGACAATTTAAGAAGTGCACGATGCATTTAGTTTAATAGAATCAATAAAGTGGCCATGCAAAGGACAAACCTATAAGCAGTTTGACAAACAGCTACGTGCTTTGGAGAAGCAGTGCTTCTTTTGGGAATAAGTGTAGTTGTTAGAAAACCGAACGCCGAATTCAATGTGTTAGAATGATTTCAAATTACGGTTAAATGAATGGTTTGAGCAATTCACCAACGATATCAGAACGAAGAATTTTGACAACATGAAAAAATCTAAAAAAGGCTATTTGGATACACAGTTGAAGACTGCGCATGAATTGTATGTGGGATTGGGAACCGAGAAAAATAGAGAAGGTGCTTTACAAATATACAAAAGATTGGCAGAAGAGAACCATCCGATAGCATAGGCAATTATGGGATAGATTTTAATGGATGGTGAAGTAGGAGAAAAAGATTATGATCAGGTATTTAATTTAAAACCATTTGTGGTAGGCTTTTAACTACTTTAAATTGAGTGCTGACCAAGGCCATACATTCAGTGTCTATTGGGCATCTAAATTAATATTGGTAATAGCTTAAAAGTAATTTAATAGGAAGAAAAAGTTTTTGACAAATTTTTTGAAAAGGATGATCAATAAAGTAGAAAATCAAGTGTGACAGCTATCAAAACTAAGGATTGTGATTTGGCAATCAAATTATTAAGAAAGGCTGCCGAATTGGAACATGTTCCATCAATGAATTATCTGGGCGACTTATACACCTCTGGTTTGGAATTATAGAATTGTAAAAATAATAATTATAAATATTAATGATAGATTCTTTGGAGAAGGACTATTAGGATGCTGAATACTTTTATAAACAAGCTCAAAAAAAGAATTCAGTTGAGGCTACTTACAAATTGTCTTTGCTTTATTAAGAGATGAGCAAAACTAGCTTAAACAAAGTAAGGAGTCCATTCAGCTATTTAATAGAATAGAAAGCAATTAATTTTTCCATTACTCAGTCAAGCCAAGAACTAAGACTATTTACCAGCATTTTACGATCTTGGAATTTTGTTGTTAAATGGCTTAGGGGAGGAATTGCAGGCCAACCCTATGATGGCTGACTTAATCTTCGAATAAGGGGCACTTAGTGGTGACATTAGGTGTGCCAAAAAATTACTTAATCTTCGTTTTCAAAATTTACAGAGAGAGGAGGGTTCGATAAACGATTTTCTTTCTCTGTTGGATTAGTTAGAGGATATTTTGAAGGATCAATCTATCATTAATTACATGAGAGGTAAGATTTACTTTAAGGGGATATTATGTGAGAAGAACATGTAAAAAGCGGTCGAATAATTTAGGTATTTGAATGAAATGAAAATAGAATAGGATCATGGAGAGGATGTCTAAAATGCAGAGCCTAATTAGAGAAGATCTTCAAGGACAAAGAGGAGTTGCCAACCAGTTCACAATAGTCATCACTTCAGAAACTCAACATCTAAGGAGGATTCATTGATTCAGTCAAACAGAGTGACTTAAGAAAAGCCTATCAGATACAGAAGGGCAAGGTTTCATAGAACAACAAATCAATTCCTTTTGAACAAGAGAATCAATCAACTCGATAGGATAGACATACCATAATGACGATAAGTATAGTTAAACCGAATGAAGTCAATGATCCAGACAGAAAACGAGGGGGCTCTGAATATAATAGTTTCAAAAGGGGAGAAAGCAGTGTCATGCTTTCCTAATTAAAACTACAGATTCAATCACCATAATAATAACAATAACAATCGTCTACTAGATTTGATCAACAACAATAATCATAATATGGATCTCCTCGCCAACCCTCTTTAATTAACATCTCTTCAAATTCTTCAAAGAAAGATCGCTTTAATTTTAGTAAATTACCTAGCCATCGATCTATTAATTCTTCGAAATATCTATTCAACTAACCTTGAATTTAGCATATTAACTCAAACTTTTATTATATTATATTTTATTAATAAAATGGAATCCCCCAAATAAAGATAAGAAAATGAGGAGCCCCAAAACGAAGTTCAATAACCACAGACACATCTCATTCAGTTTGATGTAGAAGAGACTAATGAACCACCAATAAAAAGACCAGCCCCAAAAACATTCGGAGATTTAACAATCATATTTATTTTCGAGACCATAGGGACTGGATTATTTGCATATGGCATAGTGGCATCTAATGGGTCTGATATATTGATTGCTGCTTATTTGTATGCGGCAATATTTTTAACTTGCAAATTTACAGGTGGCCATGTCAATCCAGCAGTATCATTTAGTTTCTATTGTGATGATACTATAAGTTCATGGACATTGAGAATCTATTGGGCAGCTCAATTATTGGGTGCAGTTGGAGGAGCTTGGATTGCATATTTAATATTGGGAGTAGTGACTTCTCCTAGTATTAAGAGTACAAACATTGAGTGGATGCTTGCTGATTTGTGCGGAGAAGTACTTGCATCATTCGAATTTAGGCCTTTGGAACCTTTATGTTTGTTCTATTCATACACATTCAAGTTCATGAATAAACTAGATAGACTAATAATGACATAGCAGGCATCGCTTGGATTGCATTGGCTCTATTCTTTTCTAGATAGTTGTCATCACATTCTGGAGGTATTTCATGCACTTCTATTTGAGGTTGTCTGAATCCAGCCATGGGTGTGGGATTGGAATTATTTGAAGCATTCTGGTTGAATGACACAACTAAATTAGCTAATTTTTGGGTGTTTCTATTTGCTCCGCTGTTTGGAGCATATATGGCATCAATTTTCTACAATTCAATATATTTGCCTTTATTAAAAAAATGAGACATATATAAATTTAATTATGGAGTAATATATTGATCACGAACTTACAATCCAACAATTCTTCAAGTAGCATCAATTGACCTCACCTCTACTTTCCCAACTCAAAAGGGAGTTCGGTATCATCAAGCATCCCACTTTTATTATGAATAATTTGCTCTAAGTAATCTTAATAGCAAATACTAGATCATCCAACACAAGAAACATTTAACATGTATTGAAGCACCGAAATAGAGTGGAAGAACTATGTCTTGCCTGTTAATTATTTTGGATTAATTTTTGAAATCTTTAGATCATTTCACTCCTGATGAAGAAGTAACAATTAAACACATTTATCATAGAATGGATATTATCTACTCATTACTTCAGCAAGCAGAGAACAATCAGCACATTGTAAAACCATAGTTCAAAAATTGCTAGACAACTATCCCTAAGAAATTGCCTTGCTTGACATTAATTCACAATTTCCTCTCAATGCAAAGAGTATCATCTTCAGTAAATATTCTTAGATGACCAATATAATATTGTATTGCCGCCTGTTACATAACCATCTATATTGTTTGCCACCTATTATTCTGTGAGTAAATTGAAGGCTAGTGGAAAGGTAGATAATAAATGCTTTTAATTTGCTCTATTTGATGATTGCAACCTAGCCACTCTCTATGGGGGATAACATTAATTGGAAACAGTTTCTAAGTGGATTTCCAAGAATTAATTCACAATTTATGTTGGAGACGAAAAATTGATTGAAGTTATTCTTGGAAAGGCAATTACAGTTGCTAAAATTGAAGAGGATTAGGAAGAATAGGAATAAGAAGATAGAGTAGTTTAATAAACAAAAAATGAATTGCCCAATTTGTTTTACTATTTCTATTCAGACTTTACTTAATAATAGATCGTCCTTTATATCACTTTGAAACTTAACCTTGTATAAGGAAAGACACTTATAATAGTTTAAAATTTGTTTGAGATTTATTATTTGCAATTACTTTTTTAGAGGTGTAATATTGAAAGATATCAAATTTATAATCACGAAAACCCAAAAACACTTAAGTATTATACTTTGTCAACTTTCAATACTGGAGTTATCTAAATACTTGTAGCTACTGCAAATGTCTTTTTAGATTTGGAGAATGAATTCTTTGAAAGAACCAAATAACAAACCAAAAAGTCCAAATAACCATATACTTTAAAGAAATTAGATAATATCATTTTATATAATTTATTGCCCAATGAATTGCCTGATTAAATTTTAAAATCTGTGAGCAATACTGTCTGTATAGCTTCAAATAATGAATAAAATGTTGAAACAGTAATGTAATACGTAAACGCTGAATATAATAATGTTAATTGCAAAGAATATCCAATAAAATAAAATGAAATTGAAGCATTCCGTTATCGTATAGAAGATACAACCAAAAATATATCTAAGTATTAGGTTAAAATGGCAGAGCAAATAGATTTCAAAAAGAAGATGATCAAGTCACCAGATCTAGTGGAGTACTTTTAGTAGAATTAGAAAGAGAAAGAATTGTTGTAGGATCAAATCGTATAATTAAAGAAGAAGTTAAATAGATCAGCAATATAATTGCCATAAGGTATCAATATGTAAAAATGTCTTAGGTCCTGTGCCTGAATATTTGTTACCTGAATTCATCAAGAAGTAAAGGAAGATGTAGGGAGATTAATCTAAGGTCAAGGTGCTTGTGAGAGTTCATGATTAAATGAATGATAAATTGATAAGGAAAAGAAGATTGTTGAATGATGAAATGAATAACAATATGTTGCCTGAGCAAGAAGAGAAACCTAGGACAAAGAAACCTGAAAATTAATATGTGACAATCAATTAAGAAGACGAAGATCCTGAATTAGTTGATTCATCTCGACTTAGACCCATAAGTGGTAAGAAAATATGGAAGATGAAACATGGGTTCAAATTGAAAAAGAGAAACAAGAGATTGGAAAAGAAAGGAGTCTTCACTACCTGAGTGTATATAAATTAATTTATTTAACAATTTTATAGAATATTTTATGATATATAAATGTTCATGAATAATTCATTAATCCTTTGGCTGATTTGTTAGAACTTCTTTGAATGAAAATGGCATAAATTTGATACCATCAGCCTTATAGAATTTACTTTAGAATTCCACCCATTACAATCTTAGAGCATGTAAGAAACATTCCATAAGATCCATGCACATTAAAACTATCATATATAAATTTATATACCTCCAATAGTGCAATGTAGAAATATAGGCCATCCAATGACTAAGACAATTACATTTCCATCAACAATTCCTGCACCTATGCATTTCTCAAAAAACACTTTAGCCAATTATCCATGTGCTAAAGACAAGGCCCATAAACGCAAATATGATGCAGTATTACTAATAGAACCAAGAACGAATTCGATAGTTTCAATAATTTAATGTACAGCCAGTTCTCCAATATCAAATTCCTCATGTCCATGTCCATGATCTCCACCACTTTTTTCTGGTTATTTAGGTAATAATTGTTATGGTTAATCTGAATGTTGATCATCTTCTCCTGCTTATTCTTTGAGTCTCTGTTCTTCCAATTGTTTCCTTCTTAATTCCTTCTCCTTTTCCTTTTAGATTAATTACAATCTTAGTTCCTCTGCCAAAGCACTTTAATTAATTGATTTTTAACTCTATAGCATAGGCAACAAAGCTTCCTTGCTTTCATCTTTAGGTTCAAGGGCTTTTGAAGGTTTCTTTTCATGTTTCTTCCCACTATAGTGTTGGATAACCTCGATAATTGGTTTTGGTAGAAGCATCCAAGGAATGCATAAGAATGACCAAAATAGAATAGATTATTAAAGAGATTCTTGAGACTCTAAGTCAAACAATGGTTTTCCTTCTGTGGAACCTCCTTGTAGAGGGATATTGATCATTGCATTGATGATTGATGGAGCCTTATCAGTTCTACCTTCCCAACTCTATCCCCATTTCAACATGATCATTATTGCCATATAACCAAAAGTAATGCACATAAATATCATTTGTGGAAGGAATTCACAAATAAAAGATAAGTAATCTTTGAAATATAGATTGTTGACTCCTTTTAAGAGAATACCAAAAATCATTTGAGAGACTCCATAAATGATTGCAAACTTCATCTTGAAAGAATTGAAGAAGTTCAATTCATTGCTTGCTATATACCATTTAGGATCAAATCCAATAGGGTAAGTACATCCTTGAATATAAACAGTTTCTTCAGAATCAGGGACATTTTCAAAGCAACTTCCAAAGATGTTCCAAGTCAAAGACATGAAGTCGTTATAAATAATACCACAGTAGAGTGCACACAAACCCATCAATAGGAATAAGTATCTGACCTAAACTAAACCAGCAAAATCGGGTAATTTTTTTAAAGTGTCTGCATTTTTGACTAAAAGGAATGCCAAAACAAACAGAACACCTCCATGACCAATATCTCCAAACATAATACCAAACATGAAGGGGAAAAACATAACAGCAAACATTCCAGGGTTGACTTCCTTATATCTGGGGATTCCGTAAGTGTTAACAATTTCTTGGAATACATTATTGAATTCATTTATCTTAAAGTAAGTGGGTGTAAGAACTTTCTCAGGTGGTTCTAATTCAATAATTTATCCAACTGAAACGTTGCTTTAAGAGACACTCAATTGGTGTAACATGTGATGTAATTCAGCTTCTACATGTTTGGGTGCCCAAAAGAACCCTATATAAATTCTTTCTTTCTGATAAAGGTAATTTAGATTGGTATATAGTGCTTTCTCTTTTACCATTAACAACTTACTCATTTCCAACAATGATATTTTCAATTATGGTTATATTTAAGCATATTCCAATAATAATTCCTTTATCTTACCAGTTGTCAATCTCAATAACTAAAAGTTAAATGGCATCATACATTGTCGCATTCATCCAAAGAACGATCCAATTCTAATGTTTTTTAGACTAAGAGTTAAGGGTCATCTGGAAGTACGAATTTGGCACAATTAAATGAATCACAAATTTTGTTGAGTTTGGCTCTCAAAAAATCTTATCCTCCTCCTGTATACACAATCAGAAACACTGTTCTTTGCTTTTCCAAATTTTTAGCAGCTGACTTATCCGAATCCAAGTTCCCTGATTCTAATGAGGCATCAATTCTTGAATATTCTATATCAGACAACACAATCCATGCATTTCCTTTGGAAGCTCTGAACACCATTCTTTTAAAACGATTGGCTTCCAATCTGTCAACCACTCCCACCAAATAATTTAGATTGTAAACTATTGTCATTATAACATACAATTTATACGTGGTTGTGCTACTTTTTGTTGATCTGGCACACCACCTATCTGTGGATTTATAGCCACATTCCTACCTTTCGTGTAATAGGTTGGACCCAATACTTCCTTTGATTTTATCAAAACTGCCTTGTGTTCAAACAAAGTGTTTTTACGAACAGAGATTTGCTCCAAATTCTGAATCTGCTCAATCAATTAAGCTTTGAGATAAGACCAATTATTACAATATTTTTCATCCAAAGTACTCTCAATTAGATCAAACCATTTATCTTCACTTTAGTTTATATCCTTAGTATATTAAGACATTTTTTCTAAGAATTATTAATAATCAGAGCATTTCAGATTCTTTATTTTGTACTTCAACATCTCAACTTCCAATACATTTAACTTACTAATAACTTCATCTGCCCTTCGGATGTATTGATAAAAAGGGCGATTCACATGGGGCTCATCTGGTGACATATCCACCACTTAGACCTTAAATATAGATTCCATTCCCTACCATACTCAATTTTCCCATCTCATTGAACACATTCCATGCACTTTCCTTAGGTACTATTACCTAATAATATGCCATCGTCTCTGATCTAAAGAAACTCATTAATAAGATATAAATAATATTTATGTTAATTTAAGAAGCATTAATAAATTATTTAAAAAACAGAACCATATCAATCTTATTATTTAATTGACCCTCCCACTCCAATTTTATAACTTCAGATTCACTTCTATATAACTGAATATCATATAATTATAAACAATCTTAAGAAAATTAACATTCTTAATTAATTTCCTATGTAATTATTTCCCACCAATTTCAATTAGTCATTCCGATTATTTTTCATCTTCCCCGAAAATTTCCGTTACTTTTGTTATTTCTGAATGAACTTCAAGACCCCTAATTCAACCACAATGGAAGCATTATTCTTTAAAAATACATTAATAAATTAGAACACCTTAGAAAGCAGAAAACACTTAAAATTCAAATTTCTTTGATAAGATGCTAAATAACCAACTTAATTGGTAACACAATTGAAGGTTTCCCTTAAAAGAATTATGAAATCAAAGATGATACAAAATAATAACATTCTTTAAAGTTTTTTTGAAGATGTTGTATATTTTAAGATAAGTTTCAAGGTTTCTTTTTTTTGATTGATAATATATTATTAAACTCAAAGGAAAAAGTGATATAAAACGATAATAACTTATAGACAGTTTGGATGAAAATGGTGAAGAAATCAATATTTACCAATCTGAAATAAAGAATAATAATTAATAAAGAAAATATAAATTAATTAAAGAATTTAATTAATGGAGGAATCCAAGTTAAGAATTGCCATCATCAATAAAGACAGATGTAAACCGTAGCGTTGTGCTTTGGAATGCAAGAAGAATTGCCCTATTAATAAGAGTGAGAAATTGTGTATAGAGGTTACAAAGTAAAGCAAAACATGCACAATAAATGAATCATTATGCATTGGATGTGCCATTTGTGTAAAGAAATGCCCATTCAAAGCAATCATGATTATCAATTTACCCAAAGATTTATCTAAAGAATTGACTCATTAATACGGAGCTAACTCATTCAAATTGCATAGATTGCCAACACCTCGACCAGGATAAGTTTTAGGATTAGTTGGAACCAATGGTATTGGAAAGTCAACTGCATTGTAAATTCTAAGTGGAAAAGTGCAACCTAACTTGGGTTTATATAAAGAGCCACCTACAGCCGAATAGATCTTAAAGTATTTTAGGGGTAGTGAATTACAGAGCTATTTGCAAAAAGTATTTGAGGGTAAGGTCAAGGCTGTAATTAAACCATAATATGTGGATTCTATTGGTAAAGCAGTCAAAGGGAAAGTTGGAGATGTCATTAAGAATAAGGATAAATTGAATAGAGCAGATTAATTGTTAAAGGATTTAGAATTGAATCATTTATTGGATAGAGAAATCAGTATGTTGTCAGGAGGTGAATTGTAAAGATTTGCAATTTTGATGGCTTGTATTTCAGAAAGTGATTGTTTAATGCTTGATGAACCAACATCTTATTTAGATATCAAATAAAGAGTGGTTGCATCTAGAATAATTAGAAACCAAGTGAGAGATAACAACTATCTCATTGTTGTTGAACATGATCTATCCATTTTAGATTATCTATCAGACTTTATTTGTTGTCTTTATGGTGAATAAACAGCTTATGGTATAGTGACAATGCCTTTTTCAGTAAGAGAAGGTATCAATATATTCTTGGCTGGATTTGTACCAACTGAAAATATGAGATTCAGAGACTACGAATTAAATTTCAAGATCTCAGATAATTTAGATATGTTGGAGAATCAGAAACAAAAGAAAAACTATCAATATCCTGACATGAAGAAGGTGTAAGGAGAATNTAACCAACTTAATTGGTAACACAATTGAAGGTTTCCCTTAAAAGAATTATGAAATCAAAGATGATACAAAATAATAACATTCTTTAAAGTTTTTTTGAAGATGTTGTATATTTTAAGATAAGTTTCAAGGTTTCTTTTTTTTGATTGATAATATATTATTAAACTCAAAGGAAAAAGTGATATAAAACGATAATAACTTATAGACAGTTTGGATGAAAATGGTGAAGAAATCAATATTTACCAATCTGAAATAAAGAATAATAATTAATAAAGAAAATATAAATTAATTAAAGAATTTAATTAATGGAGGAATCCAAGTTAAGAATTGCCATCATCAATAAAGACAGATGTAAACCGTAGCGTTGTGCTTTGGAATGCAAGAAGAATTGCCCTATTAATAAGAGTGAGAAATTGTGTATAGAGGTTACAAAGTAAAGCAAAACATGCACAATAAATGAATCATTATGCATTGGATGTGCCATTTGTGTAAAGAAATGCCCATTCAAAGCAATCATGATTATCAATTTACCCAAAGATTTATCTAAAGAATTGACTCATTAATACGGAGCTAACTCATTCAAATTGCATAGATTGCCAACACCTCGACCAGGATAAGTTTTAGGATTAGTTGGAACCAATGGTATTGGAAAGTCAACTGCATTGTAAATTCTAAGTGGAAAAGTGCAACCTAACTTGGGTTTATATAAAGAGCCACCTACAGCCGAATAGATCTTAAAGTATTTTAGGGGTAGTGAATTACAGAGCTATTTGCAAAAAGTATTTGAGGGTAAGGTCAAGGCTGTAATTAAACCATAATATGTGGATTCTATTGGTAAAGCAGTCAAAGGGAAAGTTGGAGATGTCATTAAGAATAAGGATAAATTGAATAGAGCAGATTAATTGTTAAAGGATTTAGAATTGAATCATTTATTGGATAGAGAAATCAGTATGTTGTCAGGAGGTGAATTGTAAAGATTTGCAATTTTGATGGCTTGTATTTCAGAAAGTGATTGTTTAATGCTTGATGAACCAACATCTTATTTAGATATCAAATAAAGAGTGGTTGCATCTAGAATAATTAGAAATCAAGTGAGAGATAACAACTATCTCATTGTTGTTGAACATGATCTATCCATTTTAGATTATCTATCAGACTTTATTTGTTGTCTTTATGGTGAATAAACAGCTTATGGTATAGTGACAATGCCTTTTTCAGTAAGAGAAGGTATCAATATATTCTTGGCTGGATTTGTACCAACTGAAAATATGAGATTCAGAGACTACGAATTAAATTTCAAGATCTCAGATAATTTAGATATGTTGGAGAATCAGAAACAAAAGAAAAACTATCAATATCCTGACATGAAGAAGGTGTAAGGAGAATTTTCATTGTAAATCAAAGCAGGAGGTTTCAATAATTCAGAAATTGTTGTCTTATTGGGAGAAAATGGAACTGGAAAAACTACATTCATCAAGATGTTGGCAGGAAAGGACAAAGATGCAGTTGATGTCCCCAGATTGAGTGTCAGTTACAAACCATAAATGATTGCACCAACATTCGATGGAACTGTTTAAGAGTTATTTAGATCTAAATTACAGGATAGTCATAGAAACCCTTAATTCCAAACTGATGTATATAAGCCATTGAGAATTGAAGACTTGGAAGATAATGAGGTTAAGAAATTGTCAGGAGGTGAATTGCAAAGAGTTGCTTTGATTCTTGCATTAGGTAAACCAGCTGAGGTTTATTTATTGGATGAACCCTCAGCCTATTTAGATGCAGAATAGAGAGTTGCCACATCTAAGTTAATTAAGAGATATATTATGAATACTAAAAGAGCAGGATTCGTTGTTGAACATGATTTCATTATGGCTACCTATTTGGCAGATAAGTAATACATTTATTCTATATCTCAAGAGTCGTAGTCTATGATGGTGTTCCAGGCAAAGCATGTGTTGCTAATGCACCTGAAGATTTATTGACAGGAATGAACAAGTTCTTGAATGTGCTTAATATTACATTTAGAAGAGGTATACTCACTCTTATTAATGTTTAGATCCAACCAACTTTAGACCAAGAATCAATAAAATGGATTCTATTTTGGATAGAGAGTAGAAACAAAGTGGTAACTATTTCTGTTTAGATGAATGAAAATTCTTATTAAATTTACATAAATTATAAGTATATATTAATATGTAAGTTGGACTCAACAAGTTTGGATTTTCTTTTGATAAAAAAATTGGGAGTGGTTCTTTTGGATAAATCTTTTTAGGTACAACTTATTGAATAATCATTAAGGAACAAACAAATAAAATGGATAGGATGTTGCTATTAAATTAGTATGACAATTTTTATACATCTAGGAAGCTATCGCCAATAAACATCCATAACTAATCTTCGAGGGCAAGATCTACAAAGTATTGCAAGGAGGAAGTATGTTGATTAAATATATATGAAGTGGGGATTCCATAATCTTATTGGGTTGGAAGTGAAGGAGAATACAATATACTAGTGATGGAACTACTTGGTCCCAACTTAGAAGATCTGTTTAATTAGTGCAAAAGGCACTTTTCATTAAAAACAGTTTTAATGATTGCCTAATAAATGCTTTCACGAATTGAATTTATTCATAGCAAAAATCTAATTCATAGAGATATCAAACCTGACAATTTCCTAATTGGATTAAACTAAAAGAATGATTTAATTTATATCATTGACTTTGGACTTTCTAAGAAATATCGAGATTAGAGGACTAGTATTTATATTTTGTAATGTTTTAGATCTCCATATACCCTATAGAGAAGGTAAAAGTTTGACAGGAACAGCTAGATATGCAAGTGTGAATACACATTTAGGAGTTGAACAGAGTAGAAGAGATGATTTAGAAGCTATTGGATATGTTCTAGTTTATTTCATAAACGGTTAATTACCTTGGTAAGGTTTAAAAACAGATAATAAGAAAGATAAGTATGAAAAAATTGCTGAATCTAAAATTGCTACATCAATCGAAAAATTATGTGATGGATTACCTGAAGAGTTTTCCATTTATTTTAATTATTGTAAAAGCTTAAAATTCGAAGAGAGACCTGATTATGTTTGGTTAAAGAAATTATTTAAAGATCTTTATACAAGAATGAAATATCCAAACGATAACGTTTTTGATTGGACTAAATTATGATTATTCAATTTATTTATTAGAGTTATTTCAAGGTTGAAATATTTATTTATTATCAAAAAATCTACTTTAATATAATGAACTCTTTAGATGTATTTTTTAATAATAAAAAGATAAATATATTATCGTAATTATTAAGGTTTGCGATGATCACTGGTGCTTAAATAATTATATTATAATTAATTTTCCATTAAATATAACTCATAATAATCCACTTTGTAATGTTGATTTCAATGTTAATAATGAATTTATTTACTCTTATTTTTGTTTATATTAAACTTATAGTTTTTAATACTAAAACTTAGACTAATTGATTACCTCTTTCGCTTATTCTACAATGTAAATGTCAGACTTTTCGCACTTTCTTTAACAAGCTTAGGATTTCTAATCTAAACTTCTGCATTATTGTGCAAGCTAAAGATAAAATGGGAAAGTACTTTTTCTGTTTCGTTTTTATATAAACCAAATTATTGATTTGTTTTCTCAAGAACTTATTAGAATTCCTCTGCTTTTTAGAGATGTGGATTCAAATGAGCATCTACTAATGCTTCTTCTTCTTTTATTTTTTATAATAGATCCTCTGAATTATCGGTTGTTCCCAGAGATTAGCTTATGTTATTGATTTATTCAAATATTTTGGTTTCTCTTTCTTTTCTTTATGAATCTTTAAAATAAGTATTATTTAATATTACCTAATTTATTCAATTCTTCATCAAAGATTTTATCTCTTTTTTCAACATGTTCTTAAATTTCTTTCATTTTTTCTTTCAAAGCTTCATTCTCAGCTTAACTTTTATGTTTGGCATTAGAAACCTCTTCCATTTTGGTGGAGATGTCTTTGATCTCTTATTGGAATCCTTCAACTAATTCTGTTTTCTTTTATTTTTCTTCTTCGACTACTTTGCTGTATTTTTCTTAATATTCGTTTAATTGATTGGTTTGAGTATTCCTGAAGGCCTCTAAGGTTTTAATTTAATTCTTTAATTTTGAATTTTCATTAAACACTTTTTTATTAGAATTAAAAATATACCCTTTTCTTTTTCTTAAGAAGCTATCTCAAATTTCTTCGCAGAGAGTAATGCGTCTTTATTTGCTGTTTTACTTTCATTAATGATTTTTTTTAATTTATTAATCAAAGCTGTCTTGTCCTCCAAGCTATCGAGTTGACTCTTAGAAATTTTAGATTGTCTGGCAATTTTTTTGAATTCATCATCCCCTTTGAATCGTTGATGGAATTCTTCTAAGTTTTACTCTACAATAACTTATATCATTTTACATGTATACAATCCTTTGATTTGAGCAAAGAGATCAAAAACTGTGGGATTCATATATATAATTTTTGAAATTTTTATTATCCAAAATTAAACAAAAAATTCAAAAACAAAAATTATATATATACTTTAATCAGAACTGGCGAAGATTGTCGACATCTTAATTTACGAAGTCGGAATACTTGATCATCATATATACTATAAATTTGTGATTTCCTTTTTATAGAATTAAGAATTCAATACCCAGATTGTGGGTTTTAATTAATTTAAAATAAACTCAACTCAACAATGGTATTCTATGTCTCTCATTATAGTAAATTGGCGATGATCAATTAGACGTCCAACACTCCATCCCAGACCTCGACAACGTGAACATCAAACTAGGAGACGACGAAAAGAAAGTTAATCAAATCTCCTCCAATACCGTCTCCCAAGTTCAATAACCTCCATCACATGTTGCCATACCCATTTAACCACTCCCTCCTAAAACAGCAGATCCCTCATTTCTTTCATAGTTGTTTCATTGTCTATTTAAGGGCCTCGCCATCTTCGTGTAAGATAAGCTTTAAAATTAGGTTCTTCATTCCAGAAGGCTTATTAAATCTTACCTATTGTTTTATAATTGTCGTGATTTTGTCAGCAATTGATTTTTGGACAGTCAAGAACATCACAGGAAGGTAGCTCTCAAAATTATGTTAGAAAACTGGTTGGTTTAAGATGGTGGTCAGAAGTAAAAGAAGATGGATCTGAAGAATGGATCTATGAGTGTTAAGTAGCCAATTTTATTCCAAATCCATTCAATTCAAATATCTTTTGGTTTGCCTAATTCGGAGTAGTCCTAACATGGGGAATTTTAATCTTATTAGATTTGATCGGATTAAGATGGTTTAATGTAAAATTTAAAATTAAAATAGGCTGTCTTAGCTATGACAGCATTTTGTTTGACTGGAATCAACTTTGTAGGATTCTATAAGTGCAGAGGAGAACATCAAAAGAAAGCTAAGGAATACATGACTAAAATAGGTTTGAAGGCTATTTAACAATGGTGAAATTATAATTATAATAACTGAATACTTTTCATTCAAGTATTTGTTATATCTGTTAAATTAAATTCAAAAAATATTGATATATTTCTGTAGTAAGTATTTATCTTAGATCTTACAATTGTATTTTATTCATTAATTCCCTTAATTGTTCAATATTTATTTTATTCTATTTTAAATCAATTTATAACCTAATTCTATTTGATAACAATTCATAATTTGTTAAATCGTAAAGTTATATGGTATTTATCATTTATTTCTCTGCTTTGTTTAAGTTTCAGGTTATTGTTATAATTAATAAATCTATATTCTATGAGTTTTTATAATTCTCTCTATTTTCTAGATTTTTAGATTTAATTTAAATACAAAAAAGAATATAGATTTATTATATTTATAAATGTAATAGAATATAAACTAATAAGTAATTTTATAATTTAATTGATGATATTAAATCTTCAAATATCATTTGTAATGGGAATAAATACATTGAATTTTGTGTGAGTATGGCTTTTTATGATCTAAGATGTCTAAATATATGAAGAGATGAGCATATGAATCCAATTAGAAATAAACTTAGTTTCCTTGTCTAAGAGATGGAGTACAATTAATAGTTAAATTATCTAAAATAAATGTTAGTTTCTCCTCATATGTGTTTTGAGTATTATTTAAATATAGGATTATGACACCTTTGAAAATAGTGATCATTTATACCTTCTTAATGTTGATAAATATACATCTAAACATCAATTGGATTATTATTCCACATTCTTGTGGCTTGCTTAGCATTCTCCTTCATATAAGTGATTAATTCTAAGGAAGGATTATTTGTGATGCTTTCAAAAATAGATTATCTGTTGTTAACCTTACTCAAATTCATAGACTGAGTCATTAATGTTTTTTTAGTTGAATGCACAAGGGACTTGATATTACATGAGTATTGGAAGATAGGCTAATCCTCATTAAAAATTACAAAGGGATCATAAACATACAATTTGAGATATTCATTATGAGGGGGAACAATTACATTGAATTTATTTTGTGTCTTCATTGTTTCGAAGTCAATAATATTTTCACATTTATCAAATACTACTTCCTCCTCTATTTTTGTAGTCCCCATATTGTTATAGTAAAAGTATAACATCCCTAGATTCATTTAAGTAGTAACTTATATTTCAGGTTATTCCAATTATTCATATGTCCTCGTATTTTCCTCATTTACATTAGCCATAGCTAAGCTGGCCAACATTAATTTACTTGATTCAAGGATTTCTGTTGTATTTGCTATCAGATTATCTGGAACTGAAGATCCAAAAAATTAAACAAACAATCTTTATTGTTCCTAATGTAATTTTGGATTATTCTCTATCTGATTATAAAAATAGCCTTAACAAAAGAGTGTATATTATCCTTAACCTAATGATTAAATTTCCAAAGAGATATTTTATTTTATGTTGTAATCTCCAGTTTAAAATTCAAATTTATCATCATTCTTCTTGGAAATCAAAATTCGAATTAACCCATACTTAATTGGAGATACCAATTAATTAGAATTGAAATTTTAATCTCTTTAGCAAATTGAAATGTAAAGATGACAATCTTAAACTATATCAAAATCATAACAATATGTATTTTCTACATATTACTAGAATTCCCTCTTTTATTCTACGATCAATTCTTTAGAACTCCATTAATAATTAGGATGATGTTGGATTATACATAATTCTGGAAATATCTCTGAAAATTGCTTGAATGTTAAAAAAAATACGCATTTATCATTTTAGATTAACTATTCTAAATAAATTAAGATTTATTACATCCTGAAATGACTGAATTTCTATTTGCCGCTCTCATCTAAATCAATTCCTATTCTTTGATATTCCCTTTAACAATTGCTTGAATCACATAACCACACTCCAAACCGTTTTGCTTTTGAACAGCAAACAATAAAGAATGATTTTACATTTGTGATATGATAACATTTTTCAAATTACTAATATCATCTGTACTTATCTTCATTATGGGCTATCCAATTAGCATCTAATTTTAAATAAAAAATTACAAACATGAACGCTTCTATTGATTCCTCTATTAATCTATTCAAAATATCATAATTCTTTCCCAATACCTTTACAATCGCTTTCTCTATAATAATTGGCCATTCGCATTCACTTTCTAAAGTGGCTAGCTTCTAGATATTCCCAGTTAAATAAGATGGTATTTTTTCATCAATTTTAATTAAATGCCATTCTCCTTACAAATTTAGCCAAACTCCATAAAGAGAGTTTAAATTTAGATAAATATTCTTGACAAATTGAATATCCTTCTAAAGAATATTAAATGCATTGATGAGAGAATTATCTTGATAATATTAAGACCTTTTGAATTCAGAACATGGTTAAATATTCTTGTTTAATCCAAAAGACCCTATTCTCAAGTATTGAATTTGACTGTTTTAATCAGTGTAATCAAACTCGCTATCAATAAATGTTTATCTCTCATTTCCTATTTGATTAAATTTATAATAATCCTCCTTGTATTTATTGGGTAATCGTTGCAACATTTAATTAATATTATTATTAATAATAAAAATTGAATTTGAGATGACACTCTTAGGACTCCTTCAGAGACTATATTGTCAATAATTTGTTAGTTACTTGTCTGATCTATTCAAATATATATATATATATATAATCAATCATCAAAATTATCAATAAAGTTGTAGTTAAGCTTTTCAATTTGTTAATTTAATTTACTTTCAAATTAAGGCTATCCAATATGATCAATACTCTCAATAATCTCAAAGATTATTTCACTAAAATCCAAAATGCATTCTTTCCATTATTTGTACATTTTATAGATTACAATATGATTCTTATATTTCTTCATCTGTTTTTCAATAGATTAAGTATCTTTTTACACTATTTCCATATATTTTTAAGCAATCAAATTAAGTACTTATATAAGAATAGATTTCCCATAAGGTATTGCATATTCGCATTTCAATTCTTTCTCTATTATATTCAACAAATCGTTTTTCAAACATTCCAACTAATCCAAATAATCTAAGATTCCAATATTATGTCGAATAGATTTTAAAGTTGCAAAGTCTTTCTCAAATCCTTACAAACTCTTGTTATCTCTTGTCACTAAAAAAGTAACTAATAGTTTTTATAAGATGTCACTAACATAAATATTATATTTTACTGTTAAGAATCTGTTAGCATCGTAACTAGATCAATTAAAATATTAGTTTTCTAAACTACGCTATCTGTTTGTGATTTCAATGGAGGTAATAACTTTAATATTGAATATTTATTACAGAGCATGATTCTAAAAATTTATCGATTTAAGATTCTATCACTTATGTAGTAGGCTGCTGTGTTTCAATAAAACTATTTTTGCTTTTCAATTTTGTATTTTATTCTTATTCAAATTTTTGTATAGTTTCTGTTTATTGTTCTAATTAGGTGATAGCTTTATCAAGCATTTTCACAGTTTCCTCATGTTCTTTAGATAGTTCATTTAACTATTCAATTAACAATTAATTTTCCTTCTCTAATGACTCCATCTTACTCACGTTACTGTTATTTTTTGTTTATTTTTTAGGATTTTACAATAATGTAACTAATTATTAAGATTATTAAGATGTCTACAGTTATTATTACTATTGAGTTTAAAGTAAATCTATTTTCTGCTATAATTTTACATTCTGATGTTCTAAGGACATTTTCTCTTCGTCTTTAGCTATCAGACTAGACTAATAACTTGATAATAGCTTTTGCATATTTTCATTAACAGGTTCTAGAATGTTGATATCTAAGACCTCAATTTTATTAATATCTTCAACATCGTTATTGTTATTAGTATTTTAATAATTCTTAATCATAGTCAATAGTTATTCAATGTATGATTACTATGTTTTAGTTTATTAGGCTAAATTTAAATAGGCCTATAAAGTATTATAAATTATATACTTGATATATGATATTTCTCTCAACATTTATATCTTATATTTTATTTTACATGATTTCAAAATACTATCTCATATAATTAACTTGAACAATAAATTCTGAAAGTTACTCATTTGAAATAGTATTCTATAACTTAGTATAAATTTCATTTATATATTTACTTTATCTCAAGATAATATCATAGATATGTGATTCATCCTTTTATTCTTCTTTATATTACTAAGCCATTTGATGAGTTTAATTAAGATCTTTGGATGATGTGTTATTCTTTGAAGCTTTATTTTTATTGACTTACTTGATTATATTTTTATCGGATTAAATAAATAAGTTTTCTGTGAATTTTTTTAAATTTTCAATGTCCTACTTATAGATTGTACTGAAATTATCTGTGTTTTCTTTTTGATTATTAAGATATGAATTTAACTGTTACAATTCCTATTCTTTTTGTTCCAAAATTTCCATTACTTAATTGATTGCTAATTGTTGTTGTTAACTCTACTTATAAAGTAATTCTAAATCATTTTGTTTTTCTTCATTTTACTATTAAAGCAATTTAATATTTTCATTTAATTCAATTATTGTATTGTTATAATTCAATTCTTATTGAGCCCACAAGGTTTAGAATTTCTCTATTTTTTCCTTTTAATTTACATTAATCTGCTTTTATCTAATTTCACATTTTTTAATGGTATCAATATTATTGCTCTCTTTTTAAAGCGCTAACTTTTCCTTTTCAAGTATTTTATTTTATGAATTCAAATATTCATTTTCATATTTCAATCTTATAATCTCTTTTTATTGGGTTTCAATCTTGTATTAGGGAGCATTCTTACTTCTGCTGTCAGTGTTTCGATAACTTTAGTGGCCTTCTCGATCTATTCATCCTAGTCTTCGATTTATTAATATAAGTAATTGATGTTCATTTATTATTATATATACTAATTCAAATATCAAACCTAATTGTTTGATTAAAATACTTATATATGTTTTTATCATTTCAGATAACTAGCGAATAAGGATTTATAAACACGATTTCTCGATTATCTTTGAAATATTATCCTCTTGCAAAAGGAACTATTTTCATAACTAATTATTTTCTGCAATTAACCGATTTTCAATAATAAAGAATAGTAGTATAAAGTTTAAAATTGTTAAGATTTTGAATTAATGTAAACTTAAATTTTAAGAGATCTTTATAATTCTAAAAATATTTATCACAACATCTTATAAACTTCAGAGTGTACTGCATAGAACTTAATAGAAGTTGATATTTCTAACTTGACTAAAAATCAATTATTCTATCTTAAAACTATAATAAAAGAACTAAAACAACTAGAAATCTATAGAATACTAATAAGTTATTAGTCTTTGAATGTTTTTATTCAAATCTTAAATAATATCAAGGGTTATTGAAGAAATATTAAGAGTAGAGGACTTCTAAACTATAATTCATTATCTTAATAATATTGTTTTGCGATTATTAAGATAGGTTCTATACATTAAAAAGAATTAATGACTATTACTTTTGTGAAGAGTAGTTTAAGATGTAATTTAGATATCAAATGAATTTGTTTGATAATAATACTGTAAATTAACTTATTTAGGTATAGATTTTGAATCATTGTATTTGAAAGGTGATAAATAGTATACATCTAAATAGCTCTTAAATAACCTAATAGAGATTATTTCCATTTTTCATTTTTATTAATTTAATTATAATGAATCAAGAGAAAACAGTTGAGGAACCATTACTTAGTTAAGCCAAGATGAATGAGTACAAGGAGAGGGAATTCAGAGAATATTTGGTCAATCAGGATGTTACACTAGCGATTGTTAAATGTTAGCTTATTCATGATTAATTGTTTCTAGTTCTCCTTGCTTTGAGAAATGCACCAAATAAGCCTGATTCTCCCAGTCAAGCACTTATTGATTATTTCAGCATACACAAGGATACAAGGGCTCATGAAGAATTCGAAAAACTGAGAAGTGATGTCGAACAATTAGAGCAAGGTTATTGATGCTTATAACTGTATAGAGAATAGTCAATTGGCAAAGGAGATTGATTCTATAAAGGAGCAGATTGTATAGTAGAAATTAGAAAAACAGCGTAGAGAAGAAGAGGAAAGAGTGCGTTAGGAAGAGGAAGCGAAAAAGAATACAAAGAAACCTGCAAAAAAATGATTAATACATGTATTGTTATATAAATATTAATATTTTTGAATTCAAATAAATGCACGAGAATGTAGGACCAAGAGTTTTTGGAAAAAATCTTGATAATCAAGCAGAGAAGGCATCAAAGAATCTTAAAAGCAAAAAAGATACGACACTTGATGAATTGGGAGGGAAGGAAAATCTCATAAATGATGCAATTTGGACAAAGGAGGGTTTGAGTAAATTGGACTCTCCTTAGCTTGTTAGCTTGTATTAACAAGAAATCTATGAATTTTTATATGAAAAGGAAAAAAGTATGGGGGAACCCAATTTCCAAATGGCTTCCACAAAAATAAATGATACAGTGAGGGCCACAACAGTAAACTATTGTATTAAGTATAGGTTAGATACATAGTGAAACTAGTTAGATGCTTCAATTTAAAGCCTGAGACACTCTTTTAGACTGTTGATTTGATGGATTAAACAATCCCGCTCCTAAATCCAGAAATAGGGGAGTTGGAGCTTGTTTCATTAACATGTCTTTTTATTGCATCTAAATACGAAGAAATATATCCACCTCCCTTGGCAGCACTGTTAAGAGCTACAGACATTAAAGCCAAGGATGTTATTGAGATGGAAAAAGAAATACTTAATAAGTTAAATTTCAATGTCATCAGTGATAATACTTTGGTGTGGTTGCAATTAATAGGAGAAATGTTAGGGTACAACTGCAAATACTCAGATTAAATAAAGCAAAGATGTATGTAAGTTTAATTCTCATTTTATTAGGAGTTTAGCAGAGACAAGTTTAACTTCTTCATTGTTTTTAAATCACAAAAAATCAGCAATCGCTTTGAACATATTTATGGCTGTGGAAATCAATTTAGGTTGTCAAAAAACATAATTTAAATGGGAAAGACTAACCTAACATTAGAAACCAAGCAATGAATCAAAAACACTCAAGTTACTGACTTATATTTTGAAAATCAAATGAATTTACTTATTTAACTTTTTAATAAATCTAATTTCATAAATTCAATCATCATTGCTTTTTCTTCTTTTGAGTTTACTTCACTGATTGGGTTTATTGGGGGAGAATATATAAAATACAGATAACACGAGCTAATAAAATAATAGAATTCTATAAATGTATAAATGAATGACTTAGTGAAGATCCCATATTAGGTGATCCTTTTCATGATTATCTTAGATGGATCAGAATTCACTATAATACTAATAAATTAATATGTACAGTCTTCAACAGGATCATCCTTGTCCTCGAATAAAAGGTCCGTCATAACAATGTTTTCTTTAACACAATACTATTCATTCACATCATAATTCGCTGGTAGATAGTTATATCTAATATTTGTCTCAGGAATTTAGGAGTTCTTCAATAACAGGATCATATATAATAAAAATGGAATAGCTATTCTCGATAATAATTGATATGCCACAATAACAAATCCTCTTAGCAATCCCTCAACCCTTCTCTTTACAGAATCATATTACTCTGGTTAATCTTTTAGTAACATAATCCAATCTTAACCTTTGGCCATATGTTTATCCATCTCCATTTTGTAGTCAGTATTAATAAAATGGTAATTACTATGATTGCCAAAAATTGGAAATGAAATACATAATTCAAGTTTTAAATTAATGGTTTAATATACAGAGCTACATAAAGTATATGTACAATTAATTAACTAGCAACTAAGTAAAAAAACTTCGACTATGATTTGTCTGTGGTTAAACTATTCTTTAATTCAGTGAAACAATTACCAAATCTGATTAGAATTGGTAATATGCAAAATATTATTATTGAAACCATCAGAACCAACACAATTACAAATATATCTCCAAATTACCCCATAAATGACCAAACTACTGGTTGAATAAGAGTTCTAAGTACAATTTCAAGATGAACAGCTTATCTTTAAAATTCGTGTCCATTTTAATATTTAAGAAATCTTTGAATCCCAATTTGATAAAGATTGTAATCACAATAGAGATATCATTTGAAAAAGGAACTTATAAAAAATGCTATGCTTAACTTGGCAACATTTTGATTTAAACCAAAGTCTTAATTTCTTATATTTACTCTCTTTGAGATCCTCCATCAGGTGATAAAATAGAGTTACGCCATGACATGGGAACAGTAAATTTGGAAATTTCTTCTTTAACTTGAATATTCCAAAGGCTAAACCAGAAAAAACTACTATTTCAATTGGAAAAAGAAGTAAATCAAATTATTCACTCATATACAAGTAATTATAACTAAATCAAAGAATAAAGTAAAATATGCGTACAATAATTCTAATTTTAACAACTATTTTAAATATAATGAAGTGATTTTAAAATTGAATATTCTATAATTTATAACTAAATTGAATAATTCTATTTAACTTCCATTTTTTTGTTTGTAAATTATTATTTTATGCGATAGTGGTTAACATTTTTTGAGATTATTTATTTTCATAAAATGTTTCGTTTATCAAAAATCATTATAGAATACTTAATAGAAACCATATCTTATTTTTAAAATTAATTGGCCATTAACATTAATAAAATTTAAATTTGTATTTTGTCTTTATTAAAGACGATCCTATCTCTAATTTTCAAAAACAATTTAAGTTATGAATACAAGCTTCTCAATAATATAATTGAATAAACACTTTATAACCTCCAAGATCAAGACCTCTCTTATAATAAATTATTAATTATAAGTAAATCATGTAAAGTCATGATTATCAAATTCATCAAGAATTCAACTTATTAATTTGTTATTAATGAAATTCAAGATAAACATTCCTCTTCTCTTAACCTTTTGAAAAATTAATACAATCCAGAATTTTCAAGGTATCATATTTTATTAAATAATTACATAACTCCCATATAGAAGTTACTCAATAAAACTAAGAAAATGGAATCCCAAGAATTAAAACACAGCTCAAACACTGAAATTCCTACTTAATACTTCCTATTCAAAAGAATACGAACAATGAATCTTTTCAATAAAATTTTGCATATCTTATATAATGTTAAGTTAAAAATATTTCAAAACATAATTTACTTGTTTGCACAAAAAATCTGTGCTTAGATTTTATTTATATTTTAAGAAAGAATTTTATTATTATTTGAATGAATAAATTTCTTGTTTCATCCAAATATAATTCTGAATTAATTAGATAATATCTATATATATATAATGATATTTCATTGTTATTGTTACGCCTATTGTTTGGTTGTCTAAGACCTTGGCTATTGGGAAGGAACTTATTATGGTTAATGGGATTATTATTATTGTTAAGATGGTCTTACAACAGGGGGAGCGGCATATTATGGCTATACAAATTAAGGAACAACTCTTGATGCAATCAATGGTTGCTAAGCATATTGGACTGGTTATTAAACATATTAGACTGGTTATTGAACATATTAAACTGATTATTAAATGACTGGTTATTAGACAACTGACACAGCTTATGCTGGCTGTTAATGAACAACTTATCTTTCAACTGGGTAATATTCTACCCTTTCTTGATATCTGTCCACTGGCACATACTCTGAAAGATAATTTTTAATATTACCTGTGTATTTCTCTTAGAACACTTAGGGGATATATTCTGTTTAATATTCGACAGCGTAATAATCGGTGACTTTTGTTTCTCTTGGAACATAAGACACAATTTCTTATTCCTCATATTCAACAACGGCTTTTTGATAGGGAATATATTCAATTCTGGATTCACCTTTTATGGTTTGGTGCTATAATATAATTCAAATTTACTTAAGCTACTGGGGCAACTCCTATAGTTTGAACTGGGACAGGGGTGATTTGTTAAACAGGAACAGATGCAATCGGAGCAACAGGCACTTAGGCCACTGGTGCATATTAAATAGGAGCAACTGGAGCCACATAGGACTGTCTAATTGGTGAAGCTCGATAATAGTTAGGGGGTAAATAAGTATTTGGATACACAGGGCCAGCAAGTCTTGTTTAAGGAGCTGGACCTTATTATCTTTATTATGGTTATTAAGGTTATTAAGCAGCTTCTGGACGATTTGACATTCTTATTTATTTGATAAATTTAAAATAATATTAAAACTTGATCCTCAAATTATTTAAATAACTTGTATCAACATAATATATATTAATATTACATTATATTGTATTTTTCATTAATAAATAAAATCCTGATCAAATTTTCATCATCTGCAGTATTATCCAATATCCAAACTTAAAGTTCAACAATTCCAGAATTAATCAAGTGTACAAGATAGTTTAAAGGGTATCTTTGAATGTAATATTACTCAAACTAGTAAATTTAATATTATCAGAGTAACATCTATTTATTTATCTTTTATCTTTTATTCATTTAGTAATTTTCAATCATGTAAAATTTGATTAAATCATAAGATAAAACTGCTTACTTAGATTTTTAACACTTCATAAGCAGATAATTTATTTTGATAAACAGAATATTCTATTTCTTTTAATTACTCTATTTATTGTTACTCAGAAGTATAACCTTTCTTCTTAGTCTAAAAGAATATAATACTAATTCTTAAAGAATAGAATCAATAAATTAAGATATAAAATTCATACAAATTTTGAGAATTAATATATTTTAAATAGTCTCTTTTTTGTCATTTTAATCAATTCTTATTGTATACAGTTCTGATTTATATTAGATTATATTTCAAATTATAATAATTGTCCATAAGTTATTTACATTAATTTTGATTGATTCGATTGCTTTCTATTTATTCTTAAAATACAATAGTTATTTTGTAATTAGATAAATTTATTTATTCAAACCTAATAGATACAAATCATGTTTCATTAGATTTAACCAAATTCGATCAAATAGTGTTCTTAAAATTTGTATTGAATTCACAAATACTATAAAACTTTCACTAACAGCTCTCATCATCTTAATTAAAATATTATAAATGTTTTTCTCCAGAAATAGATAATAATAATTAATAAATATATCAAAGCTATGTTAATCAATTTTTTTCTTACGATTATAATTCTTTACTTAAATAACAAATACCATAAACTGTTGATTATAAAAGGTGTTTAAAATCAGTTACATATATGTTTATTTGAGAATTTAGGAAATACGAATGTAATCAAGAAAAAATAATTTTTAAAATCCAAGGAATACAAAAGTACAACAGTAACATTTGTTTAAGATAATTTATCATATAATAATTATATGTGGTTTTATTTGTTAAATGTCAAATTGGTATTATATATGAAACATAATGATTTACTGATATTCATCATCAGTATTTGATCTCATTCGTTTGTAATATTCATATAATTAGTTAAGAGAAAAAATAATTTATTTTAAAATATAAGTAATTTACAAAAATGATCATTGGAAAAAGACGGTTGAAACAAATAAAACTAATTCTAGTATCTCCTACATTAGAGAAGATAACAGTATTATCGTATCTTGTCTTAATACCATTAATGGTAGGTAACTTAATAATCTCAAAATTAGATGATGTATGAAACTTATGGATTAGGTAATGGATATTTAAATTTGTATTAAATCAAATCTTAATTCGAAGTGAGTACTTGGCGCAATAGTGCGACAGTTGAAGAGGCATTCAATTATTTGATGAATGTTTTTACTCCAAAATATTTTGCTAGCCAATTTAAGTCATCTCATATTCCACTTTCAAATTTAATTATAGCCCAAACAAGGAATCCTATATATAAATGCAATACTAATGTAATAAATTGCGAATATGGATCAGAGTAATATTAGGAAGTATAATTCCAAGCTTTAGATACCAATAAATGTGTTTCTAAAAATTGTTCTGAATTTATTTCAAGCTAAAATGCATTTGGAGGAATATAAATAGGAATAGACGGTCATTACTAAACCTATTACGATTTCTATTATTATAGTGTATTAAAAATAGCAGATAATTACACTGATTTCTATACCAAGTTGATGGAAAATAAATGGGTCGATAACCATACTGAATCTATAGGGATATTTGGATCACTTTACGATTTGAATAGTTAACAGTAGGTTTAGATAACTTTGCTGCTGGAATAACAATATGCTAAATTCCCGTTATCCTTATAGGAAACATTTTTTCAATTGCCATTTTTTGATTTCAAGGACACTCTGCATATATTGTTGTTTTCCTATTTGATATTTATTGGTCTTCTAAAGATATTTAGAACCATGTTGGAATTAACATATATTTTTTCAAGATTCAATTTTTTCTTCTAATTGTACAACTTTGCAGCACTTATTGTGTATTGCATAGTGCATTTTCAGATTCTTATTGTGAGAGATTAAGCCTAAGATAACAACTTACTGTTTTCTAGAACTGTTTTAGAAAAAAACTTTAGTGGGAAGATCCTATCAGTTGGAACAGCCCTACTGATAAATGATTACCAAACAACCGAGGATGTAGGGAAAGTCTTGCTTTTATTAAGTTATCCTTATTCCTTTGTGCAATTTATACTGTTTTTTAATGCGGAGTGGATTCAGAATTATCACACATTACAGATGCGTACTATGCCTGGATTATTGACTTGTACTGTCTTATCCTTATCCATTTATACCTTAACTGTCTTGCCTCAAGGATATTTAGATAAATAATATAGGACTGGTCACCACTCTATCAATTATATAGCTTATTTATTTGCTTAATTGTTTTTAGACAATTATTAAGATAATGAAGTATTCTATTTGAATAAAACTTTAGGATGAAAAATAATTATTAAGCATCATTATTGAGATCCTGCATTATCTATTTCAGATTCTAATAGCTTTATATGTGATTGCTTTGTCAATAGAGGGGTTCAGAAAGGCTTCAATTTATGAGATGCCCTATCAATCCAAGTATGACAAAGAGTTTATCTAAAATTTTGATAATCTTAACATAAAAATAAATAAGTAATTTGTGATAATATTTTCAAGGGTCTTAAAATAGGTGTAGAAGTTGTTTATAAAGGAGAAACAATCTCAAGGGAAGAAAATAATTAGAAGAGAAGAAGATAAATAATCTTAAATTTTGGATGATGAAGAAACCTTAAGTGATTTGTCTGAGTCTAAATCTGATAAAATACTGATAGTCTTTGAAATTAATAATGCATTCTTGGAGGATATTAATAGATTCAAAGCCAGAAGAGATGCTAATCAATATGCATAAAAGAGAGTGAAGTATTCGAAATCCAGTAAGGATTAAGCTTCGTCTCAAAAGATAAGGATTATTTAATCTCTGCTTTAAAAGGATAAGGTGAATCAAAGATTGCAAGTAATGCTTAGCAAACATTGTAATTATGAATAATTATTTTGATAGAATCGAATGAGCCTTAATACACTTAACTGCCAGAAGATTAGGTAGAGTAGAACAATGATTTCTTTTAAAGTTTCAAGGAATAAATAAGTGATTAGGGAGTGAAGATCAGAGAATTTACGATTATTGATCAAGTCATAAAATTCTTAGAAATGCTATTGAGATTGAGACCTGAGTTTTTGAGTTTGAATGCAGAATAGAGAATTCGGATAATGTTTTATATAAACTCAGATTAAGTTGAAGAGGAGGATGTATATAAGCTATTAAGCTTTTTAATTGTCAACTTAGCTAAGCAGCATTTGAATTACCCCATCCTTGTATTTTCTTGTCATAAAGAGTGGTATATTGAGAAGGAATAATATTTGAAGTTGAAAAAGTTTTACAGGAATATCTTCTCAACTTTAGAAAAGGAATGCGCATTGGATTTTAGTTTAATGTAAACATCCTTCTTTGATTTCTAATTGAAATTCTCAAAGGACTAATAATTCTATGAGAAGGAAAATTAGGAAGAAATATCCAATTCAATGATTGAAGAGGGAGAAGACAAATCAGAATTACTTTGATAATTGAATATATAAATATCAGTATTGCATTATAGTTAATAAATTATAAAACTATATAACACGTTTAACTTAATTGCTAATTCTTATTCCTAATACAAATCTCTGAATTCTGTATACTTCTAGGTAATAACCAAATGTATTCAAGTCAATGCAAGATGTAATGTTAAATTGTTAAAGTGGTCTTTGAGTAAACATCATGCTTTGTTATTCTGATTAATTTAAATAAGATGAAATTCGCTGATAGAGATTGCTCAATAAAATCAATTAAATATAATAGTTGTATCAAAATAGCCAGTCATTTGCATTGCGATCATCATTAAGGAGATAATAAGCAAAAATATGATGGGAACCATGAATGGATTGCTAATGAATTTGCTTCTTATTGTTGATTGGGGCTGATCAAGTTCAATAAAAGATTTATGTAATTGAAGCAATTCAATGTACCCTTGTGTTTCTTCTTATTTATCAATGAGTGGCAAATTCTCCTCATTCATATTTTATTTAATGGAATTACAAAATTAATTACGATCTTACTTAAGTTCATATGAAACTTATCCCTATGTCCGAGATATCAAGTTGAGAGTTCTTTACGGTGATAAGTAAGATTTCAATTATAAAGAGATCACATATCAAACTTGTTCAATAATGTTTGGCTAGTTTTCTTATAGACGATGATGAATCTCCGATTTTACGATTACTAACCCTCAAAGTAATATTTGTAAACCATCTCTATCCTAGTTCAACAAGGAATTGGCTGAAACATTTAATGAGGATTACATCCATTTGATGTAAAAAATTGTTCTCCCAAAAATGGAATAGATTGCTCTTTTTTAAAATGAGTCCAAAGACTGTGATAGAGGCAAACTGTATTTTCTAGGGAATCAAAAACCCCACTAAGGTATGTAGAGTACAAAAGTAGTTCAGGTAACAAAGAGTTGCAGGCAATAGGCGATCAATTTTTGAGAGTAACTCTAGAATGTATTAGGATTTGGGGGAGGTGGTTTCCTTTAGACAAAATTCATCACAGATTGAGTCTATATCGCGTAGCATATGAGAGATTATACAATTTAGGTGTACAATTCCCAGAAATTCAATATTTTGATCTCAATTAAGTGCATATAAATTTACCTTCTACTTTTCCTCCTTTATCGATGATGATGCAACTCAAGAGTGTTTTAAGCGAGCATTCCAGAACAAGCACAAAAGAGATCTGCAGATATTTGGAATCTCATCTTCCAGAAGAATATCATCAAACCCAATACTCATCGTTTGCTGAATTATTTTAAACCATAGTCAAAAAACATATAATGAAAAAAAATAAACAGGCCAGACTGGCCAATCTATTTCTAGAACGCGATCCCAAATATTAAGAAGTCAAAAAGATGGAAGATCATGAAGAATGGACTCAATTACAGAGATTGCAAATTGAAAACTAACAACTTACTTACCTTAATAATATGCATCAATAAAAAATGTAAGAATTATAGAAATAAATAATTGAGACTCAAAACCAAAATTCATTGTTATCTTAAAATATTAAAGAGAAGCAGTTACTAATAGAGCGATATGATACTAACTTTAAAGAATTGGAAAAGAAATATGAAAAACTATTTGAAGATTATAAAAAAAACAATCTTTCCAAAACTCCATATATCCTTGCAACTTATGAAAAAAATGTAATTATCACTGCTATGCCCATTAGATAGCTGAATTTCGAATTGAATATGGACTTTCATACTCTGAAATAGAATGCCATAAATTAAGAGCTGAAAATGAATATTTACGTAAATAATTGGATGAATCTGATAGTATGTATGATAAAATTAAACATGACAAGGATGTCTTACTGACAGAAAATAAATTATTGTCAGCTCGAATTTCTCAATTATCTCAAAAAATTGCAAAAGGAACCAAAGTTGAAAAAGACAGTCCTCAGAATTAAGAGGATTTCAAGTTATATAAACAAAAATCAAATCTAGTCTAATATGAATAGGTTATGATATGCTAAAAAAGATAAATCACCTAATTGAAAGAGTAATTACTAAAAATGAATGATAAAAAATACAGTGTTACAAGTTAGACTTGGGGAGTAAGCACTAAGTCAGATTCCAGAAGAAATATTAATGAATTGCAAGCCTGTAATATATCCTCTTCAAAACAATCTGCTAATTAGAAAACAACACATAGATAATCTAAAATCATCATGCCTCCAATACTTGAATATGATCCAACGATATTTGCAGTCAATCCTACTATTTTAAATACCAGATTTAGATAAGCCTGCTTTACTTCCAAAGCTATAATACATCAAGATGATTAAATTCAAATTACAACTAACACATAGTTAAAATTCAAAAAACTATTCATCACACTCTCTCTTGAAAATAAATCAAATATCAAACTAACTGGTTTCAAATTCTATTTAAAAGAAGTAGAACAATTAATTGCTTTTGTATTAGATGAAATCAAAACTGATTTGAACCCTGGAGAAATTTAATAGATTAAATTAGAAGTATCAATTAAAGAAATACCTTTCATTTTATAAGAAGCTTAAATATCTTTTATGGATAAGAATATCTAATTTGTGATTCCTTGTACAATCAATAAATATTTAACTTTTAAATCTTGTGAATAGATACCTTAATCGTTTTTTTATTAATGTAAACCATTTTTGACAGGATTCCAAAATTCTGTTCCCAATTTATTACCCGAATTCGAAGTAATAAGCTAATCAGATACTGAAATAAGTGTGCTGGCATCTGCTGAATATAATGAAGAAGAATATGAAATTATGATCTCCTGTAGAAAAAGTATGATGTAAATTAAAATGAATGGTGTCTACAATGACAAACTAGTAAAAACTATCATTTCAACTTACTAAGGCCTATTTTTGAAAAGATGATTTTATATTGATAAATGATATTATATCTTTTGGTTACAATTTTCTTATTATTTTATTCTTCTTTATAGTATTCCTTATTATACTTAATATTCATTACTATTAAGGATAATTAAATATTATAAAGCTTATAATCTAACGTTTTGTCAGATGAATAAAATTAACTTTTAAATGAATTTATAGGATTGTATATTATAATTTTTTCTATTGAAAATACAAATTGAAAAAATAATTAAAATGACATAGAAACATATTATTTTTATACTTATAATATTTTGGCTCTCTTACAAAATTTAGAGACTAATTTAAATATAAGATTGTATTGCTAGATTAAAAAAACTTAAAAATTTTGATTAACATTAAGTATTAAATAAGACATTTAAAATTCAAGAGTGATTCAGTTTAATATAATTTCTCTCTTATAAAGAAAATTATTAATTAGTTCTTTTCTTTTGTAGTTAAATCATTAAATTTGCTTTTTATTTAAAGCATTTCATAATTTAAATAATTTTATGTATCTTAATTTATTTTCCAATATATTATTTAAGTTTATGTCATTTATAAAAAAATGAAATCATTTAAATTAAGACTTTAATTAAATATTATTTCTATTGGAACATTTTCATAGCAAATGGAAAAATTATTTTGTTTGAATGTGGAAGATTAAGTGATACACTTAATAAATATATCATTCTATTATTGAATTTTCATTGTTTAAATAATATTGAGGGTTGAAAGTGACATCTTGAGTAATATAGATTTTCTCTTCAAGTAATGCTTCTGGCTCATCTGGATCTGTATTGAATATTTCTTCGATAAAAAAGCATTCATTTTCATTAAGGCACATTTTCTTTTGAAGTAGGCTTTCAAGATCATTCAAATTCTCTTCCTAGGATTCCATTCTCATTATAATTTCTTTGTGACTTCCAGATTATGGTTTCCTATTTCCTACCTTGAAATACTTTCTAGTATTTATAGTATTCATTGTGTACTCAGTTAAATTATTTAATATAAATTAAATGATCAATTCGGTTCTTTATAATCTTAAAATTATTCATATTAATTATTTTTAATTCAACAAACAGAGAATGAAAAAATATACATCAGAAGCATTTCATCAATCAGTTTTATAAAATAGTATTAATTATCCAAGTAAAGTTACAAATAATATATGAGTCTAACTTCCCAAACTTGATTAGATTTAAACAATATAATTGATCTCTTTTGTTTTATGAAAGAATAATATTTGAATAAAAAATAATAATAAATTAATTGTTAAATAATTTAAAGTTTCATAAACAATTTTTTAAAATTAAATACAGCCTCAATTGAAATGCTCAAAGATCCTGTTGACTTTTATGTGAATTTACATAAGGGAATAAAAAGAGCTGAAAAGAATATTTTATTGAGTACATTGTATATTGGAATTGGGAATATGGAAGAATTTTTAATTAAGAGATTGTCTAATTAATAAAGAAAAATTTGAATAGTTAAGGATTTCATTATTGATGGACTATTACAGAGGGACAAGAAGAGATAAGAAAAATCATTCAACTCCCATAGATCATTATCATTATTTGAGAATGCAAAATTTATACGCCCAAATATGAAACTTGGATTAATGAGACACCCTTAATTTGCTAATATGTTTGAAGAATCTGCACTTAGAGAAATTTACAATGTTCATTACATGAAGTGGTATATCTTTGATAATCGTGTAATTTTGACAGGAGGTAAATTATTCTTAAATGAATAGCTAATTTAGAAGAACAATACTTTATTTTCAGATAAGATAGATACATGGTATTTAATGAAGCTAATGAGATTGCAGACTATTTAGATGATGCCTAATCTGCATTGTTATAACATGCATAGTATGTAGACTTTGATTCCAATGCCAAATTTGACCCTTTGAGTGCTTAGCCTTTTAAGAGATAATAATATTTTAAAGAATTCCATCAAACTTGGAAGATCTTCAAATTTAGTTACAAAGAAGCAGCTGAAATTAAAAGTGACGATGAAGAAGGAATGCACTGTACTAATTACTCTACATATACCATACTTATGAAAATAAATTAGTTTTTATGATGAATCTTGAGAATCTAGATCAGTTTACTTGTCTGAAATATATAATATTAAAAGGTGGCTTGGGCATCTGGATAAGAATTTTACTAAACCATAATTAATTTTGTGGATAATTGCAAAACTGACATTAAATTCATTACTGCCAGTCCAGGAGCTAATGGATTTTCATAAAGCTGGAAAGGCTAAGTCATTAATTCCTTTTTTACATCGTTATTTTGGATTGACCATCGATAAACCCCAACATTCGAATAAAAAAGGAATGCTTGGGCATTCCATACGAAGGGGTTTTGGGCTGAATTGTAAGATGGTTCCACAATGTCAAATTATTGGCAGTTCAAATTATGCTGAAAGATCAAAAAAACGAGATAATGAAATTTAAGCTTATATTTTCAGTCAATGTCCTATGTTTAAATAATATTTAAAAAAAGAATAAATTAATTATAAAACTATGCTGAAAAAATAACAAAGGAAGAAATACTTAATGATTCTGAAATCAAAATAAATTGGAAGATTGAATTATTGTCTAAAATTTTTAAATCTATGACTGATCTATAAATAAATACGTAAAACCCTTAATAAACTGTCTCAATTTATCTCGAATTTATTTTTTTTTTAAGGTAACTGGCCTTACTTAGTTAATGTTTTTAGTTGTCTAAACAAATATGCATGGTTCTTATGGTTTCTAAATCATTTTTTATCCATAAGCACTTAAAGCTTTTTCTGTTCAAATAGATTTTCGTCAGGTAATAAGAAATCATAATCTTCTGTTTTCTTTACAATTTTATAATCATAAAGTTCTTAATAAAAATCAACTATTTGATTTAAATATCCAAAAATTTATTCCAACATTAGTCAAGTCAAAATTAGCTGAATTTATGCTAAATTATAAAGTTTTTGAATCTATAAAAAGCTCTATTTCATTAAAATAGCAAGTAAATTTGTGATTTGTGAAGCAATCAAATTTGCAATCTACAAAACAACTCAATTAAGATAAAAAATGAAAATGAATAATTCAAGCTCAAATCCAAATAATAATAATAATACATTAAATTATCTTTATTATCAAAATAAGTTATCATTATGAAAAAATATCATATACTAATTTAAAGAATATAAATTATTTCTTAGTTTTCAGAAACTTAGAGAACATTTTTATTATTATACATTATATTAGTTTACCGTTTCCAATAAGTTGTATTGATCCCATTCTACTATCACTTACGAAGTTCTTACTAGTAGTACTAAAAAGTATGTAACAACCCCTACTGAAGAAATGGGTAATTTTAATATGCTATTTCAATTAATAATATTCATTTCAAAATGTTAGCGACAATAGTATAATCGCTATTTCTAATTCTATGCTAAAATTTGGTTTACCTGGTTAACATTTCTCGCATTTATTGTTTTTCCAATGATGTGTACCAAAAGATTCAAAAAGGCAAGTATCTAAACTTTCGTTAGCTGGATTCCAATCGATGCAGTCCACTTTTAAAACAGTTTTTTCTTTACAAAGGTAGGATTCATAGCTGTTCATTCTTACGCGAGCTTCAAAGCAAGTTGTTTCTGTGGCATATTAACAACCCCCAATCATTTTTACACATGGGTAATCTTCAGAAGTGCGGCGGCATGCTAGCCCTGCTTCTTTAAATCTTATATCATTCCCAGCTACATCTTCACATTCAGTAAATTCTTAACATTTCCCATCTTTAACAACACAAAGTCCTTCTCTTCCATGAAAACACTACGATAATAGTAGCTTTGGGAAGCTAAGATTAATCTTCACACCTTTTGAGTTCTGAATCATAATAACAATTAGAAGGAAGATTGAAACTGCACTCATGGTGCGACTATAAATCGTAAAATGAACACCCTTTAAAATCACTGCATGTTTTCTTCTTGTAATCAAATACGCATCCCTAATTTTTTGCANTTACTTAGTTAATGTTTTTAGTTGTCTAAACAAATATGCATGGTTCTTATGGTTTCTAAATCATTTTTTATCCATAAGCACTTAAAGCTTTTTCTGTTCAAATAGATTTTCGTCAGGTAATAAGAAATCATAATCTTCTGTTTTCTTTACAATTTTATAATCATAAAGTTCTTAATAAAAATCAACTATTTGATTTAAATATCCAAAAATTTATTCCAACATTAGTCAAGTCAAAATTAGCTGAATTTATGCTAAATTATAAAGTTTTTGAATCTATAAAAAGCTCTATTTCATTAAAATAGCAAGTAAATTTGTGATTTGTGAAGCAATCAAATTTGCAATCTACAAAACAACTCAATTAAGATAAAAAATGAAAATGAATAATTCAAGCTCAAATCCAAATAATAATAATAATACATTAAATTATCTTTATTATCAAAATAAGTTATCATTATGAAAAAATATCATATACTAATTTAAAGAATATAAATTATTTCTTAGTTTTCAGAAACTTAGAGAACATTTTTATTATTATACATTATATTAGTTTACCGTTTCCAATAAGTTGTATTGATCCCATTCTACTATCACTTACGAAGTTCTTACTAGTAGTACTAAAAAGTATGTAACAACCCCTACTGAAGAAATGGGTAATTTTAATATGCTATTTCAATTAATAATATTCATTTCAAAATGTTAGCGACAATAGTATAATCGCTATTTCTAATTCTATGCTAAAATTTGGTTTACCTGGTTAACATTTCTCGCATTTATTGTTTTTCCAATGATGTGTACCAAAAGATTCAAAAAGGCAAGTATCTAAACTTTCGTTAGCTGGATTCCAATCGATGCAGTCCACTTTTAAAACAGTTTTTTCTTTACAAAGGTAGGATTCATAGCTGTTCATTCTTACGCGAGCTTCAAAGCAAGTTGTTTCTGTGGCATATTAACAACCCCCAATCATTTTTACACATGGGTAATCTTCAGAAGTGCGGCGGCATGCTAGCCCTGCTTCTTTAAATCTTATATCATTCCCAGCTACATCTTCACATTCAGTAAATTCTTAACATTTCCCATCTTTAACAACACAAAGTCCTTCTCTTCCATGAAAACACTACGATAATAGTAGCTTTGGGAAGCTAAGATTAATCTTCACACCTTTTGAGTTCTGAATCATAATAACAATTAGAAGGAAGATTGAAACTGCACTCATGGTGCGACTATAAATCGTAAAATGAACACCCTTTAAAATCACTGCATGTTTTCTTCTTGTAATCAAATACGCATCCCTAATTTTTTGCAAAAATACACAGCCCAACCCTATCACTCTCGTTTATGCTTTCACAAGAAAGAGGTTTGCATTTCCCATCTTCAAATTTGCATTTAGGATTAATTAAGCATTCATAATCAGTTTCAAACTCCTCACAATCACAATATCCATACTTCATATCCACTATAACTTGACCGATTATTTAATTATGTAAAATGAAAATAAGGAGGAAGATACAAGTTTAATTATGCTGGAACTTCATTTTAATGATTTATTAAAATTAAAAAGAAATATCACTCAAAATCCTATTTCAAGCTATTTAGTTTTCATTATTATTTATTCATTCATTTTGCATGAATAAATGAAATCAATTCCTGCATAGTTAGCCTTCATTTAATTAGAATGTTCAAATTCTATTAAATACTTGTATCAAAGGCTAAGAACTAATTAAACTTAATATCGATTGCTCGAAAATGGAAACAATCTTGAAGGAGAAACAAATAAAGCTAATAAGTAAAGGCTAAAATGATGGCATAAGCTTAATAAGAATAGTGTGTTAACTTATCTATTAAATGATTCTCACTACATTCTATATAATTTTTATAAAAATTCTTTTTTTAATTTGGTCAATACCTGTTTTAAATTATATGGTTACGTATATTCTGTTTTGTAATAAATCAAAAAGTACCTGAAATATAAAAATCATTCTTTCCTCATATAAATATCTTAGACTTATGCTTTAATCTATATATGTGCTTCTCTGTTGCTACCTACTTTCAGCAATAAGTTAAATATTCTTTTAGTAGCTTATCCTCTGTGTTTTAGATTATTCTGCAGTATAATAATTCGATTGTCCGAAATGGCTTGTCCAAGCATGAAAAAGTTTTATCAACATTTCCTTTTACTTCATAGATTATCCCTTATACTAAAAATCAATATCATATTATTAAAGAGGTAATTAAGGTGTTGAGTAAATTAATCATGATGTATTGTTACTAAAACCTTGCCCAATTCTACAAAAAGTGAAAATATTTAAACTTGTTTAATTTTTGGAATAAAGGAAATTCAAATTGCAATAATAAATTTAGATTTTAACAATTATAAATTAAGGAAAAATAGGGTGTTTTTGGGTAAGCTTCATTTTATATTTTTGATTTAGACTTGAATCTCTTAATTTAAGAAAGCATATCATCATTTGGATTTTAGATCGGATTGAATAATAAAAAATCTTGAAAATTAAATTGTGTTTCGAAAAGATAGAAATATTGTAAGCATTCTCTTTGTCTAATTTGAGAATTTTAGAAACCTATAATATTCTAACTCTTTTTTCATTTCTTTTCAAAATAAAAGATATTTTGGAGGACTATGATTAATCATTCTTAGTTTACTCTAAAATGAAACTGATCCTCACTTAATTAGCCAATATTATGTCATTCAAATTGATGCACTAACAAAATCAAATGAAGTACTGTATAACAAATTAATTAAAATAAATAGTTAATCAGACATTTTGAAAAATATAAAAAAACTTAGAGATGATTTCTGATTAATGAATGTATTTAAATCATATTTTCTTCAAAGGAACTTTCTTGCCAGCTTTAAGTGATTCATAGTCATTTTTCAACTCTTCTAATTCATCATCAATCTTAAAGATTTAAGTTTCAAGTTTCTTCTCTTTGTCTCTCTCATTATTTGATTAAGCCCAATAATAATGTTGCTAAAATGAGATTGATTAATTACTAGCATTTCTCTTCTTTGTTTTCTCAGTGACTCATGTTTGTCTTCTATTTGGCTAAGTGATGATCTCTTTCCAAAATATGAGGTAGTCTTTTCAATAGTGGTCATTAACATGTACACAACCACTAATAAAAGAGTGATTCCCAAAAGTGCATAATTCTGCATTTTATTTAATTATTAAATATTTATATATGAATCGACTCAGAGTCCTCAGGAATTTGACAATCCCCAAATTGTTTAGCAGAGTCAGTTGTTTAGCCTTACCTTATCTAATTTACCATAACTATCGAAATAATCCTATTCATTGTTCTAATGAAGGTAAATCTTATGTTCATATCACTTCCCAGTTCGACAAATGAATCAATCTATGTTTGTTCAAAATATTCTTGGAAATAGGAAGGATTATTTCTTTTTGGTAATCTACAAAGAAGAAGTGGATGGAGGATATGGAGAGAAAGAAGCTATTGAAGTAGCTAAAAAATTGTAATAAATAGCTGATAAACTTTAAATCAATTGTATTTTCAATTAGCTTATATAGGCCATGTATATACTGTGTCTAGACCTTCCTTAAAATTGATCACTAAATTAGTCAATAGAGTTAAAAATGTTAAGATTTATGAGGAAGAGGAGTTTTAAAAAATTGAAATATATTTTAAAACACCTCATTCAGATGATTATGTTTACTTTCCTTTTAAAAAACACAACTTTTATTAAGAAAATAATTAAGCTAAAATTTTGTAATACCTATTAATCACAATAGAACGCGAGTATCGAGATTCTTTGATTTGTACTAAACAGTAACAACAAAGGAATAGTTTTAATCAACTATTTTAGAAAGCTATTATTAATTAGACTCTCCTGTTTTCATAAAATCAAATAGTTCTGATGCTTAACTTAAATAATTTAAGAAAATTTCTTTTTAGTTTTTGGAAAAAAAGACTGTAAATTAAAACTCAAAATTCCTAATTATAGACAATAAAGAACTATGCCAAGAATTGTAATTAAAAGACGATGATATATTATTGTTAAGAAATGATATCTTGCAAAAATATCAAAATTGCATCATCAATGAAAACAATCAAATAATACCATAATTGAAATCTAAACAATAAATTGATGAATTGAAATATGACTCATTTAATGAATGGAAATAATAAAATACCAAGTCTACATAAAGCATAACTACTGATAAAAAATAATTAAAAAATTAATTCATCTTTGACCTCCAATAATTTAGTTTACCAAGAATATTTTATTTAAAGAATAGCAGAAAGTCTAATATTGGAGCCTTTGTTAGAAAGATCCAAAACCATAAATATTAAAATGATAAATTAGTTGTCAGTCTATAATTAGATCCTAAACATTAAAATAGATTGGATGTAATTTAATTTATTATTGTTTTAAATAGAATCACATAAGGATATCACTATTCTTTAAGCTCTATGAGAAATATAGGGATAGGTTGGAGTTTGTCATATCAGCAACCAATTAATTAGAAGAATTGCTGCCTCATCTAAACAAATTTCAAAGTAAGTTTGTTCTCTTTAATATCTTTAATTCAATATCTTATTCGAAATAATTGTTTCCATAAACTGCAAAACTCTATGAAAAATATTTCCTGAAAGACACTTAATTTGTGGAGAGATTTGAAGTAATTGATTAACAATTGAACAATTTGCTCTAATATCCTTCGGAGGAGAGAATAGCCAAAATTGATTATTTATCTTAGGATCTTGATAAGATTTAGGAAATTAATTTAGATTATTTTGATTTCCTTCAAAGTAACTAAAATAAAAATTAACAAATCATTTTATATTATTAAAATGACATAATGACAGAGGCATTGTTAACTATATTAAAAAATCTGAAAACAAAGTAGTTTTAATACAATATTCTAGTTTAAATATTTATACTATTTCAAGTCTAAATTAGATACCAGCTCTTTATTCATCATTTCCAAATTAAAATGTCTTGATAATAAATGGCACAGCTATAGGATTCCCGAAAGCATATGACACAAATTTAAATGAGTTAAATACACAAATCGAGAATTTGATCAAACAATATTTATGATTATAATATTATATTTAATAAAAATGAATTTATCTTCTTTCAATAAATTATTGATTCTATAAGATTTAAAAAGAGAATTTATTATGATAATTTATTGTTAATAAAGAAGCGATACTTCATATTAAAAGAGAAGATTAGTATAGAATTTTAATAACTTTAAATTTATTATATTACTCATTCTTATTAGATGGTTTGTCCTTAAGAATTCTTTGATTCATCGGTTCTTAATTAGTAACAAAGAACGTAGGCTGATTTTGTAATAACTTATTATTCACTTATTTCTCCAACATGGGAGTCATCAAAATTATACCATTTTTTCGTAAACTTTCATAACTTTATTATGAATACTTTATTTTTAGCACAAGCTGTATAATGGCCGCCTCCAAGACCTCCAAAATGATTTGATACAGCATACAAATCATAAATAACCCGTTGTTTATTATTTTCTCCATTGTCATCTTCAGTTTCGTTTTCATATTCCTGAGGTGTTTTTGAATTGATTAAATAATCAGTCATATCAAGTCCATTAAGTGGGAAGTCTACAAAAGTTTCAAGCTTTTATTTAAACATTCTATTGGAAGCCTTAAATCGTTTCAAAGTGAATATTAATATTTACGGAGCCTATATTAATATGAGATATAAATAGTAACCTTGTAAATTTGCATACTTTTATAAGCTTAGACATGTTCTTGACAGACTTTGCAATACCAAGTGTTTTCAGAATTCAATTATTCTGGTTATTGAGAGAATTACAAGCAATCTGCTAAAGTAACACTACCAGAATGTTAATTAGAATGACCATGATTTTGGAGTGGAGTAGTTTATTATTATGATTATTCAACTATAGGAATTGGAATAAATAATTACCTTGAGTTTTATTTTAGTTTCTATAATGATCAAAAATATCGCCTAGTTTGACATTATTATATGGGGTTTCTTTCCATAATATAATAATTTCAAAAAGACCTTAAGAATCAGAAGTAACCACTTTTTTCTTCGCTTCCTCTAGTTTTTCATCATCAAATTTCACTTCGCAATCATTGCAATTCTTAGAGGAACAATAAGAACATGGATTCCAATAATTGCTGTTAGATTTGTATAAAAGACTGTAATACTAATGAATAAATTCAATAGATACTTTATTTAATACATTAGTTTCATAGTCCAAATTTTGGTGTTCAGTAAAAAGGGGCTTCAAATATTAGAATATTTGGAGATGCATTTATTTTCTTGTATTGGATCCATCTAATAGAAAGAATCCATTCTAAAAATATGAAGTCTTTGAAAAGTCTTGATATTTATTTGAAAATTAAATAGGAAGTTTATTTGATATTTAAGCTTCTTCATCTAAAAGAACCCTAAAACATAATTATGATCTTTTGGCGCTCTTTCTTATTTCAACTATGGATCTACTTTCCTTTAATAATTCAAAAGATGTGTATTAATTAGCAATATAAGCAAATAAGTTTTAAGGTTTAACTTTCAATTCCTCTCCCAAGACTTGATAATAGTCTTTCAATGATATATTCTTATTTTTATCAAATGGAATAATTTTAATTGTTGAATTGAAGAAGGAATCAAAGAATTTAAAAGAAATTGTTCTTTTCTTCTAACTTGGAATTCCCAATTACACCATCAAGTAAGGATCAAAAGTGATAGACAACCTAGCGCATTTTGGACATTTTAACGTAGACTTGTATTATCCATACATAAGATCAACAATGATAGATTGATTTCTGGCCAAATGATTAGTCCAACTTTCTTTGGCAACAACAAAATCTGTTCTACCTTCACTATCCTTGGTTTCAACATATGGTTTCCTTTTCACTCTGTTCAAATCCTCATGAATGCCATCCAAAACAAAAGTGATCAGTTCAGATGAATCATGTTAATGATACCCTTTGAACATAGGTTAAAATTAACCCACTGCTTTTTTATAATTGGTTGGTGTTACAACTGATTTCTCTCCATACCATAACTTTTTTAATAGCGATCCCACTCTTTTAACTAATTAACCCTTAGTTCCTATAGGATTATCCATGTTAATTTCATCAAAATATTGATTACTCAAAAAATACTCTGTTAATGGGACAGTGTTTGATATACATTGTGTGCCACTATTCATAAAACAAGTATTTCCTAAATTAGTCAGACCAGCCAATCCTGCGATAGAGTTTGGTTGTTAAGTCAAACCTTTGATAGTGTCATCATCAGATCCAAATTTCTCACATCTCATACTGTGGTAGTTGTAATCTTTAGCTTTGCATTCTTATGAACAATAAGCTACTTTCCTACACACACAAGGGTGATTTAGAACCTTGACTACTTAACAATTCTCACACTTTCCTTCTACCTAAACTGCTTTATTACGAATACACCAAGGTTTACTCTCATCTTTAAACTATTTAGATAACTTCTATTAATACTTCTATAATAATCAAATGATTATCCAGGATTCCTACATCTTCAATAGTTTCATATATTGAATAATGGATATAATCGCCAACGAAATCAAAGCTCATTTCATCATTGTTCTCTAAAGCTGCTACTTGCTTTTGAATATCTGCAAATAATGCTTTGTTAATATCCTTCTAATCTGTTTGATATCTCCAAATTCGGACGTTGTCATCTTTTGCGAAACTGCCTGTGAATGTGGGAACAGTCTTTTGGAGTAAATTGTAATAGTCTTTCAGCTTCATGCTTCGATCAACTTGTAAATACGATTTGCCAAATGTTTATTTCAGAACCCTATCCAGTGCAATTTGCTTGATTACTGTAGGGTAAAGCAAAGTACTTTTAAACTCGAAGAATAGTGGTATAGAAATACTTTTAATAGATTTACGGCGACTGTTTTCTCTGTTCCTGTTCCATTTGACATTCTCACAATTGGTGTGCCATGATAATATGTTGTGAAGAATTACCAAATTTCCTTATCTACTATAATATAATCAATGTTTTCTTAGAGATTCTCTTTCATGAACGTATTCCAAGGATGGGTATTTATTGGATAATATTTTAAGCACCTATCAACTTTATCCTCTAAATTTAAGTTTATTAGATCCATATTTAGTTTTCCAAAGTTTCTGCTTGGGTTCTTGTTAGCCAATAATTCTTCATATGAAACATATTCCTTCCATTAATTTAGCCATCTTTAATATTGGAAAAAAAATACTTCACGCTTAAAATATAAAATTGATCATTTTGATCTTATTGAAATCTCTATTAAAAAGAATCCATAAGTATTTTGAAATCTAGGGCTTGTCTTTTAAGCTTATCTGCAACCTATTAAGACACACTCATATAATCTGAACTCTCATCCTCCATAATTTTTTAGTGAAAATTAATTAATTAATTTATTTAATATATTGAACTTCTGCCGATAAATACTGAAAAATATACACATTCATCCCAATGTAAAATTTTAATAAAATTGTGTTAATTTCATTTTTATTATCTTTCAGCATTCCCTTGAAACAACCAATTAGACAATGTGAATTCTCACAAAAAACCCTAGTACTATCACGTAAGTATTTTAATAACCACTACTATTTTATAAATATTTTATAAATGGATTTGAAATTAAGAATTTTATTATCTCTCCTAAATAAATAAATAATAATCATTTAAATTAATTTTATTAACTTTCATTTGTAATACTGATCTATTTTACATCATCAAAATAAATATGGGGGTGCTTAATCCAATCCATAAATGAATGCTGAATTATTTCTTTCGATGAATTATATTTATAATTATTTTAAACCTCTCCATTAAAATATGATTTGCAATAATGACACATTTAACATGTTTACCATTAAAAAAATAATTTACGAAAATGAAAACCAAAAAATTTACATGGCTAGCATGAAAGATAAGTTCACAATCATTGTACTCAAAGTCGAAATGGGCGATTCAAAACACCTATACACACAGTACAAAATACTTGACATTTTGAAATTTGTGTTGGGAGTGCCTTAAGTACTGAACTTTGGTTTTACTTCGGATGAAAAGTAAAAATTGTCCTCAAATTAGGTTTTACTATTCCATAGACTTCTACGACAAATCAGTCTCAGATATTTTAAAGAAATACGGAGCCTTAAGCCTATAATCAGCGCTATCAATAGGATTATCTTTGCTTAGAATTTTAAGTGGCATCCACAGATAAGAAATTATCTACAGCAATCTCTGTCCCGAAAATATTGTATTTTCAAAAGAAGGTCTTGATCATGACTCGAAAATTCATCTAATAGGCTTTGGTTAAGCATTTTTAAAATATGACAAACCAAAAAAAATATACAATTAAAACTTTTTGCCATATCAATCCTGCCTATCTTACAACAATCGAACACCATTCAAGAAGGATGATTTAGAGAGTTTGGGTTATCTCCTAATAAAATTAAGAAAAGGTAATACTTTGTTATATTTAAAGGAACCTTACCCTGGGAATAATTGCCTCAATCGTTGATGGGAAAGAAAAAGATCGAATGTTTAAAATCAAACGAAGTTTTTAAGGGACTTCCGTACGAATTTAGATTGTATTTTAAATAACTCGAATAATATAATGACGAGCCAAAACATTAATATTTCATTAAATTACTAAATGCCATTATGCTAAAATATTGCAAGACAACACGACATTGTGTTTAAGAACTAAACCAATTAACTCCAATAACTGAAGCCTAAGATGAAACCAATTAATCATTAGATAGTTTTTAGCTTTCTCGACGTACTGCTAATCTGAGTAGCCTAAATTTGTTGACGAATACTGAACTAGACTCATCTATTGAAGAAAAGTTAAAGAAATTGGAGTTGATTTCGAAACAATATAAACTAATCAGTAACCTATGAGTTATTTATTTATATAAATGCTTATATAATATTGAGGTAAATTATTGATATTTATACATTATACATTAAATTATAAATCAATATTAGATATTTATTGGGTCATTTTCTTCATGTTTGTTATGATACAAAGGGTTATATCGTTTAACTTATGGTGTATCATTCATTTTTCATAATAAAACATAGTTATGGAATTATGATTTTATCATAATAATAACAAATAATAATTAAAATTTAAAAAAACACGAGAGAAATAATTAGTTTTTCAAATGGATATTGACAAATAATTAGAGATTTTGAGAAATGGGAGATGCTTATGTGAACGAGATACTCATTTGATTTGTGAATTGGCTAAGGAAATTTTGATAGAGGAGTCAAATGTTGTTCAAGTCTAAACACCGGCAATAGTATGTGGAGATATACATGGATAATATTTTGATTTATTGGAACTTTTCAAGTGTGGAGGACAATTACCAGAAAAGAGGTATGTATTTAACGGGGATTATGTGAATCGAGGGTAATGTGATGGATTATTGAAGACATCATTCAGTCGAGACATTCTTATACTTGTTATGTTTAAAGATCAAATATCCAAAAGAGATTATATTGTTAAGAGGAAATCATGAATCAATAGCTGCAACCTAAGTGTACGGGTTGTATGATGAAGTGAGAAGTAAATTTGGAAATCTATATGCTTGGCAATACTTTAGTGAAGTATTTAATTATTTACCACTGTGTGCATTGATAGATCAAAGGGTTTTTTGTGTGCATGGAGGACTGTCTCCTTAAATAAATAATATTGATTAGATTCGAGTTATAGGTTTCACATCCATTTTATATGAGATTAGATCGAAGAACGGCAAAGGATTATGAAGGTCCAATTAGTGACTTGTTATGGTCAGACCCAGACGAAGATTTGGAGGGTTGGGCTGTGAATAACCGTGGGGCTGGATATTAATTTGGGAGGAAAGTAGTTGATCAATTTAGTCATATTAATGGATTAATTTTGATTGCAAGATCTCATCAATTAGTAATGGAAGGATATAAATATTAATTTAATGTAAATATAGGATCTAAGTTTAGAAAAAATTAGTAACAGTATGGTCAGCTCCTAATTATTGTTATAGATGTGGAAATAAAGGATGCATTTTGGTTTTGGATGAGAATTTAGAGTAGAGCTTCTAACTTTTTAGAGAATCGCCAGAGTCATCTCAAGGGCTCTTTCCTTCAAACGTGTTACCTTATTTTTTATGAATTTATTATCGCAATATATTTTATTCAATAATTAATTAGAAATAGCGAATAAGTATAATAAATTTATTTAATGAAAAAGATAGCACCAAGTTTGTTGGATTATTAATCTGCAGGCTAGGGATAATTGTTGAAATATATTCAGACATTGAGGGAAGCGGAGCAGAACAGCATTCTTCATAAATTACAGAAATATGATATTAAATAATTGTATCATGTAATATAGTGTTTAGAAGTTAGGTTTATCAATAATTCAAAGCAAAGATAGTTTAGATGACACCATAAGAGACAATCAGATGTTTGGAGTTTGATTAGAAGGACGAAGAGATTGGATATACAACAATATCAGAGGGCAAACGTATACGGCAATCCTCACTATTTAGTGGCAATCGTTATGAGTGCTCAGCAAAACATTAGTTTGTTAGACATCCAGTTGCCTTCACATAAGTGTTTGTTACAATTGCATTGCGAACGAATTTGGAGTCTTTAGAATGTAATCAAATAGCGTTGTGGAATGTGTTTACCAATATTGATATTCATTATGACCACCAATATTAATCATGATATGATTACTTGTTTATTTCAAGAAAAAAATCATTTTGGCTTGTAAGAAGATCAGATCTTTTTTATTTAATAAGATAATCTACCCTTATTTAGCATGGAAGGTCAAATTCTATTTAGTAATGAATCTTAGATTTTTGATGATTGCATTGGTGATGGATACATATTTTTAAATTAATCAGTTTTAGACACTATGAAATTTTTGGGAATCACTATCCTTCACCTATGCTCAATAGAAAATGTACTTTGTAAATTTGGAGATCCTCTATGGATTGGTGCTTTCATTAGAAATCAATTATATTTGAGTGCAAAATGTGTACCGAAACGTAGTATCGATGAAAACCTAGGAATCATTGTCAATTAATCAAGTTCAGGTTTGTAATACAAAGGTATTTATAAATGTAATTTCATGTCTAGAGTATGATGAAATCTCTTATTCTGATTTGGTCAAAAAAGATAAGAATGGAAGTTTGGCTAATCCTGATGGAGTCATTGGTTAGATCCTATGTTCTCTTGATTATGCCCTTGAACTTTGTTGCAATTATAAAAACCATATTTTGTCTAAGTAGAGATTTACAATCAAACTAGTTTCCATATTCGATAAAAGAAATGTACATATTTTGATTACATAACTTCCAGTTTAATCAAACCCATGTCATAATCTAATGCTCTTAAATTCGAATTGACATTTTACTAAGCTATTCCTTATTGTCCTATTCAATCCTTTGGATTATTCAGAGTCAAAAGGGAATATGAATATGCTCCCATCCTCAATCCCCCAAGTGAAAACAAAGATACTATTCATACTGCACGTCAGGCCTATATGCGTAGAGATCAAAAATGGATGTCTCAAATAGGATTTGATGTCAATTCAGAATTTGAGATCTCGCCCAAATTAACTTATTTTGGAGAGGGTTTGGAAGAGGCTACAAAAAAGTAGATAAAAAATAAATTATAAATGCCACTTATTCTGCATAGTGAAAAATAAATTAGAACAGTTAGAGTTAACAGTGTTCATAATTAATAACCTTAAAGTTCACCTAACAAGTATTCTTCTTAAACTGTTAACAATTAAAGTTTCGTCTAATAAAAAATGAGCATTCATCAAAGCTTGAATCATCTGAAATAACCTATCGCAAACTCATTAGTTACTCCAACTAATAATTAAAGTTTCCAATTGTCAGGTAGAAGAAGCATCGACTAGAAACCAAGTAGATAGACTGATTATTATCATAGACCTAATCTAAATTAATTAAACACACCTCTATTTTAAGTACCTAACACTTATTATCTACCAAAAAAATGATTTCATAAATAATTTTATTATAATATTTATTTATCACAATAAATTATAATTTTGTTAAACTCTCTCCCAAAACTCTTCAGATACCTGGCTCAATTGGATTTCATATTGAATTAAACTCTTCGCCAATCTATAATAATTCTATTGTTTCTCCAACTAAACATTCAATTTAATTCTTACCTTGAATTTGTCGATCTCTATATATCCCAATAATACAGTGAGTATATCACATATAAATTGCATGTTTTCAATGTCTTTACACACCTAATCAATCTAAACTTATAATTTAGCTATTTGATCTTCCTTCTTTGATGTACTAAATATGTTCTTTATTGAAGACTTCCCTGCTAACACTTCTTATAATTAAATTTAAAGTTCTTTCTATCTCTATTCATAAACCACCTTCTATTATTCATACTTCTCTCTCTATATCATGGTCTCCAAGAATGCTCTCACTTATTTTGATTCCTTCTTAATTTCTTAAAATAATGATTGAAATTCATTCTATTGCAATAAATTAAGATAATTATTGAGTAATTTAGCTGGGTACTCATCATTTTAGATGTTCTAAATAACCAATTTATCCTGACTCTCACAAAATTCCAGCAGCACTTGCTATTCATAACTAGGTAACTGAATTTAAAGGAAATTGAACATTTATTCTTAAAAATTACGTCTTGCTTCTGCTATATTTCTATTGTATTTAGAGAATATACTTAGCAATTTATTTAAAATTCTCAACCATTGGATTTACTCTTTTTAGAAATTAATGAAAATCTGTTATCTTTTGGATTAATTCTCTATTGATTTCTCTCTATATTCAATATAAATATTGATACTCCTGACAGATCAGTGAATGTGTCTTGATATTTGTTGATGATCTCATCGTATGTCAATTTGGGCACTTAGGTCAACGCCTACAAATAAGTGTTGTGTTTACCTTTTCAATATCACCATTTGCCTTTATAAATAACTGGAATTCTTCAGAATACCAGAAGTACTTTGACTGAGCCATAATTCTCATCCATTCTTATAATGAATGCATTCTATCATCTATGAACTTCTAATCCATATTTCCCTAAAAGTTATAGAGTCTTTATATTTACAATTGCTTTTCGTGGTGGAAGTGGTGGAATATAACAACCAGGCCACTTTGTAATAAGGAATTGACGAATGAGTCTGAAATCGCTAAACCTTCGTATCACATCAAATTATCCATTCTTATCCATCCCTCGAACTGAATAAGTTGTGTACTTGTTTAGTCCCGATTAGACCTTCGGATCACCGACTTCAACTGAGATCTTTTATAATCTCTACATCGATATATAATACCTCGAAATCATCTTAGTTCATGAATAATATTATATAAATTCATTTTCTATGTGTAACTGAGTGGTATAATTGTGAATAAAACATTGTTGCTAGAATTGCAGCTCCGATTGGTCCTCCTACATAAATCCACATATTAATCATCTAATCCCAACTCTTAGCTAAACAGTCAAACAATGTCAAACTCAGGGCAGCAGCTGGATTAAGAAGACTATTACTAGAAGTAATTGTGTATCTATCAAAATATTCATCAATTTTACTCTCTACAAGCATAGTATATACATGATAGCATGACTAATGTGGCTATTCTATTTTCAGATAATTAAGTCTCTTTAACAAAGCAAATTAAAGCAAAAATCAAAAAGATTGTTGATCCAATCATTTCTCCAAATAATGATGCAGCCAATTCCTTTATAGGTTCACTAATTTATTGTAATTTATTACTCTTCTATATATGGAGCTTTGTCCATATTCAATAACAAAAATGATAATGCAGCCCCAATAAATGCTCCCAAAAATTAAGGAAGGAAATAGAAGAACATTGTGCCATATGGAATTCCTCCACCCAAAGCCATAGCCAACGTTATTGCTGGATTAAAATGGCCTCCACTCAATCTACCAAATACAAGCATGCATCCAAATAATCCCAATGCTACTTGATATGCTTCATTCCTAATTGAATTTAATTGTATTACTGGCTGCATACACTTATATACACTAAAAAGAATGTGCCTATGAGTTCAAAGATGAAGATGTTCTTTTTAGAAATCGCTTGTTTTTGTTCTTCTGTAATTTGTTCCATAAAAATATTAAAAAAATTTTTAATTAAGATTTTAATACATGGGCGTAAGAGTCACATATCGTAGAAGAACCAGCTATAACACAAGATCAAATAAGATCAGAAAGGTCAAGACTCCAGGTATTTAAATCCATATCAACTCTAGGTGGCAATGTTGTGGCTTAATATCCCAATAAAAAGACTAGTGCATCAACATGTGCAGATTCTAATTTGAGTGTTGTCTTGAACGGTCTCAAAAGAATCAGACCAACCAAACTCAAATAACTTGCTAGAAGATAAAGAACAGTCTCAAGACCATATGGAGGTGTCCTCAGTGCTGGAGCATTAAAAAATCGTATCATCAGAGCATTCCTTGTTGAGGAGGTTAAGATCGTAAAATAAATCAAAAAGTGATTAATAATACATTAAAATTTATCTATGAGATTACATGGTTGCTTTAACAAATTAATTAAATAATTTCAGCTTCAGCAAAGTTTAAAATAACAGAATTTTATAAAATTGTCTTTAGGCTATTTTACTACAAGTAAATTACATTATGTGATTATGTATTATCTAAAGATTTAAAGGTTTACAAGAAATAAAATTGTTTGTTCTATTGCATGCTCCAAATTTAATTATGAAAATCAATGGAATACAAGTATCTTGAAATGTAGATTATATAAAAATATATGAAAGTGCTATGAATAAGCATAGAATAACAATCTTGATTAAATTTACTATTATTTATTTTTATTAACGATTATGATAAGCAAAATGATAATGGATCGTTAGAAAAAAACATAAAATATAGACGAAAATGAATTGGATTCTTTCAATCGATATTTGCAGAGGGATAATCAACCTTTAAATTTAGGCACCTAACTCTCTTATTCTAAAATTAAAGTAAATGTTGGAATGCCTGTGATAACGGAATAACAGAATGAAACTCTTGGTAATACTCATCAATCAACTGTTTAACAAAGCAAAAATGCATCGCCCTAAAAGAAGGGCATTGGAATGGAAGACATTAGACTGAACATTAGAATAGTTTTCAAATTTTATGCAAGTTTTGGAAATAGAAACAATACTAGATTTTTGAAATCAAATAAATTTATTAAAATGTTATCTGATGCTCAAATAATGCCATAATTATTGTCAAATCGAGATTGTGATATTCTATATGCCTAACAAACTAAAAATAATGAAAGTCTCACACTTGAACAATTTTAAAACTTAATACCAAAATTAGCTATGATTCTCTACCCCTAACAAAAAGTTCACTAAGCATTTCAAAAATTATATAATGAATATCTATCATAGTTATCTTAAAAAATATTAAATTTTACTGAATTTGGACAATAAATTCAGTTCGTACTCCAACCAATAAGCAATGAAATTAAAGAATTCATAGAACCCATTTAATAGTAATTGTCTAATTTACATAAATTTATTTTTGAAGACCAAAGCACAAACTTAAGCAAAGTATAATGGCAATTTATGTAATTCTTAACTCAATGTGAAATATTGCCTAATTATATAAATTAATCTTAAGCACAAATCATTTTTGATAATATACAAATAAGATAGCAAACTCTTAATCTATAAGAAAGTGGAAACTACTTATTTAGTTTGAATAATTTTGTTGAAAGTTTGATAATCATTTCAAAAACAGTTCCAAATTTAGATGAATTTACTCAATTTAGATTACTTCTTGATAAAATAGAATAGTCTGAAGGCTTTAGTTAATATTTAAGAAAGTTGAACAGAACATAGAGTGATAAAGTGAGATTATTTTATAATATAGAAAAAAGTAGAGTCTATAAATAAGAGAATCTAATTCAATAAAGTTAAATGATATCAAACACACAAAATAATTTAAGTCATACCAATATTTAAAACATATAAATTGGAAACACTAATAAGAAGGTTGATGAGAGCAGGGTTAATGTTTCAATGTTGAGATAATCTAAATATTTATCAGATATAGATTAATCTTACATTCCTTCATTGAAAAAGCTATTTGAGTTCTTTGCCTAAAGTGGAGAACCTAGCAATATTTAATCATTAAAAAATACAAAATTCAATAAATTGTTACTACACTCAGGAATTTTGAATAATTTAATCACCATAACTGATTCTGATATGATCTATTCAAAATTATGTGGCCTCTAATCTATAAAAACTCAATAAAAGAATAAATAATTGACAAATGGTAAAATGACTTTTGGACAATTTCAAATTAGTTTGGCAATCATAGCTGAAAAATGTGGAATTGATGTAAACGAATTGATTCAATAAAATATCTTACCTTTAGAGAAATAAATTTCTGATGACAATAAAGAATAAATCCTTTAAATTTTAGTTGATCTATTACAAGATGAATAAATTGTATATAAATCATATAATAATATTAGATTTAACTCTACGAGATGATTTAATCAGTCTTTGATTGGTATTTTTAAGAATATGCAAAATAATAAAGTTCAATATTATACTTATCGGAGTTTTTGAAATTTTGCTAAGACTTCGAACTTTCCAATATTTTAATATCATAGACTCAATTGACATCAATATTTTACTCTGTTGCATCACTTAATTAAGAAGGCTAAGAATATTCAGACTAGGTTTTCCTTGATAAATCATAATTTGTAGAAGCCATCAGTATCATTGCCATTCAAATTTATTCTACAATTCCAAATAACATCTAAAGAGTACATACATATATATGATTATTAGATTGTATATCTACTGGAAAGAATATTTTAGTCTCAAAATGCTTCAAAAATTTATGTTAAGCAAAACAAGTATACTTTAATATAATAAAAAATAGGTTATAAGCTAGATTTTAGAATGTCATTGAGGAAATTAAATATAGATTTTTAGAAAAAGATAAAATACGTTAGGAGGAGGAACAATATAATTTTGATGATTTAGTAAATGGAACTGTTTAATAATTTTAATGATTTTATTTTCAGAATAATTCATTAATTAAGTCTTTCAATTCTAAAATTGTACTTTCTTATTATTTCTCTTTTACAGGAAACTCTAAATTATATGATTCCTCTGGTTAAACTGGTTCTTACACTTCATGATAAACATCTTTTAGATTCACCTTTCTATACTTTCCAGAGATAATCATTCTACTCACTTTTTATCTCTCCTTCTATTCTTGTAATGAATGTCCAAATTAAGTAAAGGAAGATTTTGGTAAAATTGTGTTACTTATGGCAGCAGATCTTGGAGGATTCTAAAGATTTCGAGAACATTAACTACAAAATATGTCAGTTTTTTAAGCTTATGGAGTAAGAACTAAATATATGGGAGTCTAGCAACATTTACTACATGGAATCCACTCAGAATCTAAATATAATAATCTAATTATTAACCTGAAAAATAAATGTAAAACTTTTCAGATACTGCATGTTGACATATCAGCAAATTTATTTCTTAAATTGTAAGTTCTTTAAATTTGTCTTATACAATATTAAGAACTGACAATCTTCTCCTGTCTCCAGGTGGTAGGGCTTTGAGCTTGTTATTCATTACATTATGAAGAATAGTACGATAGTTTGCTAAATATGTTATCAAGTGCATTACTTTTGAGAAAGTATATTTTCATATATCGTTTACTTTATTTGGTCTCCATCTCATTATTATTTAATTACTCAGAAAACAGCATATTTGGTTATCTTTAAGTTTGTGAAGTTGTTGCTCTGGGAACATGATGGATAGACTTAATATTATTTAATTTTGATTACTTGAGCAGTTGAAGGTTTTTTTAGAGGCTGAGTTTAAGAAGTAAATGGACGCACTTACATATTAGAGTTATAGCTCTGGACTGGATTAAAGGGGTAATTTTGAAAGACAATTCCCTTCTTTAATTTACCAACTGATTAGGAGTTTGAATGGATAGCATTTTAATTGGCTATTTGTGTGCGATAATAATTGTAATTCATATTAATTAAATAACTTAAATTTATTATATGCTTAATATTTCTATTAATACTTTAATTAATATAATGCTGCTTACAGAAGCAAACTCTCTAAATATTGAATCATTAAAATAGTTTTCTACAGTTATAATTATTCTTATTTAATAATAAAGTCATTTTTATTTTCTTTATATTTAACTCTAAAACAAGATTTAACAAGATAAATTTTTATATAATTAATGGTTTGTTTCTTAAAATATGATTAAGCAAAACATAAAAAGTAGAAAAGTTTTAGATTATTGCTTAATAACTAAGTAATATTACTTTTTATTTTAGTTTTATATTAATATATTCAAAGTTATAGACATATTAGGATTGTTATTATTTTTCTTTCGAGAATAACTTTACTAATTAAGCTACTTGTTAATATCCAAATTATCAAATTTATGAATAAATCGCCTTAGTTTATTTAAATTTTAAGAATTGAAATTATTATTTATAGCTTTTAAATTTGATTTAGCCCCTCATTAATAAAATTGTTAAGACTATATATTAAAACAATTTTACAATCTAAAAAAGATTAATAGACTAATAAATTTAATTTAAATTAAGAGTTTTTATGAAATATTTATAACTAATAAATCAACTTATAATATTTAAGCAATTGATATGGCCATAATTTCTACAAACTAAACATTCTATCTAATCTAAAAAAATTTGTATATTATAAGTCAAAACTCCGCAATCTTACTCTTTGTGGGTGTTCTTACCACAGTTTATGCATTATTATAATCTTTGCTAAAACTAAATATTTATATTTATAGTTTACCTTACAATCATATTTTCTATGACCCATTTGATTGCATCTAAAACAAGAAACATTAGAGCATATGTCCCCTACATGTTTTTAACTTAAACAATAATTGCATTATATGTTTAATTACTCAGTACATTATCTTTCTTGATGTCCAGTCTACTTACATCTATAACAGTATTCGAATGGATTTTATTAGTAGTATCTATTCGCACCTAATTCTAATTCATCTTTTAAATCTTATCTATAATTTATATATGTTATTGATACTTTAAATTATCATCGTCATTTTTATCATCATAATTTTATATTGATTATGATTAAGACTTTAGTTTTTATATTTTTTCATTCAAATTTTTCATTGAAGTCATTTTTTTTTATCCATTTAATTCATATTCTATCAAATAATCTCTTTTAGGTGGATTGATATCAAAAATAAAATCTAAAATTTTAGTCTAAGATTTCATTTGTTTATTTTTTGATTTAGAATTAGAAGGTAATGATAATAAACTATCAGATTCACTTGAACTAGTAATAGCCTAAAAACTAGAGCTTGTAGAAGATGAGCTACTACTACTTCTACTACTGCTACTGCTACTACTGCTTTTCTTTCTCTTTTTCTTATTGTTATATTTCTTTTTTTGTTCATATTTTTATTTTTATTTTGAAATTCTTATTTCTTATTTTTTGTATTCCTACCATAATTCTTCTAATGCATCTAATTTTATTTATTACTTCATTAAATATTATATACTTAAATGTGATAATCCAGAGTGCATTTATTCTGCCAAATAGACATTTTAAAATAAATTATTATATATTTAAAATTAAATTAAATCAATTGTTAGCTGCACGATGAAATTTGATATAATTGATATTTTCTTCTTCATCTTAATCCTAAACTTGTTCTTCTAAGGGTTTTAGGTCATAGATTTAATTTTAAATTTATTCACTTCTTTCAAAATCTCTAGTCAATGCAAGATTGAGTCTACAAATCTATTATTCATTGTTGGAAACTCTTTACTCAAGGGCTTATAAAGTCCTAAACTTAAATGAGATAAAAACCTTGTAATTAATTCCAATTACCCACTGATATTGTCTAATTGAGTGATAACTTCTGCTGGGACATCCTCTTTCTATAATTAGACACTTTAATTAAATTCACTCTTCTTGTGTAAACTATTGTCTGCATTTGAGTATAGAACAGTTTCCTTCTATTTAGGTAATTAACTATTAGATTATTAAACATTTTCTTTTTGTTATGAAGATTGCTATTATCCTTATGTTGATGTCTGTTGAATGGGTTTAGATTTGACTTACTTAGGTTTTTCATCTAAAGATTCCTGACCACTGCAAACCCAATTAGTATTCCAAACTAAAATCATACTATCAGATCCTCCAGTAGCAAAATAATCCCCATGATTAGAAAATGCACAAGTAGTAGCTTAGCCATTATGACCATATAGTGTATAAGCCAATTTTCCCATTCTAAGATCCCATACCTTGACTTTGCTGTCAGCTCCAGATGTCATAGCAAACTATCCAGATGGATGAAATTTCAAATCCAAGACTGAATCTGCATGAGCATCATAATGTTAGATAACTCTCTTTGATCTGACATCAAACAATTTCAATTTCTTATCATGAGAACATGATCCTAATATTGTTGAATCTGGTGAGAATTGAACCTTATAGACTACTCCAATGTGTTCATTATATCTTTAAGCTTCTTTTTTTGAATCACAATCCCAAATAATAACTGCTCTATCATCGCCACCTGATGCTATCAATCTAACATCTTATGAAAACACGGCACTTCTAACCCAATTTGTATGCTGAAATCCATATTGAAATTTACGATCATTCACACTCCAAACTTTGACAGATTTATCATCACTTGAACTCACCAATAATTAACCATCACAAGAAAATTGAACACTTCTGACTGGAGCTGAATGTGCCTTTATTGAAACTGAACTGCCTTCAACTGTATTATTCCAAAGTCTTATAGTCTCATCTTTAGCACAAGATGCAATCAATAGACCATTTGGAGAGAATTGAACATCACTTACTTATCCTTTATGACCCATAAATCTATAGACTTTCCTTGGTTATTTCAATTACCACACAGACACTACACCATCATTGGCACTTGATGCAATTGATTTTCTACTATATAATTATTGACATACAATCCAGGATGAAATGATAATGCTGTAATAGTATCCTTATGTCCTTTTAGAGTTGTAAATAATGTTGGGTCGTCTTACATTTCGTTTAATTTAAAATTCAAATTATATAATTAATTCATTTTGCATTAAATAACATTAAAAGACTATTATTGATTCTATAGGCTCCCTTCTATTTTTCTATCCATTTATCAATATACCTAGCAAAAAACACTTCTTCCTTTCAATTATATGCAACCATTTAAAAACTAGTATAATGGACTTATTAATTATTTTAATATTAAAGTTAAATAGTCCCTGATAAACAATACAAGGATTTTGTGTGAATATATATTAATAATATTAGTACCATCGTGTAAAATTATTAAATTTATGTCACAGAAGAAGAACGATTGCGAATTGATTTTAATCGATCCTTCAGATGAAACAGAAATTAAACCAATGAAAATCTTAAAGAAGATTGTTACCAATGCTGGTGGAGTAAGATATTTGGTTGAGTACAGCAATAATGAATAGAAACAAGAGACTGAAAAATATATGAAGGAGAACTATTAGGAATTGATAGAAGATTATAATTATTTCTCTGTTTGTGGTAGCAGATTTGATTAATTAACTTTGTAGAAAATGAGAGAAAATAATAATAAGATTTAAAATTTCGAGAATCATGCTAAATTACCTACTATTCCTACAGATGAAAACTATCCAATTTTTAAAAGGCAAAAAAAAATTGATAAGTAAACTGAAAAAAATATCAAGTCCAATATATTACCACTGCCTTAACAATAGCAATAATAGTTGTAGTAGCAATTCTTAGTTTAATAATCACAGAATTAGTAGTAATAACAAGTTTAATTACAAAATAATTTGAATTAGAATGAAAAAAATTTAATCAAATAATAATAAGTCCAAAATTAAAACTTACTTTAATTTTAATCAGATTAAGGAGATAAAATTAAATCTATCACTTTAGAAAACGGATTATTTTTAGTTCAATGGATCCCCAGACCTGATGGAACTATACCTTATCAAGAATACTATCATTATGACTTTCTTAAAGCAACAGCTCCTACTATTTTATTGTCATTCTTAGAGCAGGAATTTTTAAATAAGGACTTAAAATTTAAAAATCTCAAGCGACATTCTTTTCTAAATTCAAATTCAGAAACTAATTAAAATGAGGATAATTAACAAAATAAAGATACTCCGCATAATCATATTACTCAATAAGTGAAAACCTAAGAAATTATTGAACCCTAAAAGGAAGTACTTAGGGATGATAAGTTGAATAAAAAAGATGTCTTTGAAGAAGTAAAGGAACAAAAAGATAATTCTAAAGATATTCTTATAGATGACATCTCAGTCGACGAAGCCTAAGAAGTCATTCTTGATGAAAAGTAAACTTCTGAAAAAGAAAAGAAATAGCAATAATAAAAGAAAGGCATTATTCCAACTAGTAAACCTTAAGGATCCACTTAAAAATAAAGAAAACCTACACTAGAAAAAGGGTAGGAAGTACTTACAATTGATAATGCATAAGGGAAACTAGATGAAAAGTTATCGTAAATAGAAAAACCAATACCCAAGTAACAAGTAACTGTAAGTTAACCAAAATTGGCAAACTAATCGTTTCCAGCCTAATTTGCTTAAGCCTCAGATGAATTTGAAATACTTGGTTCTTTAGATAAACCAGACGATAAATAAAATTAAAATTATGAAAAAGAACTTGAAGAATGTTATTCTGATGTTGATTTACCCCATTTTTAATTTAATTAAAGTGAATTATGATAATTTTAAAATGTATATTGATAGTAAGAGAGTTTATATAAATCAACAACATAATTATATCAAATATACACAAAATTTATAATTTATTTAATTTAAGCAGAGCAATTTATTATTAATCCATTCTGCCATGGATTATTTGAAATCAAATACTTTTTCGTCTTTAAGAAAATTAATTATATTATAGAAAAACATAAAATTAATAGAATTAATTATTTGTGAATTCATAGAATCTTTTAAAAATGAAATTGATTCAAGATTATATATATTATAGAGTTAGATATTATCTTAATTTTATGGGAATTAGGATGCATTTTAGGAATTCATCATCAACATTATTTAAATTTTAGTTAAATGGTGAAATTAAAATTTAGAAAATTGTTAAGACCGCAGTATTCTTAATCTATATGAGATAATGGAATGATTGTAATCTGATTATAACTTTAATTTTAGGTTGAGAAAGATATATCTCTATTATATGAGTAATTGTATTATTTAATTAAATGAATATAATAGATTGAGTTTAATTTATTCTCCAAAAAGCCATTTAGTGATTGATATTTTAATATAGATAGTAAATACCTGAGTTTAAACAGAATAGAATTGATTATTTTTTAAAATCATCAAAAGTATCTGTATATTTGAGTGTTGCTTAATATCAAGGGGAATCATTATTATTTAGATTTAAGTAAATTGTTCTAATTTTAATTTGAATATACAATCAATGTTGATATATTTTTCCTCATCCGATATATTATGTAAAACATTTGAGAATAAAATATATTTTTTTTGGATTACATATGTATTTTTCCTCAAATTCATTAGCTGAGTGAGAGCATTGACAAGCGATTTCGATTATAAGATGCATCTGAGTGTCAGACTGTGATAAGTTAGGTAAATTGTGATACAACAGAAAATTCCAATTTGATAGATTCCTTATGTGGATAGATCTGTATTTGTGAATTTGAGGAGATGAATTAACAGTCCGATCTATTTTTTTGATCTAAATATATTTAATATTTAATATTCATTTGTCTTGGACAGTCTTGATGAGCCATTCCATGCCTTCTTATAAACCTTCTTGAGTTTTGGCTGAACATGCAACAATAGACCATTATCTATCATTGATTTTATTTAATTTCAAACTATCAGAGATCTTAATTAGATAGAATACTAACCTCATCAGCAGGAAGGGCTTGCACCAAGTCTTATTTATTTGCAAATACCAAGAGTGGTACTTTCTTTAATTCAGCCTCTCCAAGTAATTTATCTAACTCTTTGCCTCCCTCTTCCAAACGCATTTGATCAGATGAGTCGATCACAAACACCAAAGCATCTGTATTTTCATAGAAGTTGCTCCAATATTCTCGAAGTTTCTATAAAGTAGTATTGGAATTACCTCCTAACCTCCCACATCCCAAACATTAAGTTTGAAACCCTCGTGTTGCAAATTTTTAATGTTAAAGCCGTGAGTAGGAGCAATTTGATTAATGTCTTCATTTGACAGAGCCTTTAAAATGGTAGTTTTTCCTGCATTATCCAAGCCCAAGACGAGAATCCTCAATTCCTTTTCTGACTTCTTAATCTTACGAATGATATTAAGCAAACCCTAGATAAGCATTAAACTTCATACCATCCTTAAAGATTTGTTTTATTATTATATTTATTATTTAATATTTTCCGTTGCATATATTAATAAATCATGGATATAGAGGTTTATCTTCGCTCTGATGAGAACTCGAAAGATCTGGATGATGTACTGGATAAACAGCTTCTTTGACTCTAAAACCCTCAAAATCATAGTATTACCTTCCAGTAGCCTGATCTCTGGCAGCAACACGTTTTTTGGCTTCGTTGATCTCAGCTTGAGTGATGTTTGTGTATCTTTCATCAGCCCACATGGTGTCAGGTCTAAGCTTGTCCCTGTGTCCATCAGCCCAAGTCTTGTCTGAAACATCCTTCACTGTTCTACCCTTGAATCTCAATGAGAATCACATACCTTATTATAAGGAGAGACCTCTAAAACAGAACGATATTGCAATGTTTGGATGGCCTCGATCTTGTCGAGTTGCTTCTTCTTCTCTTTTAATCCTTCCAAAGCCCATTTTGGACAAATCGATATAATATTATCAGCTTCTTCTTGACATTTACTCACTCCATTCACACTCTAGCATCGTTTGAATTACTCTATCTGTCTCACACAACCTCTGGGAAGTGCTTGAGCTCTGATTGCCAAGGCTGTGAACATCGGAGCATCTCTATTGCGAATAGGATTTCTAATTACTTTCTTGTTTGCCATCCGTGATTGCCAAAGTGTTATTCACTCAAAGGATCATAGTGAGTTGGGAAAAATACACTCCAATTTACTCTGTTGGGATAAGGATCTGGAAAGTAGAATCCATTTCCATTTCTAATTCCCATACCCATACGCTTCTAATTAGGAATTTGCTGCATCGCAAATGGGTTATATGGAGCGATAGCCCTTCTCCACTTAGACAATGTGTTATTAAGTAAATTCTTTTTAACATTCAAGTATGGATAATTGGTCTCATAGTACTCAATATCCAATGGTTGACCATCTGGGTTATCGTTCGACATATATAAAGATTTAATTAAATTAATATACTATTTAAAATTAAAAAAGAAATATGTGCAAACATATACTCAATGCCCAAGTTGCCATAAGAGCTGCCTGTTGCAAGAAGTAAATTTTCCCCTTATCATTAAATAAGATGGTTCGATTGTGCAGAGTGTCATTAAGAAATAGAAGACCATCCGCTTTAAAAAAACATTGAAATGATTTTTGCCTGCAAAAAGTGCAAGAAAGTTTTTCGAAAAGACATTACAGATTATGATGAATCTGATGAGTATTGTCCACAGTAAATCCCTATCACTATTCTATCTAGTTGTGATAACCATTATGTTATCAAAGCAGTCACTCAAGAGTCCAAAGAAATTTAAAAGTTTGAGAACTTAGTTAAGGAAGTCAAATAATGAATATGCCTTGTTCTGTTTTATTTTATTAATAATATTTTGGTTACTTTTGTTTTTAATAAGAAGTTGATAAAAATTGCCATGCATTTTTTTTAATTTCAAATGCATTAGGTAGTTTCATTTTTTAAGTATGAATTTTAGCTAACATTTTACAATAATATATTTTCTTTTTTATTTAATATTTGATGTTTTAATTATTTTTAGTTTACTTTTAACTATAATGTGGATTTCACAAAGAAACTAAAACTAAAGCCTTTTTGTTATTGGCCATAAGTAATAGTCTTATTATTATTCCATAATCTAATTATATAACTTAGACATCTATAAATAAACAAAAAGTAATTAAGTATATGGAAAGAATAAAGTATATAGATTTCTATTATTTTAATAAGAATTATGGGAATTGAATTAAATTAATTTGAATATTATTATTAATGTCTTATCATTATTTGTTTAAGTTTATCATCATTGGAGATACAGGTATAGTCATATGATAAAAATGAAGCTGTTGGAAAATCATGCATCTTGTATTAATTTTTGGAATAGAAGTTTCGAGTGAAACATGAAATGACTGTGGGAGTTGAATTCGGTGCCAAGATTTTAAACCTAGAGAACAAATAAATCAAATTATAAATTTGGGACACTGCTGGATAAGAAACCTTTAAATCTATCACCAGATAATATTATAGATCAGCTGCAGGTGGAATTCTAGTATATGACATCACAAGAAGAGAGTCATTCGAAAACGTTAGAGAATGGATAAAAGAATGTCGAACACATGGCACATAGGAAATGGTGATAGTGTTAGTTGGAAATAAAGTTGATTTAGAAAAATAGTAAAATATTCATAATATAAATGGCGTAAAGTTTCGAAATCTGAAGGACAATAGTTAGCCTACGAAAACAATTTGCTTTTTATTGAAACAAGTGCGAAGGATAATTTGAACATCATAGAAGTAATTTTTAAACTAACTTAATAGACATTCTCATAGGCAGCCTCGCAAGTATTAAAAGTAGTACAGAAAAGTCAGCAAAAGAATGAACTCCCAGGAGTCCGAGTTGGATATGCAATTGACTAGACGAAAGGTTAATAAAGTAGTTAAAGTTCAAATAAATGCTGCTGATATTATAATTAATTTATATATATCGTTATTACACAGAAATAAAATAATTTAAATTGCATCAATAAATTCTATCTTATTTAAGCCAAATCAGTACTCCTGAAATGGTTTAATCCTTATGTAGAATTCATTCTTACTATTAATTATTAATTTATTTTTAATATAAAAATGCCATCCTTATTCGTTTTTGTTGCCCTGATTCTTGTACTAACCAATGCTTAATCAAGTGAGAAAAAATTGAACAATAAAGGTTACAATTATCTCCATAATATAGAATAAAGTGAGGATCTCATAAAAAGTACAAATATTTTCAATTCTTGCATTATTGTCTCTTACAATTATTTAATACAAGAGGATACCAAAATTGAGAATGAATTAAATAAAATCATGATGAGTTATGAGGAGATTTAGGATTTAGAATAAAAAATTGCACAGCAATATGTTGCATCTAAAAGAATCAAACTTGATGCAGTAAAACAATGTGTAAATAAACAGACAGTTGATGGAGCATAAAAAGTGAGAATATCTATTTATTAAGTAGATATTATCAGAATTGTAAAATAGAAGATTTGATGCTAAAAACTATTATCACCTGATGAGTGGATTCGAATTAAAGAAATACTTTGATAGATAAGTTGAATACAAATTCACTAAAGATGATGATATTCTTTCTGATATGATTGAAGTATCACGAGTTTTCTATTTAATAGGAATTTCTGACCAAGTTGAAAGAAGCTCAGGGAATTGAAGAGTATGGATTTAATGATTTATACCCTCAAATGAAAGATAATGAATTGAAAACTAAAATCTTTGGAGTAGCTCTCGAATCGTCATGGCTTTCATATATGATTTTCTTTTCAGTTGCTTTTGTAATCATTTTGATAATGAAATTTGGTACATCCTTATTCCATATTAAATAGCTTACAGCACTCTTTAGGATTCACAATAAACCAATTCAAAAAAGCAAAAAAAATAAAAAAAATGAACATTATTAAATAAGTATATTAAATAAAGAGTAGTATTTTACATTTTTAAGTTTGTGTTTTAGGATGATTATCTCAATTTGAGAGCATCTTTGTGTAATTATAATTAATTTCCAATGTGAAATAATTCATAAGCAACATATTGTTTAATTTGATTAAAATATAATAATTTACAACTCCGTGTAGAATCTGAGGATATGAGATAATTTAATTTTATATAGGTAATTTAAAGGGTTTAATTAATATATGAGTTTCAAAATATGAAACAACAACATCCCTTTGATCTTTAGATCATCATAAATCTAAGTGGATTATCTGATCCTAACAATAACTCATGAACTTTAGATTTGTTAACTATTTTGGTGTTGCCATATTCCTAAATTAAGTCAAAGTCATCTGGACCCAAGTCGATATATCTTAAAGTTATAAGCACCTTCCCCTTTGAATGTATTTGGTACCTTTAGATCTTCGATGGATGTTGTAGATTCAACATCCAGTTGAAAAGTGTCCTTCTCGACCTAGGGATGAGAAAAGTCTTTATGGACTGTAATGTATACTAGCATATAATTAAATTATATATATAATATAATAATTTTATATATATATATCAAATGGAAACTAATTCAATCCAATAGAGATTGGGTTCGACTTACCATTTATAACCTTTGTTTTGATAAATTTATAAGTTCTGATTGTTTAAGTATTCTGTCACTTTGTTGAGCTGTTCTTTTTCCAAATCCATAAACTATGGTTCTAAACTCCAAGTCTTAGCAACAACTATTAAAGTAAGCACTATATGAAATATTCAAAATACATGCTGCTAGACACAGAATAGCCACTGCAACATAGAGCAATGCTAATTTGTCTCTATTTCCATAGATTAAAACTAAAAGGAACACGAAGGCCAAAAGTATTAAGAAAACTGACACATAGAGAAGTGGTTAATATGCTTTGGTTGGGTCTTTGTGTTCTTCTCTTTATTTTTCTCTCCACAAATTACGACAAATACGAGTAGCTTCAGCCACTGTATTATCAAAGGTTTATTTGTCTATATTTCTAGCTAACAATTTGTCATCATATGTTTTCCATTGGAATCCAACTCCCTAAGATTTATTCAGCTATTGCAAGTACATCTTTATTTGCTTTGACGATGAAACGATCCTCTGTTGATTATGGGAACTCAAGCTTATCAATCTTTTGTGCTCTTGAAGCAAAATTAAAATCTCCTCCTTTTGCTTTCTTCATTTATTTTAATTATATATAATAATATGTATCAAATACTGAAAAGTGTCTCACATTTTTAGAACGAGTGCATTCTAACCTACTCGAAAGAGAAGCTCATAATTTACACCAAAGAAATATTGCTGCATATGCAAGTACTAACATCATGAGATTGTGCTTAGACTTTTAGGAATTATATGAGTGATATCGTGGCTGTGGCAACATCAAGCAAAGGAGTATTTGTCGTGTTCTGCGAGAGAGAATTGATTGCGTATAAGCCCCTTTTGAATGGCTGGGAATAAGGGTACAGTAAGAATTGCACAAATCCCATAAGAGATGCATTTTTCTCATTTGATGGTAATATATATTAAATTCTATAAAACAGATGAACATATCATAGGATGTTCATAAAATAAGCTTCATATTTGGAAGGCAACTCATAAGTAAAATAGATTACTTGGACAATTAGATTAATATGAATTAATTGATCTGACAGAAATCTACACATTAGAATTGGAATACCAAATAGCAAATGTGAAATTCTCTCCAGATGTTCGTTATTTTACAACCCTTCATTAAAATACAGTTATTGTATGGGACTTCCATTCAATCAAGGAAGTCTAAGAAGGAGTTCTGTCACAACAATAGAGAGTGAACTTGGATCATTAAGACGAAGTAATTTCATACAAATTTCGAGGCACACTTAGAATAGCTCCATCTCCATTCCCCACTCCTAATACTATTGTTACACTCACCAAATCCAACCAATTAACCATATGGCAAGAAATGATTCAATGCAAAAATTTCTGTAAATTACACACTTTGCATTTCGATCAAATCTCATCATTTTGTTTCATTTACCTCAAGGGATTAACACCATACCCTTGGAAAAATACTTATTTAGAATCTGATTAATTTGGAGTTCAGGATACAGAGTAATCTAGTGTTGATTATCTCCTCTTGCACTAGGAAGCTGAATTAAGTGTAGTCAAATTAGATTTCCTTAGGAATTACTCATTAGAAGAATCTGTTAAAGTTATTAAGAAGACTAAAAGTAACATCTTCAATCAAATTAAAAAGATTCTTCTAGTTGATTAAATAGAAGGACGGAAAATTGAAATGATTGGATTCGATAGATTATGGAATCTAATGAAAATATGTGTTAACTTGAAGGATGATTCATAATAGATGTTTCAATGTGAAAAATTCATATTTTAGAATATCGTACATTTCTCCATATGTAAAAGTCAAGTGGCAATAATAAATGATTGGAATTATTTGTGTTTGCAATAATTAAAATTGAATAGTGTTATTAGTTAGGAATATCATATTATTGAGGGACAATAAAAGATTTGGAAAATCAATTCAAATCTATCCAAATGTAAAATCCATTCTATATAGTAGATTAGCTAATGTTTATTGCTAAGGATAAAATTAAAGAAAATGACGTTATTCTCCTAATATCATCTAATGCTTAATAATGTTAGGCTTTCATTATCTAGTAAAATCAACTCGTAGAAGTGCATCTCAAACTATACAATCATCTATCAAATGATTATAGAGATAAAATTACTGACTTGAGAAAAATCAATTACGAAATAGATGACTTACAATTGTTAGTAATAGCAGACTAAAAAATTGCGTTAATTTAAATATAATTTGAGATCTATGGCCATGGTTAGATGGATTTATAAATATCAGAATTGAAGACATGGAAATTAGATTTCACTTATGAAAGACTCTAAGTCTTGCAATCGATAGAATTGTCTTTTATTTCCATTGCTGGAAAAACATTAAAGGGTTACAATGAATAGATGTAGCAAATTGTATAGATTTCTAAAAATTACAATATCAAAGATGTTGGATAGTTAAAGGGTATCCAGCCTATATATTACGTGATGAGTCATCAAAATGAAATTGATTTTCATTCTTCATCAGGAGAGTTTTTGGTTAGATTCAATCTCCAATCATTTCTTGTGAGAGTAGACAAGGCTCTTTATGATGTTTCCAAAGTTGTTGTGTAGGTTGTACCATTAAATAACTTTGCATTCATTTTATAAACTGATAACTACTTAACAGCTTTTGCTATATAATTTGATAAGAGTGATTAAAATTATAAATTGACATCGATTAAATAGTAATTGATTTACCTTATATTATAGAAAGTATTTAAATAATAGAGAAGCAATCTATTGCAAACGATTATCTAAATATTCTATGCCTTAAAATTATAGATTTTTCAGGATAAAAGACTGTCTAATAGTAAAGACTGGCCGAAAAGTTAAAGTATTGGGAAATTCATTAATCCGTTGTTTAGCAGACAAGTTTTGGATGCCTAGTACTTTAAGCTACAAATTAATAAATTAACAAAGTATTTTTATAATTGATAACTTAGACAACGTTTAATTGTAAGATTATGATTTCTTGAGTGAATTAATACAACTTGGCAAAATACAATTAGTATAATTTATATTGAAGCTAATATGTCTTAAATTTAAACATCATGGAAGTTTGGGGAATCATTATATGGTTCCATATAAGTATTTATTAGAATTATATCAATTGAATTCTGAGCCAGAGCCTTTATGGGTTGATGCAATTAAAACATATGAAACAAAGAAACTATAAGACAAGGATTCATATGATTACACTTTACATCCAGTTGATGTACTTAAAAAGATTTGTTAAGAATATCCATTAAAGATTACTATCATTCTAGATTATTTAAGATATTATGAAGATAATTCACGTTCATTGGACTTTTATGCTGCAATGTTTATGTTCCATGTACACATCTTCAGAAATCAACCTACTCACAAAAGAAATCGAGTGTTAAGTTCTAAAGAAGTTGTTTGGGCATTACATTCATTATAAAAAGAAACTCTTTGGTAAGAATGCATTGCCAATTCAGACGATTTATCTTGGAATTTGGTGAAAAGATATGCAGCAGTATTATGGATGGATTTATCGTTTATTAAATAAAGATTAGAAGAAATAGCATTGCAGATTTATAAATAGACAAAGGATCCATTTTAATCATTATTATACTTTATAGTTTTGGGTAAAAAGAGTGTAATAACAACGCTTTTCAAAAAGGAAGTTAATTCTGGCAAAGAGTATAAATCAACTTATGAATTTTTGCAATAAGATTTCACCTAACCCAGATGGAAATCAGCAGCTTCAAAGAATGCATATGCCTTAGTATCTAAAAAAAGATACTAGGATGCAGCTGCCTTTTTCTTAATAGGAGGACATTTGAATGATGCAGTGAATGTCATGGCTAGATATATGGAAGATATATAATTGGCTTACTTAACAACAAAGATCCATGAACCTCTAGGTGGACCTGTTGGAGAATAACTAATATAGGACTATTTTATCAAAAGTGGTGAAGAGATGAATGATATTTGGTTATTGCATATTGGTTGCTATCTTTTGGGAAGATATGTTGATAGTGTTAATGTCTTATTAAGAGAACCTGAACATCATATACTAGAGTATGATAATTTTGGAAAGGCTGTATGTATTAGTTGGCCATCTACATTTACACCTTAGTTATCGTATTATCATCCATCTGCCATTCTGTTGGTTGAGAAACTCAAGGAAAATATAAATGTGAAAAGAGAAATTCAATAAAGCATTGATGCTAATAAAAAGAAGAGTAAGAAGGCAGAAGATGATATCTTTTCTCAATTTTATGAAAGTGAGGAATCGGAAGAGGAAGAAGTTGTAGAATAGGTTCCAATTAAGAAGATAAATGATAATTAAGAATTTATTAAGTAATAAGCAGTAGAATATTATTACAATATCTAAATGCCATAATTAGGAATGATATTTGCATAAGAGTTAAATTAAGAAACAGAATAATCAGAGCAATTAATTGAATTGTAGATTGAAATGTACATCGTTTAAGCTATCGAGGATTAAGAACATTTCACAAATTATGTGTAATTAATGTAGAAACTTGATGATTTAGCAAATTTTACAAATCATAACAAAACAAAACTATATGATGTTGCATTGAAGAAATTAAGATAATTGAAGTCTCCTTCTCGTTTTCTTACATTTGCCATCCATTATGATTAGACTGGGCTAGATGAGTTCATTTCTTTTTGTCAAGAAACTTAAAGTTTATTGTATAGAATATGTTTCGATTATCCCTTATCCGAAAAGAGTTAAGAGTATTATTTAACATTTGTTCAGAGTCTCTATGAAATCGATGTTGGATTAAAACTATTTCAGTAATCCTAATATTATCAAAAGAAATTTGATAACAAATTGAAATTGAACATCATTAAATTATTGGCGTTGTTCATGACTTTGATTTTGGCATTGGAATTACACCTATGGGAGAATGCATTTGAACAATTAAGAAAATTGGAGACATTTTGTAATACTGTATACAAATAACATGTATAAGATTGTGGATACGAGAATTTGAGAGATGATTTTTGTGAGTTGGTGAAGTCAGCAATCAAAAATAAAAGACTCTATACAAATAAAGGATTTAAAGCATATCGAAATTTAGATGTATTGTAGGATGCTTATCCAGAAGATTTATATAATGTTAGTGAATAGGATTATTTGCAAAAGCATAAACCAGCTGCGCCAGAATAGGAATAATAGAAATCAGAAAGCCTTGAAGATTTACAATAATCAGATCTTAGTTAAGAGAAAATAATAGAGGAGGAGAATATCTAGAATTCATTTATATATTTTACATTGCAGTCATTGATTGTGAAATACTTCTTGTCTATATCCAAGAGTTACTTTAAAATAGAAATGTTCAATATTGCAATAACTAGTTATAGTAATATATTTACGATGGCTGAATAATATGTGACCACCAGAAATGATATGGTTATCACTTTATTAAAGAATCTCTCTGATTTTTCATAAGAATAGAATTTTATTGAAGATCTAAGAATGGTTTTGAAAGAGTCTTCATTTGCTAAAAGTCAATACTTTAAGTAGCTTGAAAGGATTTTCAATTTAAATCATTTCTTTTAGATTTGCTAAAAAGTTGGATTAGATCAATATTTGGAGGAAATCTCAATAAATAGAACGAAATAAGCATTTAAATATCCAATAAGTAATTTTGACGAGTAATCAATAATCACTTTCAAAAATAAAATCTTTAAGTAAGGAGTTGAAGTATTTAAAATAAAGTCTGATTAAATAAAGAACATATGTATTAATAATGCCAATCCAATCGAAGGTTTTGTATTATATGGTAAATTCTTAAAGCACATGAAATTCTATAATACTCTCTAACACAAAAATAGATCACTGGATGGTTATAATTTAGTAGAAGAAGAAACCATCGATGAGGCTATAAGGACAGAAGCATCTTAAACAAATAAACCATACATTATAAAGCTATGTTCATCAGCTTTAGGAATCTAGGTTGGATTGGATAAGGAGAAGAAATCATATCTAAAATCAAGAGCACATCCCTATGAAGAATACAAAGACTTCACTGAAAAGGATTTCATGGAGAAATTCTAGAACTGTTCTAGCAAATTGATTCCAGAAGAGGATTTGCAATGTTTGGCTTCTCATCCTCATCTACCATTATTTTTGCAAGGAGGAAAAGGAATGATCAATGTAATGACTTTTAAATCATCAACATAAGTAGTCGCTGAATTCAATTCCCAATAAAGAGATTCTATCGACTTTCTTAAATTTAATAATTCAGGTGAACTATTCATTGGGCATGATGTAAATAATAGTGCTTATATTTGGAAACTTAATCGAGTCAACAAACTCAATACACCACTCTTCTAACTTAATAGTAAAGTTCGACCAACTACTGATCTGACCTTCATTAACGAGGGAACAGTTTTTGCTTCTATTTATAGTTCTACTAGTAAGCCTCATTTTGGGTTGTATGATATGTTATTACCTGCTAATCGCAATATTGTAGCATAAGAGAACTTTAATGGAACAGACATCTTATTTTCTACTCCCTTGAATTCAATTTTGATAGGAAATCAGAAAAAAGGAACTGTCAATTTCTTGGACATCAGAAAGAATTAAATCTACAAAACATTAGAAGTAATGTGATCAATTTATTATTTTAAGTTACCCTTCACAGAAATCAAATTTATGAAACTAAATCAATACCAAACTTCACTAATTTGTGCTTGCAATGATGGATAAATTAAAATCATCAATTTAGAAACTCTGTCTACCATTGTTGATTATAAACCATTTAGATAAGGTACAAATACATCCATATGATTTTAGATAAAAAGCAGTAAATTATGGCTTTGACATAAACTGAAAATGCTACATATGCAGCATCATCCGATGGAGTTGTATCATTAGTATATTTGAATGCATGAATTTATAAAATTCAAATTATTAGATAAATATGCAGATGTTCTCTAGAAATAATAAGTGAAAATTCACTTTGCTAAAGTTTATATGCTACTCAGCATCAAAATCTAATAGCCAAAAATTGTATTAGAAATCGAATCACAAATAAAGATAAATTCTGAATTAAGTGCAAAAAGATGCGACAGTAAAAATAAAGATGTCTGGTATTACTCAATTGCAAGATCAGTAATAGGAATCTTTATTTTTAGAAAATATACTTCTTGAAGACTGATAGATTTAATCGCAATTTATGTAATATCAAAAATATTAATTTGATGGATTGATTTTGGATAGTAAAAAGAAATTTGCCTAAAATAAATGTGAAATTTTTTAATTTATGAAACACTGAATCCCCATAGGTACATCACATGACTTACAGGAATAAATATAAAGAATCAATCAAATAATGAATTATACTAAAATTTGAGCTGACCTAAATTAATATAACTTTTCCAATTGTTAGAGTAATTTAATTTTTTTTTTTTATTAAATTTTAAATCAATAATTTGCAATAATAAAAATAAAAAAATGAAACCAGTTATTCATAATCACTTCCTTCCTTTTATTAAAAATAGTCGTATTGTGAAACATAGATTGATAATTCTTAATATTTTAAAGAAAATGTATGAATAATTTTATAATTGTTATAATCACATCATCAAACAATAATTTTTATCTAGTAGATCGTACTTAACTTATATATCTAATACGATCATTAATAATTAATATTAAAATAATATTGATTATATTTTTATACTTTTATGTATATCTCATTGATCATTTTCTAACTTAAATTTCATTCATTGACATCCTATGCTTTTTACTTTTGGCGTGCTTTTTTCAATTTTTTTTCTTATTTTGATTAATCCTTATCATCAGTCTCTAATAATAATAATAAATATTTACCTTCAAACATTGTTTTTAATTCTTCCAAAATTAGTTCATCTAATTCATCTAATTCACCTTGTTCATTTTTATTATTTGATATTTTTAGGAATCTATTTTTAATGATGTCAAAAAATTTTTTCATTAATGTCTTTTTATATAGTATTTTAATATCCTATGAATATATGAAGGTACTTTTTTTAATTTTTCCGATACTTTTTAATTCAATTGTTAAATCAAAATATTTCATCAAACAATCATATTCTTCTTTATCTTCGATTTCTAATTCTTTAACCTTTTCTTTAGCTACCTCCAATGATTGTGATTTTAGTTTCCCCGTCTTAAATCTCTCCTATAATGATGGACAATTTAACTTAACTTTCTTTTTCTGATCATCATATTCCAACGAAAATTTAAGCATCATCTTCTTCTAGTTATCAGCAGGCTCCTCCCCCTTTTTATCAGCAAGCTCCTTCGTTTTTTCTTTTATCTTTTTGATTAACTCATCAATTCTCCCTTTGATATTATTATTATTATTATTTTAATCTGTTTAATACTCTTTTCGGACGCAGAAATAAGTGCTAATACTATTATACCATTTATTATCCTTTTTAATTAGCATTGATCCCAATTCATTTCGGATAGTTTCACATTTATTACATCCTTCACCATACTTGACAATAACTCTACCTGCAAAACTAAAGAATAAGGAGAGAGCATATTTTGATATAATGTTTTTTTTTTTCTCAATAATCTCCTCTTTATTTTTTTGCCCTTTTTATCCCAATGAAGTTTCAACACCTTATATTATTGTATTTGCAATTTCACCAACTGTTATTTCTTTCGATAAATTTTAAACAATATGTCTTCCAATAAATCTATCCAAGAATTCTTTAGGATCTTTGATATATACTTCAGGTTGATGTTAAACTTCAGTTTAAGTCTTTAATTTGCTCTAGGAATCATGTTCTCTCTAGTCTTATTCACTTTCATCTGACATTTCATAAGGCTTGTCATGCTCAAACTGATTCTCTTCAATTTGATCATACAAACCATGTGAAGTATCATTTTGATTCATTTAATTTATATTATCATATTCCTTTATTGCTACTTATCTTTCCTCATGTAAAAGAAGTTTACACTTTTAAAAAGTATATTTGAAATGTTACCTTTGCTCTAAAGGTATAAACTATTAAATACATTAGAATTCTAAATCTCTCAAAGAAAAAGGACATGATGCTTAGGAAAACTAGTCTTTTGTGGGTGAATGTTAATTGGATTAAACTTTAGAAGACGGTGTTAAAATTGCGTGTTGACGGTCAATTTTGACTGGTGATTAATCTAAAAAGTCTGAAGAACGCTTATTTTTCATTTTTAGAATGAATAATTATGATTTAATAAGAACCAACAAAAGAATGAAAAACTATCTATATGGATAGATAATATTAAAATTAGAAATAATTTAATATTATGTAAAAATCAGTTAAAAATATCTAAAGCAATCCTATATCTACTAGAGTTTGAAAACAAATTAGGTCAAAAATTAAACAAGATTTTGGTTAGGTTTCAATCCCATTGATGAAAACTATAGTGGAGGAGGATTTAATAAATCAATCAGTGCCATCAATTTATGATTATACTAAGAGAGGCCATAAGTAATAAAATTTGGTGCATTGATTAAAGAATAACTTATAAAACTGAATGTTAATGAAGAGAAACAATGCTGAAGACTTTGAGGATAAAATTTGTCGCCATTGATAGATCTTCATACAATTTTTATTAATCAAAGAAGGGTTAAAGTAGGGAAACTGTCTAGATAAAAATATGCATCAGACCAAAATATGCCTATTAATATAGAGTTACGGGAGAATTTGATGATTATTATGTTTGAGTTGATGGCATTAAACAGAAAAAAGAATCATTTGATAGCAAGAGAACTAATGAATAACGAGCTTTTCTTAAAGGTCCATTCAATGTAATCATAAGCCGATTGCTACGAAGAGATGACAATTTGAAGGAAAAGCGAATCGAATCAAACTTAATGAAACATCCTTAGTGTTTTTTTTCCATTAAAATTAATTATTTAATAAAAGAGTTCTGATAATTTTTAGTTTTAAAAATTAATAGGAGATGAAAGCATAATTGGTCTAATCCTTATGTTGATCAAGGACAAACTTTTGATTAAATTATTAATACTTTGTAAGGCTTACTAAATATTCCAATCGATAATAAGTGATTTAAATTTAATATCTTTATTAAAATATGTCACTCAAGTTATACGGCCCATCAACTAATCCTAGACTTAGTCAAGTTCATCTAGTTGCCGATCTTCTTTAAATCCCAGTGGAGGTAGTTGAAGTTGGATACGATCAATGCGAATCAAAGGAACATTTGGCAAGAAACCCATTTGCTAAAATTCCTGTCATTGAAACAAAAGATGGATTCCTTTATGAAAGCAATGCTATATGCAGATACCTTGCTAGATCAAAATTAGAATCAGGATTATATGGGTATGATATTTAGAATTATTCTTAAGAGCTACTCCCTTCCAATAATCACAGGTTGATTAATGGATTGATTGGACAGTAAATGAATTAGATCCAAACTTCATGACTACATTCCCATAATTATGGGGACATTATCCAGTAAATGAGGATGCATTCAAAAATGCAAAAAACATCATCAATGATAAATTAAAATAATTGGAGAGTCACTTCAAGAATTCTTCATATTTGGTTGGGGATAAATTGACAATTGCAGATGTTACTCTTATTGTAAGAATTGCTCCATTTTTCATTTTATTGATTGATGAGAAAACCAGAAAATCATACCCTTCACTTATGAAATGGTTCACAGCTGTGTCTGAACTACCTCAATTCAAAAAAGTATAAATCAAACTTATCTATATAGAATTTCGGAAGAGTTAGATTATGCAAGGTTGCCTTCCCATTACCTAAATAAGAAGTATAACCAAAGGAAGAAAAATAAAAGGAATAAAAACCAAAAGACGAAAAACCAAAAGAGTAAAAACCAAAAGATGAAAAACCAAAAGAATAAAAGTAAAAGGAATAAAAACCAAAGGAAGCTGAAAAGCCAAAAGAAGCATAAAAATAAAAGGCTTAAGATGATGATGAACCACTTGCAGAAAAGAAAAAGAATCCTTTAGATTTACTTCCTCCATCTCCATTTAATATTGATGACTATAAAAGGGCCTTCTTTGCTGAAAAGGATATTGCCAAGAATATTTAATAACTCTTCACTTAAGTTGACGTTTAAGGTTGGTCTTTATGGATTGTCACCTATAATAAATCCCAAAATGAAGGTAAACAACTTATTTTAACAAATAACTTGATGAAAGGATTTATCAATTAAAGATTGGATTAAAATTTCAGAAAATACTCGTTTGCTATTCATGGTGTTTATGGTGATGAACCAAATTTGGAAATAAGAGGAGCATGGCTTTGGAGAGGAACTGAAGTCCCATAAGAATGGGTAATCATTATAATTAATAAGTTTTTAGAAAGATCATGTAGCTTATGATTATCATGTTTTCAGAAGAATCGACATTAACAATGAGTAAGATAAGAAAGATTTCACTGAATTTTGGGTGAACTAAGAAGAAGATGTATCCAAAGTTGGTGATCTTACAGCCAGAAGCTTGATGTATTTCAGATGATAATAAATTATTCATAAAATTCTATAAATTATAATTTAGTAATTATCAATCCTGACTTTTAGATACTTTAGTATTTTATAGACTAGTATATTCTGAATTTTTAAAAATGGAATTATAAGTGTGCATCTGAATAGAATATATTTTAAATTTTTTAGAACAATAGTCCCAAATAACTAAAATATTTCCATCCTCACTTAAATTTCCATAATTGAAATTATCTTAACAATCTATAGTTTAAATAATTTATAGCTTTTCATTTTATAATTATTAAATGACATATACATATTTACCGTATTTTTATATTATTACTTATTTTTATGAGTTATAAATAGTTGGAAATAAATAATCTCCATCAACTTCTGCGTCATATAATTCTAACTCTAAATCCTTTCTCTCAATTATTTTTTTATTTTTTATATTAAAAACTCCTGTGACATCTTTTTGGGAATATTATACAACAAGACTGTCTTCATTTATAAAATTAGATCTATAGCCTGTATTAGTAATTGAAAGTTTATCAGAATATTCATATTGTTAAGTCAGGCTATTCTTTGTCCAAAGAACTAGAGTTTAATCAAGATTCGATAAAACTAGGCATGTGTCTGATGGGTTAATGCATAAACTATATATACTGCATTAAGATTCTGATAACTCTTTAGAAAATGTGATAGTGTTCTCTTCTAAATTAATGTTCCAAATTCCTACTTTACCTTCGAATCCTCCTGAAAATAATTAATCTTCCTTATTATTTAAAACCAATGTGTAAACACTAAAACGATGAAATTACTTTGAATTTACAGTTACCCATTTATTGTCAACCAGTTTGGAACAAAATATTTCTCCATCACACCCACTTGTAGCAAACCAGTGTATCTTTTTACTGTAAACAGAACATAAAATTCTACCTTTGTGATAATTAAAACACTCTATTTCCTTAATTTATATGGTATTATCAATATCTGATTTTAATAGTTACCATATTTTAACTTCTTATTCACTACTGGCCATCATATAATTTTTACTAATTTATATTCCACAAGGATATTATTGTTATTCTGCTTCTCCTATAAGTTTATAAAATTCATATTGATTCTAGTTCAATCCCATTTTAATTGTATTCTCTTATTTGAATTTTATAAGAGAAATTTTAATTTACTCTATTTCTTTCTAAAGTTTTAGAACTTGGCTTTCTTTTTCAGCTTAAATTTTCAAAAGAATATTTTTTTGTTATTTTTCTGGGCTATTTGGATTATTTTAGCCTAAATATAATAGTTTGGCTTGCTCTTCAAAATCATAGAGTTTACATTTCTCCTGCAATTCTTAAATGTATTTTTTCCATTTCTCAAAAATTCTCATCATGTCATTTTAAAACTTTATTATTTCTTTATTCTGCCTTGAGAGTTGAGCTAATACAGGATAAAATTCTATCCTCAATTTGCTTTCGATCTCATAAGCTACCCTCTAGATTGATTCAACCTTGCCATGGAGTTAGGTGTTTTCGTTGATGCAGAAAATGCAGTAATAATTAACCTTTTATTCATCCTCCTAGAAAAGAAAGAATTCTGTTCTTTGATTAACATGTTGAAGACAAAATTCCTATGGAACTCTTGTTTAGAAATTAGTTAACATCAAGCTTTTTTTTTTTAATTAAGAACATTATGCACTATTGTTTCTGTATAAATTATATAACTTAATAGAAATTCAATAATATTTTATCAGAAAATAGCAGTAATTTTCATAGTGCAAGCTTTGTTATTAATGTTTACTATTTCATTTTATTTGAATTAATTTATTGCGTTAATTAGTTTCGAGATTGATTCCAACGCCGATTAACTAGGATTATATTTTAATTATTATTGATAATTATTTAAATATAATAACCTTTACTAATTTTAATTAAATTTTATTAACATTATGAAAAATCAATAAGCCCTTTTAAAGTGGGTTGTAATAGAAAAATGATTCAATAAAAACATTGATGATTGGTGTATAAGTTTTTATGTGAATAATAGTCCCAAAGAAGAGTCATAACATTTAGTAATAAGAAAACAAGGATTTCGATTAAAGACCATCGAATATCAATAAATGAATGTAACATGGGTCCAAAAAGAATGTTTTAAGAAATAAATTCCTTGAATAAAGAAAATAGAATTGATTTTTTTAAATTGATTAATACACATATTAAGAATATTAATATGGAGAATAATTATAATTGAAGAAATATTTTTTTTTATTTTGCAAGTAATTTAAAAATACCCACTAAATTAGATAGATGACTTATTAATAAATTTTGTTGATAATCACTAATATCTCTAGTTTAGCATTGTTAACAATTGAACCTTTTTCTTAATCACTTTTAATTTTCTTAATACCAACAGAAGTATAGCAAAATTAGATTTGCTACGTTAATATAGAGGAATCTGTAATTGGATTTCTTATAGTAATTTATATAGTTAGTAAGACTTTATAATTCAAATTAAATTCATATTAAAATACAGTCGTTATGCGGTCGCCATCTCTATTTTCACCAGTATTAATCTTTGAGATAATAAAAGTCTAAGCAGCAAAGATATGAAAAGCAAAATGGGTCTTTTTAAACATTTTCAACAACCAATTAAGTGAACAAAGCTCAATTAGCTGATTTTCGAAAAGAAATACGCAACAATATTAGTTAAAGAGAACCTTTTGTACCACAATAGGAAAATAAGCCAATCTCACTAACAAACTGGAAGAAGCATGAAAGAAAAAATACGTAATTTTTGAAATTAATTATAGAGATGGCAATGTGGCTAAATATATGGCAAGATCTTCTCCTAAGAAAAGTTTACCTGGTGGATTAAATGTAGAAGAGATCTTGTAAGTATATATTTTATTCTTAGCAACAGCCAAAAGAAATTTATAGATAAGAATCAGTCACAAAATACTTTTTATTATTAACAATAAAGAAAGGTGGATTAACTATTTAAAAAGGACCAAAACGATTCTTTTAGTAAATAAGACAATTCATTCTCTAATTTATTGAAACCAAAGAGGTCATCTTAAGCTCTGTTATCAAGATAATCAGGAAGAGATTAATCTCCAATTAACTTAGAAAGATTTAGAAGTTGGGACACAAAGTTAGATCTTCAACTAAAGCAATTAAATAATTCTAAAGATATTAGTTTCTATAAATATTCTTAATAAAATTAAAAAGAGAATATTTATGAGACTAGCAAACCACTTTAAACCAAGGATATCTTTAATATCAATAAAAATGCCAATAACTTTAATAAATTTTTAAAGAGTTCTTCTCCGCCTAAATTTATAGAAAAGATACCCTTAACAGAAATAGTTAAAATGCAATCATATTTCTCATAATTACCCACTGTGGAAATCACAACCATCCCAAGAGGGTAAATTTTTATTTATATTTTTAAGATATATATAAGAACTATAAAATTTATAGTAAACACTGGCTAGAGTAGTCAGATAGTCATCATAAATTATTTGAACTATTATTGTATCATTTTTATAAACAATTCATATTTTCTAAATGATCAGGGATATTTTACACTCTGAGTTGACAAAAACATTTTATACAATAACATGATCCCTTACATTTTTCTGAATTGCATTAGTAAATTAGTTTATCGATCAAAGCTTCAGTGACCCCCTAACAAACAAAACATGGAATATAATCAACTATACTGATTATTCTGAATTTTTTTCTTTCTTTAAGGATAGGATTTACCTTTTACTTATTTTGCAAGGCTTTGCATTTATTTTATTAATAATGCTTTTGATGATCCTTCTTATTACTATAATTTTACCTCTTTTATTAATTATTCATCGCATTTATAACAAAAATAAGTACCACATTTACAAGTCATAAAATTGCAGCCTGCAATTTTTTCAACTAAGATTTTACATTTTGGACATCTACTAATCTGTAATTTTTTCTTTTTTTCTATATAACTACCTTCTTAAAGCAATAATGCTTAATCACAAGAGATTTCAACTAAATGATCATGATTGCATTTTCTGCAATGTTATTGTTTACAAACCGGACACTTTTGATGATCTTAAATGATATCTATATAGTAACCTGCAAATTTCCATATCATAAATTTATATGAGCAAGATTAATTCTTACATGCTACAAGAATTTCGTCATCAATCAAATATTCTATAAGGTTTTGTTTAATTAAAAGTTCACAATATTGTGTATAAAAATCTGAACTAATTATGCTTTATATCCATTAATTATTGTCAAGCTGAGTGTTACAATAAGAGCATGCGAAATACTTAAGTTAAACTTTTTATTCTCTTATACTTTATTCATATTAAGTTTTTAAACATTGCTTACAAAAAGCATGTTGGCAGATTGGGAACTATTGAATTTCAGTCATCGAAAAAGTAGATAGGCATATAAGGCAATTTTATTATTCATCCATAAAAATAATAATAATTTTAAAATATTATTGAGCATCTCAGAAAATAATTATTATTAGAGTCTCAAAGATTAACTAAGAAATCTAGGTATATCTTTATTCTTTTATCTGATTTATTTAATAAGAAAATCTATATGAAATTTTCCAATTAACAATAGATCATTAATAATTATATATCTTTTAAGGAGTATATTTTGCAGAGTTAACGCTCTTATACATTAAGATTTTTTAATCTGTATAAATAAGCGAAAAGCTATTTACATAATAGAGGTTGGTTGTAAAAACCTTAGATTACTAATAAATAAATGATTAAGTATTTATTAATAAAATATTTAATATATACTTAGATATAAAACATCTTTAAATAGAATTTAAAATATATATTTTATAAGTGAAAAGGATCAAACTATCTTTCAAATTTATGAATTGTTCATTGAATGAGGAAAAGACTCTTGTCTAAAATTACAAGGAAATGGGAGATAATTCATGTGTGATAGTGAGAGTTACAACCCTGTAGACATGTGAGTTTCCTAACTAGAAGCATTCGATATAATTGGAAAGCTTTCTTTGAGTTTTTATGATTATGAAAGACTTTAACTTATCATTATATTGGTTATACCCTCATAATATTTACACATAGCGGCAAAGTCTACATTCATATAAATAATTACATTATTACTAATACTGTTACTAATGCGAAGGTTAATTCTGAAAAACTGAAGAATTACATAATGATCTAAATGGTTCACTTAAAAATTATGAATTCTATATGTTAGCCATCTAATTAAAATTGTTGTTTTAACTTTAACTTAAGACACTTTATGCAGTTTTATTTGGTTAAAATTAGTTTTCATCTTCCTCTTTAACCTAGACTTCTGAACTTTCAGCTGAAGCTATTCCATTCCAAACTTCCTCATTTTTTTCATTTATATTATTAAATTTATTGTTTTCTTACTCCTTTTCTTTTTTAATAGCGTTTAATTTTTTAGATTTCTTTTTTAAGATTTTAGAATGTTTCTTCTTTTTTACAATACTGTTTTGGCAAGATTAACTACTCTTATTTTATTCTTGCTTTAGAATTTCATTTGATTATTAGTTTGATTTTAATTATTCCACATCAGTTTTTTGTTATGAATTAGGTATAACGTAATAAGGATTTTAGATATTCATATACTCTTTTCTGATGAAGGAATAAAATCTATTTTTTATCATATTTTCCTAAAAAAATTTAGTTATAAATTATACAGGTCTCCCTTTTAATAACTTGGATATTTCCGTCCACCTTGATCCGTACTTTTAATAGGCTTCCATGACAATCAGATCTTCTTCCTTTGACCATGGTTCAGCCCTTATTTCTGGGTTTAATTTGTTGATGAATCGTTCTCGAATTTACTTTCCAGTCCTCCAATGCATTATGCTAGCTATCATTCCCCAATTCCTTTTATGTATTTTAACCAATTCTAACAGTTATTAATCTTCTATTGCACTCCAAGAATGTCGAGAGCGTTACTGAGCTTATTTAAAATTAAACATACTGAGACAGGCTTAATTCTCTTCCATCTTTATGCGCATTAAGAAGGATTTCTATTATATAAATGTTTTGCCACTTCCTTCCAATTAGTTCCAAGTTCATGAATTGCTCTTTCCAGCAGCTTGTCTTCCTTTTAGGACCATATTTTTCTATTCTGTATTTTTTTTGAAGTTGCCTTTGCTGACAATTTATCATCCTCCATTTCATAACGTTCCAATTAACTACAATTGAAAAATAAATTACTTATCACTAGGCACCATTCAAAATTTAATTTAATTATTTATATTTCCCAATCAGATTTGTCATGTTTATATGTGATGAAAATATATAAAATAAGATTTGAAACAAACTATAAAAATATTAAACAAGATAAATAATGCCTAAAGACTATATAGGACATTTTTTATAATTAAGGGTACTTCAATTAACATAATAATTTAAAACTTATCAGACAGAAGTTAATTTTAATATCCAATACAAATATGTTTTGTAATAAAAATATGTTTGAATTCACAAAAATTTATTTGTTTATCATGTAATTATTTGAATTTTACTACAACTCAATTGATTTAAGAGATTCATGTTTAAAAATTCTGTTAGGATTTTGCATAAAAATAAATTATAACATAGTGTCAATACGTTAAATTCCTTATAGAAGATTCTAAAATCATTCTAATATTGAATTACGATCTCCTTGTTAAAAAGTTGTTAAAATCATAAAAAAATAGCCTAAGAATTGGTACATTAGCTTGAATTTAGGACTTTCAAATGAATCAAATTTTAATGAAAGCCTATTTATCAATTCCTAAAAATAAACTTATTGAATATAAAAAATTAATTAAAAATATTATATATATAAAATGGGCCTTATCATTAAATAGATTCTGTTCCTTTGGTTTTACTAGATGGCCTCATTGAAAGGTTAAATTAATTAAAAATTATATAATTGTTGCTTAAAACTGTAAGAATCATGAATAAACTAATATTGATCAGAGAAGTTGGATCCATCATCTATTGATTGTAAATGATGAATTCAAATTAATATTCTCCTCAATTTCAAAAATACTTCTATGTGAAAAAAAAATGAATAGAATTTACAAATACATCAAAATAATTTGGATAGGAAAATAATATATATTTTACCTTTTTTATATTAAATTATTCTCGTTGATGGTCAATTTTTAATATAAATAGTTTTTTCAAATAACTCATTCAATTTTCATATATTTCTTCTTCTTTTCTAAAATATTTTATTGTGCTATATCAATTCTTCTGATCTTCTTCAACAAAATGGTGTGTGATCTGTTTTAAAAGTAGCATATTACTGCTATAATAGTGAAAATTATTGAATAAATAAGAATCTATATATTTGAATAGTATAAGTACTGCAACAAAGCCAGTCAGCTTTCTTAATGTTCTCTTCCAATAATTGATTTCTTTAGGAACCTTCTTTCCTTAGAGTTTATTCCATTCTTCATTCCTCACAAAATTTGAAACTGATTCAAAGGTAAATTCTCCATTATATCTATACATCAGACTATTCATATCAAAGTAAATTAATTATGGGAATGTCGAAATTACTATTCTATCTCTTACATCCTCATTTTCATATCTAATGTAAATGAAATCAATACATATCAACAGCTGAGAAGTACATATTCGTTGCTTTGAATTCCTCTGCTAATTTGTCAAAGATTGGAATAAATTCTTTCGATTTTTCTTCATGCTCCATAAAAAAGAACACTAACCAAGGCTTCTCCATTTTTTTATCTAATCAATCATTAAAATAATCACCTATTTGTAATTGATTGAAAAAGTCATAATCCTTTAAAGCAATAATCCTATATGAAAATAATTTTGATTTTTCAACACCATATATGGTTAAGACAAGCGAGATTAGAATTAAATATATATGCATTATATTATATTTAATATGTGTTTTATTTTTATTTAAAATTAGTCAAATGAATGAGTTTATAGTAAATGCCTAGCATTTCACAGCTGAAAACAATTAAATTAGTGTAAAATGTTAGCTATTTACTATAAAAATAAATTTATTGTTATTAATTAAAAATAAATGTACCAAAAACTCAATTTTCTAAAGAAAGTGCATATAGTTAGTAGGATTTGAAATTAAGCTAGTTTATTTGGATTGTTAAGTTAATTTCAATTTGATATTCACTTAAATTTGATATTTTTTCTCATACATAAATTAAATTATTAATATGAAGAACGAATAATCTATATTTAAGTTATTTTTGACCATTGACTTAGCTAAACAACTTAATAATAATAAAGAAATTGGCGCTTATCGTTTTGTGATTGATTTATAAGATTAATCAAAAACATTTAATTCGGCATCAACCCAGAGCATTTTATTTTTCTTAAAGTAAAATTAGTCATCATATAAATATTACTAGTGAAATAGAAAACAATACCAACATGACAGTGAAAATAATATCAGAAAAAACAAACAAAATTTTAGGTACTTTAAGTATATTGATCCCATTTGCAATTAACTACGAATAAGAATTGACCATAACTGAATCCTTTCAATTTGAAAATGAAACTAAATTGAATGGTTCTTACACACTCTATTTAATTAACATCCCACTGTTCAAATAATAAGGCTCCAATGATACAACATCAGTCTAAAAAGCTAGCCTTGCTCCTTAATAATAAAAATAAAAGAAGCAGGTCTCTAAGTCGCCTTAATCAAAATTGTCATAGTAATCTTATCTAGAAAAAATAAACAAAGAGGTTACCTAGATTCTTAATAAACATCACCATTCTCTAAGCTCAAGAAAAGATAAGACGATTGATACTGGGATTGTGGATGAATCTCCCAGTAGAATAAGCGATAGAGTATAAGTTAGTAGATCTGGAACGATTATTTAGTCGGAGATTAGTCCATCTTAAGTGAGAAAATATGTTATGGAAGATTCTCCATCTAAATTAAATTGCAGTTTCAATAAGGATAAGGAAATAAATCATAGGCATCATTAAGAGCTTAGTTGCTTATACTACTTAGATTAAGCAACTCTAAGTAATCAAATTCAAATAGAGAATGAGAACTTAAAAGAAACTGTTATAAATATGAACACTAAATTGGAGTATTAGGAATAATAAATAATGTTATACAAATCATTAGAATCAAATTATAAAGAACTCTAAAATCAGTTGACCACATTTTTGAAGGCTTAAGAATTAACTAAATCTGTCGATTCAGTATTTGATAAGGAAATACTAAAATTGAATGCATAGTTAAATTCGAAGATTTCCCAATTGTTAGAAAACGAAAAGAAGTTTTCAAAATAAAAACTTGAGTATGAAATCTAAATATCTGAACAGAGGAATGAAATTAATATGCTGAGATAGAATCTGTACGAATTAAGTGAGAAATAAAAATATTATACCAATTTAAATAATGAATTGATCAACTAAAAATAATAAAATTTGGAATTAAAATAAGAATTAATTAAAAATGTTAAGGATTATGAAGCCAAATTATCTAAATTTGATTAGCATATCACAGATCAAAATAAAAAAATTGATGATCAAACCAAATAAATATGGGATTAAAAATAGCAATATTAAGAGTTAGAGAAATAAAATAAATCCTTATCTTTTTAATTGAAGAAGCTTTAAGAGAATCAATAAAAGCAACCGTTAATTAATATAAAACCAGTCAGTAATAATAATGATAATGAGGAAACATCAAAACAACTATAAATTACATAAGAGATTAACTAATAGAAGTAAATTGAAATTGAAAAATTGCAAAATGCATTAAAGAAAGCTCAATAATTAAATTAAGATTAATAGAATGAGTAAGCATAAACAAAATAAGCTTTGAATTAACTTAAATAGGAACTATCAAAATTAAAAGAACACAATATATAGAATTAAAATCAAAAGTCAAAGTAATAAACTGAAACTAAATAATTGTAATAATAAATAGACAATGAAAAATCAAAAGTATGATATTTGACAGAATTTTAGGTTGCAACTTTATAGAGTCAATTAAAAGCTAAGAGCATTTAATTACAAGAGGCGTAAGTTAGAGATGAGAATTAATAAAATAAGATATTGAAATTGGAGTAGATTATAAAATAAACCAAGAATTTGATTGAAAATTAAGAAGAATAGATCAATTTATTAAATAATTAAGTAAAATATACGATGATTCTTAGATTAAAGATTTGTAAGATACAAAACAGAAATAACAAAATGATATAAAAGAGGACAAAGAAAAAATGAATTAATTAAAGCAATTGATAAGTGGAATGAAAGAGTAGCGAGTTGCATACATTCCAATGCATGGTGATCCAATAGATCATGCTCTATCAGAATACATCAACTCTGTGGATGATCCAAAAAAACTAATTGAACTCTTTTTTAGGGAAAAAGAAGGATAATATTTGATCGGTTCAAAAAGTGTGCATCTAAAGAGTATATAACAAATTAATTAATTTAGCTGAATAAGGAAAAGTGTTCGTTAAGATTGGTGGAGGATTCATAGGAATTGAAGAATTTTTGGATTTGTATTTAAAGGAAAAAACTGAGAAAATTGAAAAGAAATAAAGTTAACTAACTCCACGAAACAAGACTTCGAATAAAAGTTAAAGATCTTAGATATCTACTCACTAGTTTACTTCTTGATTTTGTCATAAATTTATCATAAAGGAGACTTTCATATAAATGTTTTTGGAATTTCAAATTTATTATATTATAAAATAGTCAGATAATTAATTAATTTGATTATTAGTATCTCTTTTTTTTAAATTATAAATTAAAAAGATTAGATATATTTTTTTTGTTATTAATTTAAAATACAATTAGAATATTTTAATTCATTTCTAAAAATAAATTAATAAAATTAAATTATGATTATAATTTATGATTTTTATTTATTGATATCAATGTTTTATTTTTTCTGCCATTTCCTATTATGATTTGCTTAAAGCTACACCTTTGACTCTTTCATGTTTTTAAGTTGCTGGTCCAGGAACTTTGATTGGTTTTAATTGCCAAATCTCTTCAGCATACTCCATGATAGTTCTATCACTGCTGAATTTATAAGATCTGATAGCATTATAAATACTCTTCTTAGCCCATTCATTCGGTTAGCGATATAGATCATCAACCTTTAATATTAAATTTATTTATTACCTATTGTTATGCCTTGATATAATCTTTGAAATCTTAACCAACTAAATAATTATCATTCTTATATCTAATACTATCAACAATCCATTTCAATTCTTCATTATGTCCAAATCTTCCATTATCAATTTCTCCAAATACTTTAAGCAATTCTTATGGGAAATATTCATGAGGATCAGTATTTCTCATTTTTTCTTTCATATTATCTACATCTTCAACTTATGTTCCAAAAATAAATATATTTTCTCTGCCAACAGCTTCATCAATTTCTACATTGGCGCCATCTAAAGTACCTAAGATGAGACAGCCATTCATAATAAATTTCATATTAGATGTACCAGAAGCTTCTGTTCCTGCAGTTGAGATATGTTAAGATATTTCTGCAGCAGGAATAATAATTTAAGCATTACTTACATTATAGTTTGGCATAAAGACTACTTTTAAGAGATCTCCAATTTGATGATCATTATTAATAACATCAGCAACTGAATTGATTAATTTAATGACTCTTTTCGCATTAACATATCCAGGAGCAGCTTTACCACCAAAACATACACTTCGAGGAACAATCCTCTTTCTCTCTTCAGGAGTTGATTCCTTAATGATCAAATATCTATAAATCACATAAAGAATGTTCATCAATTATCTTTTGTATTCATGTATTCTTTTGACTTATATATCAAACAAGGAATCAATATTTAAATCAACTTAACAAGTCTTTCTAATCCAATGAACAAATCTCTCTTTGTTTTCCATTTTAATCATCTAGAAATCCCTAACAAATTGAGGATCAGAAACATTAGATTCCAATTATTTCAATAACTCCATATCTAAAACCCATTTGTCACTGCCTAATACTCTATCATATAATGCTGCTAATGCTGGGTTTGCACATCTGACCCATCTTCTTGGAGTAACTCCATTGGTTTTATTTTAAAATTTATTTGGATGCATCTCAAAGAACTCTTTGAAAATAGTAGTTTTCAATAATTCTGTATGGATCTTTGCAACTCCATTAACAAATTTGGAACCTACAATAGATAAATTAGCCATTCTAACTTTTTTAGTTCCCTCTTCTTCTACAATAGAGAGAGCACTTAATTTGCCCCAATTATTTGGGTACTTCTATTATACTTTTTCCAAAAACAAGAAATTGATTAAGTAGATGATTTCCAAGTGTCTTGGTAGTAATTTCTCAATCAAAGGCACTCCCCATTTCTCCAATGCTTCTGGTAATACTGTATGATTGGTGTAATTGAATGACTTAGTTACTATTTACCAAGCTGACATGTTGTCCAATTGCTCAATATCTATCAAAATACGAAGCAATTCAACAATGGCCAAAGCAGGATGTGTATCATTCAATTATACAGCCACTTTCTATGGAAATGCATTCCAATCCAAAACCTTTCTTCTCTTGAATCTTCTTACTATATCTTACATACTTGCAGAAACCAACAGATATTACTACTTTAATCTTAATTCCTTTCCAGCTTCAGTTGAATCATTTGGATACAAAACAGATGTTATATATTCTGCCTTTTATCTCTACTCCAATGCCTTGAAATAATCACCTGTATTGAAACTACTAAAATCAAACTCTGAGGCTGGATGCGATTTCCATAATCTCAATGCAATTGTATTTTAAGTATTATATCCAGGAATGGGTGTATCATATGCTCTTGCCATAATGGTTTCACCTCCTTCCCAAACACTTCTTTCAACTCCATGATCCCACACTTTTTTAACAAAACCATAAAATCTAATTTAATATTGGACATCCAATCTCTCAATTTCCCATGGATTTCCATGATTCAACCAAAAATCTGGAGATTCCACTTAATAACCATCTTTAATCAACTATTTGAATATTCCATAAGTATATCTTATTCCATAGCCAAATGATGGATAATTTAGAGTTGCCAAAGAATCCAAAAAACAGGCAGCCAATCTACCCAAACCTCCATTTCCCAAAGCTGGATCCACTTCTTCATCATAGAGCTCTTCCAATTTATATCCAAGATCCATAAGTGCCTCTCTGTAATCATCTTCCAAATCCAAATTAACCAATGCATTTTATAAGCATCTTCCAATCAAAAATTCCAAACTTAAATAGTAGATACGTTTGGCATCCATCTAATGAAAATGTAAATTTGTATCATTAAATGCTTCAATCAATCTATCTCTTACTGAATGAGACAAAGCTTAGTAACTATGAAATTTAGAGAAATCGAAGCGTGTTCTGGCTAATGTGTACTCCACGTGATGAACAATAGATTATTACAATGCTAACTTGTCACTCCCCTAGTACGAATCCATTAACTCCCAAATTTTTGAAGTATCCCTTGGACTGGCTTATAACCCAAATTGTTCAACCTCTAATAAGATTAAATTTGATATTACAATATTCAGGTCTATACATATTTGAAGGGCTTCCACCAACTTACACTGTTGATCTACGAACACTAGTCCTATATGTAGCTTTTTGATCCATTTTTATTTAATATATAAATATATATCTAATATAATTTATTTGTACATATATACTTTTTTGAAATAAAAAGTTAATAATTAAAGTAAACACACCTATGTTAAGTTGTATATAATTTTAAATTAAATTGGCACTTCTATTTACTCTTACTATCTTTAGAACTTGATTTGTCTTAATGATACATACAACATAAAACAGAACACAACCTATGAGATTAGATACAATTTGATTGGACCTGAATCTTGTCAAAATAACTTCGCATTCTTATCTCGTAGCCGTAATAGAAAAGAGAGTTTATTGGAATTTCCAGAAATTATAATAATTACTTTAAAATGAAAACTAAATAAAGAAGATCTATAAGTAGCGAATCCAAAAAGCCTTCCAATGACTACACTTATAGGACTATTTAGTTAGCTACTCCATAAGTTGAATATTTCACTTCAAGATCTACTACAGCGTCAGTTGAAAAAAAATTTCATAAATTGGGAAAACATAGGAACGAATAAAACTAACAGCTCAATAAAACAATAAATTATGATGATCAATCTCTTAGAAATTCATTGCTCTATTAAAATGAAGATTGGGGTAAATTTGAATTTCCAAGTTGGTTAAAAGGAAGAACCGACTTTATGAAACTCAGAAAATCCAAACATTTTGATTATCATTTATAAGTCTTCTCAATATGCGAACAAGAGTATTAATGTCCTTAAAATTTTAGCCCTTTTCGAAGATCGGAAGAACTGATAGAAATTGTTGCCAATTACTTGGTGAAATTAGATTTCTTTCGACTTATGCCATTAAAAATGATTAAATAAATCTCCAGTAGACTATAGGCTAAAAGTTATGAAGAGGATGAAATTATATGCAACAAAGGAGACAGAGGAGACTCCATGTATGTTGTTTTTGATGGAAAAGTAGAGGTTTTAGGACAGAAAAAATTAGTATTAGGCCCCAAAAGCTTGATTGATCGAACTGCTTTAGAATTCGATTACTTTAGAAATAACACTTTGCAGGCAGTAACTGTGACGCACTTATTAATATTGAATCGTATAGAATACATTACAATCTTAAATCACAATATGAAAGCAGAACATTCAAATCACGAGAAATTTATCAAGAGTCACTAATTATTTTCTCACTTTCCTGATGAAAGAATCAATAAATTTTGCAGTGTTTTATAAGGAAAGTTTTTGACTATTAATGAAACTCTATACAATGCAGGAGATATGATAGATTACCTCTACATAGTCAAACAAGGTACTTTGGCTAGATAAATAGTGATGGATTTAGAAGATCAGAATAGATGGCCCATTGTAAGAATTCTATATATTCCTTTGTTAGAATTAGAAAAAATGGTTAAGTTAAATTATTACTAGAACTATATCCTTTAATATTGAATATGAAATAGGACAATTGGTTGGATACTCAGATATAATAGATAGTGATTTTGATTCAGACAAAAAGAGGAAAGAGACTATTTATGCAAAAACTGATTGCTTTTTGTTATATGTTTCCAAATCTCAATTTTTTTAAGGTATGATATCGACTCTAAGTATTTATAGTCTTTAATCAAATTGATATTTAATATTTTTAGAATTACTAAAATCAATATCCTCCTTTGACTTAAGAATAATTAGTAAAAGATACTCGTTAGAAATAAACTGAATAAAAGTAAAAACTTTAAATGGTAAATTAAGCTATTTACTCTCATCTTAGATAATTCTCTTTTGATTATGAAACACTAAAAAAAAAAGAATAAAAGTTTGAATAGGTTACAAAAAATTAAAAAAAGGCTTCAAGAGAGTTTACAAATCGTTACAAGTTAATTCGAAGAGAAAAAAAAAATAAAATCATAACATTGGAAAATTATTGAATCATCACATTTATTTAACAATTATTATATCAACCCATTCATCAAGTTAGATTTAAACAATAATTATAATAATTATAATAATTAGATTACATTTTTCTTTGATATAAATCACATTATTAAATCATAATTTAACCAAATAAATTGAATATTATAATTAGATATGGACTATAATTTAATAATAAATATAATTTTTAAGAACTACATTGTTATCTAAAATAATTAATTGATATGAATTACTAGTTAATTAGATAATTTATAATATACTTATTGTCATTTCATTCATGTTTTTTCTTGTTTAGATAATGGATTGAAACATTAACAGCAATTTATGATAATGTTATAATGCATAAATTGTAGGCTAAATGTAAATGTTACAAAAAGGTGGCTTATGCTATCATAAAAGCTATAGAAAAGTTTTGCATAGAAAAATACACCCCATAAATAGAAAGTGGATCTTTATATTATTCAGATATTGTAATAGAGGATGTAAATTACCCAGTCATGTCGGCAAACCCTCTAAAGTTAATATAAATAATACAAAAAGAAGCCTAGGACCTTTGTTAATGTCAAATCATAAACAAAAGAGTCTACCAGGGATACAAACATAACAACACAAAGTATATTTGCATAGAGAATGATATTAGAGTTTGACTTGAATAACTTCTTAATAAATCCATTTAATAAGGCTCCCAAGATCTAAGCAATACCAACAGTAAGATACACTGATGCAGTTATCTCATTGACAGTTTAAAGATCATAATGTTATTGCGATAATGATTTATTAATGAATTAATACAAGAGACCGTACTCGAATCCGATGATAATGCCACTAGTCCAAAAAATAGGATAGTATATAAAGGATGATTTATCAAACATGGTTTTAAATATATTCTAAATGTTCTTGCTTATGGAATTTTCTTCTGTTTCAATTTCTAGGTCCTCTTGATTGACTTTGCTATCAAAGATGAGAACATCTGATTTTGTGGGGGTTTTAATAAAGAAAAAAAGGAGTGATAAGATGAGTTCAATAATCCCTGAGACCCAAAAAAAATTTGATCTTGACACTACTTATAACATAACATTAGCATAAAATCCACTCAACATAGAAGAACAGCCTAAAAATATATAAGTTGTGCTAAACATGATTTCTGATGATTCATGTGAGGAGCATTAACTCACATAAAAATTTTAAAGAATAAAGTATCCAGCAAGACCAACTCCTAAGAGAAAAGTAAATGATATACTAAGTGGGCTCATTACTGATGGTTTGCAAATCCAAGAAGTATCGTTACCGTTTCTGCAATTCGCTAAATAGCTATTTCTTTGAATGAAAGTTACTCAGAAACAAAAAAGCATGGAACTACTAAAATAGCTTAAAATAGGAAGGCATAGTTGAATCTTCTGTTTTTTAGGTAGGCTGGAGCAATGATATTGAAAAGGAACTCGGTTAAGTACACAGTCATAATGGAATATTTGCCTAAATCAGTATAGCCGTTTTGTTCTGCAATTTAGGGCAACAAAGCTATAAGGGCTAAGCAAAGACTCAAATGTATTGTCAAAATCAAATTCATATAGAATAATTTCCAAAAGTTAGGAGGAATATTAAAACATGAAGCCATATTATAATTAATTAATGGCTTAATAAGATAACTATTGGGAGTTCAATTAATTTCTAGATCAAAATTTAGGCAAAATGTTTTGGATCTCAAGCTAACTACCATAGAATGAATGTTATCCTTAAACAAAAAATGCCTCAATTACTGAATTTATCAGATGCCTATATAGAATTACACTTAAGAATGAGTGAGAAATAAGCTTAAGTAATTATAAAATGATTCTGCTTTAAACTATTTAGTGTATTTGTTTTATGAAATTCATAATAGGTCAAATTTCTAATAATTTTATGCAATAATTAATAAATTACCGCTATAATATGAACTATAACAGATGATCCTATTTGAAAAATGTATTATTTAGTCAGTTCATTATATTTATCATAATATATCAATTTTTTATACTCGCTAATGCAATTTTAGTATGATACCTATGTTTCTCAACATATATGAATAAATATTAATAGCAATCTATTAATGTAAAAGAACTTAAGTAGACATAAATGTTATTAAAATTAGTTAACAATATATGACTGATACTATTATTATAGGTGATTTCTTGAAAACTGATATCCAATATCGAATTAAGTAGCTTTAACTTATAATCAATATCTTGTTTTCGAACACTTCAAAATTGGAACCAATGGTATTTGAGAAAAAGAAATCAACTTAGGATTGATTAATATAAATTATTTTTATTGGTCAGACGATGATGGATGTTCGAATATTTAAATATTAAAATTAATGTCCTAACAGAAAAATCAAAAGAATGTTGTTGTGTACAATTATGAACCTCATCCTAAGGCCATGAATGAATAAGTTGCCAATATTCAATAATCTCAAATACAACCTGATGAATCACCCTTCAATGTTTCTAAAATATTGAAAGCTAAACAATAACAAAGCAACATCTTTCATCTTCCTTAGTAGGATCTTGTAGATTACAGTAAAGTCACTCCAAATTAACATGCAGAAAGTAAGAACTCGTATGAATATTAGAAATATTGCCATATGACATGTTCTGGTGGAATAGTTAAAATTTAAAAGAAAATAAGAAAACTGAGGTCGGTGCTCCTATTATTCAAAATGTTCACATGGTTTAGAGCAGACCTTAGACCGCTGTTTAATAAAGAGCAAATACAGAATCAAGTTCCAATAATCAATAATTAACTGAATAATAATTCCTTCAATTTTAATAGTAGCAATACTAATTATTTTTACAATAATAGCACCAACTCAAATTTTAATAATAGTTATAGCAAATTGATTAATAGAAATAATAATAATTGAATCAATAATAAGAAAATCCCTATGAAGTGATTAAAGAGCATAACTAAATGATTGAAACTGCTTCATTTTGTGGACACGATAATCATAACTAAGGACCATTTGCATAATAATAATAAAATAAGTAATAATAACCAAACTAACAATAATAATTATCTAATTAGTTATAGAATCCAGCTAAAGTATATGATAAAGTCAACAATCCAAATGCTGAATTGAAACAAAAAAATCCTAATTTCTCTGATGTTTTTGGAAATGGCCTTGAGAAATATTATCAATAGAAGCAATAGCAAAATAGTGGCAGAAAATAATAAGTAGAGTATTTGTAGGAAAGTGAACTATATGGTGTTAAGTATCATTAACGGTAGATGCTCAAAGGTATGAGTTCTTAAATGGACACACATAAGTATTATGATCAAATGTTAGATAAACAAACTCAAGATTAAATTAAATAGAAACAACCAAAAAGCAAATCTCAATCTCCTCAAGCTTCTCCTGGCAAAAATCTTGAATAGGATGAAAAATTTTTCCCTAAGCCAATCTATACTGAGATAAGCATAAGAGGTATGGGAAAGGATGTTAATTGGGAGAAATTGAAGGGGTAATTAAACACTGTTCAAATGCAAATAGCAGATATTACAATTGCGAAGGATAAACAAGGAAAAATTAAACAGCACAAAATCATAATCAAATATTTTGATCAAGGAAATTTATAAGGTGTTAAATAATGGGTTCTTACTCAAGGAGGCAGAATAGTGGAGGAAAGATAGTTGGAATCGGAGGAAGAATTCAAGAAAATTATCAAATTAAAAGAAGGTCCTAAGCAAAGACCTATGAGAATTGCTGAAGAGAAGGAAAAACTCAAACAATAAAAAAAAAGACCGTAAAGTGCAGCTCCAGTATAAAAATAAAAGAAATGATACAATTTAATTTTATAATCTAAGATATTTAGTTTTTAAGTATCATACTGATATTTGATATTCTTTTCACACAGTTTCTATCTTCTCATTTAATATACCTTAATGTATATCTAAAACATTAATTAATGTAGTAATTACAGTAGCATTATTCTTAATAGCATTTACCTCAAGCTTATTAGCAATAACAAAGGAATGTATCCAGCTCACCTATGCAAAGACAATTCCAAATCCAACCTTTCACTCCTANCATGGTTTAGAGCAGACCTTAGACCGCTGTTTAATAAAGAGCAAATACAGAATCAAGTTCCAATAATCAATAATTAACTGAATAATAATTCCTTCAATTTTAATAGTAGCAATACTAATTATTTTTACAATAATAGCACCAACTCAAATTTTAATAATAGTTATAGCAAATTGATTAATAGAAATAATAATAATTGAATCAATAATAAGAAAATCCCTATGAAGTGATTAAAGAGCATAACTAAATGATTGAAACTGCTTCATTTTGTGGACACGATAATCATAACTAAGGACCATTTGCATAATAATAATAAAATAAGTAATAATAACCAAACTAACAATAATAATTATCTAATTAGTTATAGAATCCAGCTAAAGTATATGATAAAGTCAACAATCCAAATGCTGAATTGAAACAAAAAAATCCTAATTTCTCTGATGTTTTTGGAAATGGCCTTGAGAAATATTATCAATAGAAGCAATAGCAAAATAGTGGCAGAAAATAATAAGTAGAGTATTTGTAGGAAAGTGAACTATATGGTGTTAAGTATCATTAACGGTAGATGCTCAAAGGTATGAGTTCTTAAATGGACACACATAAGTATTATGATCAAATGTTAGATAAACAAACTCAAGATTAAATTAAATAGAAACAACCAAAAAGCAAATCTCAATCTCCTCAAGCTTCTCCTGGCAAAAATCTTGAATAGGATGAAAAATTTTTCCCTAAGCCAATCTATACTGAGATAAGCATAAGAGGTATGGGAAAGGATGTTAATTGGGAGAAATTGAAGGGGTAATTAAACACTGTTCAAATGCAAATAGCAGATATTACAATTGCGAAGGATAAACAAGGAAAAATTAAACAGCACAAAATCATAATCAAATATTTTGATCAAGGAAATTTATAAGGTGTTAAATAATGGGTTCTTACTCAAGGAGGCAGAATAGTGGAGGAAAGATAGTTGGAATCGGAGGAAGAATTCAAGAAAATTATCAAATTAAAAGAAGGTCCTAAGCAAAGACCTATGAGAATTGCTGAAGAGAAGGAAAAACTCAAACAATAAAAAAAAAGACCGTAAAGTGCAGCTCCAGTATAAAAATAAAAGAAATGATACAATTTAATTTTATAATCTAAGATATTTAGTTTTTAAGTATCATACTGATATTTGATATTCTTTTCACACAGTTTCTATCTTCTCATTTAATATACCTTAATGTATATCTAAAACATTAATTAATGTAGTAATTACAGTAGCATTATTCTTAATAGCATTTACCTCAAGCTTATTAGCAATAACAAAGGAATGTATCCAGCTCACCTATGCAAAGACAATTCCAAATCCAACCTTTCACTCCTACATAAAATTTGGGAGGGTAGAATGAAGGAATGAAACCTTATTCCACCGATGTGAGAGATAGAAGCAGGTAAATGTAAAACACACCCTAATACAATGGATAATCTTTAGAAAGTATGGCTTTAAGGATCCAAGCTCTTGAGAAGGAGAATTCAAATCTTAAAAAATAATTGGAAAATGCTAATCACTAAATTCAGGTTTTGAATAACAAGTTCAATCAAAATCCATCTCCAAGTCTTCTTAAAACAACCACCTTTGAACTTGTTGTATTGCAAAAGGCAGTAGAACAATTAGAAGGACTTAAAAATGGACTTCAGAAGAAAAAATTGCAGGGAAGCAACAATCAAACCACTTTACCTGATTCTCAGAAGGAGGCCTTTAGCGAACTTAAGAGTAAAGTTACTGTAATGGAAGAGAAATAATAATAGTTAGAACATAAACAATCTTAAGTATTTCCTCATATTTTAATTAGACAATGCTCCTATTTCCAAAGGAATAAAATTTACAATCAAATCCTCCTTCTAAAGAGGAAGTCAAAGAAGAACCAAGACAAGGCAGAAGGTTTAATGTCAATTCTTAATCTGATTAAGTTGATAATTAAACAAAAGTCAGTCCTATTAGAGTTTTGAATGTAAAAGGAGGAACTAGTCAAAATGCTTTGAGAGTATCCCCCAGAAGAAAACCAGACTCACTGTAAAATTGAAAAAGAAATAACAATTAAGTGATTTTGTGCTAATTTTATGATAAATTATTCAATCGCTATGCTCAGAATAATCGCTATCATCCATTCTCTATCCAATGATTTATGTTCTCATTGTTTTAGTTGTTCTAGTGGGTTGTCTATTCAAATCCTGATATCTATAATTATTATTTTAAACTATCGTTACCTTTAAGCTATTTGTTATTTTAAGATATCCATATGATTCATCTCAGGAGCCTTACTTTATGGTTTGGGTTGATCTGCTGCTGCTTTGCTTTTGTTAACAGGTTTCAATCTAGCTAATGGGTTATCACAATTTAAGTCATCAAGTAACTTGGCTCTAGCTCCAGCTGGGGGAGGTGGCAATTATCCGGGAGGAGGAGGGCCAGGAGGAGGAGGAGGTGGAGGAGGAGGAGGAGGGGGTGGAGGAGGTGGAGCACCTTTTGGAGGAGGAGGGCCAGGAGGAGGAGGAGGTGGTGGTGGAGGAGGTGCACTTCTATTCTATTGTTATTAGGGAGGAGGTTATTATATTTATTACTATTATTATTATTATGGTTGTTAATATTATTGTTATTATTAAGGTTAGTATTACTATTATTATTACTATTATTATTATTGTGGTTAAGTTTATTGGAGTTATGGAGGTGGTTATGAAGGAGTAATGCTAGGAGCCACTGGCTTTTTATTTCTTTATTATGTAGATGGATTGAAAAAGTCCATGTCATCATTATCTGGGTCATAATCAACAATTCCTGCCAAATTAAGTTTTGCATCCACCTTTAATTGCGCTATAGGCTTGTTAGATGGAACATAGGAGTAAGATTCCTCTCCATATTTTGTAATCGTTTCTCCTATTGTATTGGGTGCATCTGCCATTGTTACTTATTCTTCCTCCTCTTGTTGTTTTTTCCTTTTATTTTCTTGCTTCTATTATATTATTATAATCTTATTACTGCTGGTTCAGGGAACACTTCACGAGCATCAAAAGTATGATGAGTGTATGGATTAATCAATTGGTTAAACACTAGTAAACTATCAACGTTTTTCAGTTTTCTAGGAACAGTGCCATACCCTTATATTTATCTTTTTGACAAAGCTCTTTCTCCTTCAAATATAGTTTTTCCTTTCTATGTAAATCTTCCATATGCCATTTGAATGGTTGCTACTCTGTCAATATTGTCTGGCGCCTTCCCTTAAGAGCCCTACTCATTTGCCAATCTTATGTATTTATATGGTTCATAGATTGGTATCACTGGTTTATTATAACATTCTGAAAATATGGATTGCTTATTTGTAGGATCGAATTCATATTTCTTAACAAACTTGCTGGGGGATTGAAAGACGATTGCCTAAGGACAGTTTTGGAGATGACTCAACTTAGCATTGCACACATTAATGCGCTATCATAGTGAACATATAAGTACCTCTGCTAATTATTGAATTCTTTATTTCACTAAATTGACACGATCTTGTAGCTTTTCCTCTGTCTTATTAGTAGCCTCCTCTAGCAATGCCAAATTGCTGAGAGTGATATCTAAACCTTCCTTATGATGTAAATCAAATGAGGCTAGATTAAATAACCAAGGACATGGCTATATAAATGCCATCTTATAATAATAATAATATAAAAATCAATTCAGATTTTCTTTTTAATATTGCATTACACACTGTCAATGACACAATAATTGATCTTGCATTTAAGTTTACATTAAACAAGAAAAAATATACATAAAAAACAATAAATATTAAAAATTTCTATATGTTTATTGATCAAATTTTAACTATTTAAAACTATTAACAATAGCTTGAATATGACTAATGAAATTGTGTAAAAACAATATTAATAACAGAGAGAATCACCTTATGGCGTCGTGAATAAGAAATTAATAATATAATTAATTCCTAGTATCATTTATTAGTGATTTAATCTTATGGTAAGGTTGGCTGCACATATTGGTCCCACCCCTTTGGTTTAATATCCTCATCCTCTGTTATCCATTAAATTCTACGTCCTTCCTCCCATAAGCCTAACTAACTATTATTAGTAGGTAATGAATATCTGCCTTTTCCAGATTATTTTCCATTTCTCCAATAACCTTCATATTCTAAATGTAATCATAATAAAATACTTCTTCCATCCGGCCACTCATAAATACCATATCCTTATTTTTTATCTGTAACATATTCTCCTTCATATGAACGTCCATCAGGCCATGTATAGATTCCTCTGCCATTCATTTAATTATTACTCCACATCCCCATGTATTTCTAAATTCAAATAATAATTTACTCTATCGTCAGACCAAGTATATACACCAAACCCTTCCAACTAATTCTTCTTCCAATAACCCTAATAAAAAGATCCATCACTCCAGTAATATTTTCCGAAACCTTCTTTTTTTCCAAACCTATAACTCCCCTCAAATCGAGACTGATCCTTCCATGTTTCAACGCCATAACCATGAGGTTAATCATTTAACCATTGTCCCTCATATTTAGCTCCGTTAGCATGAATATATTTTCCCTAACCACTAACTCTATCTTCCTTCCATTCTCCATCATAAAGATCACCGCTGACATACCAAAACTTACCCTTTCCGTCTGCTCTGTTTTATTTCCATTATCCCTCGTATTTAGCTCCATCTGACCATACTTAAATTCCGAATCCATCCCTCTATTGTCCTAACCATTCTCCTTCATAATAGGCCCCGCTTTTAAAATAATGTCTTGATCTTCTTTCTCTGGTTTCAGTTTCAAATTTATTGACTCCTGCATCGGTCATGTCTTCTTAATTTCTTTAAACCATTTCATTCTTTCTATTTTATAATTCGCTGTTCGATTCTCAAATATAACTCTAAATTGTACATGAAGTTAGGGTGTTATCACATTTTTTGTCACTGGGCAGAAGAACAGATTATAATGGCAAATAGTTTTCAATAACCAGTTACAATGATTATTTGATCTATGTTTAACCATATACTCATACATCATCTTCTTCATAATTTTCTTCGTCTTCAGGAAATGCGCGACTTATTGAATATTGATTAAACTCAGAGACTTAAATTTCATCTTTCTTTGAGCAGCCTTAACAATTAGTACAATTATTGCCCATTCTTTGATTAATAGTATGTATTTTAATAATTATAATCAACACTGTATTAAATTGTTTTGATCTTAATTTTTTATAATTTCAAATTTTACTAAGGTTATAAAGAAGATTATAAACAGAATACTCAATAGGGATTTAATTGTTTACATTATCTGAGGTAGATAAATTTATTTCGTCGCATCACATCTAATTATCTAAATTAACTAGTAAATAGGCTAATTAGTAAATTTTATTTTTATTATATACAATCTTTTATTTTTATATTCTAAATTTACAATTCATCCGTTAAACCAAAGTTAATAAGCTAACACAGTGAAATTTGTGTTATCATAGTTATCATCTTGAAATTACTATGATTACTTTTTTTGGTTCTTCTCAAAAACAACACTTAAATATAAATATCATTGTTTACACTAACTTAATAATAAAAAAATCTTGTTGAAAACATATATATTAAGACTGAATGTTACAATTCTTTCTCATTCTCGTATATTCGTTTAATTTTAATGGCAATCTATAGTGACTGGATGAACCTTAGCATTTCATCATTTTCTAAATTAATCAAGTAAGATAAGTAAGAAAAGTGTACTAATTTAATCTTCCAAATATGTGAGCTTTTTATAACTCTAAATAAGAGATTTGTTAATATTATTTAATTGAAATAAAATATATTGATATTTTATTTAGGAAAAAAGAATTTTTTAACAAAATAATTTTATACTGTTATTTATGATTAACTCATCTTTTCATAATTTGCTAACTTTGGCAACATGAACAGCTAAGTCCAAAACTCTGTTGGAGTATCCCCATTCGTTATCATACCATGAGACTAATTTGTGGAAGTTCTTTGTCAATCCAATACCAGCTTTAGAGTCAACGATTGATGATCTAGAATTTTAATTAAAATATATAATACCTAGCGTCATGGAGGAAATCTTATGAGACGACTTAATCACTTGTGAATCCCAAGATTCCTTTCAATGGTCCTGCTTATGAAGCCTTTGAGAGTGCTTCCATAACTTCATCATAGGTTGCTTCTTTTTGAATTCTGACTGTCAAATCAACAACTGAAACATTGATGGTTGGAACTCTGAAGGCCATACCGGTCAATTTCCCTTTGATTTCTGGGATGACTAATCCTACAGCTTTGGCAGCTCCTGTGGATGATGGGATAATGTTGGCAGCAGCAGCTCTACCGGCTCTCCAGTCTTTTCCACCTTTAGCTGGTCCATCTACGACCAATTAAGTGGCTGTGGAGGCATGAACTGTTGTCATAAGACCTAGAAAAATCTACTGATATTTTACCTTCAACAATACCAAAATTATCATTGATAACTTTGGCCAATGGAGCCAAACAGTTGGTTGTGCATGAAGCATTTGAAACAATGTGTTAGTCAGCTTTATAATTTTCATGGTTAACTCCATAGACAAAAGTTGGTGTGCCCTTGTCCTTTGATGGAGCAGACATAATGACTTTCTTGGCTCCTCCCTTCAAGTGGAATCCAGCCTTTTCATCAGTCAAGAATGCACCTGTTGATTCACAAACTGTGTTAACCTATAAAATAAAATTGAACTAATACTCCTGCATCTCCCCAAGGAATTTAGCTTGGATCTTTTTGAGCGAATACTCTGATTTTTTATCCGTTGACGACGATTCCTTAATCGTATTTCTCAACTGTGAATGGTGATCTCAAATGAGCAGAGTCATATTTAAGATTATAGACTAAGTAATCTAGATCCATGAATGGGTCATTGATGGCTTTTACGGTCACCTATAGGAATATTTAAAATGTGTACTGGTTTGTTGTTCTCAATAGCGGCTCTCAAGACCAATCTACCGATTCTTCCAAATCCATTAATACCAAGGGTCACAGACATTTATAATGATAAAAGATATTTATACTTTGATAACCAAAACACGTAAATTTATTTCCTCTATTAATGCGTCATTTTATTAAAATCACCATTATAATCCCAATATTTATCATGAAATAACAGACGTATGTGTAAATAATATGATACTTTCAAATATCATGACAATATATATAAAATGTTCAACACAATAATAACGAGAATTAAATTTTTAAATTTAATCGTGTGTTTATCAATATTAATTCAAATTGATCAACTAATTCTAGAAAGATCAAGTTGAGTTCCTAATAATTTTTAATTAAATTCTTAATACTATTAAACTTTTTATTCTTCAATTATGTTCCACAATCTTAGAACCATTCCTTCTCTCATTGATTTAAGATAGATTAAGAGTTAGTATTTATTAAGAAACAAATATATATATATTTAATCATTATTCCTCCTCTTTTAAGATCTCCGTTGGATTCTTTGCACTTTAAATTTCGGTCCTAATATTCTTTGGAATCAATCTAATGACTGGGACAGGAATCCAAACTATCTTCTTTGGTTCTCCTGGGTTTAACTCAAACATCTGTTCAAATTTAAATAGGAAATCTCTTGGACATAGATAACGAACATTTGAATCCCTTTGTTACTCTGATGATTTAATGTCAATTTTTTTGTGTATTTATGGTTCCAATTAGTCTATTTCTTATTTGCAAGATGATTCAGTTTTAATAGTCTTGATTTCTTGATCTTCTTACTTTTCAAATTCTTAATCAGAGACCTAAAGTTTCTATTAAATTAAATTTAAATATTACTAAGCCTAATTTGTAATTTTGATCCTTGTGTTTAGTGTAGAATCGATTCTTAACCATGATTTCCTAAATTTAACATTAATAATTACCGATCTATCTTTCATAAGTTTAGCGATCTAAGTCCACTTCGCTCCATACTGTCTATACAAGACCATTAATTAATCGTCCTCCTCTTGAGTCCATGGTCTTGCAGGTGGGGCAATTATTTGATTGATATATCTATTTCGAATTTAGTTTCCAGTCCTGTTTTTCATAATTTAAGCAATTTCATTCCAATTTTCCCCATATTTTTACACTAGCTCTTTCAACATATCATCTTCTTCCTTGGTCCATGGAGTCTTCTTGCCACTCTTACTAAATACATGTAAGTTTTACCTTCAATTAAGTCCATCTTTGAACACATTCTTAATCCGTTTTCCCTGATAAATATTCTGCTATTTTCTTCCACTAAGGTCCATATAACTTAAAAGCTTCTTCTAATCGTCTATCATCATCATAATTCCATTTATTATTGTTTTCTACTTCAGCATCAGTCCAAGCAAATTACATCAAATTAATATAAATAAAAATAAGATTTGTAAATTAACTCTTTCCCCCTTCAGATAATAATCCAAAACCTATAATTCAATCAATGTATGCTAAATAGCATAACTTCCCTCACTTTTCTCTACTTTTTTATAAAGTTTAACGTGTGGGAAATACAAATACTGATTTTAAGGCGCCTATTTAAGAGTTAAAATTTAAAATTTCTTGGTTTTGCTTCCTCTCTTTCTTATCTTAAATAAAAGACTCCATCTTAGCTTAATTTTGATTTCATTAATCTTTTCAAATAAAATAATGCTCACACACCCCAAGCACTTTTTATTATATATCTAATAATTAAAATATGTTTCATAAATTAGTTTATTTATATGATTCTATTTGTTTTTTTGTAATATTTTTACAAATTTTCAAGTTATAAGGGAAAAGAATTAATTCTAAAAATAATAATATATTTATTAGAATGAATATTGAAACACAATCTGAAAAATCGGAAATTAGAAGATCCAAACGAGAGAGATACGTTTGGGAGGCTTTAAATGCAGTTCAGAAGTGGAGAGACTTATTTAAAAATGGTTATTTAGATGAAGTAGGAAATTACATAAAACCCTCTTTAAAAGAGGCAGCTGATCTAGTTGGACTTCCCAAAAGGACGCTTGAATAATATCATAGTGTTTTTAAGTAAATATCTCTATTTATCAGTAGAAAATTACCACAATCCATTGACATTATGAGAATACTTGATAAAAAAATGGGTTATCTTAATCAGGTCATTAAAGAATTTAAAAATGAACCAGCAGTAACTTAAGAATAACAAGAAGAAATTTAACAGGAATAGAGTTCGTGGGATAATATGATTATCGAAGCAGATGATTAATTAGCAGTCCAAAGAGATCCTGATGAAGACTAGGTTATCAATCAAGTGGTTTAATAATAATAAATTTTCGAGAATGAAGAAGATTACGTAAAATATCTTTAATTCGAAGAAGATGAAAATTATTGTCAGGAATATTACTAATTCAATTAGGATGAAGATTTCTTATGGGATTAAGAATAAGCTAATCCTGCAGTTCCTGATTTTTGATTTAATTAATCAAACACACTTAAACATAGAATATAAATAAATCACTATAACTATATCACATTTTCTCCATTCTCACCTATCTCTAGATGCTTACCAATCTCATTATTTGAACAGATCTAATTCTTAAATGTTATTTTTCTTCAAAATATCCGATAAAATTGAACAATTCATCAATATTTTTTCAAATAACAACTGTGACAATACATATTATAAGAAATAAGGAACTAATTTTAGACCTAGTATTTACAGCACCTACTGTCGAGTAATTAAAAGGATTTGATTCAATAATTTTAGTGCTTGTATTGATCACCAGTAATTATTACATAATTCTTCTCTTCATTTAAACACTGTTTATATCTACTATTTCTTTAGTAAATAATAGTTCTATATATAAATGACTGTATTAAAAGTCAAGTTTAAATGTTTTTTTTGAACTTTTATAAACTAAAAATACAATATACACTGCGCTTTCTTTTTTATTCGCAAATATTTGATCACAATCTATTCTAGTCACTAAAGATATTCTAAAAAAGTGAGAATCACCTATATTAGATGTCTATTTAATAAAACATTTGACAACTTAACTTAATAATCTTTATAGAATTATTAGTCTAATTAGATAATAAGATTTGCTGATATTTATGATCTTATAATTTAAAATTATATATGTTTTCTTTTCTTTATTTCATATTTCTATCAAATATTTACAAATTTATCATATCATAACATACAACTCTATAGTAATTTTCTCATAAAATATCTTCTTCATAATCATGATGGAAATGAACGAGAGTGAAAAAATACTTATTTATTTGATTAAGAAGTGGCTCCTTCAGGGTGGTTGTGTAATTTATTGTTGTAAAATCGGACTTTATTTTTTCAAAAAAAGAGTTTCCATCTAGTTCGAATTAAAATTAAGTAATTTTTTTAGCTTAATTGCGATTAATTAGTTCTATGTTTCGATTCAATGCTTAACATAAGTAACATAAATAATAAATAAGCTTTTATAGGAAAATAATAGATGTAGTTCAAATTCAAAAAATACATCATTATAATTAATATAATATTGAACAAATATAACTCATTATTACTATTATTTTGCTTTAGATTTCTCTTTTGTATCTTTGGTTTTATTCTTTTTTTCACTTGACTCACTTTTCTCTTTAACTTGTTTCTCCTGCTTTGGTTTTGTTTCAGTAAATTCTTTTTCTGTGCCTTTAATTTTTGCCTAATTAATAGAATTTGCAAAGTTACATTTGAAATAGCAGATATTAATTTTTTTAAAATTTACATTCCAATAAAAAAGGAAATGAATAAACCTGCAGTTCCAATAGGACTAGTAATCAAATTTCTTAATCCACCTCTTTTGGCTACTGGGGCAGAAACATTCTAAGATTAATCATCAACTTCAAATTCATTTTCTAATTCATTTAAATGATCATTTCTAATTTTAACTCTTTCCTTCCTTTTAACCTTGGCTTCAGATTTTTTCTATCTCTCTAGTTCTTCCTTAACCTTCTCTTCATTTATAACTTTCTCCCAATTCTCCTTCATGTATTGATATTCTTCATAATCTGTTTCACTGATTCCACCTGCATACAAAACTATACCATGAATATATGGATTATCAAATTTTGTTTTTTCAAGATTTACTTATAATTTACCTTCCTAAACAGCATCTACACATAAAACATTCTATTGTATATAATGCAAATTTACATTATGAAATACTTGACCTGCTACGTATTCAAATTCTATATATTCATCATTTGAAGCAAACTTTCCAACTTTGGCCACAACATCAAGTTTTTCTACGACTCTTTATTGCCCAAATTTAATATGGAAGACTCTCTTTCCTTTAGTATCAAAGTACATCTTTCATGTTTATATTTATTGAGGTACTTCTGCAAATTTAAGAATTAGAGTATATGTGCCTTCTTTTTACAAAGGAATCTGATATGAAAATGTCTTGTAAGCATGCCTTTCTGTTAAATAGATTTCTGGCTCTCTTGTATATTTGATTTGTTGACTAGCCACTTCTGAATTCAAACTGTAATCTGCTACCACTGTTTCAGGATCTGTTTGTATATCCTTAGAAATAAGATTAAAGCAATAATACTTTTTCATATTGAATTCCTGATGGACTTTTATAATTCGATGGAGCACCACAATTTATAGCATAAATGACTTTTTTTGGGTTGAGAGGCTTAGAAAAAGCAAGTGCTATAATGATAAATAATTATATCATTAAGAATAATAAATTATATATTCATTTATTTACAAAAGTTTGTATTAATAATCCACATTCATCCAGCTAAGCTTAGAGCAACCAAATAACTAGGGATATACTCTTTAAATTTAATATTATCCTGAGATATATTATTAGTAGTATTAATTGTTTAATTTGTGTTTTGAGTTTATTGTTTTTAGATTCGATATACACTATTATTAAAGCATGTAGTATTAGAATTCTAAAGTTAAGTAATTTATTTTTTAAGGGCTAAATTTTCATTTTTCGACATATTGAGAGCTTCTTATAACTGATATATGATCAAATCTTGATTATTTGATTATTTCAATTATTAGTTCTCCTTCTTCAATTTAGTTGCTAATTCAGTTAGTTTTGAGGATTCTTTCTCTAATGCTGCTATCCTCATCAGATATTTGATCTCTCTCTGTTTGTTTTCATCGAATTTAGTCTTGTTCGTGATATCCTACATCTAAATCCTTTGTATATTTTCCTTTCTTTCCTAAAATGCATTGGCTAAATAACCCGATAGATTATTGGAATTGTCAATCTAAGAATTATTTCTGTTGTCATAAAACGAATTATTAACTTTTCCTTTACTTCTATTCACTAATTATAGTACATTAATATTACAATCTCCAATCGATGTATTTTGTTTGACTTTGACTTTGTCTCTGCTAAGCAATCTGGCACTTTTGATTGCCTCAGCCTACACAATTTCTTTAATAGCCTTAACTTCTCTAGAGGAATTGCGGTAATAGGGCATAGATGTATTTAAGGACATAATGCTTTAACTGCTATATATAAATAATAATTAATTAAAGAGTATTAAGCAAATAATAATATAAAATTATCATTGTTCATATCTCTCAATGAAAACAGTTCTACAGATAGGACAAGATCCACAAGTTTGAATCCATACCAAAATGCAAGTATCGTGGAAAACATGATTAATTTTCCTATTGCCACTATCTACATTGCATGGTAATTTAACGCAATTATCATCCATCTAATATGTGGATAAACATATTGAACATTCTTCATGAATACTTTCGTCTTATTCTTTTAATTCTTAGAATTTCAAAGGTATTAAATTATTTAGGAATCTTTATCTTTACTGAGCAATTCGGTGAAGCTTATATTCAGAGTATAGATATGAACACCAATTGCAAGATTACCAAATAGCCATGCCAATGATGAATGGAATTATAGCACAAATAACCAGGATTAGACTCACCAGAATGAAAATGATGATATACCCGATTAGCATTGAGAATACTGTCAAAACAATCAAAATTGAATCCAATTAATTCATATTGATATTGTCGTTATCCCAATTTATGAATATCCATTACACAATTGTGATATTACCCCAAGCAAATAATATTATTTTAGTCAGCAAGCAAACTCTATTTAGTGCAAATATTTAAGAATTCTAATTCTCCAATAGGTAGGATAACCACTTTGTTGTCGTAATCTTCTCTGAAATGCTGATGGCAACCTATTGTGCTTGAGTTAATTGCTCTTCATCTTCCACTATGTCTTCAAAAGGACTATTTCTTTTTATAGTATATTTTAAATATTCGATAATCTGAGAACTGGCGTCTCCTTAGTTTATTTATTCAGCCTCATTAATTATGTACCTAAATTAACAGTTGATGTATAGAATTAAACAATCGGAGATTAAGTTAAAACCAAAATAAACACTAAATAATTCCTTTATTTCATCCTTTGTAATGAGTGAAAAATACATTGCTATGACCTCATTCAATATAAAAATGATGTTGAATATTGTGAATAGATTTACAACTATGTAGCTTCTGAAAACTATAATTTTGAGGGCATTGTTTAGTTGTGGACATTGGTTGTTAAAAATCAACTAAATAATATCTTGGAAACTTATATTCAAATACTATTCAGTCTCAAATTATGATGTGTCCGATATTTCAGCTGGCTGTTACTCTTAGAGATGTACTAAACTAAATTATTAAAGTGATTATTATTCTGCTGACTATAACTAAATTGAAGAATGATGTGATTGTCCTTAAGGCTTATATTGAAATGACAAAGATTCAGGATTGTTGATAACCTTCTCTGATTGCTAAAATTAAGTTCTGAATTCTTAAAATTCTGATTGTAGTGATTAGTCTAAACTATTCATTAACAAACTAAAAATTTATTATTGATAAGGCATTTTCATAAATTCATAATAAATAAATAATTTATGAACACAACACTAGAAAACAACTAAGAAAATAATCAGATAGAGTAAATTTAAAAAAAAGTGAAGATACAAAAGCCAAAGAAGGCAGATTTTAGAATGCACGCTCACGTCAATCCTCTAAATGAAACCTTATTTCCTTATCCCCTAAATTACAATTAAGTTGATTGGTCATTGCACTATCCTAAAAAGTTTGGAAAGGATCCCTTAAAATTATACCTCAATACTTTAGAATACCCCATTACTTATGATGACTAAGTGAATCCTGAATGCTCAGAATCTATAGTGGATTTTCTTGATATGTAAGTCAACCTAATAATAAATAAGCGGCTGTGGATTTGGAGGATTATGTTTTGCCTTAAGCGAAAATTATCCTGAAAAGTACACTTTTGGTATGGAAATCAGAGGCAAGGTGGTTAACTTTGTAGGAGAAAAAATAAGAGCCTTAAGAGATGAAGACTAAGCTCACAATGTTTCAGTGATTCGTACTAATACTATGAGACATTTGCCTCAATACTTCAGAAAAAACAGTTTAGAGAAAATCTTCATTTGCTTCCCTGATCCACATTTCAAAAAGAAAAACTTTAGAAGAAGAATTGTCAATCCAGGACTTCTCTCTGAATATGCTTATCTATTGAAACCAAGTGGAAGAATCTACTGTATAACTGATGTAGAAGAATTGCATAACTGGCATGTCCAACATCTTGAAAAGCATAAGATGGTATTTATGAAAGAATTATCATAAGTTTAAACGAGTTCAAGATGTTGAATAAGATTCTGCTGCCAAACTCATTTGGAATTCTACTGAAGAGGGATAGAAGGTTGAGAGAAATAAAGGGTCCAAATTTATTATTGTTTGCGAAAAAGTATGACTTGCAAAGTTAATAAAAATACATTATGTAACTTAAATATAATATTAAAAATAATATATTTATTAATATATGCCTCCCAAAGTGCAATAAGCCGTGAATGTCATTAAAGATGAAGAATAGTTTCTTAATTTGATAAGTTCAGAAAATAAAAAGTTGGTCCTACTTGATGTTCACCCAGATTGGTGTGGACCATGTGAAATGATGCATCCAACCTACAAAACCTTATAGACAAGCATCGATGACTTTGAAAAAAGAGTGGACATCTACACTCTAGGCTATAGTAAAATCGTCACATACAAACATGATAAATTTAGTAACATTTTAATTCAAATCATCTTTTTAGACAGAGAGCCAACCAGTAAACCCAGGTTTGTCTTTTATCAAGAAGGCAGATTGGTTGATGAAGTGTAGGGAGCAGATATTCCAGCCATTATTGAAAGAGTCTACAAATATTTACCTATGGTTTATTGATTATTATAAATCATATAATACATTATTCTAATTCATTTCTTATTCTCTAATTTATATACTATTGTGGTCTCCAGTATTCAAGAATTAATACAATTACTGTTCATAAATCTTTTTCCTTTATTACTTTGCTATATTATTACCTTTTGTGATTGCATAAAAATAATTAATAATAAATAAATATCGTTAATGATTAAATTTCAAAATCAGCCACTCAACTATGATGTTAATGGATATCAATAACCTAAATATTAATAGATGCCTCCAAAATAACAAAAATAAATGCCCAACTAAGGTGGCTTCCAAGAAACCTTTGGATAACAATAATACTATGGCAGATAAATGATCCCATAATAATAGGACTCTAAAAACTATCAATAGCCCCAACAGCATTAATAATAGCAGGCACAAAATTACTAGAACTATCCTTAAAAATAATAATATCCAAATATGCAATAATAATAGTAATATTAACAGTCATAATAATAATAATAATAATAATAACCTTAATAAAAGGCTGACCCAAGATACTAAAATGTTTAATTCACAGCCAAAGAGTTTAATCAACTATTCTATAAATAATAATAATAATAATAACAATAACAATAAGTCCAATAGACAAATTAAAACAAAGCAAATGAAAACCAGGAAGAAAACAAGTACCCTTAACCTTAAAAAGCTCCTGCAAATGAAAGATAGATATCTACTTACTCATAAAATCAATAATAATTACTCTAATAAAAATAAGCTGGTGTACCTGGAAGAATGCAATCAGCTGATCCCATTTAAGCCTAGAACAGAAATGCAGTTCCATTGAATAACATTCAGTAATTCTTAAATTTAATTTCTTAGAAATCAGTAAGCAACTAAAACTAGTTAATATATCAGTAATGGAGGTATCAATAAAACCTAAAATGATTACTCTTAAAGATAAGCCACACCAATGAAGGATTAAATGAAATTCATGAGTATTCATATTATTTTAAGTTTAGATTAAAAGCAAGTTCCAGAACAAATTAACCAACAACTAATGTATTCTCCTATGCCCAAGAGTCAATTATTGAATGAAACAACAAATTTGGCCAAATTATAACAACAATAATTACAATAAAATAAGTCTCCTTAAATTTAAAAAGTTGGCGGTTCTGGAATGGGTCCTGCTATATCTTAGCCTACTAATGCTTAACAAATTGTTGAAGAATTAGCCAAAGAAAAAGAGAGACATCAATTATTAACTGCCAAATTAAAAAAATTAGAATAAGAGAAAAAAACTTATAACACACAATTTTTGAATGAAATGGAAAGCAAAATTAAAACTCTTATCTAACAAAATGATTAACTATAAAACTTGAATATGGAGTATTTATTGTTTTTAGATATTTTTAGATTACTATAGAAGGCATAGGATTAACCTCAAGGAGAAATCCAAGAACTTAATAAGTAGATTTCATATAATAGTCAATAATTGGATTTCTTGTAAAAATAAATAAATGAGGCTTAAAAGCAATTATCCGAATAAATGAAAAAATATAAAGACTTAGAATAATAATATTAAGAAAAGAATTAAGCCGAAGAACAACAAATTCAATATTTAGTTACTGATTTAGAAGATAAGGTCCATGGATTAATATCTGAAAACGAAAGATTAAATGCCTTAATAGCCCAATAGGATAGCAATCCTAAAAAAGAACAACTATAGTAATTAACAAATGAAAAGAACAAGCTTATTTAAATGGTATTATTTAATTAATAAAATAGACCTAATAAAGTCAGAAAGAAGTTAAAAATTGGAAAACCAAATATGAATAGTTATAATAAAAGCTTCAATAAGCTGATAAATTCTTAGAACCATAAGGAGAATAAGTGGAAGCACTTGAAGAAAAAATTAAATCATTGATTGAGGAAAATGATTATTTAAATACAGTTGTTTAATAGTAAATTGAAAGAGAGAATCAAATAGCATTATTGGAAGAAGAGTAAACATATAAATATATCTTTTAGGATGCAAAATTTAGTTGAACAAAATGACAATCTTGAAATGTTACTCCAAAATAGTACTAAAAAATGATTAATATACACAATATTATTATTATTTGTCATCATGAATATTATCTGATCAATAACAATAAAGTCCTTTGAAAAAGGAGAAAGCTCTCTTTGTTAATTCTTGTACCAAATTTAGATTTCTTGGTCAACAAAATATAAAATAATCATATACTGAAATACAATTATATTATTTAATTTAAAATGCAACCAAACAATTATTAAAACTAAAATGATGTTTTTCCACCATACCCTTAATAATACCCTAATCAATATCCACCTTAGGTTCCAATGCAACAATAATAACCTTACATAGATAATAACATATATGTAGGTCAACCTGTAAGTTAATAATAGTAATTTGGAAATCAATAGTATTTGTAAAAATTTATATCTATTTGAATTAAACATAGATAGTAACCCTACATTATTCAACAGCCAGTTGAAATTTCCACTCCAATCTATGCGAGTGCTGAAGGAATGAGATTTCCAATTCAGATTAAGTGCTAATTTTGTTAATAAGTTGGAATCACTAGAATTTAAAATAGAATAGGAGATGGAACTATCTGCGCATCTATTTTAGTTTTACTCTTGTGTTGGCCTTTGTTTTGGCTGCCTTGCTGCTTAGAAGATTGTTAAGACAGGATTCATTTATGTTAAAGTTGTGGAAAAGTTGTAGGTAAAAAAAAGTATGAAGTGTGCTGAATCTTTCTATTATGTTATTCAATATATATATATTTAAAATAAATAGTTTCTAGAGTTGCATAAAGTTTCTTAGGCTTGAAGAAAGTATTTAAAGTAAGAAATACTATTGAATAACAAAGGTTATTTCAAAAACCTTTAGATCTCATTCTATTGGTTAGTTCTTAATCTCAAAAATCTTGATCGATTTTACATTCAGAAAGATAAATATACCCCTGGAAGCAAGGAATATTTATTAATTCTTAATCACATTATAAATTGTATTTAGTAATATTTTAGGATTTGGCTAAATTTATTCCTCCAAAATTTGAGCATAAAAATAAACCCTAGGAGTCATCATATACTTTAGAATTCAAAAGAAAACTGAATATTTACAGAATTGCTTACAAAAAATAGATGATTAAAGTTCATTTTTAAAGAGAATCGATAAATACCTAATGATCTAAATTCGGAAATTTTTAAATGGATCAGCAATAATTTATTCTGTTATTGTATTAACATTTGTTTCAACTACAATTACTAATATTAGAAAGAATAATTAATAAAAATTCTTAAATAAATATTATAAAAGCAAAAGGAGATTAATACACATATCCTGCTGATTTTTACTTATTATTGTAAAAAGCATTTCCTTACTTTTATAATTTATAAGTAACTACCACATTAAACTTGCTGATAATTTTTAATACATTCCCTTTACTATTTACTTTAAAGAATAGTTAAGATAAATGATCATTTACCTAATTTTTGGAAAAAAGTGAAAGAAAAAATCTAAAATATGTTTGTGAACCAATATTTTTGCACTCGAAAAAAAGTTGCACAAATATTATCGATTATTATTACTAATTATAGAGAGTCTTTAGAACCTTTAAACAAAATTAGTAAAGATTTAAGTTATAACTGTAATAAATTTAGATAGCAAGTAGAGAATGAGAGATATTTCAAAATAATAGAAAAAATAATGCAAAACAAGTGATTAAATTTAATTTTAGATTTTGATTTTATATTTGATTATGACATTGCAAATCAGATAGTTGAATTCACTTTATTGGATTGAGCAACCAATTGTCCTAAAACTTATTCCAATTCTGATTCATTAAGATTGCCTATCAAGGCTTTCTTTTCAACACCATATTCTAAATATTTTACTCAATAGTACTGTATCTGATGAGTACATATGGGTCAATTGATTCGCACTCTCTGACGACAAATGGGAAATGAGGATTTGCATCCTTCCATTGCCAATAGTTTTTAGATACAAGATTTCTATGGTTTGATCATTTTTGTATACCTTACGCCTTCAGACCTGCCGCATGTCTAACAGAAGACGAATCTTAATTCTTTTACTGAGTTTCCTAGTTATTTGTACCAAGACATTTTATTATAATAAAAATAATAATGGGAGGTGTGTGCGGACATCATCACAGTCATCATAATTAAATTCCAAAATCCCCAGGAGGACCTCATAGAACTGGGTGTTCATTTATCAATCCTGAGCCGATGAAGTTTAATATTATATTCGAAAATCTTCGTCTCCAATACCCGACTAAGTCATGTCATCTGAGTATCAAATTAGCAGGAGAAATTCTATTGGAAACACCAAACCATATAGATTTAGATGGTAAACATGCTGTAATTAATTAACTAACCTTAGTGGAAGAAAATTGTTGAAACATAAATCAAAGCCAATATTCTTGAGCTACATGAGAAGAAACTAGAATTTTATCTATTTGAAGAAAAGAATGTAATTGCGACTTTGGAGATTCCCGTTTTTGATATCATTAGCGGTCCTATTCATTTTGATTATTCAATCGGCAAAGGCAGGCTATCCTTCGATATGCAAATGGCTTAGATACTTTAAATAGATATTAATCCTATTGAAATAGATTGCAGTTATGTTGAGAGCATAAAAGACAAGGCCTATGTCTTTAATTTGAGATTAGTAACAAGGAAAATGTACTTTACATCCCCAAATTCTGAAAGTTTTTATAATCCTGCATATTTGAGAGGGTTTAATTCATCTCTTAACAATTTTCTCTAAGAGATGATGTTCAGGACTACTTGGAATAGTTCATCTGAATTACCCATTTTTAGTATTGAGTTGCCATCTAATGAATTGTACAATAGTGCATTGTAAGTTTGCATATGGAGTATCAATAAAGCCAATGAATTCCAATCCCCTGGAATTTGTTCAATCAAATCACTCAAAGAAAAATACGAAAAAGAAGTATTTATAGACTAGAACCTCTTTGCAGAGACCTTTATTGCCTTACATAAACTAATTTANAATAAATTTAGATAGCAAGTAGAGAATGAGAGATATTTCAAAATAATAGAAAAAATAATGCAAAACAAGTGATTAAATTTAATTTTAGATTTTGATTTTATATTTGATTATGACATTGCAAATCAGATAGTTGAATTCACTTTATTGGATTGAGCAACCAATTGTCCTAAAACTTATTCCAATTCTGATTCATTAAGATTGCCTATCAAGGCTTTCTTTTCAACACCATATTCTAAATATTTTACTCAATAGTACTGTATCTGATGAGTACATATGGGTCAATTGATTCGCACTCTCTGACGACAAATGGGAAATGAGGATTTGCATCCTTCCATTGCCAATAGTTTTTAGATACAAGATTTCTATGGTTTGATCATTTTTGTATACCTTACGCCTTCAGACCTGCCGCATGTCTAACAGAAGACGAATCTTAATTCTTTTACTGAGTTTCCTAGTTATTTGTACCAAGACATTTTATTATAATAAAAATAATAATGGGAGGTGTGTGCGGACATCATCACAGTCATCATAATTAAATTCCAAAATCCCCAGGAGGACCTCATAGAACTGGGTGTTCATTTATCAATCCTGAGCCGATGAAGTTTAATATTATATTCGAAAATCTTCGTCTCCAATACCCGACTAAGTCATGTCATCTGAGTATCAAATTAGCAGGAGAAATTCTATTGGAAACACCAAACCATATAGATTTAGATGGTAAACATGCTGTAATTAATTAACTAACCTTAGTGGAAGAAAATTGTTGAAACATAAATCAAAGCCAATATTCTTGAGCTACATGAGAAGAAACTAGAATTTTATCTATTTGAAGAAAAGAATGTAATTGCGACTTTGGAGATTCCCGTTTTTGATATCATTAGCGGTCCTATTCATTTTGATTATTCAATCGGCAAAGGCAGGCTATCCTTCGATATGCAAATGGCTTAGATACTTTAAATAGATATTAATCCTATTGAAATAGATTGCAGTTATGTTGAGAGCATAAAAGACAAGGCCTATGTCTTTAATTTGAGATTAGTAACAAGGAAAATGTACTTTACATCCCCAAATTCTGAAAGTTTTTATAATCCTGCATATTTGAGAGGGTTTAATTCATCTCTTAACAATTTTCTCTAAGAGATGATGTTCAGGACTACTTGGAATAGTTCATCTGAATTACCCATTTTTAGTATTGAGTTGCCATCTAATGAATTGTACAATAGTGCATTGTAAGTTTGCATATGGAGTATCAATAAAGCCAATGAATTCCAATCCCCTGGAATTTGTTCAATCAAATCACTCAAAGAAAAATACGAAAAAGAAGTATTTATAGACTAGAACCTCTTTGCAGAGACCTTTATTGCCTTACATAAACTAATTTAAGAAGATGATGAAGAGGACTTCCAAATGTATCAGTAATTCAAAACTACCGTTACTAAAAGTTTATGGTGTAAAGGCAATAAAGTAGGTACAATACAGTGTAAGTTTAACGTAAAACTTCCCAGGTTTCTTAAATAGAAATTAGTAGGTATTAGAACTGAGAATGGTTGCACATTAGGTGTTAATATTTGTAGTTCTAAGTCAGTTGCTCAGATTGCAGAGATAACAACTATCTTTTAAAAGTTGTATGAATCTATGTTTAAGATGCAATCGTTAAGTCATAATGATCCAAATAGAGCAATGCTCTAACATCAGGCCCTTACTATAAGTTAACAACTTTTAGTTGAAGTTTAAAAAGCTGATAAAGATACTAATTCCAAATTATTCTACTATAAAAACTAGGAGGATTTATTTAAGGCTTAGGAATATTTTATTAAGATAGCAGAATAAATAACAAAATATATAGATAAATTAGATGATAATCTAAGGGAAGTTTGCTATGAGATTTTATTAGTATTAATTGATAGAGGAGAATTTCGATTGCATTCGCTAGGATATTTTGAGGAATGTAAGCAATTGTCCAAAAAGCAATTGGAACTAAAAAACTCTGTGAATCTCCATTATTCGGAATTTATGCTCCAAACATTAAATTGGGTGCTTCTTAAGGTTCCATTGAAAACTCAATAGTAAAATGAGAGAAAATTTATGATGAGATTCATGGTTTTAGCATTCATTAGAATATATAACTTTAAGGATTAATTGTTGAAATGCATCAATAAACCTAATGATCCTTAATTAGTAGAGTGGAGAGGGAACGAATTTTAATTAGAAGAACAAGATGTTTTTATAAATGAATAAGTAGCTATGATTTTTGATTGGCAGACATACTTTTATAATTATCTCTCTTAAAACCAATAATATTAAATAAATCAAACCATGTGTGACGAGTAATGGAAGTCAACCTTCTAGAAAAGGAGTTTAATTTATCAATATTTTATCATGGATTTCTGCACTTACATCTAATGCATTCTGAAGAAGAACAATATACAATGGCAACATGTGCCTGGGTATAAATAATTATTGAAATCTTTTCTTTGTGAGTTGAAATTAAAAGAATCATACACGACATCATTTTTTGATTGTGTGATGGCAATTTCGAGAAATACGAGTATTATCAATATTATTGTAATGATATTATTTAATAAAACTAAGTAAGATCTACCTTTATAATTAGTTTGTATTAATCGGATTAGGTCATATAGGTTTTCGATTTATTGAGTTTAATGATAAATTAATGCCCTTAAACATTAACAGTTTTTGATTACCCATTCTTTTTAAATGGGATAAGAATTGTATTAACATAATCAGAACATGCTATAGCAATAGCAACAGTTTTGGAGTTGATTTACACTAATTTTTTGAAATTCCCTATAGAGTTCAGAAAGGCAGTGATCGATTTGTTATTTGAGCCAATATGTTTTGAATTGTTTCTCCATTGGTCAAAGACGGTAAGGACAGTTTTTATGAGTTTTCTACTCTATCGGATATGCCACCAATATCGAAATAACAAGATTTCAGTAATGGATGAGGAACTGTTTGAATAATAGTATTTGATAGCCTCGAAGCCTAGGAAGAATTTTAGTTTTTACGAGAATAGAAAGGAGGAGAAACAATTAATTGTATAGTTTTGATATGATAACTAGGCAGATTACATCTACTTGAAATACACAAGGTTTATGATGAACATAGAACAGGTCAAGATTCAATTGAAGTAGTTTCCAGTCCATAAAGATTTGACTGGTCTAGAGAGTTTGAAGGAGAAGTTGGCTTAGAAGAATCAGTATCATTAGGAGAGTCAGAATATCATCATATAGGAGTAGAGATAAGATGATAAGGAGGAGATTCCGTCTGAAAAGTAGATAATTTTTGAGAGAAGGAACGAGTATAGAAACCCTACTAGAAAGAGAACTATCATCTTGTCAGACAATAAATATAAATATTTAAAAGTAGCTTTAAATGAGTTTTCTGATTTGACTAAACAATACACTAGATGGAGATATTAATCTATGAATATGAGTGGGGAGGAGTTGAGTCCAGAAGAGAAAAGTTAGGCGTATTTGAACTTCTAGGTTCCTCAAATTAAGATATTGGTGCATTATGATTAGAAGGAAGGGAAGCAAGATTGATATATTAACTATTTATGCTCTTGATTTGAAGATTTAATTTAAATAAATTAATTATGATACGAGGGTACACATCTGTATTGAGAAAATCACTTTGGTACTTACCATCAATGGGATTCTCAAAGAAATTGGGTATCGGAGAGGCCTCAAGTGTATTAGAAGACAAAATTAAAAATATTTCCTAATTGGTAAAAAGATGTAGTGATAATTTAGAATGACATCAAAGAATATGGTACAGTCATCTCTATTGGTGATGGTATTGCCAGAGTTTTTGGTTTGACATAAGTTTAAGCAGGAGAAATGGTTGAATTCAGTTCAGGAGTCAGAGGTATGGCTTTGAATTTGGAAACTGATAATGTGGGTATTGTCGTCTTGGGTAATGACAGGTATTCAATTCAAAATTAATAATGCTAGAGAAATCTAAGAAGGAGATATTGTCAAAAGAACAGGAGCAATTGTCGATGTCCCTATTGGTATGGAAATGTTGGGAAGAGTATTTGATGCTCTTGGTAACCCAATCGATGGACATGGTCCAGTCAAAACAAACACAAGAAGAAGAGTTGAATTGAAAGCACCAGGAATTATTCCAAGAAAGAGTGTCCACGAACCAATGTAAACAGGATTAAAGGCTGTTGATTGTTTGGTTCCAATTGGAAGAGGACAAAGAGAATTGATTATTGGTGATAGATAAACAGGAAAGACAGCTATTGCCATTGATACAATCATCAACTAAAAACCAAACTTTGACTCTGGTGACAAGAACAAATAATTATATTGCATTTACGTTGCTATTGGTTAAAAGAGATCAACTGTTGCCAACTTGGTCAAGATTCTCACTTAAGCTGGTGCTATGAAATACACAATCGTGGTTGCAGCCACAGCCTCAGAAGCTGCTCCACTTTAATATTTAGCACCATATTCTGGATGTGCTATCGGAGAATATTTCAGAGACAATGGAATGCATGCTCTTATTATTTATGACGATCTTTCTAAATAAGCTGTCGCTTATAGATAAATGTCATTGTTGTTGAGAAGACCACCAGGCAGAGAAGCCTATCCAGGTGATGTCTTCTATTTGCACTCCAGATTGTTGGAAAGAGCAGCTAAACTCAATGCTGAAAATGGAAATGGTTCATTAACTGCCTTACCAGTTATTGAAACATAAGCTGGTGATGTCTCAGCCTATATTCCAACAAACGTTATTTCTATTACCGATGGATAAATTTTCTTGGAAACAGAATTGTTCTTCAAGGTATATCTATAAATTCTATAATTATTTTAGGGTATTAGACCAGCTATCAATGTCGGTTTGTCAGTGTCAAGAGTCGGATCAGCTGCTTAAATCAAAGCCATGAAGACAGTCGCTGGTAGACTTAAGTTAGAATTGGCTTAATACAGAGAAGTCGCTGCATTTGCCCAATTTGGTTCAGATTTGGATGCTGCCACATAATAATTATTAAACAGAGGTGCCTAATTAACTGAATTACTTAAATAAAAATAATACGTATGCTATAATGGCAATCATATTTTAGGTGCCAATGTGTGCTGAAGAATAAGTTTGTGTCATCTATGCTGGTGTCAGAGGATTTTTGGATAAAGTATAAACTTCAGAAATCGCTAAATTTGAAGAGAAATTCCTCACTCATCTCAGAACAAATTACCCAGCTATGTTAGAAAGAATTAGAAGGTATTATAAATGTTGATATTTATATAGTACTGGTGAATTGACCAAATAAGATGATGCTGAATTGAAGAGTATCTTAGAAGTCTTCATTCCAGAAGCCGGTCTTGCTATGAAATAATGATAAATAACAATAAAAAAAATATTTAAAATCACAATATATAAAAAATAATTCAAATAATATAATACATTTTATCAATTATTCATTAATTTCTCCCATTCTAAAATAGTTTATTCAAGATTTTCAACACTTTGTTGCAACCTGTCTTCAGCAAACTTTGACATGATAGACCAAAGTGGTCTTACAATGAATTTGAAAAATCCGACTTCAGACTTGGCCATAATAGATAACTAAGATTAGAATTATCATACTTAATCTAAATCTTTCATATATGGTAATTGGGGATATCCAAATTTACCCTCCAAATTATATTGTTCCTAAAATTCCATATTCACTCTTGTACTCCATTCCCTACTCAATTTAAATGGTTTGGCTCCTCCAGTGAAGTCAGATGTATGAATAATCATGCCTGTCATTAGTTTGATGTCATCTTCAGTTCCAAAGTTGAGTTCCTTGATTTTGGCTTCAAAGTTTTTGATTAAATTAAAATGCTCTGTTATATCTGTGTATAGAATATTGGAAATGAAGAGTTTGCGAAAATCTCTGAATTCAACTGATGTAAAATTAGGAATAATATTTGTTGAAGGAGCACATAACAATTTGATTGAAGTAGCTGCGTGATGTTACTCCAACACACTTCTATCATGATACCTAATAGCCAAATTTGACAAACTGTTGATTTCAAAAATGTTTGTTCTGCCTGTATGAGATACATCATGACACAATCCAGATAGAATCAATGCAAATTTAGTGAATTAATTTAGTAAATGGGCATATTAGGTTTTCATTATTTCCAAACTGATGGCATGTGTGCATTACATAACTGTAACTCCATGATCATAATTATGAAATTAATTGCCTCTCTTATTATATTTATACTCCAATGCGCACAAAAAACTACATAATGCATCCTCGCTTATCTTATACTCTTCAATAAAATTATTTCTTCTCAATATTGAAAATACCACTTTCTATTTCTCTAACCAATCTGCACTGTAGGCCAATATATTAAAATCAAAATTATCTATATTCTCAATACAAGTTTCAGTGATCATATCCGGATAAAAATGATTGATCCCTTTGGTTTTTGGTATCAAACGAAAACTCTCACTCTCCTAGAGTGAATTTCTTTAATCTAAATGTTTAGGACTGAAACTTGGACTGTAATTTTTAAACTGTGACTATTTTTGTGTTGCCTTAGGCTTAAACATTTGCACTACTGAATTTTTTAGTTATGGGTGTTTTTATTCTAACTTATCCAAATATTGTGTAGTTTCTTATTAAAGAAAACTCTTTCTAAGTTTTTGCCATTAGCTTGCATCCAATGATTTTTAATTATATCTAAACCAACCCTACTGAAATATCACATAAAACCCTTTGAAATATTTCTCTTCCATTTTCATAAACACTTCGTATGAAGCATTACTATCTGTTATCTTCCATTTATTTTAATCTTGCAATTGATTCTCGATATGCTGGATCAAGTTTTTATTCTTAAATATGCTCGTGTATGAAGCATTATGAAATTAAGGGTTAAAATTGATATTGAACTCCTCTGCCAATTTATTAGTTATTGGTTATGAAACGAAAGTAATTTATCCTTGTTTATCAAACTCAAATATCACTGAATCTTGTGATTTCACAAAAAATTTGTAAAAGGTAGTTCGATCATAACACTACTTAATAAATTTTAAATATTTGTTGAAACTCAAATTAAGTTGTTTGTAAACATTCATATCTTCTTTTCTATTTAAATCAAAGCAAATATAAACGCTCAAGTTTAGGGAATCTCTAAAATCAAATTCTACGTATGGATGCATACTTAGAAAAGATGAGTTGTCCTTACACACTTTATATCTTTCACTTAAAATAGAGATTGATTTATGAATAAAGAAATATTTAGAACATCTAATGAAAGCTATCCCTATATCTTGAATCATATGAGATAGTTGTAACAAATTAAAACATTAGACTCTAGCCTATTTTATAGTTTCAAGCAGAAAATAAGCTAGTTGATTGACTTCCTCAAAAAATTAGTATTCATTGCAGAGGGATAAAAAAGATTCAATAACAATTTTATGTTCTCCTTTGGAATGATAACAAAATAAATATGAGGAATTTTATATTTTGAGGAAGTAGTTGCCTTTGAATTTATGAGTTTAAAATAAGGAGTTTATTTCAGGACAAGATTCTGAAATCTGAATCACATTGTCCTCTAGTATTGTTTAAATCTCTAATTACAGCTGATCTGTTAATTGTATTTCATCAAATTACCCAGTTTCTGAGTGATAAATTTCGTTGTTATTAATAAAAGATATTTCATCTGCATCAACCAAACTTTTCATAAAAGTTCTTAAGACATTATTTAAATTTTGGGTAGATAATTTATCATCCATCAAAAGTAGATGGCATCTCAAATAGTCATTGAAATGTTACTGTAATTAAAATGAATAAATTTACTTTCATATCCTTATAAAGCTATTAAAGATTTTCAATAACCTGAGTAGACTTAGTTATGTTGGTTTCTTATTTAGATTCAGTTAATTTGGATACTTATTTCTACGAATTGCTAGGCGTTGACGTTGCAGTTTTAGTTATAAACTCTCCAACCTTTCTGAGTTTTTCACTGAGTTCATGATTTAGGTGCTTAATAATGATTTAGAATCAATACAAATTATGAATCAGATTGCCAGAGTGTTGTAAGTTGATCTAACTGATCAATAAGATTTGTTTCATTGAATTAGGAAACTCTCGACAGGGAGTTTCCTCTTCTTCTTTATCTAATGTGGCTATCATTCTCTTCAAAAGATTAATATCTTATCTTTGGTTATGGTTCTAGAGTTTGTAAATATTAAAGGATGGCACTCTGGTAATCTTAATCATCATAGATGGAGCATATAAGGTTATTCAATTGATAATCTTTGGTGGTCAGATTCACTTTCAATAAATGCTTTTATTTAGACGAAATAAGCCCTTTCTACTCGAGATCATTTATTTAGTTAAAAAACTTAATGTAGTTGCTTAATTTTTCTTTAGGCATAAATATTTTATTATAAAATCACTTCTATTTTTTATCGTCTCTTACTGAGAAATCTTTATATTATAATTTATCAATTTCCCTTTCATTTGTCTTTATCATCTTCTCAATTCTATCAATTAAATAAAATTAAAATACTTGCTTTTTGGAGATCCAACATTAGATAACCAATGAATCCTAAGATAGTTAAGAATCACAAATTATTTTACATTTCTTCACACTTTTTTTGATCACCTTAAGCAACTCCTTTGACTGATCCATCTTTTTAATTTTCAACCCATCCTACCAATCCCAAATGAGTTCCTTGCTCTTTTGTAAACTTCCGAAAGAATACCCCTATTTTAGATACGAAAAGTTGACGTACCTTGTACTTTTCCAATAACCTGAAAATCAAAGCTAAAATACTTTTTGATCATTTTAATTTAATGTTATAAATGAATAAAACTGGAACAGGTTTTAAGACTCTTAAATTAAGATCATCTCACTCCTTTCGTCCATAAAGTGCTTATTAGGAATAAATAGTAAGCATAATTCCATTTGAAATGAGTGAACAAGCTTACTAAACCTCTCTTAAGATGGATCTATTAAATATTGAAGATGAAATCTCAAAACTAAATAAATTGGGCATTCAATAATCTAGATTGAGTTCAAACCATACCCAAAAAATAAAACAATGGATTACCAATATAAAAATGAATGATAAATGTTTGGACCCTCAAAGAGTTATTCAAATTTGCAATTGTTCTGATGTCAATGAGACTGTTGTTAAATTGTACAACATGATCCAAAATTTTGACTTCTATGTTAATAAAATAACAGAACTCCAATGTATTCATTACTTATAATATGAATAATGTTTTACTAACTTCTAATCGAATTACTTCTAAAAAATAGCATCCCAAGGTATATTACCAAATAGGTTCTTGATGAGTCTATTGAATTTGGAGATTATTGAATATTTAGTTTAGAAGAAAGGGGATCAGAATCACTCAAATGGAGAAAGCATTTTACAATAAAAACTGTATGATTTAAAAGATGAGAATATAAAACTAATGAGTGACATCAAATAGTTATAACTTCAATGTAGAAAATTGCAAGATTAATTACAAAGTTCAACCTCTTTGAGTCAAAGTTAATTGAGTCAGGTTACTGTTGAATTGCCTCCTAATCCTACTTCATATTATAATAAAGTAATTGATGAAGTCAAAGATAGTTATTAGAATCTCGTCACTATGCTTAGAGATGTAAACATCTTCTGAATAAATAAATAGGAAAATCTGTAGCTTGGATTGAAATTAAGTGAAATGCAATAAAAATATACAAATGCGAGCAATGAAATCATAGAATTAAATAAAAAAGTTGATAGTATGAAGACTCAGAAAGTGAAATTGCATATTTATATAATAGGATGACTTGTATAAAAGATTTGTGGCTAAATACAAAACTACAGAAGAGTTTGAATAATCATATGAAGCTGCCTTAAAGGAGGAGTACACTTCTATGGAAAAGTCATTCAAACAAAAAATATCATAGTTATAATTGAGCATTGATCAAAATACTAGGGACTATTAAAAGAAATTGGTACGATTTGCTTTGAGTATAATTAGCTTGAGCAAAAGTAAATTATAGATTAATAGACCGATAGAGAAAGAATGTTAATTAAAAAAATGAGTTTATATTAAAAACTTTGAATTAATATTTCAATAATTATTTTGATAGGTCAACCTTTCTTATTCTTGCTCTACTAAACGTTACTTCTCCTCTTATTTTATCCTCAGATCCTAGATGTTCACACATCCATATTACTTCAATACGTTTCTTAATTTAGTAGTCATTCTCAGACTTGGGAACTCTCAAACTCATTAAGGCCAACTATGATTTATTTTAAGTGCACAGAGATGATATGGCAATCATGATTTCACAAAAGTACAAAACTGTTTGAATTATTACTAATCCTAATTACATTGGATAATTCAAAGTTGGAATAATATACTGCATCACTTCAAGTGCAAGAGATACAATGGTTATTAGCACAAACGAAAATAGTTCTGGAAACTTTAGTTATTTAATAGCTTGTACCTATTCTTTAATATTCCCGCTATATCCATTTGATAATCGAAATCCTTCAAGCACAGCCCAAATGAGCAGCAATACTAAATTCAATGTATCCATTAAATTAGATTTGACTATCCAAAGCTATAAATGAGATGAAATCATATATTTTTACTCTCTGAATATTAATACCTAAAGTGATATACAAGAATAATAAGGAGAAATATGCATTGAAGTACAGTAACTTCTGTAATAACAAACTAGCTGTCAATTAGGATTCTAGGAAACGAGTTGCTCTTGGGCGAGGATACGAAGTCGATCCGTAAATAATATGTCTTATACTTTGTTTATTATTTTACATATTAAAAAAATGTAATAGGAAGATCTCACACCGTGGCTAATTTAAATGTTACAACCAGTATATCAATAAATTGTATTGCTAGTATTCTTCCATCTTTGAGACTATGTACTCGGTTGGATTTAAAATATTTGACACAATTATCTTGAAATAAGGAGAACCCAAATAATGGTTCTACATGGACGATAAAGTAATCATAATGATAAATTTCGAAAGCATTGTATTAAAACACATGATGATGAATGGTTGAAATGGAGAGTTTTTGGGACTTATTGCAGAGCCAAGAATGTAAATAGACTAAGTGAATTTATACAATCTGACAACTTGGATTAAGTATAATTGCAACCTCCATGCAGTTGTGAGGAATTACAAACTACATGCAAATGCTACATATTCCATTTTGAATAGAAATTAGCATAAGGTAACATGAAATCATTAAGTCTAATAGGACGCATTTATAGGGCAGTTTCATAAGAAGTAGCTAATGAACTTTTTAAAAATCCTAATGAGAAATCAGAAATCATTACAAATTGGACTAAGATTATTGGTTGTGGAGTAACAAAATCACCTAAACATATATTTTAAGTAACAGTTTTGAAAGAACAAATTGATGATCAACCTAAATTTAGAGTCAATAGGAAGAGATTTGCCTAAACTCCCTTATAAAAGGAGGAATTCTCTAAACAAGAAAATATAGTCAAGAAACCAGTCTAACTGAAGGAAGAATATGATAAATCTTTGGCAGCTTAATAGAATACTAAATGTGAGCATTTTGCATTTAGTTTGCTGAGATTTTTAGAAGGAAGACTCTAAAGATCCATATAACTACTCTAAGTAGAGTTTTTTATGACTGAAGGAGATCTATAAATATACTTGACAGGTTTAGATAATATTCAATTTCATTCTGATGGAGAACCAGTTGAAATAGCTACCTTGTATCCTGTGAAACAGTAGGTGCATAACTTTGATAAGTGTGCTGGATTGTATTGCCATTATGCAACCAACAATATTTTTTATGATGAATTCGATGAATAATTCTCTTTATTCATAATGGCAGGAGAGAAGGAAACACATAAGAAAATCACTTATAAATCAATATTCCTGGATATGATTGAGAGATTTAAAACCATTAAAATGTTGGAACCATATCTTAATAAGCCACCGACTGAATAATTGATATTCAAATTGAGGATATGTAATTTTAATTTTAATTCATAGATTATTCATTGGGAGATATTACAAATAGCGCTTACTTTAAGCATTTGAAGATATCCAATTTCTACAAATAGGAAACTGTTTGTTAGTTTTGTTTTCATGTTTATAATAAAATAGATTCATTGAGAAATCAATATTTAAAAAATAAGAGAACAATACTGAATTCTTAATAAATTGAAGCAGAAGTCTCCAAATTTATGAGTTAAAGTAATTGAATCAATAATTTTATAGATTATGCCTAGAAGGAAGCTAAGGTTTAAATGAGATTTCATAATAAATTCTTTGATAAACTCAAACAATTTGATACAGATTAGCTAAAATTCTTTTAGGAATTTACATTGACGAGTGTTCAAGATGATAAATACTTTTTGAAAAGAGGGAAGTTAACGAGATCACTTTAATAGCATCAATAGGCTGGGTTTTAATTGCCCACTATCATAAAGGTTTAGGTGAATGACAAAGATAATATGATAAAGAAGACAAAGTATTTGATTCCCAAAGAGTAAGCTGAGTCATTGGGTTTGAAGCATTATTTGGGTCACGCTAAGAATTTGCCATTTAGTGATTAAGGTTTGGCCATTAGCAAAAGTTCACTTGAGTTAAACAAACTTCAAGATAAGATAAGGGAAATATAGATGATAAAGGAGAGAATGGATTTAGAGAAAATTAAAAGAGTGAGAGAGGATATCTAAGTGATAATGTGCACATATTATGGGAAGGGAAAGGAAGAGAAGGACCGCTTGATGGATTTTGTTGAGACTCTCAAGAAAAGAGAGTAGTAATTGGAAGCTTTAGAGGATGCATCTGATTAAATAAGATCTCCAGCAATCCAAATTGTAACTGACAAGAATGACTTTTTATCCGAAAATCAAAGGAAGATCAAATAAGACAAGGAGAAAAAAGAATAAGAGATATTGTAGACCAAGAAAGACTTTTTAGAAGTAAATAGTGATCTAGCCTTTTCTGTATTTAGAAGAGATTATGTATCTGAACGCAATAGTGAATATTGATTTTATATTTTAATTTTTTGTAAATGGCTTCCCATCTGATTCGGTATGTATTCGTTATTCTATTCATAGTAAAGATTATGAAACTGGCAAGTTTTTTCTCATCAATAATGTGAATGGTGCCACATAAGAGATTACTAAAACAGGGGATTTCATTAAAAAATTTAGCTTGGATTATACTGGCAAGCTAGGATTCAAGAATAGAGTTCAATAACCAGATCCATGTCATTATCCATGCAGCATCGAATCATTAACTTAATTTCCCCCATTCTATATACCTTAGCCAGACAAATTTGATGGTTATGCTCAATTACCTCGTACTTTGCAGAAGCCTTTTTATAATAATAATATGAGATAGAGATCCGATGCTACAATAGAGAGTGCAATAGAATTAGTGAAATAACAATCATTCAATAATAAATACCAAATAGACAAACCTATTAAACATATAACAGGAACTCTAAATGATTTTAATTTTGTGTAAAATTTGAAGAAAATTAAAGTACTTGAACATCGCAAAAGTACAAAACAGCGAAACTTTACCAATCACATCAACAGCGTCAAAGTGATAAATAAAGAAGAAATTCAAGCACCAAATCTCACTCTACTTCGAAGGAGCAGAATCAAATCACAACTATTACCCAAAACTCTCCCTTTTGGCAGCAGCAATTCAAGAGAACCCTCTGAATTTAGATATATTGTACCCTTAGAAGACAAAGAAATTAAAAGTATTCATCAATTCCAATAATATTAATCTGAACACAAGGAAAGTGAAGTTATGTATGAGTCTAGAACATTTGTTAAATCTCAAAGCCAATCTAAAGTGACACGAAATGATTTGCATTCTTCTCATCTTACATTAAATCACTTTAGAGAATAAGTAGACATTGCCTAAAAAGAAGAAAACGCATACATTATTCCATAAAAAAAGGAAAAACTCTCCATTTCTTCAAAAGGGAGGTTCAGTGCCATTAAAACTAAAAGCAATGGTGATTAATATGTCACAGATCGAATAATTATGAAACTATGTATTATTGTTAAATATATTATTAGTTTAGCCAGACCTATTTAAATGATATTAATATATATATTTAATCATTAATCATCTTCTCCTTACTTTTTAGGTCCTTAAATAACAATCAATAGAAGGTCTTTGTCGGGTGCAATAAGGATCTCATTTTACTTTGACTTTATCCGTAAAAATGCTAAATCATTTGTTGGGTCCAAGTCACGCACCAGTGATCTAGCTTTTTAAGCCAAAATAGGTATCGATTTGGCTATAGTGTCACCTTATTTTACAATCAAAAATAACAGTTACCTTCTTCCTTTTTCTCATTCAAATAGGTTGTCCTGGTAATTGTCCCTTCATGATTTACAATCACTATGCCTTAAACTGATTTATGATTTTTAATTCTGTTTATTGTGTCTTCAATATCTACGTCTGACATTTTTATATTTGATTTTTATATTCTTAATATTAATTAAATAAATCAAATTTGTTATGATAGTTAGGATTCTCAAGAATAATTAGTTTGATTGAAATAAGTGCTTTTATGATTCCTATTATAAGGGGATCATACAATTATTGATGATAATTATTGTCTTAACTAAAGTGGCAGGGATATTAAAATAATTTTCTACTCATTTAGGGATATAAGATAGCTTTGTACAATTAAAAAACTATAAGAAAATACTTATAATCAATCCATTCATTTTACATTTGTGATTAAGTTCGAAAAAATAAAAATAACATAATATCTGTAGTATTTTCAATTAGTAATAAATAATAATATTAAATTCATCATTTTCTAGTTCTCTACTTCATATTAAACATAAATTCTAATTTAATAAGTTTAACATGAATATCTAATCTAAAGAATAATTTCCTTAAAACTATATCTTATTTTCTTTTTTTTAATTTGAGGGTTTCATCGTTTACACTTTTTGAGGATGAAACATTTTTAGTTTATTTTGAAACCTTCAAAGGAGACACTTCTGTTTTTTTACTAGTTGGACCTACACTGTTAGTTCTTAGAGAAGGGGGTATTTAAGAGGAAGAGGAAACTCTAATTAATTGAGGTTCCTTAAAAGTTTTTTATTGAGATTGCTGATTGATATTAAGAACATCAAAAACTTAAGCAACTGGAGTGTGCTTTGTAGAATCCTCAATTAATGTTTGATTAATGTGATACATGGCATTACTTAAATCCAAAGCTTCAAAATTGTTTATTTAAGGTGTTTAATTCTAGACATCAGGAACAACTAGTTATGTTTCAATCTACAATTATTTAAATCTAGTAGTGTCAACGCTTGAGCCTCTAGCAGTGCTATTTCTCCTGCTTCTTAATGGAGTGAATATTTTTTCTGGTCTAACAGCATTACAATTCAAAGTTTGAATCCTTGCTTGTGATGATGTCTATTTTCTATCAGCTTTGTTATCTGATATTTTAGTATCAAAATTAGGTTGTTTGACATCTGCATTTTAGCTAATCTTAGTCAAATTTTTCTATTCACTCAACTGGAGTGTTAGATTTTTGTTCGATGAAATATTTATATCTTTTACTGGAGATTTCATTTTTATAGGAGAATGTTTATGTTACACAGCTTATAGATTTTAGTCCACTTTAACTGCTTGCATCACTCTTTCCTCAACCTCCACTTACGAAATGTCCTCAGAAAATGTAACTAAAGTTTTATGCAATTTGATATTAGTTTTATTAGGAGATTATTTTTTTTCTATTATTTACTCGTTCTTTTCTTTAAGAATGTGTTTTATTTCTGTTAAATTCTCATCTAATTATCCATCTGAATCTGGTATTATATCAATTTTCTTAATTCTATTTTCTTAGTCTTGTTTTTTGAACAAATTGATTTTATAAGGGCTTCTTTTTTTAGGCTCGATTTAAATTTGATCAAATATTGATAAGATATTCTAAATCTTTTTGGTTTCTTATTGCTTTTTTTCTGTTTATAAAATCTACATAAAGCTATCATGTTATTAATCGATAAAGCCACTGTTATTTTAATAATCAATAGCTGATTATTATTCCATTACTTCTACAGTACCTTTTTATTTTAAACATTATTCAGGCTTTAAGAATGATTTTATTATTTTTATTTGTTTAATCTCCATTTAGGATGACTATTCAGTTGAATTAGTTTAGGGAATTTCTTCTGAGGCCTCATCTTTTTACGTTTATGACTTGAGAACTTGATCTATTGACTTCTCTGGCTTTAACTAAAGCTTACTAAAAAAAGTATTTAATGAAGATTATATAGGAGGTAATTGTAATTCCGCTGCAGAAGCTTATACTAATTATACTGAATTTTCTAAAGATAATGAGGGAGATTGAAAGTCTTTGGAGTAACACTATTATTTTACTGATTCTTATTTTTTTATTACCTATTAAGTTGAAGGCATACTATTAAAGATATCTTAAATTAAAAGTGCTTATCTTTTCAATTAAAATTTATCTTTCTCATCTTCCTCTTAATACACACTTTATTCAACAGAATTTTCTTCATCTAATGTATACAAACTATTATTTTATGTTTTAAATTTTGGTTATTCATAAATTTCTCTTATTGATTACAATTTTTAACTGATTGTATTTTATTAGACAATAATGGATTCTTGATTAATTTGTTTAGTGGTTCTAAGATCTTCTGTTTCTTTTGAATTATCGGTTGATTACTCTATGATCTATTCATAACTTTATTTCAAAATTTAATCAAACTGTTTTTTGTATTATTCTAATAATTTTGAAGATCGTTTTGTTTCTTCTTAACATTATTTTGGCATGTTAATAGAATTTAACTATTATTATTTTATTTTTTAGTTTTCTTCATCCTTCTATTATTATTCTAATTTTTATTTCAATTCTAGTTTTTACTATTATAATTGTTATTATTTTAATTGTTCCTCTAATAATTATTATTATAATTTCAATTATTATTCCTACTCATAGTCTTGTTTCTATTGTTATTCTAATTTTTATTGCTACTCTTATTACTATTTTTATTTAAGTGATTCTATTTTATTTTCATTTAATTATTATTACTATTCTGTTATTTTATTTCTCTAATTTTCTTATAATTCTCGTTTTTATTGTTATTATTATTATTATTCATTTAATTATATTTCAGAATTCTATTATTGCTACTATCTTAATTATAATTATTGTGTTTAATTTTATTAATTAATTTAATTGTTTTGTGATTAACTGTCTAATGTTTGAGTTTTATCATTTAAATTTAATTTAGAGATTTCTAAAGGTGCAAAGATTTCAGATTTTTTTTGTTAACTTGTTTTGAAATTGAAATTCGGATTGATTTATAATTCTTTCTCTTTATCTACTTATTATTTAACACAATTGTCTTATTTACTCGATTTTTCAAATAAAGCATCAAGAATATTATTACTTTATTATCTATTTCTTTATTCTTTTGATTATATAGTAGCATCATCCACTTTCTCGATCCTGTCAGTTTATCGATTGCTAGTTTCTGATCTTTCTGTTCTTTCTCCTCTGAGATATTTGTTTTATCTGATCTCTTGAGTTTTCTTTTTAGAAGGTGGATCCCATTAATCAAATAATTGTTATTTTAAGTTTTAGACAGTGCTTCTACAAAAAGTTCTTTCAATAACTGAAATAGATTATTCATTCTAATTTTATTTGGAGATTGATTAAATAGAAGCACAACAGAATTAAGAGAATTAATCTGCAAATATAAATTTGACCTCTTAAAATTCTTTCTTTTTACAATTAATTTGTATTTCATGTCCATAATTCATTTTTTTAAACAAAGTCTAATTTACAAAAAATTAATGATTTTAAAAATCTTCTAGATTCCATTACAAAATATATTTCCCTTATATTCCAAATACAAATCTACTGCTTGCTTGAATATCATCTATATTTGATGTTTTTAGTTTAATCATTTTAGTATTATAGCAATAGGCATCACCATTTTCAGTAATAGCAATACCACCAAATTAGAATAACAATGATTTCTTAAAATATCCATTAACTCCCAAGCCATTCAATTGCTGAATAGGAATTTGAGTGCCATTCTCAATATTAAAAATCTTTCCACCAACTTAATTAATGAGATATAATTATACTTGTAATCAATGTCATTTTGTCTTGATAGGCACTGATATGTTTACAATGAGAATAGATTGGTTTATTATTTTTCCAAAAAAATCCTCTACCAGAATGATCAATAGCAGTTGTTGGCGTAATGCTCATATAATTCTTTCCAGACACCAATAATTTTGGTTATTAGTCAATTTAATATAGGTCACCATTACCTTAAAAAATGAGATAAATTTATACTCTGCAAACAAAACAAAGTTTTACTATCAGAACATATCTGTGACACGTTTTATAAGACATTTAGAGCCTCAGACTCATTATATGATTGAATTTGATTGTCGCTAACTACAAGTCTTTTTAATGTGCAATTTTCAATGTAATATAGAGAGACTCCCAACTTGATTGCCTAAGTAAATCTAAATCTAAGTGATTAGATATTCTAAAGTATTCATTAATAAGCATACATCCAACTAATCGAATATAACAGACATATTTTATATACGTTAATATTATAATTTATCAAACCAATAAATCAAACAACTCCTTTGAATCATTTACAACTTCATATTATAAATGCATTTTCGTCATATTCTCCATAACCTTTTTGATGTTCTCCTTTTTGGCTACTTCGATAGCCACCAAACATGGTCCCCTTTCCCTATTTTACTTTTTCTAAAATTGGATATGGCTAATTTCATCATCTGGTCCCAAACATCTAATACTTGTATCAAAAGTTACAAACTAACAAAACTCTTTAGAATGCCAGGTCTAAATGGAAGTTGAATCAAAAAGAAGTATTTCAATCCTTCAAACAATAAAGAATGCTCCTTAAATTCATCAAATCTTGAGAGGTCTACTGTTCCTCCAGAAATTAAACAGACTACATTTTTATCCTTTATTTATGATGCATATTAATCCAGAACTGAAACTGCCAATGCCTAAAAGATATCTACAATAATGTTACTCCTGCTGGTTCCACTGCTATACCCTAATTATATAATTCAAGGATTGTTGAACTCACTTTTCCTTCAGGTACTACTACCAAATCATCTAGAGTTTGTTAACAAATGTCAAATGTAATTTTAGGTACTGTTTTTACGGCAGATCCATCACAGAATCTAGACATACTTTCTATTGTCACAACTTCCTTTGCATCAAATGATGCTTTCATTGATGCTGCTCCATCAGGTTGAACCCCAATAATTTTGGTATTTGGAGACATTGCCTTGAAGTAGGTTGCTATTCCAGCTGCCAATGCTCCTGCTCCAACTGGCACAAAAACGTAATCAACTTCTCCTCGAAAATCTTCTATTATTTCTATGCCCTTAATAATCAATACAATTTATTATACTATTGTTGCATTCCCTATGATTGCTTTGACATTATCACAGGGATGTATCATTATCCTATCGTGTTATTTTATATATTCTTAAGCTGCTGCTTCAGCTTCATCAAATGATTCTCCAACACTTCGTATCTCAACATAATCCTTTCCATACTTCTAAATTATATCTATCTTCCATTAAAAACACACCTCAGGCAGAAAAACAGTTCCTAACATTATCATTATTGATGTACCTTTGATTTTGAAATGATTGCAAAAGAAAGCAAATGCCTCTGCAAAATTACCATCACTAACAGTCACTAACCCTTTTGCTCTCTGTTCTTGAGTTAAACTGATAAAAGAGTTGAATGCGCCTCTCATCTTAAATACTCTGATTTATTGTTGATCTTCCCTCTTCAAGTGAATATTGCAATGATATTTCTCAGACAATCTCAGAGAGCTCTACAACTTAGTTCTAAAATTTAAGGAGCTGTCCTTTTAAAGACGATGCGCCTATGTTATCATTGGAATTGTTATGGATGACATTTAAGATATATTATTTAATTACTTTCTCAAGAGATTACCAAAATATTAATTTTATTTGTCTATTCTACATTATTTTAAAGATATACTAAATTACCACACTTTTTTTATTTGGATATATTATAACTTATAGAATCTTAATCAATCTACATTATTTGAATTATTTTTTATAAAATCGTAAATACGAATCATTTAGTCATTTTATGATCGAATTTGCTATTATAAAATCAAGATTGCCATTTAAAACTATTTTATAACACTAACCCTTACATTTAATAAATCTTTATTTTTATATAATTTGAGACATTAAACATTTCATTAATATAAGAATTATAAATATTATAATAATAATTTTATATATTCTTTAAAACTAATTCTCACTCACTTCTTATAAATTAATAATTCAATACATTATATCCGTTTCATGCCACCTAATTATTTTCATATTTGGAGATATAACCTATTATAAAAAATTTGAAAACAACTGCAAACAGCAATTTAATTGATTACTATGTACTGGCTGCTATCTTAACTTCATTCTTGTGTTACTATTTATTTCATTTATAAATAGATTTTAGAATGACATCATCAGTTTTAGAGATCACAACCATAGGAAGTGACTTAATCATCTGAGGAAGACTTTAATATATAGTTAACCTTAAGTATATATAAAATTGATAAAAAAAGGTAATATAAAATCACTGGTTATTCTTTAAAAATAGTTCTATTTCTTCTTCTGTCAACCATCTCTACCTAGTTCCATTCTTCCAAATACCATATCTCTTAATACCATTTCCTAAATGATATATTCCAATTCCTTATTAAGAACCATCAATCCACTACCCTTCATATTTCCTACCATCAGCCCATTCAAACACACCAGGTCCGTGCTTGAGATCATTTACGTATTCCTCTCATAAGTGTGACTGCTTATACCCCTTCAAATTTTCGGCCATCATTCCACATCAATCTCCCATGTCCATTCATTTTATTATTTTTCCATTCTCCATTATATATTCTATGATCTGGCCATTCATAAGTTCCGTATCCATCAATTTCATTATCCTAAAAATTGCCTTCATATTTTGACCCATCTGCGAAGTATAAGATTCCTTATCCATTTTTTTTCCCATTTGCATAAGTTCCTTCATATTTTGAGCCATCAGGCCAAACTTCAACGCCTTAACCGTGCTATTATGCATCAACCCACTATTTAAATCAAATACAAAATACATCCCCTTCATATCTGGCTCCATTTACATGTGTATAAACACCCTTTCCATTTGCTTTATCATTACTGAATTCTCCTTCATAAATATCTCCATCTGCATGTATTAATTTACCAATTCCAGAACTCTTATCATCTTTCCATTCCCCCTCATAACAGGAGCCATCAGACCAAACTACCCTTCCAATTCCATCACGCTTGCCCAACAACCATTCACCTTCATATAGAGTATCTTTATCAATTTAAACAGCTGGAAACTTGGTGCGAACATTGCAATACAGTTGGTTTCCTTCCCTTTTACTTTATTCAAGGTCTATTTTAAATTTATCCCTTTCTCTCTATTGATTGGTTGTCTTTATCGAAACAATTGAATTAACAACATCACTATTATCATCCATTTCAAAATCACTTTTATAATTTTCTTTGACTACAATCTCTCCTTCTTTGTTGCAGCATGTTGCCTAACAATTTCCCATTAAATAATATTAATTGATAATAATTTTCATATTGATCAATAATATTCCTGAAGATTTTCAAAAACAAATTATAAAACAAAAAAATGGTTTATCAAAATATTATTTTGCATATTTTTATGTTCCTATTCAGAATTTACAGATTTAAATCATTTATTATAAGTTGGATCAATTACATATTCAGGATATACCTTCAAATCAAAATTTATAGTTAATTTTTATTTTTTAGATTGGGATTAAATCATACTTTTGCTTTTGAATGCTTTTCTACTAATCATTTAGTTTAGATTATTCTAATTCTTTTATATATATTCTCATTTCTTGAGTATCTTTTTCTCTAAATATTTTAAATGATCTTTTGGTCTTTCTTCATTCTCTTTATCTTTTTAGTTAATTCCAATATCAAATCATTTAACCCATCCAATTAAATATATGAAAAATTTCTTTTTATTATTTCTTCAATAATTGAATTTTAAATATTTTGATTGAGTCTTTGGAAGTAATATACAGGCTAGTTTTGGATTATAATAAAGATAAATTGTTGAAATTCTTTTTAATATAGTTAAATTCCTGACCAGTTTAATAGATTGAATTTGATGTTTTATCTTCATCAAATAACATAAAAATATAATAATATTTAATTCTACCATTTTGATGTTGTTTTTATTTTACAGGACCTACATCTAATTCCTTTTACATAAATTCATATACTACACAAACTTCATCCTTTTACTTTGGGTCTAAAGGTATATTCAATAATTACACATAATTCTCTTTGAATATTTGGTTTGTTTGAAATCATTTTCCTTTACCAATTTTAAATATGCCAAATTATTTAACATTAATTTATACCTTCAATACCAAAGAACCAATAGGAGCAAGGGTGAAAAGTATAAATATATTCTTTTTGGCTTTATTTATCATCAATCATAATAGCAATCTCTTTATAAACTTATAAGATAATATGAGACTTCTTTTACTTTATTGATCATCATACTAATTGTGTTCTAGCAATGATATTGAAATATCTGCTTAGATTTGGTTCAATTTCGTACTATGAATTTTCTCATTATGCTTCAGAATATTCTTATTCAATTAATTTATTTCCATTTTTATTCTTTTTTTATTCACTAGTAGATCTTCCAATTCGCCTTCCTCCTGAAATACTGAATCATATTGTTATTATTTTCATAGATGTGAGATTCTGTCCCATTGCAGGTAATTTTGAATTTTGGAGAACTACACATAATTTTTAGTTTGATTTTGTTTTAATTTTTCTTGACAATGATTTCAATCAATCATCATTCTTAATCAAAGAAAACCATGAATCATCCATAGATTGAATAGGCTAAATTTGTATTGTAAATTAGAATATTAAATTGAGTATAGAAAGCAAATTATGAATAAAAAAGTGACTATTCCTGAATCCTAAAAAAGATAAATAATTATTATTATTTCAAATTAAAAATCAACCTTGTCCTAACTAATCATCTTATAGATTTACTTAAAATCTCATTTTCTGAGCATACTGAATCAATAGAAAATTAACAATTTTTAATAAATATCAATATCTACATTTTTAATTTATTAAATACTGTTAAAAGCAAATATTGTATCATAGTAACATTATTTAAATAGTAAAGTTTAACAAACTAAGAGAATTACAAGTTAAACTGATAAAGTTCAATTTTAATTAATTTTCAAGAAAGAATTTGACATATTTTGTTAATCAATTATTTTTGATCTTTAGATTTCAATCGTGAAATACCTCTCAATTTTTGTAGATATAAGTTTTTTCTAATTATTTAGAATGCTTAAAGATTACTAATATATTTTCATTAATTATATATTTTTCTAATTTCAGATTTAACAAAAATCAATGAATCAAATCAAAGGACCTAAATTAAACTTTAGTACGCCTATCAAAATCTAAGACTTCATTGAAGAAAAACCATATTCAGTGTTGGATTTTGAAAACACCGAGTGCTTCAAAAATGAAAAAATTTCTAAATAAGTCAAATTTGCACCTACAATCACTATTTTTCTTAGATATCAAGATGAAGAAATCAATAGGTTCAGAGATAGACTTAAAACATAAGTGTAAATGACAAAAGAAACATATAATCTTAATCCGACACTTGAAGAATCCCCAAAAAAATAGTAACTTAAATCATGTATGAGGGTTCCTATTGATACGGATTATTGAAGTTTTGATTAAAATTGTTTCTTTTGTTTACTTTATACTGTTCCATCAAATATTCATATACTCACTAATTATTTCAATATCTCTTTCATATATTCTGAACAGTAGGAAAATATGATTTAAAGATCCTAATCATTTTACTACTTTAAAGAACGTATCGCTTTAATCAAAAAAGTTCAATATTTATAAAATTTAACATATAATTTTCAATATTCTATGACAAAAGTATACCACAATTATTATAAAGCAAGGGGTATTTAAGCATGTAAAAAGAAGAGATTAATTAAAATAGAAGCATTTGTACAATTATTATTAATGAATTTTACCAAACAATAAAAATTAAGGACAAATAGGTATAAAAATCAATTAGATAAAATTAATTAATATTTTAGAAGATAACAGTAGCTTTAAGTGACTTAAGTAAAGTATATTTTTTTAGCTTGAAATCCTTATTTCAGCTGTATTAAATGCAGAAACATTCAATTTTAACACCCATATTCTAAGATTCTTCTAAGATAATAACAATATGAAAAAATTCACGATAATTTATTTCTATTTCATTACTTTTATTTTATCAAAATTTTAAAGTAATTTAAAGTTAATAATTTAAATAGCTAAAATCGTATCCCATCCTCTTACAATGGCCCAACTCTAATCATCCAAAAAAAATTATTTAATTGAAATTTATTAAAGTATTTATAATGTAACAACAATCTTCATTATCTGAAATATTGTTAAATAAGTATACAAATACTCCAAATTTATGTATATTAGTGGATGATAACTTTCGTAAAATGTTAAGTTTTAATGATGGATTGTGCAAAATTAGAAAAAATAAATTTGAATTTAATTATTTGATTAAATGTGAGAATTAGGAGAAATGGAATTTATGGCTCAAAGATAATTGAATTGGTAGTCTTAGATCCTATTTCCGTTCTTTTATAATGTAGCTATATAAATAAAAAATAAAAATTGTGTTCACAATTGTATAACAAAATGAATTATTTTTATATTATTCCTTTTCTAATAATCAATAAATGGATTGATATATCATAAAAATGTAATAAACTTCTCTCTCTTGTGTTAAGTGAATTGATATGTTTGTAAGATTGCCAATATAACAAAAACCGCAAAAAATAACACCATGATTCTGTAATAATTTTTGTAATTTAATTATCCCTCCAGTGGGTTTTGATAAACATTTGCTTACTATTATGACTATTGTCCTTAATTCATTTTATTTATAGCTAGGTTATTAAATAATTAATTTTTAATATGTAAATATATATTTATTAATTAATATGCAAACTCCGTTTAAAAAGCAACCAAAAAGCATAAAACAAATTATTAAAGACTTAATAATTAAGGAAATGGAGAGGGAAAGCAAGAAAAAAATAAATATAATTGTCATACCCACTAGAATTGGCTAATCGTGTTGGGGAACTCGAAACTTAAGAAGAATATCACCTTCAAATCACCAAAAAAATGAATAAGGTGCAATATTTTCTCCTATAAACTGCAGCCAGATCTCTCCAATGAATTAAAGTCCAGGATCTCCTTCAAACTATCGAATTAAAAATAAGTCAAAGTATGGAAAATTATTAAAAATGAACAATTAAGAATAAACTTACTAAGCTAGCAAAAAGGAACAAAAATATAAAACTGAACCTCGTTAGAAATCTTAATCTGTCAATACTACTAAGCCTTTTCACCAAAGATTACCATCTTTGCCTCGAAGGATAAATTACTTTGCTGACGAGGCCAAAAGTTTATAACTTAAATTAACTGACACTATTGAAGGATATCGGGTACAACAAGACGATATGTCTTTGGAGATTGATGAATATGTTAAGATGAAATATATTAATTAGTTTAAACATTAAGAAAATTGAAGAGTTAGTTTATTCTTTAATTAGTGTGCTTTAAAAATTAAAAGTGTGTTTTGGAAAAATTATTTTTTCAATAATAATGAACAAAATTAAAAGAAAGCTCTTCTCTATGGAGGCCATCCTCGATTCCAGAACTATAAACGATCAACTCTATTTTTTAGTTAAATGGGCTGGTTATCCAATCTCATAGTCCACATGGGAAAAAGCAGACAAAGTGCCAGCCGATTCAAATATGATATCAGAGTATAAAATGAGTGTTCAAATGCTTGGAAAGACCTTCTATTTTGATCCATTAGATTAACCTCCTTAAATAGAGGACTTTGTAGAAGTCCCACCTTAAAAAAGTGAACTCTCCACTTTTAACACAAAACTGAGCGAATTTTAACATCAAATCAATACTCTCAAAGATGATGTTAGACTTATTTTATAAACTTAATTGAGACTCATTAAAGAACTAAAAATGTCAAAAAATGTGATACATCACTATGACCTATAAAGATCACCTGCCTCTCAAGACAAACCATAGTCTATATAATCTGACATGATGTAACAATACTAATAATGTGCTTTGATAAATTATGACGGTTCTTTTGAATAAGGAGATAAAGTTGAAAAAATTGGTAGAGCAGTTTAAATTAAAAAAACTAAAACCAAAATGTATTATATTTTATGGAAAAGAAGAAACAATGGTACAATTTTTATATAATAAATAGGTTAAATTCCTAAGAATTCATGGGTTGAGAGTGAAAAAATCATAGAGAATGAACCTGTTAAAGTATGTCAATACTTATGGAATAAATTAATTTGAATTAATAATATAATTAAATAGAATGGTTTATTTAGATTAAGTATTACTCAATTACGTTTACTTTTTGAATTGAACTCTTTTGTGTTCATCTCTGTTGTAAAAGCTTTTTAACTTTTAGGGCTACCCAATTATTTTTTTTTTAATTCCAAAAGCTGTTATTGATCTATTATTCTATCCTATTATTATTTAATCTAGATTAATATATAATCTTACTATCTAGTTTAATTTAATAATTTCTTAAGAGTAAATTGGGCTTTTATTTTCTTTTATATTTATCTCTAACATATTGCATCTAAATGGATAATTGATTTTTACTTTTATCTTAATATCTCATTTTCTTATTTAATTTATTCAAATTGTTGTCTATTTTCATATGAATTATTTTCATAGCATTTATTTTTCCACAATTCTATTTCGTTTAATCTATTTTTTAACATTACAGTTAGCTTTTCTATTTTAATTTATTATTCCTAACATTATTTCTATGAAGTCAATAATTATTACTAAATTAGTTATTGATTATTGGTTCCATTATGTTCCGAAATTGAAGATTAATAAAGTTATTCTTTTATATTATTGTAATTTTATAATAATTATTAGTATTGTATCTCAGTATTTTATGAGTTCAATAGGTTTTATTCAAGAAGATTAATTGTTTTTCTTTATTATGTAATTTGTGTTTTTTAATGCTCTATGAGATTTTAAAGATCATGTTCTTATTATTCAAGTGAACTAATTTTCCAAGAAAATTGATTTAATTAAGAAGAACCTTATTAAGTTTCTTATATTATTGATTCTAATTAAGATGAGACTGTTTATAATTCACAAACCTTTAGTTGAAATTGATTTTAAAGCTATTGCTTTTCTATTTACTCTTATTTTAATTGGTATTTTATTTATTCTTAAGAGATATTGAACTATTCTTTGGTTCTATTCATTTAGTCTAATAATGCTGTGTTTTCTTCTTAAAGTTGTAAATTCTCAATTTTTAATGTTTCTAGTTATTAAGTAAGAATATTCTTGAGATTTTTCAAATGATGATTTTCTTTAAACTATTTACTATATTCTTCTTCATAATTTTTATTTTATTCTTCAAAACTTTAAATAACTTCATTCAATTTAATCGTATGCTGTTTTATTTAGATTGTTTCTTACTTCTATTAGTTTGAATTTGGATCATCATTCATATCTCCTGTTTAAATAGAATTTAGAAATTAAAATTTTATTATTTATTCTCTTAATTATTTGTTTTCTGTATTAGTTTATTCAACAAGCAAATTATATTGATTTTGTTACCATTTCAATTGATTTATTTCATTAATTAAATTTGAATTTTCTTGCTATTGCTCGTATACTTAACTCTAAGTTAATTAAATTTAGTAAAGATGTTGTGCTTCCAAATCTTCAATCTTTAATCCATAGTGTAGTTCCATTTAACTAATTTTTGAATGACATTCTTAAATTTATTACGTTTTCAATTTAATTGAGATATTTTGTTTCTCAATCTCTTAAATTAATGCACCTATTTACTTTTGTTTATTTTAATATTTCTACTTATTCTGCGTTACTTATATTAGGTGAGCCATTAAATCCATACTTGTTATCAATACTTGAGTCATTTAGACTTCGAATAGGTGAAATAGACTAAGAATGGTGAGAACTGAATTATTTGAGGGCCTGCTATAAATAGCCAGCTTCAAATTAATAACATTGTTCTGTTTTAGTTGCCCTACTAGATCTATTGTTTTAGAATAGATCATTATTTTACTTAGACATTATTTTACAAATTAATTCTAATTTATTTATATAATTGTGCTAAACCTAAAAAGTTAATAAAATGTATATGTCAAGAAAAGGGAGTTTAAAGGAGGTTGAAAGTTATTATGAATTTAATTTTAAATTAAAAATTTTGCATTATTTAATTGGGAAATAAAATTATTTTCACAGATGATGATTTAGTATTATTTTAGTTTATCTTTAAAATTTGGATAGTTTTGTACATCTGAACTAAGAATGAATAGAATTAGTAATTAAAATTTTATGAATAGTGAATAATTTGAATTTTTGAAAAATTACAATATAAAAACGATAAATTTAATAAAATCTTGATGAGACAATGCTTTCCATTTCTAAACAAATGCCACTACAAGTATAGATGGGGTGTGCTTGGATTTTGTATTTGGCTTGTTTTGGGAGCATTTTATTGTTTTGATATCCCAACTTCTTTGCACAACACATTATAGGGACATTTTTCCGATATCATGACACCTGAAGCCTTTGAGCTATATTATGGAGGGTTGTATAGTTTATATTCATTTGCAAATATTTTTCTTCCATTTATTAGCGGAAGTATGATATAATTTTTATTCAGAAATTAGGGATTAAAAGGGCGATAGAATAGTGTTGATTCTTATGGTGGTTTTAGTAATGATAGGGCAATTAATCTTTGTCTATGGAGTTCACCTCAAAAGCTTTATGGTTATGTATTTGGGTAGAATCATATCCGGTTGGGGCATAGAATCTGTTGTTCCTACACAAACCTCTTTCATTTCTCCATATTTTAAAGATGACTTTTTGGTATCTTACATTATAAATCATAGGGTTTTGCAGTTGGCTTGAATGAATTTTTTGCAACTTTAGGGTCTATATTAACAATGTATTTATGCCCTAAATTGGCTTTAGAATATGGTTTATTGATAGCAGTATCTAGTGGAATATTTTTTAATTCATTTAGCCTAATATGTGGAATAATCACAGTGATTTTAGATAAACATGCAGAAAAACATCTTTTGGAATTAGTGAATTATGATTAAGTCAAATATTCTGTTTTGCGATCATCTGAAAATCAAAGTCCCCGATAAAGTGGTGGGAACAATGTTGAAATAAATTATAATAAGAATGTTGGAGAAGATATTATAGAAGTGGACGAGATTTAATAAGAAAATTAAAATGGAGAAGATGGTTAGATTCTATCTTAACCAGATGCTGCACAAGCTATTGAAATGTTTCCAAAAATATTTTGGCTTGTTAGCTGGTGCTATGCATTAATTTATAGTTCAGTATTAGGATTCATTAATATTTCAGTTGGACTACTATCTGAGAGATGGTTTGGAGTGACTGAAGAATCAGAGATTGAAGCAGGATTTGTAGTCTCAATTATGTGGTTCATAACAGGACTCTTTACACCATTATTTGGTAGCTACACAGATAAATATGGTTAAAGATCATCATTAGTAAATTTATGTTATTTACAAAGCTAATATTTGCAACTGTGTTATGTACTTTTTCTCACTTGATGATATGGTATGTCTTTCCATTCTTATCTTTGATCTTGCTTGGAACTTCATTGGCTTTAGCATTTGCTTCTGCTTGGACTGGAATTGTATTTTTAGTTCGACCTGATACTTTGGGTAAGGCATATGCTTTGGTTATTGCTGTATATAATTTCACATTCACTCTTGTGCCTCTAGCTGTTGGTGCTTTAAGAGCGTACGTATATTTAATATTTTAGATATTATGGGACATACTTTTATTCATAAATTATGTTATCTGTTTTAGGAGCCATTGCTTTTGTGCTTTCTATAATAATTTATTAACAAGATCAAAGTTAAGAAAATATTCTTGATGGAAATGGACAATATGCAGTTAGTGCAACTAGTCTGGAAAAGAACTTTCCAAATGAAAGTGCACATCTAAAAGAGGATTGATTTACATTTATGATTAAGTTTTCAGTAGGAATAGTTTATTATAAATAAATAACAAATGTTATTCAATCAAAAATTTCCTATGATTTTTAGTGTAAAATTCAATCTATTTTTAAACTTCTTCTAAATGCCAAACATCTTTCCATTTGATCCTAAAGTTTTTATCCTCCGCATTCCATCACTGCATTTATCATATCAGCAATATTCTATTTGCCATTTAGAACAGCCTTCTCCAATTATATGATTTAATGCTCTAATGAACTACATCTTTGATCACTCAATTTAACAATCCTCTATTACATTATTAAGGATTATTACTTTGGTTATTTCTAACTCTTTTTGATAGCTCTCCAGTCTAATTTAGTCTTTCTTGGAATTCAGTACTTATGATTAAATTAAATCTATACTTAATTATTGATTCTCCTTTAAGGTAATTTATAATTCACTCGAATATTCCTAGACCAACCTTTGTAATTCTGATTCCGACAATTAGTTTAATCTAAAAGTTAATTTTATATTACTTCTACTTTCCTTCATTCTTTAACAGATTATCAATCTATAATTTAGAATTCCTTGTCCTTGCTTTCTCATCATTAGTTTGCTGGATAGTCTCCGCACAGATACTTGATTTATACTATAGTTTATCTTTGTTTGGTTTAAATTCATCCTTTTGAAGACAAATATAACATTATTGATTTATTTATGAATCCTTTTGAGATTAAATATAGTTTTAAAGTTAAATTTTTTCATTTTATAATTCAAGAGTTGTATTTTTACTTTTAGTTAATTCTTCATTCAATTTAGATATTTCATGAGTATATTTTTTTTTTTATTAATCCTTTTCCTCTTTTAAAATATCATTTTCTCTTAAGAGAATCTCAATTTCTTTTTTGAGTATTTCAGACTCCTTTTTAATCTATTAAAATTCCTTAGTATTTTTATCAGCTAAATTATTTAATTCATTAATAAATGAGTTATTAAAATTACTATTTAAATTTTGAATCTGAATTCTTTTGTAATCTGATTGAAGAGCAGTATATGTTTCTGATAATAAATTAAAAGCAGATTCTGACTTTTTAATCTATTCCTACAACTTTTCATTCTATTGCTTCATTAATTTATTCTAATGTTTCAAAACCTAATTCTAAATTTATAAGAAATTATCCTCCTATTCTCCAATCTCCAATTACCTGCAAGATGTCAATAAAGTTTGCTCATTCTAAGTCGGTCTTGAATTGAAATTATCAAATTATTCTATTTTTTTAGGATTAGCCTTAGGTTTTGTTGATCCTCTCAAAATTTCTTCATGATTCTATACATTTTTAGTCTTATTCTTGCCTGGCACCACAAATTTATTCTCTCTCAAAGCTGTAGGATAATCCTAATCAGATTTTTCTTCCTTAGATTTTTACTATGACAAACAAACTTTCTAAACTCTTACGGTTTATACTCGTCTGGCATTGCCATCAGTCTCAATTAGTTTATCGATTTCAGAGTACTTAGAATGATTTTCAAAATTGCTTGGCTATTCTTAATATTTTTTTAAAGTGTCTTCTCTGTGATGATTTGAGTTTTCGCCTCTTTATTCTAACGGGGAATGTTGGCATTCCCTCTTTTGCCTGAACCAGTCATCGCTTTTTTGTATTTCTGTATTCATTTTACTAAATTTCTTAAATATTGATTACCTCTGATAGTTTCCAAGTCTTTTGTTTTCACTTTAATTTACTTAGTTCCATGCCAATCCCACTTAAATATAAGCGTCTTAATCGTATCTATTATGAATAGGAATTTTATCAATAACCAATGGTAAATTATTTTCAATATAAAAACCTAAATTCAGTATTGCTTCTCCATAGCATATTTTGCAATCTTGGACCATTATTTTTAACTAAATTAGATTTATTGAATTTACATATCGGTTTTCCGTATAATAAAAATCAAATTCAACAACTTCATTAATATCTTAAACATTAGCACATTGACTCAATATTTTAGACATCAAAATTTTAGATTCATTTTCTAAATATAATATTTGTAATTTACCATCAAGAACGATTATTTTGCATTATTCTGAATATTTTTATATTAAGAACTGCAAAGATTATACTTCGATTTCTAGATGAAGCATCGGCTGTAATAAATTATTATTATTATTTATAAAATTATTACCTTAATACCTTCTCATTATAGAAACTAGTCGTGTACGTGAATTATTCATTTATTTCCTTAATATTTCATACTTTTATTTTAAATCTCCATTCTGTTACATTAACCCCATCTACTAAATTAAACCATTTTATTCCTTATTAGCAATATTAATATTGCCTTTCAAAGCATTATTTTATCTATTTATGTCTTTCGTAACCTCAAATTTTCTATAATTCTCACTTTATCACATAATGTTATCAGGTTTTATAAATTCTAATCTATCCACCTTGTTAAGGAATAAAGAATAATTTAATAAGAATAATATTTCTTTTTTTGGAACACAAAAATCTGGTAAATTTATAATTTTTTGTTTTATTTTTAGAAATAGTAAGACTTTAAACATCTATTACATTTTCATTTTGATATACCTTTACTTAATATTAAATTACTTATTATTGAACTATTCAACCTTAGAGAAAATTCAGAATTTAATTATAGTATTGTAAGGATTTAAATTAAATTACAGTGATTCATTCATTCAAAAGGGCGTAGAAAATCTGAGATTTTGTTAGAATAATTTGTATAATATAGAAACAAAAAATGAGATTTTGTAGAACCAAGATTTCAAATATAATAATTATCGATAATAAACAATTCTATAGAAATTTTATTAGGTGCTATTGTAAAAGTAAATGATCAATCATCTAAATTTGGAAATTGCAATACTCCAGGATCTCTTACAATTGAATCTAATTTAATCTTTTTAACTTCGTTGATAATAGGGGTAACATCTCTTGGCTTTTAATTTTTTGGGTATGTTTGTTTATTATAGAATTCAATAATTTCTTGCTTCTTCAGTTATTTTGATTTGTTAAGATTTCCCATAAGTTTTGCAAATAATGAGGTTAATTATTAGATCAGATCATCTCCAGTAGAGTCATTAAATTGTTTTTCAAATTATTTTTCATCAAAGTTTTGAGACTTCTTTAATAATTGATCTGCATATTCTGTAATTCTCTGAAGTGGCTTGATATACCTAACCATATAAAAAACACATATAATAATGTAGAGGATAGGTATAGACAAGGCAATAGGAATCAATTTTTTGTTGAAGTTATCAACCTTCTTTTCATAGATATCTTTTTAAAGTTCTACTTCTTCAATAGGTAAATAAGTTGGTTAAAAACTATTTAAGTAAAATCTAAAATTTACATTCCTAAGACAAGTCCGGAATAATTGATATACGCAAATAGAAATTGTTAACCTGAGAGTTCTCCTTAATAAATAACTATGTACGATTCAACCTTGGCTTAGCCTGTGAGATATTTTGAGACATTAATTTTCCTCAATTTAGAGTCATCATCTGAGTTCATAGTCTTAATAATTTGTTAAAATTCCTCAATGTCTATCTAATATTCTTGTTCTTGATAATCAATTATATCTGTCTCCTCTGTTAACAAAAATATAGTGTAATTATATTAACTGTTTATGGCTATGGAATTAAATAGCATATATAATATAAATGGTTATCTTTCACAAAATATTAAACCAATTTATGTATTGTTGGCATCTGTAATTGGTAATACTTCTCTTTGCAACATTTCTTTCAAAACCGGATCATAAGTATGTTCTAGGGGTATATGCGAGGCATACCTCCTATCTCTGTACATTTTTAATCGATATTTATTAAATAATTCTAGGTCAGTGACATTAACTCCTGGATATTACATCATGAATCCATCATCAAAAATCCAAAAAAAGAATGATCCCATAGACTAATAGTTAAAATACATTATGTTATTGATTGAGAGATAATTTCTGATTCTTTTTTCAGGGATTACATCATTTAATAATAGAGAATAAGTAGCAAAATTTAAAGTATATTGATCTATGATACTTGTATCAGAGATATACTAATTGGTTGAATTTGGAAGTTTATCATCCATTTTGTAAAGGATTCCATTGTATCTTAACGATTCCGATTAAATTAGGTTTTAAGTAACATTAATTAATTGTATTTCATTTTCCCTAGTATTTATCAATAGCTAAACGAAATCTATTGTAATCTCAAGAATTTATTTCTGTAATAGTTCTTAGACATTGTTCTTACTCCATGATTATACAGTATCAAACAATATATTCTATCCTATGAATTAGACACCGATAAATAAGGATAAAGAAGTGATAGCAATAATGATTTGGGCTATGGTAACTTATATTTTTAGTGTCCAATTACAAGATATTGGCAAGAAAAATATTGATCCAATTTTTTCATTTATAAATAAATCCCCATGACCAAATCCTATGTAAGCTTTAATTTTTTCCAAACAAGTTTCTTTTATCTAAATATACTATAATTGATTACATCTTTTTTCTTAGTCTCATCTTTTATAATTTATTATTCTGGAAAAGTTGGAGTTTAAGATTCTTTTGGGTTCATTTCTTATTCTTCTTCATTCTCAATTTAATCATTTGAATCTTCTTCTTCGTTGGAGATGTCACTTTGAAATTATTCCTACTCGTTTCTTTCAGAAAGAATTGCCTCATCCTATCCATTTGAAAAAAGAATATTATTTTACATATAAATTAGAATATTATACAATTCAAAGACTGTTTTGATTAAGAAATAAGTAAAATCAAAAAATAAGAATATAATTGATTTGTAGTTACTTATCAAAGTAAAATTTTTTTTGAATTTAATAATACTTCTAAATAAACAATTCCTGATGAAAATTTAATTCCGTAAAATAATTCAACAATTAATTCTTATTTATGATAACAAATTTAATAAGAATATCTGAATTAATAACATATCTATGCATTATGCCAAATTAACAGCTAAAATTTTTGGGAATAATTAAACAGCTACAGAACCCCTTACAATACAGATTATATGTAAAGATTTCCATTCCCTTATATTTTTTGTACATAAAAAATAAGGATTATAATCATTAAAATTATAGATTGCAACATCAAATTATCATTTCTTTTTTTTTTGAACCCCAAATTTTTTTATCCATTCTAGTGGGAGATTTAAAACTATTTTTTGTGAATCATCCACTTCAGATGTATATTGTTTTATTCTTTCTTCAAATATTCGTATATCTTCATTCTCCATAGAACAAACCTTAGTTTATTTTGTCTAATTTTTTGAATCTGAAATTTATTATGGTTTTTTTTCAACTTCAGATTTTGATTGAGTTTTTTTGTTTTAGGGCTTTTGCTTTTTCTTTTTTTTGGGTTCAGTTAACGTTGGACTGCTTGTAGAAGTGGACTGAGTTGAACTAACAAGTCGAAAATTGGTTTCATTATTAATATACAATTTTGAATCCTAAGTTGAGAACCATATTTACTTATGAACAACTAGTGTTTATCTCAAGGATTTGTTTGAAAGAATTCTTATCGAAATCCTTATTTGATATCTAAGACATTAATCGAATTATTTAATTATCATTATCACTACTATCACTAAAATCATAAAAACCTTGAAATTTACAGATAACATTTTATGTGTTATTGCCTATCCATGAAATATTCAATAATTACAAGTCTAAAAGATGACATTATCGTCTTTAATTGATATAATTAAGTCTTTTTTTGGTTTATTTTTGCAAAAGCATTTCATATTTTATTTAATTAAAATAATTATAAAGCACTAAAATTAACTTAATATTTTAAAACCAATGAATTCATAAATAAATTATTTTTCTTTCCTGATTTTAAAAGTCAACATTGCAATTAGTATATAAAATTCAAAGTTAATTATTATTTTTTTAGTTTAATATTAAATTTTACTCAATTCAAAATGGGCAATTCCTGTACATGCCAATGTTAAACTAAAGCAATTGAAGAAAACGAACTCAATACAAATTAAAAACAAGCAGCTTAATCAAAAGTAACACCTAAACCTGATACTGCTTAAAATTAAGATCCTGATGTATAAAATGGAAATAAACTAATAGGGTAAAGAGAAGATTAACAATCAATTAAAGGATGAAGATGTTGCTCAAATGGCAGGAGCTCGAAACAATTCTAATGAAGATAGTTCTTCTCCAAAACTAATGAAAAGAGAAAATGGTAATATTTATTCAGAAGTCTAGATGATAACAAACCGGAAGATCAATATATTGCTTAAGTTTAATCTACTAAAAATAAATCAACAAGAACTAAGTTGGGAGCTATTGAAATGAAAAATGGGGGTGTTTATGATGGAGAATGGAAAAATGCAATGAGAGATGGCTCAGGGAAATATGTATGGCCAGATAGAAGTTTTTATGAAGGAGAATGGGTGGAAGACAAAGCAAATGGATTTGGAAAGTTAGGTAATTCTTGAGTAATTCTTATTCAGTTCACGTTGATGGTGATATTTATGAAGGGTAGTGGTTAGATGATATGGCCAATGGTAGAGGAGTTTATATACATAGTGGTACTAATTATTGCTATTTTCAAGGAGGAGCTCGATATGAAGGAGAGTGGAAAAATGATCTCCAACATGGATAAGGAGTTGAGGTTTGGCCTGATGGAGCCAAATATGAAGTAAACCATCATTCTCGATATATGTTAGGGTAGATATGAAAATGGTAAAAAGCATGGACAAGGAACTTTGACTTTTGCTGATGGCAGTTATTATAAAGGAGATTTTGTTGAAAATGATATAACAGGATATGGAGAATACTATTGGAAAGATGGTAAGTCATATAAAGGACAATGGAATAATAGTAAAATGAATGGGAAAGGAGTGACTTAATGGGCTGATGGCAAGAAATATGAAGGCGACTATAAAGACGATAAGAAACATGGATTTGGTATCTTTTAATGGGAAAATGGTAGAAAATATGAAGGACATTGGATAAATGGAAAATAACATGGTAAAGGCATGATTACACTCCCTAATGGGGAAAAAAAAGAAGGAATTTGGGAAAATGGAAAAAGAATTAAGTGGTTAAATGCTGATGAATCACCAAATGGTTGATATATAATTCTTATTTTAAATAATATCTACTTATGTTAATCTAACTTTGCAAAATTTGTTGGTGAAACTTCATTATACAATATTTATTATTTTTAGAATGTCTATTTAAAAAATTATTTTATAAACAAACTCGCAAAAGGGCAAAAACAAGTTTCGAATATTGTTTTTTAGATTTTCACTGATAAAATAATTTTTCTTCTTTAATTGTGATTACGTTGCTGATATTCAAGATAACTATCGATTAGGAAAATATTTTTAGAAATAAATATGTGATCAAAGAGTTTTAAAGAAACTTGAATAAATACTAAATAATAGAGATAGGTTGCTATCCAACTTTTTGTTATTATGTTAATTCCAATTTATTGTTCTCTAATTAAATCATAGTTTTTGCTGGCTATCATTAATAAAATCTTAGGTAGTTTATAATTTATAAACTTAAATTTAAAGTATTATTAGATCATCAATAATATTATTTTTATAGTTTTATCATAGTGTAATCATAATAGCTTGTTCTTCAATCTCGAAAGTAAGCATATTAAAAACATGTATTCTATTTTTAATTTATATTATAAATGTTACTAATTTATTAAGTTTATTTTTTTTAAGAGTAAATAGCATATTTATTATTATATTATAATAAAAATAATTCAATACTGTTCATATAAAACTTAATTTTCTATAATAAATTTGGTTTTATCTTTGATTGATAATTCAGATCCATTAATCAAAGATACAAATAATGGAGAATAAAATTAGATAATGAAAAAGTAAATGAATAAAATTAATCTTGAAATTCACATTTCACTAAGAGTGACTTAATAAGTTTTTTACAAGAATTACCTTAAAATCATATAATAAATTAAGTATAAACTCTACTGAATATTTAATAGAGTTTAATATAATAAAAATGATACAGTTAAAAAAAAAATATTCATTTGAAGACTAAATATTTTTTAATTATTAAGAGTTTGAGGTTAGTATTCTAATATTATTTAATTTCTAAAGGAGTTACTTGGCTACCTTATAAATTTGATGATAGCGACCTTTTAATTTTATTGGATTTAAATTCTATTGAGGTTTATTTTCTAAGTAGTGTTTTTTCTAATTAGGAGCGTGATGTTGACCTCTTAATTCTAAGTTTAAATAGATGTCAAAATACATACAATAATTATTTTTGTGTTTGTATATCTAAAAGTCGTTTTGCTCTTCCACTTTTTTGCATTAATAAATTAGATGATGATTATGAACTGGAGGAATCCTCAGAAAAAATAATATGTTATATATCAGTTGAGAAAATCTTCTAAAGATCATATGATAATTTTGATTATCTTGGAGGAGCAATCTATAATTGTTTATTTTTTCTACCATTCAACCAATTTTATCTGAACTTATTGGCTATTTCTTCTTTTTCTTCTCTCATTTCTGATAACTTCTATTCTGATTATTTGTTAATATCTGAAATTATTTTTGATGGATTAAACTCAGTGTAGAATTCTTAATAATCCCTATGTTTATCAAGGCAAAAATTATTATCATCAATTTATGTGGAAAGTTTTGAAGAATCAAAAACTGATTCATCTTGAATTTGAATTTGGATATGTTTTGTGGTCTTTACTATTTGTTTTAATTATAAGAATCTATATCTAAATAAAGCATCAGCTTTCGAATAAATAATTTAAGATGAAGATACTAGGCATTTTTTGGATCTTCTCCTAAATTCCTTAACTCTATAATTTTTTTATTTCAAGTAATCTTCTATTACCTGCAATCTTCTAACTCTGTAATGCACTATTGAACAATTTCGTGCTATGTGATGGGGTCTATCACAAATATAGCATCTCAATCTCAATGGCTTTAATGAATTTTCAACATCTACACAATTTTTAATATAGAAGAGCTTTTCTAAATCAGAATTTAAATCATGTGCTTATTCCAACAAATCCTTTCTATTTAGACTCATTAAATTAACAAAATCAAGAGTTCTAGCACTTGCTGTTCTGGGACTTTTGCTGAAAAAACTAATTTCCCCAAAATAATCTCCTTTACCCAATAACTTTAATTGAAACTCTCTTTTTGTAAGACAAATCTCGACTTGACCATTTTAAATGAAATATAATAAATTACTGTCCACTTAATTCTCTTTAAAGACATACTCCTCAGGACCCAAGAGATGCTCTTTCAAGACATATATTAGTTTGTTAGTCAATTAATTGGAGAATTCTTTACTGATTAAATTTACTTATAATAAAATTCTACCATGCAATAAAGTTAAAACTTCAGTATGTAGATTTGATGATAAATTGCTTAATATAATCATCTAAGAGTTTTTAGCCACTTACGCAGATCCTTCTAACCATTCTAAATAGTTCTTAACTCTCATTTATAAATTTTTTGGTATGCTTTTCTATTTAATATACCTGACTAAATTATTGATGAATTTACTTCATGATTTTTTAATTCTATTCCTTTATTTCAGCAATATTCTAATCTTCTCCTTGAATAATATATTTTAAACTGGACATGCTATAGCCAAAAATCCCTGAGGAAAGAACCATAACAATAATACCAAAAATCATCTCTAAATTTGTATTAGGACTGATGTCTCCATACCCTAAGGTTATCATAGTAGTTATGCTGAAATAGAATGCTGTTATATATTTAACTTCCCAAGGTGACCCATAGATTCCATATTGGGTCATCCAAGTTAGCTCTACTTGTTCATCCACAAATTCTATAATATTCCAAATACAAGCTATCCAGTGTGCAATACATAGAATCATTGCAGCTATTTTAAAGAATTATATAATTGCTTAAAGTGTTTATTCAATAGAGAAGGTCTCTATTATTAGTATTATTTAAATACCTTCTATTTTTATCAAAATTCTTCCCAATTTCAGTACTCTTAAAAGCCGTATTATTTTAATAAATTTAAACAATCTAACAAACTTTAATATTTGCGTAGATTAATTACTATCATTTCCTATTAAGAGATCAAAAGGAAGAACTGCTATGACGTCTATCCAAAACCATAATTTTAAGTAGTTTAATGCTATATGCTTAAGGCGACATTCCAATTTTCCACTTATTATATAAGATTTTAGTTACTTTTCATAATATGCTAATCGAAAATTAAGAGTTATATCTATAACAAAAAAGATATCCATTATATTATTCACAATTTCCATACCAACCTAACTCTCTATTGAAAATGATAATGCCATTGGAATGTATATCATCTATACAAAAATAAATAACATGCTTATTGATTCCCATATTATTCTAAAGGTAGAGGTCGGATTTGATACTTCCATTATTGTTTTTAAAAATATTTCAAAAGCTTCCATTTTAGGCATCAACTATTGCTCTTCCTTCTCTCTTTATTTCATAAAATATAAATAATCCCTTGCCTCTTTACTAGTTTCTCCTAAAAGACTGATTAATTTCCTTTAATTTACTCTATGATTGTAATCATAATCTTAGGATTTATCTAAGCAAATTTATTTAAGAATTACCTATGAATTGCATAAATTGACTTTTAAGTTATAATAATATATGTATTGAATTTTTATATTGATAACATAAATAAAATAAATTAATCCATTAAGAAATTTAAAAAATTTAATTTATTCTTTATAATCATCCTAAATTAGATTTAACAAATTAAGTAAAGCTTATAAATAATATCATTTTTGAATCCCATTTTTACTGGTTTACCTGATGATCTTTATTATTATACTTTTCACTTATGAGAATAAACCTTTTTTTTGTAATAAAGACACTTAATAAATACATAAAATTAAGCCCAATACTATCACAATTTATAAGCAATAATTGATGTCTTTATGATGTTAGCGCCTTTTAATTTATCTTTTATCTTGAATTTTGGCTTTTAATCATTATATTATATTCTGGTTCTTAATAAATACTTATATATATAATTAAACTAAAAACAGTAATAAATTTGAAATTTATTCAAATGTTTTGTAAGTAAATCTTGAAAAAAATTTAAATCAATTTAGCTCTAACAATCTTAAAAATCAAGTTGCTTCATATTTTTTACAGCTTTTTTAGATTCTTTATCATCGTGTAATACTTAATCATGAAATTTCATCCATTTAATTATATTATTAATAGCATATTGATTCATAGTATAGTTTTTTTATTCTTTGAGCATAACAATTGAACAATTTGCATGCATTCAATAAACATGATTATATATATTAAGATAATTGTTTGGATATAAAACAAGATCTTGAATGTCCTATTCTTTTATTGAGAAATATTAAACCATAAAAGTATAATTTTTCAGAAAAAATATTTTAATGTTTTATAATGCTGGAATTCTTAAACTTTAAAAGAAGCTTAATTTAGTGAAAAAATAATAATTTTTTCTAAAAGCAGTTAAGGATATCTGTTAGCTCAAAATAATATTATTAATAGATTCTAAAACTGAAGTGAATAATATGAATAGTATTAGAAATGGTGAATTATTGATGGATGTAAAAATTTAATCATTTTTTTTTATTTCCCTTTTATTCTTTTTCTTTTTGATTTTATTTTTATTTCTCTTTTTCTTTAGTTTCTTTAGTTTCTTTTTATTCCTTTTAATCTTTTTTTTAGTTTTTATTCTTAATTTATTAAATTTTTTATTCATCTTCATCTTCACTTTCATCATCATCTTTAGATGCTTTTGTAACCTTTTTTGAACCTTTCTTGTGTTTTTTCTTTTCTTATTTTAATTCTTTTAAACTATTTTTCACTTTGTCTTCATCTAATTTATATTTCTTCAACCAAGCCTCATAATCTTTTTTATATTAATTTTAAGCTTTTTCTTTTTCGTTTTCATATTTCTTAATCGAAATTTAATAATACCTCCTTTTTTTTTTTATCTAAATCATTCCACATTGATGAAATAACTTATGTTAATTCCGTCATGCTTTTATCTTAATTTTTCTTTTTTACTTCATCGTAAACCTCTGCTCTGTATAACATATAAGCATTTTAGGGCTTTTTTGGCATATGTTACATGGCATCTTCTGAAATATAATCCATGAATTTTAAATTTAAATATATGTAATAAATAGCGCCGGTTCAAGATTTATTGCCTAATAATTAGTGAGTTCGGAAATTATATAAATTTTAAATAATATGAAAATGATAAATCAACTAAAAAGAGAGGTCAAAAACTTAATCAACTGAAAAAAGAGGTCAGATAATAAGATTATCTAAAATTGTTGAATTCAATTAATTATAAGATATTATAAATCCTCTCTCTTACTAAAATGATATTGATTGTATTAACACAATTAAATAATCAAACTATCGATAGGAAATGGTTCTCTATTTTTTAGATCCATTTCTATTACCCAAGATAAAGATACGTTAACTAATTGATGTCTCTAATTTTAATTTGATTGAAAGTAGCTAATAATTATATGTAAAATTTACTTGTTCCATCACAGAATGACCATCCCCATGACCTGGCTAGAGTAAATGCACAGATAATGGCCTCGAAAATGGAGACCTCCTTATACATCGCCAAACCGCCAAGACGTACAACTCGATGGAGAGTGGTAAAAATGCTATCTGTATATCTCATAACCTTTGTTGGTAGATTTGCTATTATTTTGTTTTGCAAGAAGTCATCTTTGATATTGTTCGAGTAGAAGGTTTCTTTCTTTGGTATTTGCAACCTATATATATATTTAATTGATATTACTCCTATTATTATAACTTAAAATCATTGTTCTATAAAGTAAACATGCTCAAGTTGTATCCAGTTCCAACTACAAGTTGAGTTGTTTAACCATATACACAATAACCCATACATGCTATTTATTCTGCTTATTATTTAAAATCATTCAAAGTAACTTACTTAAACACTGTAGTTTATTTCTTAAAAATTATGAATGCTGAAGCTCTACATGAATCTGTGCCATCTACAGCTCGAAAGGCAACAATATATTTTGATTATTGATTATCTGCTTATAGGGTCTATTAATTATCTAGTATATATAGAATTTGGCAATATTATGTTTTAAGGAATGACTCATTCAACTGTTGAATGGCCTTCTTAAGACCTGTTAATGAATATACGAATTTAGATATGATTCTCATTTATTCAACAAGGTATTTAACTAATTAAGTGAAATCCCCCGATGCTTCATTGTGTTTTAATTGTTCTGCTTCAATGAACTTATTAAATGATTATGCATTTTCTGGTATATTGGAATAAAAGTCATCTGTAAATTTTTCTAATTTCAGTCTAATTTAAGCCTAATGATCATAACGACCACAATCATAGATTACAATATCAGTATGTTATTCTTGTTTCAAAACCTTCAATATTTATTTCATGCCTCTAATGATTTTACCAAATGCCACTCTCTTATAATCAAAGAAGGGCATAGGTGCTAAAGTAATATAAAATTAAGAATGATTTGTATGCTGAAATCCATCATTCGCAAATCCTATGATACCTTCGCAATCATGCTTCAAAGCATAAGATTCATCCTCAAAATATCCTCCGTATATGGATACCTTTTTATCAAACTAACCTCCTTGAAGAAACCCTATAATTTAAACGAAATTACAACCATTAGGCTTGTATTTAGTGAATCTACTCTTTTTGTAAGAATAAAACTTTCCTTCAACATTAACACCTTCACAAAATTTGGTGAAATTCTCGCAAGCTTTGGGGGCAAACTCATTAAATAATTCAATAATAACTGGATAAAGCTAGTCATCAATTGACAACATCATTTATACATAAGCTAAAATTGATTAACATACTTTTACTATTCTTTCTCGAATTAAAAAATCTTAATTGGGATTCATAAGCTTAACTAATCATAGACTGAGTAAATTTAATTCTGCGACTTGCATGCACAGTAGGCGTTCCATTCTGAATTAATAACAATGGCCTATTTATCTCTATTTTATAAACCTTTTAACTGTTTTAGACATGAATGAGTCATCCATAGTAAATGGTTCTTAGTTACAAAGAGGTTGTAATTTCTTAATTTAAATTCTCAACGAAGCATCCCTTTTTAGCAGTTTCACCTGATGATCATATTCAGACTGAATTTATTATAAATATGCTACCTCGTGCATTTCTTGGATCTCATAAGTCTTTTTTCGTTCTGTCAATTGCAAATTTTTGAAGTGTAATAAATCTGGATTACCTGTTACGCTCATCACTTTGATTTTACTCATTTTTAATTTTATGTAATAAAACGAGATGATTAAACTACTTCAGAAAACTAATTATAAACTACACAATTAAAATTGGAGAGAGTCATCACTCGAAATCCTTTTAATACTGAATTCATATAATAATTCTCATAAATCAAGTTTGATAAAAAAATTTAAAAATAAGTAATTTCCGCATATTAATGAATTAAATATTTTATAAATACCAGACTGATCTTATATCGATAAATTATATTTATAGGTATTTATATTCATCTTATATTATATTAGATAGCTGTATTAGTTTATTGAGATGGGAAATTGTGATTATAGAGCTTAGAAATTATAAGATTTATTTTTAAACCTAAATTTAAATGAAACTTAGCAAGCATGCTAAATTTTGATATTCAAGTAAATTTACTTGAGATAATATCAAATTTTTGAATTAATAGTTTTTACAGCTCCCAATCAAAATTGTACTAAAAGAATAATAAATAAAAAAATGATAAATCGAACACAAATTATATTGCGAATCTAAACGTATGTCAAAATTTAGTATAGAATTAAATGATTGGAAATATTATGATTTAATCAACAATCCCATCTTCAGCTTTAATTGGTAGAGCATTTATATAGATATTTACCACGCATCAAAAATCCTAAGATATGAGAGATATAATGGGATTCTACTTTTTTAATTTAGGAAACATCTCCAGCAATACATATGTGAAGAGAAAGTTGAAAAAGTGAAGATTCTGCTTTTAATTAATTTATTCTTAATTACTTTAATAATTTATATTTATTTATTTTTGATATAAAACTAAACGAATTTCAATTTGTTTTCAGCATCCCATCCTCTAGATATGTTTCCTTTATTGATTCATCGACATCATCAATTAACTTTTTTTGAAAGGTTTCTTTGGTTAAAATAGCTCCAATAATTCCTGTAATTGAACAGATACCCAAAAAGGCAACTTGATTCAATTCGAAATAACTAGCTAAAGCAATCATATATGAGGATGAAAAAGAACCTAAGATTCCAAGAGTAAATAGAAATCCAGAGCCTGTACCACGTATTGAAGTTGGATAAATTTCAAGAGTATGTTATCGTTAAAGACCAAATCCGAAACTGTTAAAGAATCGTATCAAGCAACACTAAATAATAATATGATTATACTAGTAAAATAACAATTATTTCTTCAATACACCCCTGGCATTCAAGTTTATATTAAGAAATTCCATAGAATAAAAATGCTAAGCATCCTAGAATTTAAATTGAAAAGAAAAATATTTGATTATACTTTCTTTATAATTTAGGTATCATGTAAGTAATTAAGGAATAACCAATTAATTCGCTTATTCCTAGAAGAATTCCTATTTTGTAAATCATGTTTCCAATAGAAATATCTTACAGCACAAACTAACCACCATAATAAATTAAGTGCAAAGCAAAAGAAATTAAGATAAATCCAACTGAAGAGGATGCAAATTGTCTAAGCTTGAATAAATCAAAAATTGAATAAGTAGTTCTAAGACTATTCATTTAAGAATGTTCTAATGCTTGTTCATCAAATTCATTGCCGTTTACATTTGCTATGTAACGAAAAACATTAAGCGCCTGTTGATACTTGAAAATAATTTTACTTTATCGTAATCTTTCGTTTAATACAAATATCTTGGACTTTCTTGAACTGAAAAGAATGTTAAGATTAGAGAGATGAGGCCTGGAATAACAATAAAAAGTAATTGAATGGTTCTCCAATTTGTTATGGCGAAAAATGAAATAGCCATTAGAATCTCCCCTAAACACCAAAAGACTAAAGTTCCAGTTGAATATATTTATTTGATTTCGTAGCCGCTTATTTCATTAATCAGGACTGGGATCATGATGTAGACTCCAACCTAGAAGAACCCAAATATGAAAGTAAATATTATCAGTTCTAAAATGGTTGCACTAAAATAGATTCCAATGAATCCAACATTGGTAAAAACTAGAGATAACAATAACGTTTTATATCTGCCCCAATAGTCCTAATAGTTTACACATCATTAAATTACAGAAATCTGGCTGAGGATTGCGCCTCCAATAACTGATCCTAAAAAGTTGATTGTACTTGTAATCATGATGTATTTTTTATTGTCACAAAATAAATTGAACTCGGTGACTATATTCTTATACTTAAAATCAGGAGCAATTTAATAGTTTTTGTCTGAGCAAGTTTTTTGATCCTCAACACAAACCTTAAGAATAAGATTTAACATTACTTAACCATTACAGTATAATTGTGGAACAATATAATTATAGGTTGGACTCATAATTTAGGCAGATAAGATAAAAGTTAAAAGTGACGAAATTAAGAATAATCGTATTTAATACCAACCATTGTTTCCACATTTTTCAAGTGCTTCCTCAAATTGCATTTTCAAGTATAAATTCAAAGTATTAAATGATAATTATTAATAATAAAACGATAAACTTAAGAAACCCAACTTCTATAAAGGTTACGTAATCAACAGAAACTGTCTACATCTGTAAATCTTCTTAATTGCCCTTATTATGCTTGAAAACGAACAAAATTCTAATAAAATAAAAGAAAATTAGAAGCTACAATTAAATAAAAAGGGATTCAAGTTAGTTTCTATCAAATCACTCAATTTATGTATTAAATTCAAATACATAAATTTCTCCCTCTTTATATTTATAGCATAATTATATAAAATAAGTGAAAATATTCTAATATTGATATTAATGAGCTCATAAAATCGAACAGTCAAATAGATCGGTCAATATCAATATAATGAAAGGCATTGCTTGGGTGAAGGAGCTTACGGGAAAGTTTATTAGGGGATGGATATAAGGACTAATGAAATTGTTGGGATCAAGAAAATGGATTTGGTGTTATTTGAGAGGGATACATATTTGAGGAATTAGATTGTTAGCGAAATAGAGATCTTAAAAAAGTTTAATCATCCCAACATAGTCAGGTTTATAGATCTGATCACTACTCAGAGATCTCTATATATAATTACAGAATTTTGCAAGGATGGGGATTTGAAGGAATTTCTTCAAAAAAGAAGGTTGACTGAAAAAGAAGTAAAATAACTCATCTATTTTAAATAGGCTCAAGGCATAATGTTATAAATAGTAAATGGATTTAAGGAGCTGGTTAAATAAGGAGTTATTCATAGAGATCTCAAGCCAGCTAATATTTTAAATCATGAAGGCATCGTTAAAATAGCAGGTAATTGAGTATTCAAAAAGTTAGACTTTGGATTTGCCAAGTACGTAGATAATTATACATCATAATTGTTGAGATCATGTGTTGGTTCACCTTTGTATATGGCACCTTAAATATTGCAAAGGAAGAGTTATTCAACAAAGTGCGACATTTGGTCTATAGGTGTTATCTTTTATGAGATGGTATTTCACGATGTCCCTTGGAAGGGGAGAGATGAGTAGGATTTACTTAAAAATATTCTGATCAAACCCTTAGTTTTCAAAGGGAATCAAGCAATCACGGATTTCACTCGAGACTTTTTGACGAAGGCTTTGATTGTAGAGGAATCTGAAAGGATTTCGTGGGATCAAGTCTTTCAGATGTTTGAAAGTATGGAAAAGGGATTGGTTTCGAATAATCCCACTTTGTAAAAGTTGTACAATGATTAAAATCTAAGTTGGATGCAGAAACAGTAATAAAAAATGACAGGAGATCAACTAGTTAAGTAATTGTTGTTTTTGTAGCAAATGAAATAGAATATAGCATTTAGACATTTTGTTAATTTAGAATTGTATTAAAAATTGGATTAATTGAAGGTGTTATTTAGAAGAGATTCATCATTAGAAGAATGCATTGTCATTCTAGCAAGGCTCATTTTAGCATATAGCAATTTATTGATCTAATTGATAGAAGAAACCTGTGATTCTGGAGAAGATATTCTAATGAAGGGTACTAAGTGGAACATCTTAAACTTCATTAAAAACGAATAGGAATATTATAAAATATTCTTTTCAAATTGTAAAGAGCAATTTTTTAAAGAAACCCAATATGAAGTTGAATTATCAGATTCTGATAGAAATAAATTAGAAGACAGCTTCACTACTAAAATCATTAAATTGATTGGAGATAATTTGGATGATCTCAAAAAGAAGGCATCTGATGGAATATAGTATTCAATATTATAATTATTTAGTTAAGATAGCTTAGTTGCCATAGAACTATTGTTGGATTAATAAATTACTCATAAAAATATTGTTAAAACAACTGATCTCGATTTTTAAATGCTTTTGGTAGAAAAACAATCAAGAGAGGATTGGAGAAGAATATTAGATCGCATTACCAATAAATGGAGATAACTTTAAAAATTATGATAATCCAATTACATTATGATATTTTATAATCCAATTTCATTCATTTCCTCTAGTTCATATTGAAATTTAGTCTTCTTTTCTTTATAACTTATCTAATTATAATATAATAATAATATTATTAATTTTTTATATTTTGTATGTATCCTAATAATTCAAATAATCATTGATATCAATAGAATACTGATGACGTATAGATGGGAATAACTACTGAAGTCAGCATTTGAACACTTTTTATTGTTTGGCCATTCTACATTATCAACGTAAAAGTTATTCTCTGGATTCGGTTTAGAGTTTAGCCAATTATTTATGGCTTCTTATATGGTGTTCCCTGATTCTCCAGGAACTTCCCAATCTTAAGAATTATAGTAATCTTTTAATAAAAAGCAATGCTCTAAACAACTTGGAGCAAATGCACCAGTTTCAGGATGATCCTTCTTTCTTTAACTCAAGACTTCATAGTTTTGTTTGTATAAGTTTTACGCAAAATCTAATTACTCTTGAGAACAATTATTTAATGAATAGTTCTTTGCACAATCTATTTTAAATCTCGCAGTGAGACTGTAATAATCGTACATAGATTAGATAATGAATAAAGGGGTTTGAATAAACTCAAATAAATATTGAGCATAATAACATTTCCAAACTTCGTTTTTGAACTTCGAAACACATTATTTATTAGGATGAGTAACCTCTATATTCACTAAATCTATTAATAAATTAAGTGATTCTGTTGGATAATCTGTTCCATCTATAGCTGGTAAGTTTAAGGCCATTCCTGAATCTGGAACTCCATAGACATTAACATCTGATGGCAATAATGCTTTGATATGTTCGATCCAAAAATAAGCTGCATTCCCACCTGCAGAACATCCCGCTACAATGACAGTTGCAGCCTTAGAAAGCTCTGGTAATAGGTCAGATAGGAATGATTTGACTATTGCATCACCTCGGAAATACAATTTGGTTCCTAAAAACTCAACAGGCTCAGTTTTATATCCTTAATGTACTTTAAATTATTTAAAAAATTTACAAGATCCATCACAATAATTAAAGAAAATCAGATTCCAATTATAATAGTATGGGTTCTTTTATTCTGTCCTGGCAAACATTCCCTCAAATACCGTGGTTTTGCTCAGATTTTTGGAGCTTCCCAACTTTGTTTTGGATCTTTAAATAATTTCAATATTAACCTCAAGTAAGCAGATTTGATCATGTCATCATAAGTTGCTCCTTCTATTCTTCTAAAAAGTTTATTAAAATATACATACGCTCCTCCTTAGAAATGTAGAATATAACTCTTTACCCCTGTTCCATAACCTACTGCTTAATAGAAGGACTAATTATATAAAAATAATACTGCTGGAGATCCATCTAGACAGAGTGCTTTTGGATCAGATGTATAGTGTAACTCGAAAGCGCAGATGCAAGCTATTATGTAAAAACAAAATAATTTCATTGTTGAATTTATGTATCCCAAAAATTCCATATTAATCCATCAAATCAACATATAGAATAAAATTCTATATTTCCATTCAACTTCATTTAATTAAAACATAGAATTCAATTCTATATATTTCTATTTGATATCACAGTTATTTAGTTTTTTCAAATGGACATTTATTATTTTTTTTAATTTCAACTTAAGTTAAGGCTAAGTTTTTATAAACCAATTTAAAATTCTGAATTGTTTTTATATCCCACCTAATGCTTTTTTAGTTTTTGTATGGCCTTTGAACTTCTTGATTATGAATGTCTTTACTTCAGCTCGGAAAACAAAAAATAAATTATTCTTTTGTCCTTATTGTAAAAATATGAGTAATCTCTTTTAGAAAATATTGCAATTGTCCTAATTCTGTCTTAAATTTTCTTCTTAGTATACTTGCATAGGTATCTAATTTTTTTTGTGATAAACATAATCCAATAAATTTTTCAGAAATTTAAATGAATCCATTATTATGATATAAATGCATATTTTATTAAATCAATCTTTGTTTCTTAATTTTCAGCTGTTAATCGAATAATAATATTAATATTAATTAATTTATTTTTTTTTTTATTTTAGATTTCATCTCTCATGTTATGATCACAAATTATCAAATTTACCTGTTTCTCAAAATTCTGTTTAATTTTAAAAATATATAAATATATTAGCATATTTTTATAACAATTTAATAAATTTCAAGTTAAAATTTATATTAAATAAGTGTCATCTTGATCTCAACGAAATGAAGGTGTGCCTTAAAATCTTATTTATTAATAAAATTTTTCTATGATGGATACTTAAAGCATATAAGAAATATACAATATAAAATTATTATTGAAGTAATTAAATAGCAACATTAAAGTGGCTAGTTAGTCTATAAATAGAAAATTTCAATTTAATTTTTTGTGCTTAGATTGTTTCTTTCTTTACTCTTAACCATTTTGAAGGTCATCTTTGATGTAGCGCAATCTTTTATAATATCTATTTTTTATCATATTCATTGTTTTTCCAGGAAAGGACTTTACTATTTTATTAAAGTTGGGTCCCACTTACTATACTAATTCTAAGATTCTTTTATCCTCTTGATATGTGAATCTAAACAGCAATAATTTATTAGGGTCATTAAATACCTTTAATCATTAATTCTTCTTTTGACAATTTATTATTTAAATTGAAAATCCTCGCCAGGTTATTAATTTTAGATTAAGGAGTTGAGTAAGTGTTCTAATGATTCATCATTTTATCCAAATTAGGATTGTCTAATAAAATAAAATATTTTCTTATACTATTCTGATTGATCATTCCTCTCACCATTCGTTGGCTATTTGATGAATATTTCATCATCCATTATTTTTTATATTTTATTTTATTTTATAAGATTCTTCAATAAATTGATCATTATATAATTCAAATTATTTCTCAGTATAATTGTAGAAGAAAAATCACAATCAAATTATTAATATTTTTATTTATATGAAATTTAGAATTTAATATTAAATAATAAAGAGCAAACTTAGATGTCCATTCAAATTATTAATCTAAGTTTAATTCAATTCCAAATTTATAACTTTTACAGATGAAACCTTTAAGCATATTTAGTAAACATTCCAATTTCTTGATTTTTCACCTCCTCAACCCTCTATCTTGAAGCCAAATTGATTTTATTATTATTCTTGTAGAAGGAATTTCGAAATCCAATATGCTTCTCGAATTAACCCATATGAACAGGTGATTTGTGAACAGTCTACTATCTCTGCCTTGTCTTTATTAATGGTTTCAATTAAGCTTTTTACAAAGTTGGCGATATTTGCTTCGGTTAGTCAGGTATTTATTTATCTGAATCCAAATCTTCGTCAGCCTCATTAATTTGAAATGGATTAGTTCCTTCCATTTCTCCATAAAGTAATGGCACCCTTTTGAAATTACATCCATAAATTTAATCAAGGGTTATTCTGTCTGAATCTATCATGAGGAAATTTCTAATAAATCCAATATTAAATATATAAAATTAAAATAGTTAAAGTAAATAAAGTGAAAAACATATCAATTTTCAAAAAAATAATCTATAAATCAATTACGTCTAGTGCAACCAAAATTTTAGAATAGAGTCTAAAAGAACCCTCCTTCTTTTTTTTGAGAATTATCTGTTCTTCTGGTTATTCTATTTTAAATGGGAGGTTGCATTTCATCAGAATACATAGAGAAAGCTATGGAGTTGCATTCCTTCATAAAATTTGACCCTGACAACCTAGTAGTTGTAGTATTTCTATTTGAAAATTTCGTGTCCAGCCGCAAACTGCTACTCAACTAGTCCAAATTCTTTTTCTCCTCGAATATATACTCCTTGATATCCAGATTATATTCTTTGGCCATCCTCAACATCCAAGGATGTGAAAATACTTAATCCATTGTGAGTCTTTGTTTTGAGTCTCTTTTAATCAACCCTAAAATGAGATCCTTGGCCTAAATATTAATAAAAAGCAAATGTTACTTGATCACTAGCAACAATCTCGAAATTTTCTTATTTTAAAATGTTTTAGCATTTTTCAAAATCATTTCGACCTTTAAAAGGAGCAGCTCCATGTATCAATTCATATAATAAGACACCTAAACACCACATATCCAATGTTTAATCGTGAGGTTTATCCTCCAACATCTCAGGAGTCATATAATCAATGGTACCACAAAACGTATTTCTGGTTTATGTAATCATCATTTCAGCTGACCATCCAAAATCACAAATTTTGATATTGCCATCCTTATCAAGCAATAGATTTTCAGGTTTTAAATCTCTATGTATGATCTGTTTCTTATGCAAATAATCTATTCCCAAGCAGGTTTAAAAAAAATAAACAAAACATTCATTTTCATTCAAGATTTTCCGTTTCCTCAAGTAACCAAATAATGATCCATTCTCTACATTAAGAATATATATATAACCTGCATATTCTAAGATTAAATAAACATTTTAATCATCTTCAAAAAATTCAAATAATTAAATAACATGAGGATGTTAAAGCTTTTTCTATATTCTAATTTCTCTCTTTAAGTTTTCAATAGAGACACCTTGTTTCTCGATCTTCTTTTACTTTAAATATTACAATCTTCATTGCATAGAGCAAACCTGTTTGTCTATCACGTGCTAATTTTACACAACCAAAACTCCCTCTCCCCAAAGAGCCTTAATTAACAATTTCGAATTCAGAAACATTTCTTTTGGGAAGTGATTATTTGCAATCGAATTTATGAGAAATAGCCCTCTTAATTAGGATTTTTACAATTACCAATCGTAGTCCCGACATTTTTTAGAACAGTATGTTATCTTTTAACAGAGAGGACAAGTCAAAAATCCTTCATCCTAACAGGACTTGCACTTAGACATCATTTTAATAAATTTATTATATAATTAATTTAACACATTCTCTTAATTTTGATGAGTCAGAAAATAAAGTTTATTATTTAATTGATTTTTCATTATGAGTTGTATTAGAATAAATTAACTATTATTTGACCTAAAACTTGCAAGTTATTAAGATTGATTATAAAATTTTAAAAAATAGATTTACTTCTCTCATAATATTAATATAAATAATGGCTCAAATTTTAAATGATACCAAAAGCTTCACACATTTTACGGAAATTAGTAAAAATGAGTACTCCTTTAAAATCCTTGAAAATAGTAAATAGATAGAACATATACCTAGATATGCTGTATAAAGGATAATTATCTGATAATAAGCTGTAGAATGGATATGGAAAAGCAATTTTTCCCAATGGTAACATTTGATCATTAATACAGGCGATATATATGATGGAAATTGGAACAATAATTAGATGGATGGCTATGGAAAGTACACAACAATTGATGACTAAATCTATGAAGGATTTTGGGAATAAAATTAATTTAAGGTAACAGGAATAAAAATTACACTGCCTACATTTGACTCATAAATGATGACATCAAAGATTGAACAAGAAATATATAAAAAATACAAAGAAACAGATACAATCAATTTTGATGACGGTAAGATTTTAACACTAATTAGGTTCCTCATATAGAGGTGAATTAATAGACAATGTATAAGAGGGTTGGGGGGTTTAGGTTGATTAAAACGGTATGAATTTATAAATTATAACAAGGCCAAAAGTATGAAGGACAATGGAAGAGAGGGATGTATAATGGATATGGTATCAAGCATTTTGTTAATGGGGATGTCTATATTGGCCATTGGAAGAACGATGAAGCAACTGGTTATGGAGAGTATTAATACGTTGAGGGAGCATTTTATAGGGGGTATTGGCTAAATAATTTTAAACATTATTTTGGGATTGAGAAATGGAAGGAGGCAGCTGAATATATTGGAGAATTTAAAAACGGATTAAAGGATGGGAAAGGAACTTTGAAATTTATTGATGGTTCAATTTACGAAGGAGAATTTGTTAATGATGAAATTCAAGGTTATGGTGAGTATCGATGGGTTGATGGTCGTACATATATTGGTGGATGGTAGAATAACAAAATGTAAGGAAATGGAAAAACTACTTGGCCTGATGGAAGAATCTATGAAGGGTCATATGATTAAGATTTGAAATAAGGGTTTGGTTTGTTTTGTTGGCAAGACGGAAGGAAATATGTAGGAAATTGGATGTAAGGAAAATAACATGGGATTGGAATTATGTGGGGATAGAATGGAGACTACTAATTCGGGGAGTGGTTTGAAGGAAAAAGGAAAAGATGGTTAAATTAAATATAAGATTCAGATTTAATAGAAGGATTTAAATCCAATCATTAATTGTATTACTTGTCTAATTAAATAGAATTTATAGTGAAAATGTTAAATAGGTATTGACTGATAAAACAGATGAATCTCCTTTGAAAGCATGTGATAGTGCATTATCTCTACCAATAAATAGTGATAAATAGCTAGTTAGTAGATTTAATCTAACTTTTATTTAAAAGAATGGCTAAATTTATGTTGGAGAAACATTCAGAGAAGAAAGATCTGGAAAAGGAAAATTATTTTCTTAAGATGGTTCTATTTATGATGGGTATTGGTAGAATGGCAAAAGACATGGGTATGGTAAGTAAGTATATGCAAATGGTGATATTTATGAAGGACATTGGATTAGTGATAATCAAAATGGAATTGGCAGAATGACTTATTCAGATGGAAGCATTCTAGAAGGATTTTGGAGTGGTTTGAATTTGGATGGATACGGAAAATAAATACTATCTAATGGTAGTTACTATGAAGGGTATTTTAAGAATTGTTTGAGACAAGGAGAAGGAAAATTACTATTTGAAGATGGTTCATATTATGAAGGATAATTTGAACAAAATGAAATTATTGGTAAAGGGACATACACTTGGAATGATGGTTCCTAGTATAAAGGATATATGAGAAATGGATAGAAACATGGATAAGGCACATTTATTAATTGCGATGGAGATTATCACATTGGAGAGTAAAGAATTAATAATATAAACTCTTAGATTTTACAAAGACACTTGCCATGGAGAAGGGACTTTCGAGTATAGTGATGGCAAAATCTATGTGGGATCTTGGTTTCATGGTATGAAACATGGGTTTGGACAGTTGAAATTTCCTAATGGACAAACCTAGGAATTGTAGTACATTTTGGGCGAATTAAAAAACTGACTTTTCTCTTTCTTCTTATTGAATTGATTTTTATAGAGTTAATAGAAATAGGAATATGTTTCATTTCATTCTTTTCAACCTTCATTTTTTATTGATTATTATATACCATTTATTTTTAATAAAAAAAATTAAATCATATTTGAAAAGATTATTTTTTTTTATTTCCCATAAATTTTATTTCTATTTCTTGTTGAGTGTTTCAATAATCATCAGTGAGATCATCAAATATTGATTATCTATATAAGGAAAAATGGAAATGAGATGTTCTAAATATAGGTATAATTTAGAGAATTTTAAGTTTATAAAAAAAGTACTTCTTTGAATAATTCAGCGAAGTGTTTTTATTTATAATTTCAAAAATATAAGTGGCTTCTCTTGGAGAAAATACAAAATAAGTTATCAAATCATCTTTTAATTGTCATTAACACATTCTCCTCCAATTTTAGTTATTATTTGATGGACTGACTTTTGATTTTCCCTCAGTTTAAATTTACAACTTTTGGTTGACAATATTTATCTATTCTCTAGAATAACTTTTTTCCTATAAGCAATTACAATTGTCTTGGCCACTGCATATTTAATCTCAAGGTTATTGGAAGCCTTAAATTAGCCATATACATTACTTCCTTGATTTTCTAGCCTTACTTAAAAACTAAGAAGATCAAAGCTTCTCTTTAACTCTTCTGAACTTTCTTATAATCTCTTTTTTAGGCTGGCATTAAATTTTAGATATAAATTTTAATAATAAGCATTCATTAATCTTAGATTTTCATCCTAAATAAAAATATCATATTATTCATTAATATCATCACATTCATATCGTACTATTATATTTAAGTTCTCAGAACATATGATTTGAAATTATATAACTAATATAAAGTTTTCGTCGTTATTGATAGTAAATTTAGAATTATATTATTATTATATTAACATTGATTAATAATATGGGTAATTTCAAATGTCAGTGTAAAAATCATTCCACATAATTATCGCTAATAAAGTCTCAAATCTTATCAATGAGCTTTAACATAGTTGCATTAAAGGGAATTTTAGTGACTAATGTGAAACTTTTTATAAATGTTTAAATTATTTAAGAATGGATGGATAATAGATTATAAAAATTGATATTTCACAAAACAAAGAATTTCAATATGCAACTACATCTACAATTTAAACTCTATTTAAATTCGATTCAATAACTTTAACTACTTATTCAACTGGCTAAATGTGATATGTATTCTTACTTTTCGACAAATTAAACATTCTTATTTTTCTGCAAACCATTCAGTCGCACACTTTATGCATAAACCACCATGACCACAGGGCATATAAACAGCGCAACTTTCATTCTAATAACAATTAAAACAATTCTAATCTTTCTCAACTTTCAACTCAGTTAAGGAGTTCTGATTGCTTTATTTAGGCTATTCTACGTCTGTCTTATTTCTCTTTGCTTGTTTAACCTCTGATAATGACTATTTTTAACACTCATAGTTTTATCCAATCAAATAAGGTTGAAAGTATGTTTATGATAATTTTATCTTATATCACGAAATTAAATACTAAGAATTATGGCAATTTGATGTTAATCTTATTTTTATCTCTTGTAAAAAGGCTTATCCTCTTTGAACTAGGAGAACTAAATTGATTGTCTTCATTTTATTCTTCATCCAGTATTTTATTTTTAAATGTCATTAAGAATTAACTAAATTACAAAATGATTTATACTTCAAGGTACTTCTAAAATAACAAGTATATCCAGCAATAACTAGACTATAAACAATGCATATTGTGATTGGTATTGAATTAAAGGGATTTCGTTCTGTGTTCAACTTTATAGAACAACTAACAATAGTAAATGTTAATAATCCAGAAATAGAGAGAATTAATAAATTTATCCACAAAGTACTTATAACTATTGGAATATTCAATTGATCTACTTTCTTTATTTAAAGCTTGTTTGCTGAGTAAATTTTTTTCTTGTATAGTATGGATTAGTTTCACAATTAAATCAGTAGCGAAGATAAATTGAAGCACAATTGCAAGAATAAGAAATACCCAAAAAATAGAAAATATGTATATCCAATCCCATCTAAGCCAATCAATTTGACGAAAATTTATTAGCATTAATTGGGTTGTCAAAAGCAATTTACAAAATACATTAAACTATAATATTGCTATTATTTTACAAGGGAAATGATATTTGTCTCATGTTTGTTTTGCCTGTGAGCATGTAAGAGAAATAGCATCCATGACAAAGTAAAGACAAAATACATTATCATGGGGTATTGAATAGGAAAAGTGGAGTGATCGATGAAGTACAAAAAGCAACCCTAAGGTAATTTGAACTATTACATAATAGGATATGGATAAGATTCCCCAAAACAATTCAAGACAACAGTTGTGATCGTTCAAGATATGACTTATTTATATAAACTGTGATACTTGTAATTATTAATCGCCAGTCTTACTACCTAAAGAAAATGTAAAATTGTAACATAAGCTAGTGACATCTTATAACTTAGATCAAACACTATGTAAGAATTAAATAGTATTAACAATATTAAATAAATAGTCACCAATATTTTTATCTAGAGCCTAAATAAGTAAAATACTTCTGTAAATATTGAGGCAGTTATTTTATTCTCATTAATTTATCGTTCCTAGTGTTAGGGCAACTCTTCAAAATCAAAATTACTCTCCCTTGGCGATTAAGGTTAAGATAATTATAATTAATTCATTTATTCTATAAAAAATATCAACTTGTAATGCAAGCTTAAATTAAATATAAATAAAAAAGTAAGAACTTAATAAGCATCGATTTTAGCCATCTTTTATAATTTGGATCAAAAAAGCCTGGCTTGTCAAACTCCTATTTCTGAAACTGAATTGTTGTTAACAATGGGCATTTCAGATTGAGAATAGCTTGCATCATGCATGTCAACATTCTTATTTATTTCTGCTCATATTTAATAATAGTTTAGAGAATTAATTTGATTGAGAAATAAAATTTATAAACTTAGATAAATAGTAAATAATGGCAGAACCAAGACCGTACTATATTCCTTCCTGTATTGAATATTAACTAGTTAGCAACTTCATCCAAGTCTAATACTAAACGATAGAATAATACTCAATAGCAATCTAATTATGAAGCGCTACTCTCTCATTTTGGTCAAACGAAGAGCAATTCTAATAAAATTACGAAACCTTAGTCATCAATTATTTAATATGACAAAACTTATGTTCAACTATTGCAATAATAAATAGCAGATTTAAAAGAGCAGGTTAATTTTTTAGCTTTAGAAAATCAGAGGTTGAAGTAGAGCCAAGATAAATCATTAAAAGTATTAAAAATGTTATGCTTTTAGAGGATGAAAGAGCAATATCAACAGCTAACCAAATTTAGCAATATTGTATAATTAGTTTAGCAATTGAAAATAGAAAATCTAGCTCTTAAATAAAATGTTTAATCTCTTAAGCTAGATTTCAATATTCAAATGCATCCGTTAAGGCAATTGTATAATCATATCATTCAAATACCAAAGTAATAAATCAATGACATTATGTAATTGAGGTTAGAATAGCAAGAAAGTATTCATATATTATATTTAAGCTTTAATATCTCAATAGAAATGCAAGGTTGAGGTTCTCAATTTAGAGCGCACTCAACTTTTGGAATTATGTTCGAAACAAGAAGGAGAACTTATTTCATATTTGGAAAACAAAATTCACACCTGAGATATGCTCTGTAATAGTGATATTTTATATCCTTTATCTTATCATTTAATATTTAATATATAAGAAATGAGTACAGGTGATATTTTTGGGATTTGTTTTGCTTGCTTATTCGTGTTACTTTATGTGGCCATTTTGGTTTGTCTTCATTGCTTTGGAAAGATTTACAGATTGACTTTTCCAAGTCCTACTCCTATGTATACTGAAAAATTTTTTGGAGAAAAGCTTAAATATGCAAATGTATACAATTCATAGGGTATTTTCATAACTGAACTCAATTGTAGTTAATTTAAAGAGTGACTAGTTGTTAAACTCCTATGATTTACAGAGGGTGAGAGCCATACCTTATGTCTACTTAAAGAACAAATATTCAGAAACAAGTAATTATTTACTTTATTTTCATGGGAACGCTGAGGACATGTAAGCAACACGTTTTTTTATGAATAGGTAGGCTGCATCTCAGTTTATGGAGTAATTGATGAAAACGATCAATGCAAACATCTTTGTTGTAGAATATCCAGGGTATGGAGTGTATGGAATGTAGAAGAATATGAATAGCAATATGATTGAAGAGGATGCACTGATATTGTATGATCATATAAAAAAGACTCAGAAATTGCAGGATAATCAAATTTATGTTTTTGGAAGGTATAAAGCAATGATGAAATTTAGATCAATAGGAACAGGCCCTGCATTTTATGTTGCCAGTGTTAGAAATGCCAAGGGTTTGATAGTAATGTCGAGCTACAAGTCCTTCAAAGCAATAGTATAAGATTTCTGTTGTGGATTTGGTATTGTCATCGCTTTTTTATTCTGCCTACCAAATTTCTTTAACAATCAGGAGAGATCATAACAAGTCAAATGCCCAATAGTTTTCATCCATGGATAGCTTGACAAGTTGATTAAACCAAGCCATTCAAATTAGTTGTACCTTAAGTAAACAATATAAAAACTTTAGTTTAGTTTGCCCTTAATCATACAAAACAAATCTCAGCTATTCTTAAGGGAGAGGATGAGCCATAATGATTTTGATATTGATACTGATATAGCTAGTCCAATTTTAGACATATTTTCAGAACTTAGATATCCAAAATTTTGATTTCCATTTTAATGTTGGTTCTAAAATTTGATATCTTAATTATAATAATGACATTTAATTTTATAATTCAAAATGAAAATTCTGCATCTACATGTTATGAATACCCTTCCTCTTCTTGATCCTCTTGTTCTTCTTCAATTTCGCCATATTATGAATTCGATGGTTAATCATACTCATAGGTGACATTAATTATGTATGACTATGTGACTTAATCCTGAATCCATATTTTGACAGTTTAATCATCACTTGCAGTCAACAATTAGCCTGTTTAACTATGCCAATCAACGTAATTGATAGCTTGATTGTGTCCATCAATTACATTTTGTTGTAATTGATTGCTTTTATTAAAGAAATGTACCTTGCCATCTTGACTCCCAACACAAACATAATTGTCATTCTTACTTCCAAAGCAACATTTCATTTCTATTCCTTTGACTTGAAATCCAAAAAATACATGCAACTTTTAAAAGGTTTTAAGACTCCACAAATGCAATTTTGACTTTTCTTTTGAGACATTCAAAACTAAGAATTATTAATTTTGACTGACTGCTGATGAAACAATCAATTCTTATTCCTCCAAATGGGTTATTATTTTATTAAATTTAGAATCATTCTCAATCACAGTGATTGAAAATATTGCTGCATTGTGAAGCAACATGTATTAATCAGTCATTAAAATATTCTTCACTACTTTACTTTTAACTTAATTCACCAATTTTCCATTGTCTTACCATATTCCTATCCATCCATCTACACCACCACTAAATAGTTGACTCATTATTATAGATTAAAATACTTTTTAAAATAGGCCAAACACAACACTTCATTAGTATGTTAATTCATTGTTACTTTTAATTAAGCAGTCTGCACATCATATCCATTGATTTTTTTATCATTTGATGCTGAAAACAACCTAATCATTTAAATTTATTCAGTTTTACAATTTATCATCTGATGAAAAAACAAGTGAATTTATATCCATATTATGTGCCTTGCTTATTTTACATTGTTATTCCTTTGAAATTATGTAAATCGAATTTTTCCTAGTTGCACAACCAATCCATACGCCTGAATTCGAGAACTTACCAATCCATACTTCATCATCAAAACCTTAATAGATTATCGAGTTATTCTTAGGTATTAAGTAAGATTAGCAATTGTGGTCGAGCAACAATGAGTAATTCTTATTCTCATTCGAATCATCATGATACGGACATCGTTTCTTCTAATATTCAAATGCTTGATCGATCACTTTGTCAAACTGTGTTTTTAGCGAAAAATGTCCAAAATTCAGAAGGTTTAATGTCTTCTAATATAGTTGCAATCTTTGTTCCCTTTAATCCATAGGTATCCCTAATTAAGTATACAATTAAGAGGCATCTTCCTTAAGAAATATCATTCTAATCAAATCAATCACATTTTATACTTAGCTAAAACCTGTGATTCCTACTCATTACTCTCCGACAATTATCTTATCAAATTGACTGCTTATTCGTAATTCCTTTGTTGAACTAACTCTAAGTACAATTATTTTTATATTTCATATTATAATTTCTATTTTAAATAATAGAATACTCTATTGATGGTCTCTGAAAATTCTAATTATTATAAAAGCTTTTCGTAGTCTCCATTTAAAAAGGATTCCTTCAACTCGCTCATTTAAGAAGTATCTAATTTAGTTTGAGATTCCTCTTCAAGTGTGTTGCAGACATCGTCGTATCCCATTTGATTCAACTCTTACAGAATCATTTTGATTATTTCTTTCAATCTATCCGGAGACCCATCGATACTAATTGATTAAACTTCTTATAAAGCTAAATTGTCAAATACTTGCATTTATTAATAGATAAATATTTATTATATTTCAATTATCATTAATCTAAAAATGAAAATAAAAGAATGATTTTTGCAGCTCCCCTTATTTTAATCATTAAGTAAAACTAAATTAATGTTACTAATAAAAGAGTACGCAACTGTTAGAACGCATATTTGAATTTGAATATCTTTATTCATTCAGTCTAATCTTTCATTTTATAAGGGAGAGCTTTATGTATTCATTTAGTGGTTTTTGAATTTTCATTTATTTTTCTCATCAACTTAAATTTGTTATTTATATAATCTATCCAAATATATTTAAAATAATGGGATAATTCAATTTATTTGTAAATCTTTCTTATTATTTTTTAGCTAGCAGATGTATCGTTACGAATAATGTTTGTTGCTTTAATAATTTAATAATTATTTAAATTACACCTTTATGCTATCTAATTATTTTACGATATCGAACCAAACTTACTCAAGTTTTACATTATGGTAGTCTATAATGACAATGATTTCGATGTATCAATGTATTGACATAATTATGACTATTGTGAATGCTTTGAACTACGAAATTCAGGGAGAGAAATTAATATTCATTTATAGAATAATTGTAAGCCATTTAACATCTACAGCTTTTAGATTTAAGTCTTTCTCATAATAGCATTTCATATTGTAATGAGCAAATTGGAAAAGGAGAAGACAAGTTAGATTAACATTCTCACCTTTCTGAAATTTGTCCTGATGATGTTGTTATGGACTGAAACAGATTACGATTTCGTATAAGGCAATGAAATGGATCAGAGAAGTTACAGTTTGGAGGTTTATGGGATGATGATCTTTTTCGTTATTGCTATAGAATCCTAGATTGTTAAATCTATTGCAATCTTATTTTCATTATTATACACATTATTAAGGTAATTTAAATAAAAAATAGATAGATAACCAAAATTCAAAAACCATACTGAAATTATAGGCTCAACTAAAATCATCCTAGTCCACATATTCATTTAACTATTTTAGATCTATCACTTGTATTCGATACCAAAAACAAAGATAGATTAAAAGTCACTAAATGAGTCCCCACTATTGTCATAGAGAGTAGGTCTAACAGTCACATAAAGGGAAAACACAGATACTTAAAACAAAAAAATTATTATCCAGGAAGTGGTTGCATAGGAATTAGAAAACCAGAAGGGAATATCAAATTAGGAAGAAGTATTTGAAATGTTGCTCACTGGATTTTAATGTGGTATCTACATCCTTGAAACTGCAAAATAACCGGTTCGAATAATCAATTCATTTATGTCCCACATAGTTTTAATTGATGAACAACTTAATAGTGATTTAATGTAATTGGAACTATATGATTTCGGAATAATGCAAGAGAACCATAATTACACAATTTTACCTTGTTTCCATAGAAGCAAAGACATTAGTCATTTCGTTGGATTCACACAAACATTAGAGTATGCTTATATTCATATTATTGGACCTAGAATATTTGTTTTGAAAATATACCAAATATAGAGAAGAAAGAAGTTCAATTATTTTATAGAAAGATGCAGTTGAAAACGTTGATTGAACACTTGTTGGCTTTTTCTCACATCAAATTTGCTTTAATCAAATAAACCTTAGATTTCTCGTTGAAAATTTATTTGAAGAAAGGTATGTTGACTTGTGTAGTTTAGATAAATTATACACGCAAGTAATTCTCAATCCAGTTGTCCTTGCCAATAAACCACAAATTGCAATATATATTTAGGATTTGACAGAGGAACCTTTTATTTTATAATTGCAATAGTATATAAGAAATGGAGATGAGTTAATCCAAACCATTTCTCAGAAAATAAAAGAACCTCTGAATTGCACTCTATCGATGTTAGAATTAGTCCAAGTATGATATAATAATTCTAAAAAAGAAAGAAGTCAATCAAGAGTTGTAAACTAAATATATAGATCCTGCTCTGGCTGGATGTAAATTATTAATTAGCACTGCAAGTGACATCTAGGATTATGTTACTCTGCATAAAAATAACAAGTTGGAGAAAAGCTTAATGGATATACACACCAAGGAGTTTATTTCAGATTGTTTGAATATCATTAAATCATAAGCTTTGTTTAGAGGTTTGAGCATATAAGTCAACATAAAACAAAATGTTCCTATATTCCTGAAAACGGATCCCAATCGTCTAAGATAGATAATACTCAATTTGTTAGGTAATATTTTATTTAACTGGCAGTTAAGTCAATTTAATTAACCATTAACGGCTTCATTGAAATAGGATGTCAGAAGTCGCCCTTGTTGGCAGATCACATTGAAATCCTCATTAAAGTTATGGCTTAAAATGTAAACGAAAGCATCTTAGAATCTATTGAATTAACGTTAAAGCATCTTAAATAATAGACTTTACTTAATCCTCAAGTGATTGATTTGGTTGCAACATCCAAATAATTTTGTTTCTCCATCATCACAGCATTTTATATCTCCTTAGCTATAGCAATTATGCCATTTGAATTTAATATGGTTAAGACAGAAGATGGTACTCAATTTTATTTTGTGCTCTTAATTAAAAATGAGAACCCCAATTTCAGTCAATAATTAAGTTAAAAAAGATAATCTGCCTTAATAGCAAATAAATAGTAATTTCAATAGGTCTTTGGTTAAAATAACTTATATCGAAGACACTAATCACAAAGACTTACAGAAATCAGTAGATTATAGATCTAAAAAAAATTAGAGAAAATCAAAAGAGAATCCTAAATTGAGACCACTATAGATATGCGAGAATCCATTTTGCCATAATTTGGCTAAACTGATGTTTCAGATTTGTAATAGCCTAAAAAATCATACTCAGTCTCACAAATCTCCGAATAAGATGACTCTAAGAGTTCTTCTCATGATTCAAAAAATGAATTTAATGATCATGAACAATTCGAGGTGGAAATTTTTTCTAGTAAATCAAGTCTTTATCTTAATGATAAGATTGAGAATATAGAGAAGTAATAATAACCATAGCAATTTTTTGATACTATTTTATAAGTGAAAGAACCTAAAGCAAGGAAGATCTCAGTTAGTATAATATAGACTAGGTTGAATCAATAAATATAATAATAATAAATGTCATAGAGTCAGAGGGATTCTCTATTAACCTTTGGAGGTAGATCTTCAGTTTATTCATCAATGAGGGTTTCTTCTATTAATTTGGGTCCTAATGAATTGTTAGATTGTTTTGAAAAAATGGAGAGAGTCAAAAATCAATAATTTATTTATAAATGTTAGGTAAATTTACATAATTAATTTAAAAGTGTCCAAAGATCCTGATTTGTGAACAGAATGACTTTGATTTATATGCTATCTCTCATTAGTTGAGTAATTTGAAAATACCTTACGCTTATACCATGTAACGAATCCACATAGTTGAATTATTGAGGAAGCAATTCTCCTAGTTCAAGACTTGTTGTAAAGGCTATCACATTGTATTTATTGGAGTGGAATACGTCAATGAGTAATTAGCTGCTGATTGCACTAAAATCAAGGCAGTTCTACAGGAGTTCCAGAAGGATACAATAATCATTGGATTGATAGGGTTCTAAGGGGAGGATTTCAGAGCCACCATTAAAAAGCTGCCATTCCATGACTGCTTGTCTAAGCCAATCATGATTGACGCTTTACTATTTATTATAGCCAAATGGGTAAGATTGTGAAGACTTATCTATTTACATTATTGATAACTAATTATTCTTCAATATTCAAAGATCTGATATATATTTTTATTCACTTTTTCGAATGGATAAAAGAATTAATTTGTAATTTATATTAAACATATATTTATAAATACAAAATTATGAAGGCTGCAATTGAGAAAGTTAAAGGCAATTTGTCATCTCATAGAATGACCATAAAAGAATTAGTTTAAGAAGTTCTCAAGAAATCTGATGCAGACTTCTAGGATGACGAAGATCTCAAAGTAAGTTATGGATGTATTTAACCTCATAGAACATTGTAACATTGCTGTAGAAAGATCCAAATTAAAGATCCCAATTGGATGTGGATAAAATTAGATTGTCATTTTTTAGATTCAAGTTTTTCTCAGAATTGGAATAGTCGATGGGAGCTGAAATGGTTTAAGGATTATATAAATAATTGGGTTACGAATTACAGAAAAAAAGACAGATAATATTTAACATAGGCGATATTGGAAAGAAGTTTTATATAATTCTGAAGGGCAGTGTTTGGGTTCTGGTGTAGAAAAAGGGATTGCAAGAAGGATCTGGTCCTACAGAAGAAGATTAAAAATAAGAAGAGCAATTAAAGAACGAAAAAAATAAGGAAATGATGGAGAACATGAAAAAAAGCACAAGGAAAAAAACTAAGAAATCAAAACATTAGGCATTCGTCACTCAGGTAACATTAGATGACATCTTTGCTACAATGACATATTAAGAATATCTAGAGACTCAATTTCCATCATTAACTAAGGTAGGAATAATTAATGCCGGGGAAAGCTTTGGAGAAATTGCACTGACTAAACAAGTGCCGAGAACAGCCACTATTGTTGCAGCAGAAGATACACATTTTGCTACAGTTACTAGAGATTAATTTAATAAATTGTTGTCTGTTTTTTATGAAACACAATAAAAATAGAATATAGGATTTTTAAGTAAAGTTGCCATATTTTCTGATTGGAATGAATAGATGTTGAATCAATTATATTACCATTTCAAATTGGAAGAAAGAAAGCTATTCTAAGTGATATACAAGGAAGAAGAAGAAGCAAAGTACCCATTATTTTAATTTCATTAGTTCTATATACTTACTTAAATAAGGAGAAATAGAATTGTCACGCTCTGTCGATGTTACTTAATAGTAAATTACTCCGAATCTTACACTTTAAAAATTCTTTACTAAAACTGAAAGAAAATTTGAAAGGGTTCGTACTTCTGTGATAACTGCAGGCTAGATCTTTGGACATGAAGAAGTAAGATTTATATGCTACCCTCTAGGTTTTAGCTGGAACTAAAAGATAATATAGGGCCATGAGTATAAGCCAGAAGGTTGTGTATTTTGTATTGGATAAATAGAGATTCTTATAGTATTTTTAGAGGGGATAAGCAATACAGAAACTCCAAAAATTTGATGCCAAGAAACTAAATTAAAGAACATAATCTTTGGATATCATTAAAGGGATTAAAAAAATACCCTTATTCACTGAACATAGAGATGTTCCATTCATAGACGCAGCATAGACCAAGACTAGAATTAAGAACTCAGTAGAAAGAATAGGAAATCCAGTGGAACATACAGGGTATGAAATGCTTCAAGGACATGGCCATATAAACAAAGCACATTATAATTTCAGAAGGAACATCGACATTATCAAACAAAATGTTTAGAACAGCGAACCATTGTCATTAGATAAAGCTCTATTTCACATTGAGGCTAGCAAAGGTTCTTAGATAAGCATCATCAATAAAGTAACAATTAATTATTTATTTAGGTCTTTCCTGCAGCTGCGAGACCTAAATATTCAATACCAGAATGCTCTATATCATCTTAAACAATTATTAAATCTCTGAAGTTGCCAAGGATCTTAACTGAGGTCGATTCAGTCATGCTTAATAGAACAAATAAGGAGTACTTGAATAGTTTTAAAGCTTCTTCAATCTACTCAATTGGGTTACCAGATGAATCATAAAAAACAATAAATTGATCCTTGTTTTCTTTATTTAATAGAGCTTATTTAGTAACATATATATTGCTATTCTAAATGATTGATTATTTTAATATTGTTCAATTTTTATACTCAAATTGAATTTTAAATTATTATATAATGGATCATCATCCCTAAAAAGGAGGGTATGGAATACCAATGAGTGGCAATATCCTGTCAGGCTATAAACATTATTACAAAGCTACAAATCACATACGAATGCCGTACGTAGAAGAAACCTATGAATTTAAAGAGGAGGATAAATAAGACCATGTAGATTTCACAAAAAAGGAGAAATCAGGAATAAAGATATTTGATGACAACACACTGGAATTTGAATGCAAAAAAATCACTATGCAAGATTTAGAAAAATTGGATTTATAGCAAAGCAACATAACTGAATAAGGCATGTCCACGATTTGCTCCTCAAAGAATTGTTGCAATATAACTGAATTGGATTTATCAAAGAATTCTTATAATGTGACAGACACCTTCCTCAGATTGATAGGAGAGTCTTAATATTTAGTTAAACTTGAAACTTTATTCCTTGATGACAGTGCTGTGTCTGATAATGGGATTATGTTCATAACATAGCCATTCACAAAACCAGTTGATCAATATACTTTGTATGCCACTCACAATTTGAAAAGAACGAAAAAGCATCTAGAATCAACTAGAGGAATGACAGGGCAAAATTTCAATAGTACTGCTGCTATGACTCACACCAGTGATTCGTAAACTCAGTTCTCAGACTCAAACAAATACAGAAATTTTGTGAACCATCTTAACAAGTTGTCTCTTTAGGGTTTACATTTAACAGATAGAGGACTCCAATGTATTTCTTTTAGTTAGAATGTGCGTCTTCGATATTTAAATTTGTCATTCACTAAAATCACTGATAAGGGAATCATTGAATACTTTAATTCTTCCAATAGTGCATTTTTGGAATATTTGGACATCTCTCATTAACCAATTACAGATGAAAGCATTAAAGCCTTTGCTTATTCTGAATATTGCAAATCCCTGATTGTCTTCATATTAAATAGTTGTCCATTGACCAATGAGAGTATGATTCACCTTTGCAATTCTCCCAACACTATTAATCTTGTGGAACTAAATCTTGGCACGTTCACTAAATCCTATATGACTGGAGATGCAATTAGAATTTTAAGTGAAGCAAAATACATGAGTGCCCTAAAGAATTTGAACTTAGATGGACAGCCATTTCCAGAGAGTAAGTTTGATGTTTTAAATTTATAGTCACTCTTCTAAAGTTCATCAAGAGTCCTATCATGATTAATATAGAAAAACTGTCAATAGCCAAGAATGAAGACATAACAGATAGTTTTTGTGGAGCCATCTATGAATTTTATCAGGCTGAACAATATAAATCATTAAAGTACTTAAATCTGATGAAGACCAATATCACTGAGAGAGGAGTAGTCCAATTATAAGATTTATTTAAACTAGTTCATTCAATTGATAATTTATCTTCATTGATAAAAAGTATTTATTATGTTTACCATCAATTATAGTTAAGGAGCAAACAAGAGCAGGGATTAAGTGTTTTATATGTGATCGATGTTTGATGTAGTAAGATACTGAAAGGGATAATTACAGAGATAAAAAACCCCCTATAAATCCACATAATTGTTTTATTTGCAGAACCAGATAGATTACAACAATAGAGTATCCAGCAAAAGCATGTTATGGATGTGGCAAAGGATTCCAAGAGAAAACATGTCATTTGTGCTAAAAACAAATAGGAAAACATCAACTGTTTAGATGTCATCTTTGTGCTATTGGTAATAACAAATTCAAATGTTTTAATTGCGATAGAATGATTTTGGCTAAAAGATGAAAAACTCAATAATTGATTTACTTATTATTATTTAATATGTAATAAGACGCAATAAATAATGAAGAATTTCTGTTAATGATATGTATTAATGTATATATACATCACATCTTGACTTCTTTTAATCCGTCTAAAATGTAAACAAAAGCTGGAGAGGCTTAGCCTTCTTTGTAATAACCAAGAACGATGTGATTTTCCATGTCATATGACTCAGGACAGTAGCTAGGACATAAATTGCATAAATTACAATTAGAGATCGTTGAAGTTAGCAGAAACCCATTTGATGAATTCACCAGCACCCTTTTAGAATGAAGCAACTCTATCTGGTTTGTTGGCTTCCAAGTATGCCTTAACCTTCTTGGCATAGGCCTTGAAGTATGTGACATAATCAGCTTTGGTAAATTGTGTTTCAGCATATTTAAAAGCATCAATAATGTTATTCACTTTTTAGGCTTAATCTTCAACACCACCTTCTTCTTCATCTTCATTCTTGCCACCGAAATGACCACCAGCACCTAAAAGTATTATTTTTTTATTTACCAACATCAACATTGAGTGCTCCTTTAACAATATCTTATGATTGAACTTCACCAATAACACCTTCGAATTTCTCTTCCATATTGAAACTGTCTGAAACGATTTCCTCTCCACTGAATGCGTCAACGTAGATCTGAATATAGTTTATGTTTATACCTTCATTTAATTTTTATCTAAAAAAAAGATTTAAATTTCTGGTCATCATAATTTATGGTTTTATATTGTTTTCATAATCATTTAAGCATCTCTTAATAGTTAATAAATTTATATAATAATCTTAATAACAATTTCATAACTTCTTTTTCCCTATCACCAAGTGTGCTACTCCCTTCTTCTTCTACTCTTCCTTCAAAGCCTGCATCAATGGTCCTTCTGTTTGAGCCCTCATCTTCTATTTTTGTCTTATCAACTCGCTCCTCTTCTTTTTCTCTATTTTGTTCTTACTTGGACCATCTCCATGGAATATCCAACACTGATATCTGAATGCTTCTTTAGGTGTCATTAATTTCCCAGAATGATCTCTATAAACCAAATTTATTTCACCATCCTTATTTTCTTGATCTTTAAAAACTCTCTGATCCTTATTTCTCCCTACATAGTCATACTTCGATGGATTCAGTTCCCCTCTCTTTCTCAGTAACTCCAAAGTGGCAGTTAATCCATGAACATGTTAACCTTCCTCCAAAAACTCTATCCCATCCTCATCCTTTTTAATTTCATCATTGTCTTTCTCTTACTACTCCTCTTGCTATTCCTCCTTCTCTAAAAATATATCATTTTTTTAAGTCTCTTCTCTTATGTTCTCCAATTCCATTTTAGATTATTATTACCTATTTTATACAACTATTCTTTCTGTAGGCAATCTAACATTTACAACTGAGGTAGTTCCATTTTTAGTATCTCTGATTGAATATCCTGTATTAATCCTTAGATTAATCTCTTCCATTTCCTTGTCAGTCTTAACATTGCTTAAAAAATCAGTTGATTATTCAATGACTTTAATTTCTTATACTTCACTTCCTTGAACCTTTACTTATGGAATCATAAATTCATTTTATTTTATCTTCTACTATTCCTCCTCTTTCTATTTATTTTAATCCATGAGCTCTTTAATATTATCTTCTTATTTTTGTATTTGCTAATTCATTTTCTATCTTTATTAATTTAGAATGGATCTCTGTAATAATTCATAATCATCTTCCTCTAATAAAGCCTTATCTATCTTTGATATTCGTTCTTCAGAAAATGGATTTGCTTATTATGGTTTTTGAAATTTCTTTTTAATCAACGTAGTAGGAATACTAGGCTTGTAATCACTTGCCACATTATCAATTACATTCAATGAAATTTGCTAATTTTTTTTGAGTTTACTTTTGATTGCTTATAAATCATTCTATTTTGGTTCGTCTATTAACTTTCCATCAGAGGCAATATAAAAACCTTCCTTTTGTATTTTAATTTCATCATACTTCTCTAAGATGTCCTTCTTCTCTTCGCCATCATATTTCTAACTATAATGTGCCTTCTTTATTTATTCTTTTAATTTTTCATTTTTTTTAATCTGATCCTACACTTTAATCTGTTCGTTTTCAAGAACATCGTCTACTTCGTTCAATTGATCACCGTCCAACAATTGTTAATCAGCTAAGCAAAGTATCATTTCTCCGCCTATTTATATTTCATCTTCATTTACGTCTACTTTGATTTTGTGTGACATTTAATTAAATTTATATATTTAATATTGTAATTTGTGCTACACAACAGAGTGATGCTATTTGATATAGTTCTCTATAAATTTATAGGGAAAAATCACAATTCACCATTCATCAGTATTTTTGATGTTTCCTTCTTTTTCGTCTAAGGGAACAGCTAATTTAACTTCTGGGACTTTAAAAGTTTCATTTAAATTCATTTTCTCTAATGATTAAATGAATTAATTTACCATCCTCTGACAACGAATTGAAATTGACAGGTATGACTGATTATTTCCATTTTTAATATTTGTACTTCAACTCTTCAAATTCAGTACAAGCTGTGATCAAATATTTTAATTGATTCTGGGTTACTGCAACTCTTTTCTCTGGTAATTTCATTTGAGGTTTCAACTCGTTACTAGTGCCTGTAAATAATGGGAGGGCGACATCTTATTCGTCCTCATCAATGATTCTATATGATTAAGCATCACTGCTACTATTTTAGTCAGACGACCCTTTTTTTTTATCTTAAATCCTCTTTTTAATTAATTTGGTTTTCATTTGTTTGTGATAATGAGTTTCCTCGATCATTTAATTTAATTGATGACTGGCCGACAATTGTTTGCCCTCTTCTATTTATTACATAAATCGAAAAAACTTCATGTAAATGACATCAGACTATATAAGGTGATACCAATAATTACAATGATGGCCTTAGATGAATTCTTTTAATCGAAAAAACTATGCTGCTTTTTTGGCTTCACTTATTGCTAATATTTTTGTATCAAATCCCTATACGATAAGTTATAAAGTCATACTCCTCATTCAAATTCTTATTAGATTTATGAAGATGTTGTACTCTGTAGAGGAGAATGTGATGGAAAATCATTCTGATGTTGAAAGACCAGTGCATAAAAAACTTAGTGGCCACATTCTCAAACAGCAAGTCTGTGATGTCTTTCCTTATGTCCACTATTAATTATAGATTATAACTATACATGGAAATAAGACATAGTTGTTATATATCAGCCAAAGACATTTTGAAACGCTGAAAGCATGTTCGCATTATAATAGGATCATTCTAATTCCCTTCAAAAAGAACTACTAATCCAAAGAGGTTGGCATTGATAATTTATGGTTACAGAGATACTATAAACAAGAATTGAGGATTTCTAAGCAATTCAATAGAGCTTCAGAATCAAAGAGATTTGTTTTGTTAAAGAGAATAACTATAACGATGTTCAGCAAACTTGTGTTATTTAAGAGTGAACACATGGCAGCCTTCATTATATCTGGGTAATTCTTAAGTTCTTTAGCCTTCATCTCCAAAAGGATGGCTTTAATCAAAACATTATATCCTGGTAATTGTTGATATGGGACATTCTATTTGACAACAACTGATATGTCGATTAAATCACACCACTCCTTAAGGAAAAAGAAGAATGCAATGCCTCTTTTACCAATTCTCTTCTGCCATTCTTCCTGATTGATAATTTCCATCAATTTATTGATGTTGGCATTATATTTGGGTTGTTTAGTAAGATATTCATAAAAGTGCCTATTCCAATCAAATAAGTCATTGAACTCCTTGTTGGTAATTTCATCAGTTTGTTTGGTGAGTGATCTCCATTCTGGTAATTATGGATCATCAACTCTTTGCACACTCTCAATTATTTTGGTTCTAAATTCTGGGATTTTAAAATAGGCACTGGCAAAGAAGTGTTCAACAAATGCCCTTTCATTGTCAGCCAAAGATTTTTGTTTCAATTTTTACAATACAATACCAAGAGACTTATATAAAAATGATTAATAATTGAGACCTATCTCAGTTTTGAACTTAAGCAGTTTCTCACTAGTTTTTTCTGTTTCCTCTGAAAATCCTACTTGATTTAAACTTAATTCTCCCCTATTCAAAATTAACTTAAGTAGGACGTAATACTCCTCTCGAATGGACTCTTCTTATTGGTCTGCGGATTCTAACAATTTTAAGGCTACTTCTATTAACAATTTCTGAGCATTAAATAGATCCTATTGAGATTTGTACTCAAAACAAATGATTGACTATTTGTCAGTCTATTTTAATATGTTTTAGATGGTTCTAAGATAGAGAGCTTGAGAATTCTTCAATTCTGATTTCAAGAATAACTTAATTATAGATGAGAATATTACATCTTTGGATGAACAATTTTGTATCTTGTATTGGACATCCAATAATTGCTGTCCTGCCTGACTTAATTATTGGATCTCTTTGACTGGCATCTTCCCTGAATTTACAACACTGCTTCCCTATTGTATACCCTTGTCTGTTCTCACACCGACAATTTGTTAATTTAAATAGGCAGGAATGATAACTTAAAGATTGCAATTCAAATTGCCTTCGAGGACTCCGTGATTCCATAGTCTCCTATTTGTTTGTTGATACAAAATCTTGTAAACTTTTACGTTATTCTCACTAATCTATTGAGATATCAAGAAATACATACTTGTTCGCTGTTTAAGGCCTAAGTAAAGATTTGATTCAAATTGAAATAGGTCTCTGCTATAAGGGAATAATGAGGTTTGCTCATTCCTGATGTAGGATTAATGGCTAGATTTGCCTATTCGTTATACCACAAGCAAACTTAGATGCTGGAGGATGATATTTCTATGAGGGGCACTTCGACTGTCATTTCAACTCCGGATTGTTTGTACACAATTTGTTTGATAACTTACTTTTTGGCTTACGCACTATTGTTAGTGGATTGCTAATTCTTTTGATAGGCAGGATTCAAGAATGCATCTGAGTATTCGCTTTGAAAACACAAGACTGAAGTGACCATTTTGAGTGAATAATAATACTCTGAATGTATTAACGGTTCATTCATATTAAATTCCATCAACTAAGGCACAATGCTAACTTTTATGATTTGAGCGATTTTAAAGTCAAAACTGATTTTACCTTATTATTGTTTCTTATTAATTAAGCCAGTGTATTCGTAATCCATGTGTTGTGGTCCTGTAGCTATCAAATACAAATTAATTGATATGGAAGCAATATTCTCATTATTTGGAGTCAGCAAGGCAACGTTCAGATATTGCTTCTTTAATTGCTCCTCAGTTATAGACATCTAAAATGCATGTGTCTGTTTAAACTAGATTAGAGCATGAATTGTTTAATTTACATATAATTTCCCGTAAAGTTCTTTCGAGCATTCTGTCTCAAATTAACCAAATTCACCTATTTTCATTGATATTTTGCCAGCTGGCTATAATACTATAATCACTAGATTAAAAATACCAGATTATCCATCTTCACTTTGATACCTGATATTTTCACATTAAACTCCAAAGTCCCTTAAGTTTGGATAGGTATCGATTCTATGTCGGTCACTAGATTTTCTTTTTGTTAAGACTTCCCTGCACAAATACCCATTATTATTATTAATATGTATCTAATATATTATATTTAATATTTATCATGGGTCTTCTTTAAAGTATTCAGTTAAAACATTTAAGAACTTATTTTGTGAATCCACATTCACACTTCTTTTCCTCGATTTCTCCTCCTTCTTCTTTGGTTTATCCAAATTTAAAATAATAGCCAGTTCAATATTTGAAGGGTCGTCATTCAACTTCTTGCTTAACTCTAATAACTCACTATTATAGTTGATCAATTGATCCTCCTTCATTTCTTGGAATTAAATCAAGTATTGTTAGAATGTCAATTCCTATTTTTGTTATCTCAAGAAACTCTGTGTGAATTCTTTGCATTTCCTTTTGAATTAAGTCTAATTGAATAATTCAGGTATCCGAAATTATTGGCAATTTATTTTTATTTGAATCTAATGGAGAGTGATCAGATTGAAAATCTGACCAGTTATTTCCAACTCCTCTGGAGTGGCATCCTTCAATTTCACTTGACTCAATTCGAATTGTTGTTTCCCAAATTATTCCCTTATTTGTTCAATGGTCATTTGCTCACTGTTCAGATTCCTCTTTTAACTCCTTTTCATCGTCACATATGCTGACTCTAATTTCTTAATCCCATTGTTTTGGTTGTATTTGAATGTATAATCATAAATCCTCTTCTCCTACATGTATTACAATAGAGAGATTCGATATTGATCGAAATACTTTTACTTTTATTCTGGAGTCAAAACCTTGTAGTGCTGATTCAGCAATTTAATGATATCTCTTTATTCTACCTTCTATTGCAATTCTGATTTTAATTGTTTTTATTACTCATTCAAAAATAAGATGAAAGGTGATGCCACTCTCGAAGGAGGACTGGGAATCAGATATTTACCCTCCACTTGATTTCCAACCAACTAATATTATCTAAGGATTTTTTTCAAAACTTAATTCATTCTATTTATATCACAATTTTAAAAGTAAATGCATTAATAAATTGTATTAGAATACCCCATAGTAATAATAATAATCTATTCAAATCTCATTAATCACAGGAGTATTTCTACCGAGATCTCTTGGCTTATTTTAGAAGGCTGTTAAGTTTTTCCTAGTCCTTCGAGTTGTCTATTGCACCACCTTTCGTTTATCCACAAACTCGGTTGTCAAACAATTTAAACTACTTATTCTATGTAAATTATGATGATTTCCTCCTTCATTTCGAATATAGAAGTTCTCAATCCTTTCTGATTCAAATCTATATCTTTGCTGTTTGATGGATTCAAAGTCATCAAAATCCCGATGATAAAAGTAATCCGTATTGAGCTTTTTGCTGTTTGTGTGATTAGCCTTTTCCCATAATTTTTACAACTATAATTGCTTTAACTTCTCATTCTCCATTTTCTTTGACTCTCTCAACTTAATGATAGAATCTAATAACTTCTTTCGTTATTGTTGAGTTTCCAAATTTCGAAGAGCCTTTGATATCTAATTGGAGTTGAAAGGGTCATTGACACTTTGCATTTATTTTCGTACTTTTGATAGACAGAGTTATTTTTGTTAGAAAATCAATTATTTTGAGAAATTTGGTGGAGACAATGAACTTGGTATTTTGTATTAAGAGACTGAATTAGATTTCATAAAATTGATTGAAATTTTAATAATCATAATCACTGATACAATTTATTGATTCCAAATCATAATAGTAAGTTGATGTAAATATAACTATATCACAAATCTTCGTTTATCATCTCCTCCTCCAACCATTGTCTATCAATCATTCCTTCACTATCAATCTTGGGTCTCAGAGGATATGAGGTGGATGGTCTTCTCTTTCTTGTTTTGCTCTTCCTACTGTTCTATTGTATCAACTAAGCTAGTAAGGCATCAACATAATCGCCCTTCAAAGGAGATTTCGGAGTTTGAACCATGGACTGAGACCAACAAAGAGTGCTCTTTTTTGTCCTTTCTATTACTCATAATTTACTTGTACTTGTAGACTGATCCTTCTTTTTGGGACTTATAGTTCTCACAGGAGATATTTTCTTAGAATGAATTTTCTTGTATCCAATTGGTTTGTTCTCCTTCCCATGTCCTCTTTTGATGGGACTCACGATGTCATCCTCCTCTGTGATGGTTTCCAATTAAGGCTTCTTACCCATTAAGCCATCGTCTAGAGATATCTCTGTAACAACAGAATTGTTCATGCATGACACCCAGACCATATTTTCTCCTGGGTACACTAAGCATTAAAGCATAAATCGCTTCTTTATTGGATCCAATTATAATAAGACCTCTTGGGTTTGAATTTTAAGTGCAACCACTTCTTTGAGCTTGAAGTAATTAATCACTTCCTCCTTGTTTGTAAAACTTGTAAAATCTAAATCTATTAAAGTACAGAAGTTTAGTTGAATCTCCTCAGGCTCTGGATACATTATTCTTAAATCCTTAGAAGCCCCTTCCACTCTCAATGAAATACTCATATACGTTAAAAATTAATAATTAATTATGCAAACAATTAATGCTTCTGAAAGCATTTTTTATTATTAACCTTAATTATGGACAATTCAGATCAAACCAATCCACCATTCCATCCAACCATTCATCCCAAATACTCCATTCCATTCAAAAAGCCACTCTACTTCAAACTCAAAGGTGTGATTGCCCATAAAGTCAACCCTATCACTCCAAAGCTCCCCCTCTTCCTCAAAAACATACATGTCACAACAAATCAGAAGTTGTTTGTCATCGCTATTATTACCACTTACGTAGTGCAAAGCACATTAGGTAACTACTATTTTCACTTTTTTAGAGGTTGTTGGTTGAGCATATATATTTATTTCTAATATCAATCATATACAATAATAATTTAATATATAAAAGAAGCTTAATCCAAGTAAAAGGAAGAGATATCAATAGGAATGCAAACATTTTTAATATTATACATATTATGAGAATCAAAATATTTGAGAAATATTGACCATTACCATAGGATTAGACTGCTTAAGTGGGTGAGGGATTATAGATAATACTTGAAATACTCATTTTTTAATTGTGGAACTAAGAGGTTTGAATGAAATAGTTTATTAATAAAGAATATTCAAAATGCTTAATTAGTGCATTCCATTTTTTACTTATTAAGAATAATAATATGTTTGACCTTTCATATTCTAACCATAACTGCATAAGGAATTAGAATATATTTTAATTAGCCATACTATCATTTTGATGTTGGAGGAGAGATATGTGTATGGGATGATATTATTTAAATAGTCTAAAATACATTTCGAAATATAATTGTTAGATCAAGGAGAATGGAAAGATGATGAGGAAATTTATTAAAATAAAAAGATCCTAATATAAAGCGATTGGAATGAAGAATATTATTCAGAGAGATGATTTAAAAAATAAGAATGATAACCAAAATTCTACTCTAGTCAATATGGATACGAAATTGTAATTTGGAGGGATGGAAAGATGTATGTAAGAAATTGTTTTGAAGGAAAATGACATGGAAAGGATAGTTGATTGCATCTAATGGGGATATTATTATTGAAGGAGAATGGAATAAAGGGAAAAGAATTAAATGAAAAATGAATTCATTATTTTTCACATTATTACACCTGAATCCACAATACGTACTAATTTCTTTGGAGCTCCATTTGTTGAGGAGACTAGTTTATATAAATTTAATGTCACTTTTTTCTAATTCGTCTAATATACTGTAATCTTCAACTATCTTTCCGAAAACTGTATGCAATCCATCAACCCATGAACAATCTGTAAAAGTAAAAAAGAATTAAGACCCTATATTGCCATTTCCATCGTTAAACATTGAAACAAGTCCTCTTTAATCATGTTTGAATCTAATGGGTTCAGCCTTGAAAGTTGGTCCATAAATACTGCATTGCCCTGTGCCATCTTTATTCAAGATATCTCCACCAAGTGCCATGAAGTTGCTATAAACCTTGTGAAATGGAACATCTCTAAAATTTAATTTCACATCTTGTCTAGATACCTAATATCATACATGGGTTGGATTTTTCTCCTGTGCATAATGCTCTAAAATTTTCACAAGTCTTAGGCATTTCATCATAAAACAATTTAATAATGACTCTCTTGGGTTTATCAGCACCAATTTTAATATCCAAAAATACCAATTGTACTTTTACAGCAGTTTGCTTGCTGAAACTGTAAAATAATGATGAATCAGTAAGCATTTTAAATTATTGATAATAATTATTAAAATTATCTTCCTTATTTAGAAGCACAAGATGTCTAAATATTTGGATTGTATAATGTGATGAAGTTTGATAATTAAATTTCATTCTTTCTTTACAATTATCTATGTCATAGTATCTATTCCAATATCAAGCAGCAATTAAGAAACATCCAAAAGTTATAACTTTTGAATTGGACATACTAAAGTGAACTTCATTGGTGATTGTCTACTTTCATAAAACACAAAATCGTAAAGATCCTATTATTTACTTTGAGAATATCTATACTTCAACAGCCGCATCATAACTAAATGTATATTGCTTGTTTTTTCCATCTGGCATTTGGAATAGGATAACTATACCTTCTTCCAGTTGAATGCTGAATTTCTATAAAGAATTAAGAGGATAGTTACTTATTCAAGTGTCATGAGTATGATCGATCTATACTCAGCATCATCCTAATCAATATTAAAATTTTGATAATTAGCTATTGATTACTAAAATCCAAATTGAATTCCTTGTCCTTGGAATTTGGGAGTGGATTACTTTTTTTAAGGTTATTGGACCTCTTCTTCAAATTCCTCATCTGTCGATTCCTAAAATTTAGAAGTTTGAAGTACATATTTTTCTCCTTTGCTTGCCTTTAATGCCTTTTCCATTTCGACTTCATCTGATCCTCCAATATTCAATTTATAGTTCTTCCTTTTGACTCTCCTATCGTGCACTTGTTTAACGTATTAGGCAGTGAGGACCTTTTGGCGATCATTCTGATTGATATTCTAAAAGAGAAGATGAGGTTGTGATTACATCTAATTGCGGTGGTGGGTAAACACCTTTTACAACGAATATTTAATATCCGTTCTCTTTCACTGATAACAGAAATGCTGATAGATAAAAGTCACTAATTATTTCTGGTCCTCTTTTATTCGTTGAATTTAAGTTGTACCAAACATTGTCAATCTTCCTGATTGCAAACCAATGAGCTGAGGAATTGCATATAAACCCACTTTCTTGACTTAATTTATACAAAGAAAACAATTACCTCAAGTCTTAATTTTAGTTGAGTTTTGAATCAATGGATTCAATTGACAGATCGCCTAACTTTTTTAATGCTTCAGCCAACACCTAGATTGAGAAATTGCCATCCTCAGCTACATTTTGTGATTTGAAACGACGTTTTGTTTTTCCTAGCAAATCAATCTCCTGTTTGTCCAATTCTTAAGCAATTGTGCCTAAATCAACTTCATTAAAATAAGGCCCTTATAAAAGAGAATTGATGCAATGCACTCCGCATAATTAATCATATCCCTGTTTTTCCCAATAGATGAGTTGTTTAAAATTCATAAAATAATTAACATTATTTATACTGTATAATATTTTAATAGTAACTTTATAGATATCAAAGTTAGCGATAATGATGTTTAATAATAATATAACTTAAATCAGCTTTATTCTTTGTCTCCCTTTTTAGCCTTTTCTGCCTCAGCTGCAGCCTGTGCTTCGGCAGCCGCAGCTTATTTGGCTTCCTCAATAGCTTTGCCGCATAATTGTATCCCAATCATAGTGTAATCGCCCTCTAATTGATGAATGTATTATAGTACGTTAAGAAATAATGTATTCTGATTGAGCTTTCGTTCTGATTCGAATGATTTCAAGATCGTTCTTGTGACATTAATAAATTGAATACATCCTGACTTCGCAATTCTCTTTAGATGCATTTTTTAGTAACATTCCATAAATCAGCAACCAAGGCAGACATGTGGACAGCTTTTTCATAAGTGATGTTTTTTTCTGATCTTTTCAATGGAATGCCTAAAAAGATGGTTTCGGTTTAAATTACAATCCTGATTGAATATCACAAAGCCATTCGCCCCTTCGACTGCTGACAATCCCCTGAGCACTTCGTCTACATTGATGTCATTGATCGGTTACTATTTGAATAATGTGAGAAGTTACCATTTCAAAAATAAAAATTTATAAATAATAATTACATAAATGAAGTCACAAAGATCTAAATACATCGCATTAAAGTAACTAAGAATAAAAGTAATGAATGATTACCTCTCTGGCAGTAGCTCGATGATGAGGATCCAAAACAAAGATCTGTCCCAGAAACACTCTAACATCCTTATCCTAACTATTAATAGTGTACTCATTATTTCTTATCTTTGAAAACAGTTCCTTTTCTGTTGAACCCTTGTATGGGAAGCTACCTTGAAGTAAACCAACAAAAAGCACCCCCAATGCCCATATGTCAGTTGTCCTTCCATCATACTTCTGCTTTGTGACTACTTCAGGTGACATATAGCTTGGAGTACCACAATGACAAGTGATGCTATTGTATATAGTGCTAAACCCAAAATCGATGAGTTTAATTTTCTTATTGGTTATCAGAATATTCTCAAGTTTGATGTCTCTATGACATATATTCTTCTCATGTATGTAGACTAGGATCTTCAATAATTGATGGATGATATTGAATGCATAATCTTTTGATAAGGCTCTGTGTTATTTAACCAAAGTAAAGAGACTCTCGCTTCCACAGTACTCCAATACTAAATTTATGGTGCTTCCACAATGATAAACATCCAATAATTTAACAATCTGCTCGTGATTCAAGGCTTTCAATGCACTGATTTCTTTTACGAGATTATTGAGTCGCTCGCCTTTTAAGAATAACTTTTCATAGACTTTTATTGCTACTTTCAAACCCTGCTTATTAGTTCCTAGTCTTACTGTAGCATAACTTCCCTTACCTATTGACTGTCCAATTGAGTAAGTAGTCCCATCACATGTTGGAGGTATCAATTTTAACAAATTATCATTCATCAAATTTTCAACAGTGCTAACATAAGTTCTTAACCTGATTTTATGCAGTCCATCCACTTTTGTAGTCAAAGGTTCTCTTGAACTAATGTGTTAATCCATTTGTAATGGCTACAATAATTTTGGTGTTGTCTTCCTAAACAGTTTGCGAGTCTGTGTTGGCGTTTCCGAAGTGTGTTGATTCTCTTTATTATCCAAAGATTTCAGCTTGGGTCTCCGATATTGCATATGTTCGTTAAAAATTTATATATAGGTTTATTAATTTATTTGGCGCAATTGATGTGTAAATTGTCTGTCCTTCCCTTCCATCATCTTTCAGAAACTACTTTGAAATTAATGGCCCATCTCAAAATTATAAACTATTCCATCAGTAAGATTTCTCTAACTAACCACATTAATAATAAATTAATGTCTAAAGAACAAAACAAATTCAAACATATCCTCCTCGTCCCCAACATCGTCTCAGATCAAGCCTTCTTGCAAAGACACAAAACATTCCAGACTTATGTGAAAAAAGCACATTCGGATCTCTATTATCTGTAACTGAAGAAGATCGGAGGGTTGAGAAAATCCATTGCTGAAAAGGCTGATTATGGCTAAGTTCTACAACAGATTAAAAGTAACAGACTGCAGAATGAGTATCTGAATCAACAGAAGAAGAACCAAGGGTTTATGTACAATAATTAACTATGGTCAGATAAGTACTACAATCAAATCTATCAGATGACTCGTCTGTCTCAACTCTCAGAAGTTCTTAGCAAACAGAAAACTAAGGGAAGAGATTAACTCATCAAGGATTTCGAAATCTATTTTAATAAACATGTTCATCCTGCCAATGAAGAATTCGCTGAAATATAGAAGGTTCTACCCATTTCAACCTGCACTACCAAAAGTAGTTCAAGAATCAATTCCTAAAAATTCATATTGGCTACTGAAAGACGGTTAAATTCTAAGCAAGACACCCAAGATCATGAAACTAATAGGATCAAATCTTTATCCCCTTCATTTCACAAGACAGTCAACGACAAATTATTAACTCTCATTGATGAAGCGAACAATTTACACAACCAAAATCTTGAAACTATTAAGTATGTTTTATTTAAGATCTCTAAATAGAAAAACCAGGCAATTCTAAACTGAACAATCCTCTTCTCGAAAAATAATGCATTCGCAGATCTAAAGAAGAAATGAACACATCAATATTCAAATCACTATGAGAAACAATTAAATACATTTTAAAAATAAATTTGTATAAGAAAGATTTTAGAAGGAAATAGAAAAATTATCTGCTTAGAACCTTTGAGATTTATTTATAATCATATTTTGATTAATCCTTATCCCTATATAATTGTGATTTGTTTATAGATAGGTTCCTTGTATTATTCAAATGATAGCTGCCTGGTCAATGATTCGGTTTGATCATCTGTCCTCTTGCTTTGGGATTTATACAAATGAAATGCGGAATGCTGACTTATTTGGATGTCCTTTGACTTTTGCCACAAATTCAACCTCTTTAGGATCAGCTATTTCACTCTGCTGATCAACTTTTTGATTCTGGACAATACACTAGATATTGGACTAAATGGAAAATTTCTTTTGATTGTTGATTTTCTTACTAAGATGATTTAGTAAAGACTGTGAAGTATCTGTGGCCCGTTCGGAATCTCCATAATTAGAGAACCAGATAATCTTTTTAACAAGTCACGAACCTTTAAATAGATAGAAGCACATACTTATGTAATTGTATTCTCACTTAATTTAGTCTCAATTAACTAACATAAAAGCTTCTAGAACTCCAAGTCAATCTAACTGACTCTTTGATTCAAGCTTTGGTTCTCGCCACTCTAATCAGTTATTTAACCCTTAGGTGAATCACTCTTTAAATTATTTAAATGTTCTGTGCTTTCAATCATCATTTCCATATCAATAACAGTGTCACCTTTGGCTTGCATAATAATATAAATATTATTTAATCAACTTCAAATAGAAGCTATTAGAACTTCCTTAACAATAAATAAGTAATTATCTATATTTAAAAATATATATACTTATTCGAATGCGATTAGTGTGTAAGTTCCCACTAAATTTGATTCAATTTGACACATCAAATGCGATTACATCAAATTCATCCCATTTAAAAAACCACTCACCCCTCTATTTCCTGTTTGAGTATTCCATGCATCATTAATCATAATAGCTTATATAATCAATTTATAATAAATTTTAATTTAATGAAATCTTTTGCAGCACCAATTTAAATGAGATGTCTTGCATCTCTCAGTCTTTGAAATGTTAAGATCTTAAGATTGGATTAATTTCTACAATTTAACTATCGAGTAATTTCTAAAAAGAATCTGTAATGTTGGTTCATGTTCTTTTATATCTATTTAGCTTCCTCCCATATGATAAATAGGAGAAATACTATTATAGTAAGTGCATATAATGTGTAAATATTTATAATGGACACTAAAAAACTAAGAAACTCTTATCGTATGAATTTAAAGTTTATCTTAATTATGATTCATTGCTAATTGAAAATAAGCAATAATTCATTTTACTATATGAAAATTTTTGAGATATTGACAAAGGGTTTATGGTTATTGTTGTTTATCTAAAAATTTGATCATTATTAATTATTAAACTATTCGGTTAAAAAAAATGAATGATGAATCACCTCTTAGATCAAAAAGCATTGAAATCAACCTCACCAAGATGCTTGATAGAATGAAAAACAATTCATTTCATATGTAGAAAGTAAGCGTCGGTGATTTGATCAATAAAAGTCAAACTTAAATAATTGCAAAACCAATTAGGTAATCATAGACTCCTACCCCTGAGGAAAAGGAGAATAAGGAACTTACATTCAAGCCACAAATTAATGTATTATTATCTTGTAATAAGAAATATCCCAATTATTTGAAGCAAACATCATTTTTAGAGAGGAATGAATAATGGCAAAAAAATAAATTGTAAAAGCAATAAGAGACCAGCAAAGCATATTTAGAGGAAAAAGAAAAGATTATAACCAAGGAGTGCTCATTTAAACCGAAAATCACTCCTCATTTATCTGCAAGGATTCCCAGACAATAAAAATAGCAGCCACAACCAAACACAATTACTATCAAATAATAAAATCCTTTATCAGCTGTCTCAATGCAGGCTGTATAATATGAACTAAGAAAGTAGTTGCATGGACTATAATTATGAGCTTATTTTAATTAATTATAATATATTTTCATTTTATTGGTCATGAGTGAAAATACAATACAAGAAACAACTTAGTAAGATATTTCAACAATGCAAATGTATATTGAATCAGTTTCAATTAACATGGAGTCACTGATTGAGACTTATTATGAATACCTTCAATAGAGAGATGGAGATGACTAAGAAAGCTATAATCTATTGAGTGATTTTACATAAAAGACTCTTAATAATTTGGAAGTGTTGCAAAATAGTTGGAATTTAATTAAAGAAAAATTGAATGATAAATATGATTAACCTCCTTTTAATAACTCATTCTAAATCTATTTTGACAATCAGATTTTGGGAGCTATTAAATCATAAGTACTGAATACAATTATCATAGGTAGACAATATAGTTGATACTATCAACAGACATGCTCCTAAATATGAAATTCAAGGAATAGTTTAAATTAATACTTAATAAAGTAGTTCTGAATTAATGGAAATAGAAGAAGGTGATACTTGATAAGTTTAAAATGTTAAATTAAAAAGTATAATGTTTATTTTGTTCAACTATTATCAGTATTATCTTTTGGTTGAATTCGATATTCCTTCCTGCTCTTCATATGTCTACTGATTACAGTGTTATTTAGATATTTCAACAATTTTTTCATCTTCAATTGAGTTCTTTTTATAGTCAGAGTTCGTTATCCATTCTTTTTGGCAACGAAAAATTGTAAATAATCTCAGTTTTCCCATGCTATTTTATAATATGTTATTAAAAACTAAAATGAGCTATCCATTCAGAAATAATTTAATAAGCAAGGTAAACATCCTATTGATTATATAGAGCTTATCCTTGGTTTAGTGTATAATTTTCAATTTGAGACACATTTTATCATTCAAAAAGAATACATCCCTATATTTTAAGAAATTAGTTCATTACTAATTTTCGACGACTTAAAAATTAAATTAAAGAAAGCAATCAGGAGAGTTCTTAAGAGATTAATAATTCTTCTTAATAATCTTGATTTTAAAGATTTATTATTATTATTAATTTATACTATTTTCACTTCTTTTTTTTTGTATAAATTTTGTTCATTATTAAAATAAAATACAACTTTTAATAATTGAGATAAGTATATTATAATTAATTCAACGTATCTCTTGTTTGAGTCTAGATTTAAACTAAGGGAAAAGTATTCAATATAATAATAAGAAAATTGTGTGAGCATTATAAATTTAAATAATTCATTTTTTTTCTTTCTCCAAACATAACAACAAGTCTTTATACAAATAGTTGATGGCATATTTAATTTATTCGTCATCAGATTCTCTATCATCATCAGATTTCTTAATATAATTTTAGTTTTTACATGTTTTTATAGGATTGATTAATATTCTTAAGGAATATTTAAATCTTTATCCTCATAGCAGATAAATTACCTTTAAGATTTATTTTTTTTCAAATTAATCATTGTCTTTTAGTTATTATCATTAATACCTATTTAGGCTTCTTATGTATTGGTCCTCTTCTCCTAATTGGAGTTTATTGGGCACTAGGAAAAGGGTACTCACTCATAGATACATTCTATTATAATGAGTATAAATAAATTATATAAAGGCAGACATAGATAAAAGAATTTTGTGGTGAATACCTCTTAACAAGTGACAGACAAGTCTTCTCTTTGCTTTTGCCTATCAGAGTTCCTAGTTTTCATTTTTATTAAATATTTTAATCTGTAGATCACTAATATAGTTAGCACAACAATCACAATAATAATAATCAATTTTTTTATTTCTTTCCAAAAAATATTCTTTTTCCTTTTTCAAGTGTTCATTTATTTTGATCATTTAACTCATAAGCAACATATGATGCTTTGTAATTGAGTAAATTTCTCAATTAACATACTTTTAATAAAATAACTACATGGAAACAAGAAACCTATCTAATTGTTTTTTTATTAAATAAATAATATATCCAGAGATAGATTATCATCAAACCCAACTCAATTATTACTTTAATGTAATTCTACAAGAAACCTTAGAGTTTTGGATTTATATGAAAAAAGCAAATTTTATAATAAAAATTTAATATAAATTTTTCTCATACAATTTGAATTACATTAATGAGAAAATTTATTTCTGTTTTCTTAAGAAACTAGAATCATTTTAATTCTAACAGAATTACTTTTGATTATTTAAATGGATCTCTTAAATGCAGATATTATTGAAATGTTGTTACAAATTTTAATAAGAATTAAAAGTGTAAATTCATTTATTAAGAGAATTCTTTTATTTAACTATTAATTCGGCATGGTAATCATATGAATTATGAAATGTATTAATTTATTATTAAAAAATAATGCTTAATTACAAGCGAGAAATTTTCAGAATTAATATTAGGCAATAAAAGCATAAGGAAATTTTTCTTTAGAAAAGAATTGTCTCTCAATAAAAGGAACAGGAATAGAACTTTGAAAAACTAATAGAGGCGATGGATAATGCAAAAATTATAACTTTAAGAAATTTAGATCAATTAAATGGCTATTTATAATACTTTGCTTAAAAAAAATTAACAATTGATTAAATTTTATTGGTTGAACATAATGCCGATACTTTAATGACAATTTTAACAAATCATATCGTTTATAATGTGAATGAACTTACAAAAGAAATATTAACTCTATTAGTAAATCTAGCCCAATTTTCAGAGAAGATTTCCATTAATTTGTTAAAAAGTAGCTTTGTTAACTGTAATATAATTCAAATATTATCAAGTTTTATTTAAAATAGGATAGAAGTGATTGTAACTCTTGAATTGTTGATGAATTTATGGGGAAATTCTAACAGTCATTAAATATATGATTAAAATCTCATATTAACAATTGAAATATATCTAGATTGTTGCATTTCGATAAATGATAATATAAGCATTCATTTAATTTCAAAGTGTTTAAAGAATTATCTTCAAAACATATGCGATGAAAATAATTTCGAATATGAATATTTAATAAATATAGTAAGAAAACTACTAAACTATGGAGTTCAGAAGAGTGTTGATTTTTTAGATGTCTAAATAGAGGCATATTGCTCAATAGTTCAACTATTTAATCATAATTTTGTAATCCAGGATCTGAATATGATTTTAAGCCTTTTAGATTAGTGTTTAAAGAAACCAGAATTAATAGAAATGATTACAAGAATATTTTCATATTTCAGCATAAATGAGCCAGATAGCTTTTATGAGAAATTGATTATGTCTGTGATTCAGTTTAGTAAACATATAATTAGATCTTCCCTTAATGAGCAAATTCCTTGCATTCTAAATTTATGCAGTATAATTTTCCATTAACAATGTGAGAAGAACTACAATATTTTATTGCCTTATTATAATGATTCAGTTATCATAATGGAGATTATAAGACTTTAGGAGGATGGTTAGCCAAGAAAGATAAGGGAGGCTGCAATAAGATGTATTAAAATATTGATTGAAAACTCGAATGAACATTAACTTCAGCTCTTAATTTATGGTAAAATACACTTAAAATTGATGGATGTGCTTAATGATTTTTCTCTTAATTCAAGTTCCATACTATTTACTTTAATTTCTTTGAATAATCTAATAAAAATATAAAGAAATAAATATCCTGAATTTTTAGAACTTTAAAATCTTATACATTTAACACAATATAAAAACAAGGATATTTAAAAAATAGCTTATGAAATAATACAATAAGTTGAAGAAAGTAATCACAATTGTATGAGTAATATATTACTATGAATTATATAAATAAATCATTTTTGTTCTTGTTGAAAATATTTGACCATAACCTTAGCAGTAGTCTCATCATCCTCTAAATGATAAGGATACCCCAATTTCATTTATCCAGAGTCTGCCTTTTTTTGTTTGTATTAATCCATGAATCTAGATCTGGCTCCTCCTTATGAACCTAAGGATTCTCGACTAAAAGGATTATTTGAGTGATGACTTTAGATCTAAACTTATGAAACTTCTTGAATTTAAGTCAATTTCTATTTCGGTATAAATAGATCTGCTGTGAGCATTTGTTAAGTTGGTTAGTCTTCTTAAGAAGGAAATTGATTTTAGACTATGACAGCTTGTTGGGGAGGTTATTTTGTTATTACTTTTTGGTTTAGATAATTAATAGATTGTCTGTATAGTTTGTTAGGCTGTTGTGGTCTCAAATTGTGTAAAGAATGGCCTTTATAACTAGAATATCAGTATGTTATTTACTTGTTACTATGTTAATAAGGTGTAACATGATCTATACTTTTAGTTTATAAGAGTGTAGTTTTATAATGTTCAATTTATTTATTGCTAGAGTATTCATCATAATTCTATTGCATATTTAGTATTTTATCCTATTTCATAGTTCTAAGGGATCTAGATATATGCATCGTAGTGCCAACTTGATCTTCTTTAACAGTGGAAATAAAATCACTCCTTTTATGCTGGTTATAATTAATAGAAACAAAGTACCTCTTTTTCTTTGAATCTTTATCTCGAAAGATCTCCAACTACTTCATAACCATCAATATATTGGTTATTTTGATTATTTAGGTTGATTGGATGCTGTTCCCAAGGGTAGTCACTCCTATGACCATCATATAAACATGGGTAAATGTTAAATGTATGATTATCCAACCATTTTTCTTTTTGCTCATCTTTCCAACTTGGTCTAATCAACATTTTCAAGTCTTTATTCTTGAAAACCATAGATACATATGAATTACTTAAACATCCAATTGTTCACTAACCTTTTTTAGTTCTTAATTCACCCTTTCAACTTCAGTTCTCTAACTTAAACCAAATCTCATAGGCTCACTTTGTTTTGATAAGTCTTTTGGCTTCAACCATTTTTCATGATTTTTAGTTGGAAGGTTTGGATCAAACTCGCCTGTTGCTAAATGAGCAGACCTGAATTCTTGTTATGCAGTTTGAGCTCTATTTTTTGCTACTTGGAATCTATTATTATTAAATGTTATAAATTACGTTTTCAGATAGATTCCACCCAGCTTTTCCATCTCTTTGTCTTTTTCTCTATCTCGAAATGAATGCTTGCTTGTGGGCAGTAATGGGTATGATCCATTTTTCATACTTTCTACATATTATTTAGACATCATTGTTTCTTAAAATGTCTCAATTCTTTATGAGGCACGAGCCTTCAATTATACAGATTATATATTTCGTTTTTAATCTGATTACTCTTTAGCTTACTATCTTCATTTATTAATTTATTATACTTATCTTTTTCCTCCTTTTCTTTTTGCAGTTACTACTTTTACTTAAAGAAGTTATTAAGTGACATTTACTATAATTATATTTTTATATTTAATTAAATTCTTACAATTTATAGAAAATAACTGATGCAAATACTTTCAACTCTGACTTACATCCAATCATTCTAGTATTCCCAACAATTAATGCCAAATCAAACACTAAGTTCCCCCATTTTGTATTTAAGATTAAACATGTTTTCAGTTATAAATTTCACTTTACGAAAACATTTAAGCGACAATGAAAACTTCTTTATCATAATCTTAATAATAGAATTAGCAACCTCAAAAGGAATTAAGATTCTAAGCAAGCCTTCAAAAAATACGTTTCAAGTAAATCAATTTAAATGTCATTAACAAAAAGTAGTGATATCAAATGAAATATTATCTTATGAAACCATTAATTTAACACGAGACTTAAATTAAAGCTGAAGAAACTGTGTAGTCAAACTGAAAGATTGGAAATCTGAAATAATCTATGAGGGATGCTGTAAACTTTTGTTATAATTATTAGTAAAATTAATATATGAAAAATTATGAAAAAGGCAAATTTTAATGAAATATCTCTATATTAGCTTTTAAGAAAGAATGATGATAAAATAAAATTATGCATTTAAATTCTTTTAAAAACGTATTATCTATCTGATCATTGTTTGCTTATCTCAAAAATAGTGTTATAATGTATTGAGATTTAAATTATGAATAAACAGCTTGAGCTGACATCAAATTTTAGAAAAGGAAAAGGATAAAATAATTATTATTATTTAGATTATAATGAAATTATTGTATAATTATAAGATCATTAACTTACTAATCCAGCTGGCATAGAGCTTGTGATTGTTGACAAGGGTTAGAATCCTAATTCCTCTGGTGGAATGCCAAATTCTACTAATTTTGCCTCGTATACTCTGATAGAATCATTGTATGCTTTAGTTGCATGGTGAATAGAATATCTAAGATTTTTGATTAATTAATTTTTAGCTCTAAAAATAATAATAATATTGAATACTCAATAGATTCCTTGATTTTAATAGTTAATTGCTGGTACATTTGTGGATCCATATTAGTTCTGTCAACAATAGTTTTTAATTAAACTTCCTAATAATATTATAATGTTTCTACCTTTTCTTCCAAACCATCTTACATATTTTATAATTGTTAACTCAACACATTATTTTACAAATCTGTGTGTTTTTTAACTTCCATAGCAATTCTTTCAAATTTTTCTTCTAGCTCTTATTTTTCTCGTAATAATTTGTCATACTTAAAATTTAAATCATTGCTATTATGTTTTAATTCTGCATATTTTTCCGTTAAAGTGGTATTTTTTGATTGCAAATTTTACAAAGACATTTTATGCTAAAAATATTGTTAAACAATGATACTTTTGAAAATTATTTAAGAGCATTTTTGAGGATATCTCTCTCTTCAGTAGCTTATTTCAAGGGGATTCTAATGTTATTGTTGGCAGCCTTCATGTCAGCAATGATTTTGCTATTCTTTTATAATTTAGCATTGATGCTTGCTATTTCTTCTTTTTAATTTTTGATGAGTTCCAAGTTCTCTCTTGTAATAGTATTATAATATTGTTTGAGTTCAGCAAATGCAGTTTCATGGTTATTAATCAATTCATTTATATGAAGATTTTTTCTTTCTTCGAGTTCATGGATTTCTACCTTAAGTCTTAGCTCTAATTCTTCTTTTAGTTTTTGAAGTCTCATTTTATATTTCTCTTCCATATTTTTCAAAGTCTCATCAAAAACCTATTTTGATTTATCAAGAGTTTTTTTATTATTTTTTTCTTCTTTTTCAATTGCATGGATATATGAATTTTCATATTCCTCTTATAATTTTTTTAAATGTGTTTTTTATCTTTTTTATTCATCACTTCTCTTAGAAAAATGATCATTCTCTAAATTATGTGCTTCCTTTCCATCTTTTTCAATTTCATCATTTGCTTTTTCTTATTCGTACTCAAGATGTTTAACCTAAATTAATTGATAGTTATACTTTTTATAAATAACTTTTTAATTGGATTCTATGAGTTTCCTCCAATTACTCAGCCTCAGTTTCTTTGTTTACTATTTTGATATTTAGCTCTTAAATTTCTGATAAGCAATTTGAGAAAAAATTTTGAACCATATCCCGATCCATTTGGATATAATTTCTCTTTTACTTCAATTCAGTCAACTTATCTCTAAATATTTGTAAATTCTATGTAAGCTCTTAAGCAGTCATCTTGGTAAATTCATCTTCTGGTTCTTATGGTGCTTTCTTAGGTTTCGGCTTAGGAGGCATGAATAATAATTAAACAAATAAATAATTTAGAAAAAGTTTTGTTTTTTTTACATGAGAATTTTATGATTTAAAAATATATAACGTTTTATCAAATGAGATAAAGAAATATCATTGATCCAAATTTGTGTATATTCCTAGAATTCAAATAATTATTGAAAAAAATAAGTGATAGCTATGAATAAAAAATAATTACTTTATATATTATAAACCCATAGAATAAACTGGCTCAGTCGAAATCTACCTATCAAACGCTATTTATAAATATCGATTAACAAATATGAGCCAAATCATTGATCATTATAAATAAAACTTAAAATAAATAAATTTTATATTTTTTTATGATTCCAAAATGTTAAAATGCCTATGATTACAATGACTTCAAAAACAATAATGGATATCCATAAATATTAACACATCACATATCTCCGATAAAGAATATATTGGCACCAAGTAGGTAGGAAATACTAATTGATATCCTATAAAGCAAATTTAATGGTTTTATCAAAGAAGTTGAATTGGCTAAATAAAAGATTATAAAGGTTATTAAAGACTGTTCAGAAAATAATATATTTACTATATAAGACAAGCCAATTAATTTTGATGATTACATGAATTTTATAGAAATCAACACCAAGAATTATTTGCATGAGATAAAAAACCATCATAAACTTACAATTAATTTGATAACGCAAGAGAGTTCAGAAATAACACATTAATCGTCTTCTTTTGATATGTAACAAATATGTGATAAATGCTAAGTGATGGTTGAGAAAGACTTAGTATAATTGGATTGTTTTCATTGCTATCATTAGAAATGTGTAGGGGATTACATTAAGATTTAAATTAACAATAGTTGCAAGACCTTAAGATGCTTAAATTGCTAATAGAAAGTTAAAACTTCAATACTAAGAAAATTTGTTCCCTTTTAGTTAATAGATAAAATGTTTAAGGAATAGTTGAAATCCATAAAAAACAGCTTTTTGCCTAATCAAATTTTCTGTTGCAAAAAACCTGGATGCAATTACTTTTGCATACGTCAACTTGGAATAAAAGGATTATTTAGATGTCAGATTTGTGAAAGCCTTATAAATAACTGAATATATATATATATATATAACTAAATAATATCAAGCATTTGTTAATTCAACAACTAATTCACTTCTTCTATCTATCAAGACATTAATATCTAAAACATTAGCGGCCCTATAATTGAATTATAGCCTTTGTTTATAATAAAGAATGTAATAAATAGCCATTGGCGATATCATTAGCGTTAATATTTTCATGATAAACATTACAAATATCTAATTATTATTAATATTGAATTCTTACACTAATAATAGATGAGGCCTCGTAATATGATTTACAATCATCAAGAGTATAGGCACTCATGTTCGCCCAATAATCCCATCCAAATTAAATTAGACCAGATACCAAATCGCAGCCCAAAAAGATTTTAATTTCTAATGCTTGTTCTTCCATTTTATTTTAATCGGCAGGCTTTAATTCTTATTTTGATATTTATAGTTAATCCAGAGCATAAAATCCAAAACCACATGCAAATAGAGTTAAAATCACTGTAGTTCCAGATAAATAAACCAAATCCATTTTTAAGCAATAATAACTTAATATTTATCTAATAAATTACTCGTATGCTTCATTTGATATAATTGCAGTCCAAAACCATTCAATGAAAACAAAGCCACATACGATCTTTAAAAAGACTTCTAATTTATCTAAAAAATCTTTTTCAAATCCAATTTCTGCAAGCAAAGTACATAATAAAATTTCATTCAAAATTCTTAGACATCTAATAGTTGAAATCACAAAATCAGATCCTAAAGTCTTATTGCCAATTTACCCCAAAATATAAAATAGGCACTAAGCAATATTAATTAACTCATAGAGATGCCATAAATAATTTTATTCAATTTCGATAACAATTTATTGCGATCTCTAAATATAATTCGGAATCCATTTATAGCCATGATTGAAGCTGTAGTCGATATGGCCACTTCCAGAAATGCTTCAATGCAATTCGCACCATCACATTAAAATAATGTTGCCATTGTATTTTATTAGTTTTATAATTCAATTATTATAGCACTTTGCAATTTCAAAATTAAAATTATCTGACTTCTTCATAATGTAGATGAGAGTAGTTGCTTTAATATTAAGCTTTTTACATAGAGCTTTTAGTTTTATGTGTTTATTAACCCTTCTAGAATGTTAAGAAGCGATGAATTGATAAATTATCAGGTAAACTATTTTGGCAAAAATGAATGATTTTCAAAAATGAAAAGTATTGAACTAAATAGAGTAGTTGTAAATAAGGATTTAACAGAGTAAAGTTAAATCATAAGTGGATTATCTTCATAATAAATTAGTTTTAATTTTTATCTTAAATGTCTTACATAGCTTTGTCAAGCTTGAAGATAAAATTTATAAATGGGTCAACATGATATTGAAATTTGGTTATTTAGGAATTCATTTATAAAAAAAATGAGTTAGTTAGTAAAACTTTGAGAAGCGATTCTATAATTGTTTAATTATATTCTCAATATTATCATTAAAATTTGTTTATCTAATTTACTTAACTATCAAAATATCAAATCACCAATAGGAACTTTAAATTAAAAAAGGGATTAGAAATAAAAATTAATTTTTATTATTTTCTTAAATTAAAAATATTAATATTTTTTGACTAATAAATTTAAAAAGATATAAGATATCCAAATCAAACTCTTTCAGCTCCTTTTATCAATACTTATTTCCAAAGAATGCAATCTTTATAAATTTTATAACAGAAACAAAAAGGATATTTTATTTTTTAATTTACATTAAAATATTTTGAAAGTTTTAAATAAATCATCAATAATTGGGTAGTGATTATAGACACAGCATCTAGTTATTAAAATCAATCCAAATATTAAATATGAAATTATTAATTGCTATAGATTAAGTACAATTTCACATTATCAGTGTTATGTTGTAATGAACTGATTAAAAGTAGAAAAAATTAATGGACAATAATTATAGAATGGATGTTCATTGATTTGAAAGAAAAGTAAATCTTTCTGAATGAACAACAAAGGTTGTTAATTAAAAGAGAGAACAAGGATTCTTAGAATCTATAAATTTCCAATAAAGTGTGAGTATATAAGAGTATAAAAAATGGTTATCATTAATATAATAATTTATTAAATATGGATCCAAGGTCTTAAAATAATTCTGAGAATTAAATTCACGGTGATGACAACGAAGACTAACGTTCAGGAGATGAAGCAGTAATTAATATATTAACTTTAAGGAAAAGTTAAATAATTTCAAGCACAATATTAATGAAGGTGGTGAAGTGATCCATGAAAATGTCAAAAGAATTGACATGAAAAAAACATTGAATGATACTACCTTCATTTTGACTTGCTTAAAAAATCATTTTGTTTTTTACAATCTAAGTGAAGCAGAACTGTAAATTTATTTGTTATTTTTAAAGTGAAAATATCGTAAACAAGATGTTCTATTGTGAAGCTGCTGCATAAACCTATATCTTCAAATAATAAGATCATGCAACATGCTTTTTTATATTATAGAGAGGAAGTTTGGAAGTTATAGTTAATGAAAAAGTAAATTTTGTGATTCAAAAATTTTAAGGCCAAAAGAGAATTAAAAACAGGAGATGGATTTGGAGAGTTGGCTCTATTATATAATGCTCCTCGTTCTGCATCAGTAAAATGCTTCGAGAATTGTAATCTATGGGGAATCGATAGAAATACATTCAGAAGGGCTGTTGAAGAGATGATTACAAAGGAATACGAGGAAAACAGAAAGTTTATGGAAGTAGTTAGATTTTTTCGTATTTTCTTAATAATAAAATTAGATAATTTAACAAATGAGTAGAAGGATGCAATTGCTGCAGTTTTAATTGTTCAGAAATTTTATAAAAATTAAATCATTGTAAATGAAGGCGATCCTGGATCCTCATTTTATATTATCAAAGAAGTATATTGATTTAAAGTAAATTTTTAGGGAACTGTCTCTGTTCTTAAAGGAAACAAAGAAGTCAGAAAACTATACAAGGGAGACTCCTTTGGTGAATAGGCTCTGTATTATAACACTGTGAGACAAATGACAGTCAGAGCAGAGGATGATGTGAAATGTTTGGCATTAGGAAGAGACTCTTTAACTAAAATTTTGGGAGATTAGGTTCATGTAGTCACATTTAGAAATTTGTAAAAATGGGCCTTCGAGAAGAATGCCTTATTAAGCAAATTAACAAAAGCATAAATTGACAAAGTGTTGGATGTTATGAAAATATCTTCATGCAAGGCTGGTGATGTGATTCTTAAGAAGGGAACATAAGCAAATCAAAAGATTATCGTTATTATCGAGGGAAGTTTGAAAAAGAGTAAATCTGGAATTACAGTTGCAACAAAAGCTTAAGCTTGGGGAGAAGAGTATTTCTTATAAACCAATAAGGCTAAGATGTATAATAAATAAGCAATTATTTAGTTTAGATGATGATATAGTTATGGAAACTGATGGAGTAATAGCAGAAATTACTGCTGACAATTTTATAGATTGTATCTAAGGTGAATTGGAAGAAGTCATAAAGAAGAACGAGAAAATACTTGAAAAGAAATTACAAAAGTCAGATCAAACGAAAAAGAAAGAAGCTTAGAACATTAAAAAATCAGAGTTAATTCATATTAAAACAATCGCTTATGGTCAATTTGGTCCAGTCTACTTAGTTAAGGCTAAATACAACTAACAATTATATGTCTTAAAAGCATTTAACAAAAATCAGATTAATGAATAAACTCTTGAAAAGTACTTTTAATTAATAAATAATTTAGATATTTACAATAAGAAAAGTAAGTTTTAGAAATTGTCAATTTCCCATTCATCATCTCGTTTATGAAAACATTTAAGGATACATTAGATGTGTACTTCCTACTTGAATATGTTCGAGGAATGGAATTATTTGATGTGATTAGAGATATAGGTAATTTCAAATATTATCTTTAGGTCTCTTATCGACATACGATTCTCAATTTTATGTTGCTTCCATGATTCTAATCACGGAATATCTGCATCATTAAAACATCATTTATAGAGACATCAAACCTGAAAATTTCATGGTTGATGACAAAGGATTCCTAAAATTGATAGATCTTGGAACTGCAAAAATAATAAAAGGAAAATAAGGAATTATTCGTACATATACAATTATAGGAACTCCCCATTGTATTATTATAATATAATCACTTTTATTAGATATGGCACCAGAAATCATATGTGGTAAAGGATACAATTGTTTGGTTGATTTATGGTCTATTGGTATATGTCTTTATGAATTCATGTGTGGAATGGTACCTTTTGGAGAAGAAGCAGAAGATCCCTATGAAATATATGAAGAAATCATCAAGAAGGATATTACATATCCTAATTATCTGAAGGATAAAAAGGCCAAGAAGCTTATGGATCAGTAAAATTAATTTAAAATTGATTATTAGATTGTTATCCAGAGTTCCTGAAGTGAGATTAGGTGGTTCTTATGCAAGTTTGAAAGGAAATCCTTGGTTTGAAAATTTCGATTGGGTAAATTACACAATAATAATTCCTCTAGGAAAAACTATTGGAAAAAGAGATTAAAACACCTTATTTGCCACCAGCAGACAAATTACTACCAGAAATCGAAATAAAATCTCTTGAATAAAATAGTAGAATGATTGAGGATGAAATAAAAGTAATTAATAAAATATATTTTAAAGTAAGAGCAATCTGTCAGGTAAATTGATGGTAATAATTAAGGAGATCAAGGATGGGAAAAAGATTTTTGATAATTTAAAATTAATATTGGAAAACCACATTTATCTATTAATAAAACTCTTTCCACTTTGTACGAAAATATATGATTCATGATCACCAATCTGATTTATTCCTTTACAAATCTTGCTCAATCATCTACTTTCCTTCTTCTGTTACTTCCAATTATGCAATCAATTTTATTTTCTTGCCACCTTGCTCTGGAGTATATGTTTAAGTCTCAATTTTCTTTATTGACACATATTGCTAAAATCACAACGAAATTAACCTTTCTTTGAAGAGTCTCAGCAACTTAAGCTACAGTCTTTGTTGCTTCTCCCAAACCATGTAAATCAACTTTTCCAAATTTTTTCAAGAAGATTTTCGATAAGAAGATAAATTGACCTGGTGATTTCTTTAAAGAAATATTCAAAACAGCATTTTCTGGATCCAAAGGTTGCTTTTGCTAATTCATTATTAATATGTTTAAATATATATTTAAAATGAATTGTAATATATACATATTATTATATATATCGCTAAAAAACTCTATAACATTGCTTAAACACTAAAATGAGGATCTTTAGGTAATAAAGCCTAAATAATCATATTCTATAACCTCAATAAATCCAGTTATATTATTATTAACGAATTGATTTTTCTAAAGAAACAGAATACCATGTTGTTTGGGAACATTGAAAATATGCTATTTAATATGAATATTCAATTGGCACTATTGTGGAATATATTTATGTTGTAAACTAATTAAGAAATTTAATTTATTATATATTTTGGATGAATAGACATAACTAAATGGCAATTAGAGCGTCTTTAAAAAAAGCTCTGTTTAATGACAAGAAAAGAAATGCAGGTTTGAACTAAGGCCGCTCAAATTAATCTCCTTCTATTCCCAACAATTAACCTAGAGCTATAAATTAATAATTTAGACATTTTAGCGATGTTTATGAATATGGGAATGAATAAATAGGTAAAACAATAAGTTATTGCAAGGCGAGGGAGCCCATGGAATTGTTAAGAAATACTATAAAAGAGATGCAAATATCAATAATGAAGCTTAAGTCAGAATTGCATATGCTGTGAAAGTATTCAGAACTGGTGATACGGAAGTAATTAATACGATTAGGGAAACATTCCATTTAAATAGAGGGCTTAATGATCTTAATTTTGTTGTTAAGGCACATGACTTATTTATAAATTCAAAAAAGGAGGAGCATCATCTTGTTATGGAGTATTGTCCATATCCTAGTCTAGAACAAAGAATAGGATCGTTTTGCGAAGAAGATATCCAATAAATCACTTTAAATTTGGCTTAATCATTATTTTCTTTGCATTAGCGAGGTGTTTGCCATAGAGATTTAAAACCAGATAATATTCTTATAGGAGATTAACTCACTATCAAACTGATTGATTTTGGAGTCTCCAAAAGATTTTTAGTAAAAGGAAAAATAACGAAAAAAATAGATATGTGGACTAGAACTGGTTCATTATTTTATCAAGCACCAGAAATATTTATGGGAGGTGGATATGATGAGAAAAGTATAACAAATATACTAATATTATAGTTGATATATGGTCAGCTGGCATAATCTTGTATCAACTATTATTTGGGTAATTGCCTTTTCAATCAGAAACCATCTTAGATACAATTGAAATGATTACTGACTCAAAATTGAACTCTATATTCCTCAGTCAGCTAAATCCTCTAATTTAAGATTTACTCAAAAGATTGTTGGAAAAGGATCCCAATAAGAGACTATCAGCAGAAGGTATACGACTTATTTTTATTCTTAGGGTTTGTTTTGCATCCATGGTTACATACCACTCAATAAAAAAAATCAAATAAGAGTTTTGACGATTGTGATATCATAGAAACAAGAAATAATGAAAACATATTACAGACTTCTCAGATTACCATCTAAAGATAGAATTATAGATATTAGAATCAACTAATTGTACCAATCTAAGAAGAAAGGGAATAAAGTTCTTTGAAAAATAGTTGGAATTGTTGGGAGAATCATGTTCACTATGTTCCTCAAGATGGTATAAGAGTTACTAATCTTGATAATGGGTACCAGAATTAGGGTGGCACATCTTAAGAATAAGGAAATGAATAAAAGAGATGTGAGGATTTGACTGGTTTTTAAATTGGATTAGTGAGAACTTATTCAGAGCAATTTGATTAACCATGACTAAATACATCTTCTTATTTTAAAATTAATCTCAATTAATTATTTGTTTTCGGTAGTTCTAAATAAATCTTAAAGTTTTCTCTAGAAATATTTTAAAATAATTTATATAAAATTAGTTGTAAATTTAACGATAGTCATTTTAATTACTACTAGAAATATATAGCACAATACAATTATTCTAAATTCGAATCTTTTCACTTTTTTCCTCATTTATTAGACTTAAATTAAATAAAAATAACACAATAATTAACGATGATCATATAGATAGATATAAACAACAATCAATAATAAATCTTTATGTTAACCCTGCCAGAAGTTTAACTAACTTTCAGTATTTAATTAATTATTTATAAAACTATTCATTATTCATTAAACTATCAGTATAAAATTTATAGGAAGAAAAATAATTCTTCTTGATTTTCTGGAAATTTATTGATAAATTAAGTAACAAATGATTAAATATGTTTAGACTTATATTCATAGAATTTCATTTATTTTTACTTTTACTTTATGACATTGACTTAGTGATAGATTTATAGAAATTTGTATTTTATTAAATAAGCCCAGCCGAATTTTTACGATTAACTGGGGCATAATAATTGCTTTCAAACTAATCATATGTCTGTTGAAAATGATTGGCTCTTGACGATTTTGGGATTGGAGGCTAGGATGTTCTGGTAGCGTAGGACATTAATTAATTGGTAAATCCTTTGTTAGGATTAATTTGAGGTCGTTTAGATTTAACAAAATTCAAGGCCTAATAATAAGTCATCTTCTTCTTCTCTATTAAATAGGCAATTACTATGGCTGCAGAGCGGGAAACACCTGCCATGCAATGAACTTCGCTTCTTATAATAAATTGATGCTACCTAAGACACCACCTATGTTAAATCCTCTTTCTATCCAATCATTGGCAATTTGAAAGTATTACGATATGTTGGTTAATTCAATATCCAATATTTCTATTTTGTGATGAACTATCCCTTCAAATTTTAAGTTCAATCCTGCAGCCACTGTTATGACTGTCCTTATCCCTTTACTTTTAAGGAACTCCTTAACGATAAATATTTTTAATACTAAGTTGAGTGCAGATTCATAGTCTCCTAACCATAAAGCTCCTCGATCGTTGAGAATCAAATTACAATGTTATTACATAAAATTTAATATCATAAAAAAAATGCAGAACATTTCCTTTATATTCAAAAGGAAGAAAGAAACTAAATAATTAATCTTCCATCATGATTGATTTAAAACGATTGAAACAATACTTGATGTTTAGATTCAACTTAAATTGTGCAGCATAAGATTTTAGCATAACAGATGAAATCTAATTCTCAAAATATATGATTCACTCCAGTAATTAACTAAGTCAATCTGATATTAGCTAATAACTATAATAATTATATATTGTTAGCAACAGGCTCTTTATTTACTTATGGAATAATTTCTTTTCGTCAATTTGATTAAAATGTTAGTAATTAATTTTAAAAAATAGAAATTAAATATATTATATGCGGTGAATTATAAATATTATAAAATACTTGGTAAATTTTATATCTTTTGAAATTTAATAAATTAAAATTAAGGATTATTATTNCAATAATTAACGATGATCATATAGATAGATATAAACAACAATCAATAATAAATCTTTATGTTAACCCTGCCAGAAGTTTAACTAACTTTCAGTATTTAATTAATTATTTATAAAACTATTCATTATTCATTAAACTATCAGTATAAAATTTATAGGAAGAAAAATAATTCTTCTTGATTTTCTGGAAATTTATTGATAAATTAAGTAACAAATGATTAAATATGTTTAGACTTATATTCATAGAATTTCATTTATTTTTACTTTTACTTTATGACATTGACTTAGTGATAGATTTATAGAAATTTGTATTTTATTAAATAAGCCCAGCCGAATTTTTACGATTAACTGGGGCATAATAATTGCTTTCAAACTAATCATATGTCTGTTGAAAATGATTGGCTCTTGACGATTTTGGGATTGGAGGCTAGGATGTTCTGGTAGCGTAGGACATTAATTAATTGGTAAATCCTTTGTTAGGATTAATTTGAGGTCGTTTAGATTTAACAAAATTCAAGGCCTAATAATAAGTCATCTTCTTCTTCTCTATTAAATAGGCAATTACTATGGCTGCAGAGCGGGAAACACCTGCCATGCAATGAACTTCGCTTCTTATAATAAATTGATGCTACCTAAGACACCACCTATGTTAAATCCTCTTTCTATCCAATCATTGGCAATTTGAAAGTATTACGATATGTTGGTTAATTCAATATCCAATATTTCTATTTTGTGATGAACTATCCCTTCAAATTTTAAGTTCAATCCTGCAGCCACTGTTATGACTGTCCTTATCCCTTTACTTTTAAGGAACTCCTTAACGATAAATATTTTTAATACTAAGTTGAGTGCAGATTCATAGTCTCCTAACCATAAAGCTCCTCGATCGTTGAGAATCAAATTACAATGTTATTACATAAAATTTAATATCATAAAAAAAATGCAGAACATTTCCTTTATATTCAAAAGGAAGAAAGAAACTAAATAATTAATCTTCCATCATGATTGATTTAAAACGATTGAAACAATACTTGATGTTTAGATTCAACTTAAATTGTGCAGCATAAGATTTTAGCATAACAGATGAAATCTAATTCTCAAAATATATGATTCACTCCAGTAATTAACTAAGTCAATCTGATATTAGCTAATAACTATAATAATTATATATTGTTAGCAACAGGCTCTTTATTTACTTATGGAATAATTTCTTTTCGTCAATTTGATTAAAATGTTAGTAATTAATTTTAAAAAATAGAAATTAAATATATTATATGCGGTGAATTATAAATATTATAAAATACTTGGTAAATTTTATATCTTTTGAAATTTAATAAATTAAAATTAAGGATTATTATTATTGAAGCATATGGGTTGTCATACTACTCTTTTTTATTACTTTTCCTTTATCATTTAATTATAAATGATCATAAATTATGGAATTCACATTTGTTAAAATTGCCACTTAGCTTAAACATTTAAAATAATAAAGCTTCGTTTATGATTCTTCTACTTTATAGTCATAATAATTAATCAGATCATCATTAATTGAATATTATGTGTAAAGTGTCTTCTATCGCTTGTTCCATAAATTTTCCATAGGAATCTAAAGGGAATAGGTAGTTGATAATAAAATGATCTCAAATTAGAAATTAGATCAAAAAACAACTAAAAAAAATAAATGCAATTAAAATCTAAAATATTTATTACAATTTAAAGTTTTGTTAATTATACGAAAGAAAAGAATTATGAATTTTGATGAATCAAAATGTACTCAAATTTTCATTTCATTAGCAATAAAATGTTACCATTCACATTTCTTAATGCCTAATTTCAATGCCTTTTCATATAATTCACTTAGTAATATATCTTTATTTGGATGATTAAACGGCATATCTAGTTTTCTGCTTACAACTAATTAATAAAATTTTTTTTTATCATCTTAGACCTCCTCTACAATGTTGTCTGAAGTTGTCTATCTTGATAATATGCAATTTGTTTTAGGACTTTATATACTATCATTTGATGAGCCATCTTTATTAAATACCATTATTATTTATAGCTTTTTTTATTTCTCTTTAGCCAATGATATTAATTTTTAAACATTAAAAAAAATATGACATTTCGATTCCTTAAATGATTTTGAATTTGTGAATGTTTTCAAATTGGTAATCTCTTTCTGCAAGAGATTACTATCTTCATTTTGTTAAATAATTTTGAATATCGATGATTGAATAGATTCCTACAGAGGATCATATTTAATTGATTTAAATATGAGATTTTTTAGTTGTAGGATTTTCCCATTTATTTCATCGATTTAGTATTTAATCATTTGTTTAGGGTGATATTAGGATTTTGTTCTTTTTTGTAAAAGTTAAATAATATTTGGATTATCTTATTTTTAGATAAGATTTGCATCTAAATTTTTAGAACTATGATGACATGCTGCTATGAGAGATGTTTCAACTCTTGGAGTATAATTGGTTGATGATCTTTGCTTCTGAGATTTAGCATCATTTTCTATTTATTTGATTGTAGGTTTATTTTTTGGAGTTAGATCGTTTTTCATTATACATCTCATTTTGCTGTTGATTTGGGGTTGATTAGTCTAAGTGGGTGTCTTATTATTCTTTGATTAATTATTTGGATTTATTATTTACTCCTTTTTAGGCTGGAATTAAATAGGATGGTGGTTTGCGAGAGTTTGCAGTATCTGTTATAAGCGATTCTTATCAAATTTAACGATTGGTCGCTAATTTTTTGACTAAGCAGGATGATTTATCTAAATGCAATTGTTATTCTGTAGTAAAAGGTTTTATTCATATTTTGAATTATCAAATGGCAATAATATGCTGTCATTAAACTGTTAGGAGGAGTCTGTGATTGATGAAAAAATTCGCTCATATTCTTTTGGTAACTCTTTCTTCTAACTAAAATTTGATATAGTTTTCTGAAAAGTTCTTCTTTCCTCAACCGGGATGTCATTATCAACAGGTTGGAATATTGGATTCATGAATCCTTTCATTTTTAATTATTATTTAATATATCTCAATACTCATACCGATTATATCATAAATTTTAATAATGAGTTTCAGAATTACGTTTGTCAAAGTAATACAATAATATTTAAATTAGATGATTTGATATAACTGTCAACTGTTTAATTGAGATGGAGATGATTAACAATAAATAATAAAAATTATATATATATAGATAATTCAGTTAAGTTTTTTATGTAATCTAGTTTAGAAACATTTTATTTTTTGTTTGAGGTCATAGTTTTCTTAACTTAATAATATAACTTATTCTTAATATTTGTCAGCCTTTTCGCATAATAATTATTTTGAAACCAAATAATCACTTTCCAACATCTGAACATATTCTTTAAGGTTCCTCTAATTAAACTACTATTTCCTTATAATTTTGAGTTAATTTTATAAAAGTTGTAATTAAGCTTTTTGCTCCTTTAACTATTTAGTTGATTAACGAAGACAATCTTCATATTAGATGCACAACTCCGACTTTTCATCTAAGGCTCTTCTTAGATTAGTAGTCACATCTTTATCCTCATAACTATCCTCCAATAACTCAAAAGCTGTTATATTGGTGTCTTCTCTTTAATTTTAATCAGTTGAATGAGCTGTCCATTACAATTGGTAATTTTCAGAAAGAACCTTGTCTTTACATTCACTCTGTGTTTCCAACTAATCTTTCAATTCACTTATTTGATTAAGTAGATCTTTGTTATTTTATGCTAATTTATTATTTTGAAGTTTTAGTGCCGATGCCTATTTTGATATTTAACTTATTTGGATATTTTATTTCTAGTATAAATTGAAATGAATACATTAATTTTAATATCTATGGTATTTTTCTCCTTCTAAAAATGTTCTTTCATTAATTCCATTTGCCTCTACATTTTGATTAACTGTTAGTTTAGTTCTTGGCTTTCGTCTATTAGCTATTAATTAATATTTGTTAACTAATTGATAGTGTTCCTATCGAACATCGATTAATTCTCTTTCATTTCCAACTAGAATAACAGAATTTTATACTTCTCTATCAAGTGAATATACTTTTTCTTCTAAATAATGCAAGGTTTCTAACATTTCTATTTTCTCTTATTGCCCATCATTACTACTTTGTTGGATTTGATCTAATAAGTAAGTGTTCCACTTTCTTTCCTATTCTTATAATTGCTCGAAATGTTTCATCTAGATTGCGTCAATCCTCTAATTTAATTCGTTGATGTGACTATGTTCAGACAGATTACTTACTTTTTGAGTTGCATAATTTCATCATCTTTATTATGCTGTTTAGATCCATGATTGGCCTGAATCATGGCTTCTAACTATTATATTTTCTCATCTTTCTCCATTATTATATCAATAGCACTCTTCTCAAGATCTTAAATCTATAACTACAATTAAGAAATGAATTATTTCATGTTCTTTAACATTTAACTTTTCTAATCCTAATCTAAATGCTCAAATTCTTCTATATATTTGTTATCCATAATAATTATTATTAAAATGAAGCTTTATTTACAAATTTAGTGTTTCCTCTATTCTATCAATCCAGAATAACTGAATAATGTTAAATTAATCTATCATCAACCAAGAATACTCGCGCATCAAAGTTTCTGACTAGATTCAGTTAAGTTTTATATTTTATAACCTAATTTTGCATAATTATAACAAATTAATATTCAAATGACAAGCCTCTCTATCACTAATATATAAAGGTTAAGTAAATAACTGCCATGAAATATATAGAAGATAAAAATGAGATTAGAAAAGACGAAAAATCGAATTTATCAAATTCTTATTAAAGATATACTATTGAAAAGAGTATAATATTCATTCTAGAACAAAAAAAATACAATATGTGATAACTGTATATTTACATGACGTTTTAATTGCAAATTCATAAAAAACGAAAGGAAAATATTTATTTAATAGGCAAACATCCCCTAATTTTAATTTGTCTATTTAAATCTTGATGGTTTTTATCCCAATATGTTGACACTATGAAAAATAGTTCAGATATTTTTTTCATTTCTATTATTATGTTTATTTTTAATTTATGATGAAGGTGATTTTATTAATCCTTTTTATTATAACTTAAATTTATTCTACAGTGATAAAACATTCATTAATTAAATTAACAAGTACTCTTATGTATTTCATACTTTTTCTTAATTTTTTAACTTTTTAACTGATAACTAACTGCTGAGATTTGAAACAAGAATACTCAAAAAAGGTAGAACTAAATGATGAAGTTACCATCGTTCCAGATTTTCAAATCAGGAGAAAGTCAATTCTTGGGAATAAGGAGAATGAGAAAAAAATCAATTGATAGTACAAATTTGATTGATTATTTTATTTGAAATATGGGTTGTTGTATTAGTACTCCATATATGTATCCTGATGGAGGAGTGTACGATGGTGAACTCAAAAATGGTCTTCCTGTATAATATCTCATTAAATTTAGCATGGAAAAGGTAAAATATAGTGGAAAAATGGGGATTTTTTTGAAGGAAATTTTGAGGCTGGTAAGAAGACTGGAAAAGGAATATTTAAATGGAATGATTCATCTTATTATGATGGAGAATTTTTAAATGAAAATTTTCATGGTTATGGAGAGTATTAATGGTATGGAGGAAGACTTTACAAAGGATAATGGGTTGAAGGCAAAATGGAAGGGTAAGGAATTTTAATTGATGATGGCAAACAATATCAAGGTATTAGGCTTAATCTATTAATAAGGCTTATTCAAAAATGACAAAAAGGAAGGGCAAGGAGAAATGACATGGTCGAATGGGTAAAAATACATCGGAGAATGGAAGAATGGAAAACAACATGGCAAAGGAAAACTAATTGATACTAATGGTCATGTCACAGAAGGTTAATGGGTTAAAGGCAAAAAATAATGAATTATATATATTTAGCTATTTTCAAATGTTTCTGTTTAAATTCTTTTTAATAGAACCAAATTTATTATTTATACCGATTTATTTCCCAATATCCGAATATTTAATATCTCATTATCTATTAAGTTTCTGAAAATCTAATAATAAAAATGATTGAAGATTGAAAAAAATGATTATTCAAATTTTTATTAATTATACTTTCAAATTATTTAATTTAAGCAATCTTCTTTAAGTACTTTAAATAAGTATATGAAGAAGTGATTTACAATTTATTCGATCTTAATAGAGAAATAATTTGAAAATCAGATTAACATCTCTCTTTTATTTATTCTTTAATTGATGATATTATTTCAGAATTATTATTATTGAAAATATAATATAAATCCTAATTTTTTTAACTATTTTGATTCTTTGATTGAATATTAGCTAGTTGAATTTTATCAATAATAATAAATTAAAAACGCTTAGCACTATACGTATAAATTTTAATATTATTGTGGGAATTTCTAGGAAATCAAAAATAAATTAAGTTATCATTGATTATGTAATTATTCTAACAAATAAGACGCCTGTGAATATTACAGAATCTTTATATCCTAAATATATTAAGAAATCTCTCAATATTAATTAGTAAACACCTAATGTTTTTTACTATTTGTTTTAATCTTAATCTTACTTTATATCGTTTGTAAACATTAGATATTAAGTTGAATTTCATTTCTACTAAATTAAATACTATTAAAATGATTTTATCCACCAAATTCATTTAAATGAAATTATGCTATTGAAACGAACTTAAGGAAAAAGTTCAGAGTAGAATTTAAACTACGTTCTTTGAGAACTTCACTATTGTTATCTATCATCTATAGTTAGTGTATGATGAATATATTAAAAATTATAATCATTCACATTCGCTCCAGTTCTATTAAGTATATCGCTCATTAAAAGCTAGTGCATTTCGGTTATCGCTTGATCTAGCAGTGCTTAAGAGAAACCCTTTAGAACAGGTAGTTACATCTGTATCTCTTTGGTATAATTTTTTGACATCTTACTTTCTTAAATTGATCATGAATGTCTTTTTTGGTAATTACATTTTAGCAGGCCTTTTACCCTTAAATTTACTATGGCTTCCAATTGATATATCATCTGAAAAATTGTTAAAGCTCTTGGGAGAATATTCTTCACCAGAGTAATTGTGAAAATTTTCTAAAAGTCGGAACTCATCTCTGTCTTCAAGATATTAATTCATAGCGATCTCAATTCTTCCATCTCTTGAAATCACAAGGTCTATTGTTAAGTTCAGTATTAATACATACCTTTTAATCTCCCTTTCTATTCCTCGTTTATCTGATTTTTCTGACAAAGCATATAGATTTTGTAAAATAGCTTTCCTTCGAAGCTGTCTATCCTCTCCATTTAATTATATTATTATTATTAAAAATATACAATTTATTCACAAATATTCCAAGAATGTAACACATTACAAGAATCTTAATTGGAAATGACTACAAAGAATAAAATTTATTAAGAAAAAAACAAATAATATAATATTTGTAATAAATTTTGACATGATAGTTCATTGTCATTTAGAATTTAAAATGTCTAAAATAAAGACAATTTTACTATTGCACCATACTATACTAAATATTATGACTAAAAGCAATTGTTTATTGTGTTTTGGTCAGAATTTAAGGCATTTAGATTCAAATAGAATATGGTTCTGAAGTTATTAGGAACATTTAAAGATACTATTTAGGGATTGCTTGCCTAAAATCAATAATTTGAAGAAATTTTTCAAAAAATCATTAAAAACTAATTTATCGCTTGAAAAAATATAAAAAATCTAGAATGTACTTATTGAATGTTACTTATTAAAATTGATTTTGATTATAAAACACTATCAAAGCATTTATTCATACTTAATAAAGAATATCTATGATTTAGTTTTAAGTAAACAATAAAATTCATCTGTATATGTCATATATTTATATAAAATTGAATAATAATTGAAGTAAAGGTATTAGTGGAGTCTGAAAAGTAAAGATCCTGTTCTAAATCTTAATAAAAATAATCAATATATCAGTGTTTAAAACGTATCAAAATTAATTATTTAAAAATGCTAGTTGCTTCAAATAAAATATTAATATATATAGATCATATATATATTAGTAAATATTGATGTTATATATAAATCTATTTAACCAAAATACTTTAACAAACATACCCCCATTAGAATTCTTTATTAAATTAAAATCTAGGAGAATAGATCTTAATTAATAAAAGAGGGATTGAAATAATAAGAAGGATGTTAATAATTGTATTCTAATGCTGTGTCTATATGAATATATAATTAGCCTATACAATTTATCATTTTCTATAAAATGGAGTTGAAAGCTTTCTTATTCTTTTATATGGATCTTCAGATATCTTGGGAATGTTTAATCTTCTAATCAAATCGCTTTGCTGGGTAGCTATTTATTGAGTTTTTAAGTATTATTTAAAAGACTGTGCACTGGGAGTTTAAGCCAGTCTAAAGCAATCCTATTAGGGTATTGGAGGACAAGGCTCATAATCTCTTAGAGATGTGAAGAAGTTAGTTCTTCTTTGGAATTTCTTGGATGATGGAGCTAATCCTCCTTCATCGGCACTAGAATATCAGGAATGAGAATTACATTACATAATTGTCTCTTCCTGATCCATCACTTTAATAATGTCTGAATTTGGGGACCATGGTTGGAGCAGGAGGTTTCCATTACTTTTGTTTGCTAAAAGTTCCCAATTCAGGATGCACACACTGGATTTAAATTTCTTTCCAAACTCCTCCGTTTTATAATGTCACATAGGAATCCCTTCCTAATAAGTTGTTTCAATAGGATTTACCAGTTCCGTCTGGGGCATAGTGTGTCATTTTGGCTTCAAGGGCTCCTGCAGTTGCACATCTTTGTAATTTTGACATTGTAGTATATTAATATTAATAATGTGTATTATATTAAGTTATTGTCATAATACGATAATATTAATCCAATTCCACGATTATTAAAATAAAATAATATTATTAATGAGATATGCAGATAATGGTTAAAGTGAATTCGTTTTAGGCATAGCCTTTTTGGTTTTAGGAATGATTTACACAACAATCTTTTGTTTTGGAGTGATCAGATATTGCAAAATGGGGAAGAAAACAAAATACTTGGGAAAAATCTTTTATCTCTCAATCGTACTTTCTTGTTTAGCATATATGTTGAATATGGCATTATACTTATATGACGTACAATTACAAATGTAAAATAGATTTTTGAATAAAAAGCAGATGATTATATTTTGAGCATTGAAAAATAGCTGTTAAACACAATATATGTTCCTGATGGATTATTTTGGATTGTTTATTAATCCTTATTTTGGACAGTCGTTTGTCTGCACTACGATTCACATTTGCATATTGGATAATTGGATGAACTTCCATATAATCCGAATATGTTGATTCATTTAATGAAAGACATCTTTATAATATATGGAATAGCATAATTAATTGTGGTGTTACTCTATAATTTCAATTATGTAAAGGCAGAGGTGTTGTTTTACATAAATATTGTCATTAATTTATCTATACCAGTCTAATTTATCATAACATCCCTATATTTACAATATAAGTATTCAGGATCTCCATTTAAGTCATCAAAATAAGAGAATATTTCAAATAGACTCTAAAAATTAATATTTTATTGGACAATTCTCAGAGTCATCCAAATAATAAGCAATTTTTTATTGATGGAAAACCTGGAAATGATAAGGAAATTCTTTTCATCTGAATTGACTCAAAACTAATTGTTACTCTACATATCATTATTGATAATAGATTTATTATTGGCAAATATTTTTCCATTTATCTTGGCTTTGAGATAGTAAACATTTTCAATATTTTTGGGTAAGAAGAATACTACCATGAGTACTATTTCAGAGCATCCAATGCGTTAAGAATTTTTAAATAATGACAGCTCAGTTATGGAAAGGAAATAAATTCAATTTGATTACAATGAGGTTGTGAAATCTATAGCTGGTCCATAAACAAAAAAGTAAAAGCCTAATGGATTTGGTTACATTTTGGTCTGTCAAATCTAATAAAAAAGTTTTGGGATGAGAATAATTGAATTCAAATAGTTATAGCCCTACTTGATTGAATAGGTGAAGTAAGAAATAGAATAAGTGAATTCATTGAATCATCAATATCTTTATCATATTCATGGGTTTAACATAGTCGATAACAAGGTAGTGTATCTGACCAAATTTTATTAATATTCATTGCACAATTATTTGGTTTAAAATTAGATTTCAGTAGAAGAAAAGATTGAGATCTTAATTTAATTGTTACGTGGGATTAGTTACCTTCACAAATAACGTTTTTGTCATGGAAGTTTAACCACAGAAAATGTAATGATCAAATCAAATGGAAGAGTGAAAATAAGTAAATAAAAGATTTCTATTTTCTAGTTGATTTCGGGCTTTTTGGAATTAAAAAATATTAGTCACTTTTACACAGTTATACCAATAAAAATGGATTCACTGCTCCAGAATTGCTAATACAACGAGGTCAGATTGTAAGTGGATCATAGGAAGGAGACATATACAGTGTTGGTATGATAATGTACGAGATGTTTGAAAAGAAAGTACCATTCGAAGGATTATAACTCTAAAACATATAGGATTGTCTGAATAAAGCTGTAAGACCCAAGATTGAATCTAAATCCTTGATGGATGACATAATCAGATGGTGTTGGCAATAGGATTTTGAGAAGAGACCAAAAGTTGATTAGTTATTAAATGTAATTGAAAATATATAAATAAAATGAGTGGTACAATAGTTGTGGGGTCAAATATTTATGAGACTGAATTTTTGGATGAGATCTTTATCTATTATGGCAATTAAACTGCCGACACCATCAGCTTTAAAGATGGACTGATTATTAGTCCAAAGAAATTGGAATTACCAGAATATAAAATTAATAGATCTGAGCAAGGGGAAATCATCATGGCCATTATTAAGGAAGCCATGAATCTGTTAGAATATTCAAAGTTATCAGATGAGGGGATAATCAATTTGTTTGAATTACAATATGTAAATCAATTGAAATCATACCCATCCCTAAGATTTCAATATATGGATAAAGAATAACCATCAATATTAATGGATGTTCGTAAATCTTATTTTACAGTGCATAATTGTTATCAAATAATTAAAACTTTAAATACAGAGCCATCTGCTTATTTTAAGAACAAATTTGTTTTGTTGAGGTACCCAGAAAAAAAAATGATTGTTCAAATAAAATCTGTAGTGGTTGATTAAGAGTTCACATATAAAGGTGTATCTTTAGAAGACTACTTTAAATAAAAATATTAATTAAAGAGCAAATCAAGTGTCTATTTAGAAACCTACAATACTCAGAATATTAAGAAATAATTCTTAATTGCAGAATTTTGTGATTTAAAAATAGATTACATTGAATAAGATGCTACTGCTTATTGTCAACAATTAGAATATTGGAATAAAATTATTAACAATAGCTCATCATTTATTAAATTCTTAAACTAGTATAAATTAATAATCAGAAATGAATAAGTTGAATTCAAATAATAATACTTAGAACCTGGAAATTTGGTATTAAATAACCAAACTAAATCAATATTTTAAATTGTGGCATCCAGAACGTCAAGTGAATTTGAGTACTATTATACTGACTTTTTTCTTAAGAGTGCATCTACTTTTACAACTTCTTTGACCATCAATAAATTAATCATCTTAGTAACTAGAGAAATAATTGAACTAAAAGACAATTTTAACTCCTTTTTAGAAAAATTTGATTTATTTATCAAATCTAGGTAATACAAAATATCATAACCTTAAATTTATGATATAAATAATAATTTGAATGAAATTTTAGAGAATTATGTCACAGAGGATTCTTATGTACTTTTTGTTGGAGATCAAAAGGCAGATTTTACATTAGCTAGAACTACCTTGTTATTAAAGGCCATTCCTAATTAAATAATACACCTTCCCATCCAAGACCAAGAGATCAATAGATTATTAGCTATGATGACTGCTAATCTTGGTAGTGTACCTTGGTCTATTAAAGAAATCAATGGTTAAATTAATAATAAAAAGAGTGCTGTCTTAGGTATTTGGAAAAGTGATAATTCCTTTTCTGCATGTCTCAGCATTAATAAATATCTCAACAAATATATATCCTCATTTGGAGATTTAGATTAAATTCTTACACTTCTTTTATCCACTTATTATGCCACACATAAAGCTTTAGCAAATTAAATCATCATATTTGCTGAGGAAGATTATACTGATATTATGGAACAAAGAATTCAAGGACTCACTTAACTAATAAAAGACCAAGGATTAGCAGAATCTACCTAAAAACCTGAAATTGTTATGGTTTAAGTAAAGGATGCCAGCGCAGAGAGATACTTCACTTATTTCGAGAGGAATTTGTAAAATTATATTATACCTATCTTATTTTAGTGAATCTTACTATTGCAAAAACCCTTAAGTAGGTTGTATAGTTCCTATCAATGAAAAATAGGGTAGATTTTCATTCCATTCTTAGAGAGGAGAGTAAGGATGTTTACAAGCTCAATAATTATAAATTAGTTCATCCAACAGAAGAGAAATAGCTTAATTATATTATCATTTGATATTCTTAAATTTCGATTTGAGTTCTATCACTTATTTACCAGCACCTCTTCATTATGCAAAAAAATTGTCTAAACATCAACTTTAGAGTGAGCAGTACAAAAAAGCAATAGAAAAAGGACATTTGTTATTTATTTGAGTATGATTTATACCGTAATCTTTTAAATAAAATTATATCCTTTTTATGATTTTGATTAATACAATATGAATCAGAAAATTGAATACTAGGTATCACTAATATTTTATTATTGTTCATTATTATAAACTCACAATTGACTCACAGCATTTGGCACTGTTCTTTAATAAAGCAAGACTTATTTTGAATAGAAATCTGGTACTGCTTGATATTCAACTTTTTGCTATTAAATAATTTAATCTAAATTTTACTCTCTTATATAAGTATGGGAATGTAATTCCATTGAATGTGTTTAGGTAGATGACCAAAGTTCCACCGACCAACAATCCCAAGTATGCTTGAATTCCTACTCTGGCTCCATAATAAACTGGATTTAATGAAAACTTTAATGACTTTGGAAAATGTTTGCTCATTTGCTCAAACTTACTGTTGTCCATGGCCATTTTTATTTATTTTAAAATTATATATATAATTTCTAAATTTATATTCATTTATAATTCTTTATTCAATTATATCAGTATACCTGTCTAAATTGATTATTTCAAATTATGTATCAAGTGATTTATCTTTCTAATTTAAATTTAAATGAAAATTGATAAATAGATTGAAATTTCTATTTACAAGAATGAAATCAAAAGTTGGGATGATAAATATTAAAATATTGTTCATATTTGATTTAACAAAGGTCAGAGAGTAGATATGTAAAATATGTACTTTACTGCTATTAGAATAGTGTAAGCCGGTTAAGTAGAAAAAATATAGATTTATTTACAAATAATAATAATAAATTTCAATTAGAATTTCATTATTTCCATGTAATCATTTTTGTAAATAGTGAATGTATTTTATAATTTTAATCTTATATTAATCATAAATATAAATTAAAAAGATCATTTTTCATATTTTCTTCGAAAACTTTCTAAATGTTTTGGAATATTTCTTGAAAATAAGATAGGGAGTGGTATAGATTTAATAATTGCCTTGGAAAGTATATATCGTTTAAATTAGTAATATCCAAACGCTATTTAGAACACCAAAATAATCATAAACATAAAGATTCCAATTAAGATAATTAAGGTTTAATTGTCTTTTGTTAAAGTATCTATAGTTTAAGAAGAGATATCTAAAAAGTGTTGACTAAATTAGCTTATTTGAAATTAGATAACATCAATTCCCCACAACATATAAATGAGATATTCGCTATCATCAAGTATTTTCTCCAAACTTTGGGCTTTTTCTAAGTGAGATTAATTTTTAAAAATTAATTACGAGGCTCCTTCTACAAAAGATAATACTTTTTATTGTAGATTGAGCACTCCTGTTTAAAAAAGTGGGGCTAATTCTTTTTAATAAAGCCTATCATACAACAATTGGGTTTTCATATCACACCCAGTTAAAATGCAAACATCTTCTCCTAAAAGTTGATGTTATTGTTCATCAGTAAGGCCTGAATTTGAATCTCCATACTTGAGAATCAAATTAGCAAAATCTATCAATTTTAATCTTGAGATATCTTAATAAATTAACTCCTCGTCAATTGTCAATAGATTCAAGATTAAAGTGTCAGTTTAGATGTTTCTAGTCATGAGATTATGGCCTGAATCAGTCCTGTTAATAAGAGCATAAGTTTCAAAATATTACTTTATTAAGAATAAGTCAAATCGATTTAAGGCAACAATAAAATTCAACCTGTTTTCTTAAGCTAAAATTGCCCTATTACTTATAGGCCCTATAGAATTCTTGATTTAAAGATAATACAAATGAAAAGCAAACGTATAGGCAAGTATTATTATTGAGACTAACACAATAATCAAGATTGAACAATAGCTTGAATAATTAGAATTTTCTTTAACATTTTTCTTAATGATTCTTTTTTTCTTAACAAACACTACTGTCGCTCTATTTGAACATTTCTTCACATCTTCTAAAATGAATTAAGGTAGAGTTATTATCATTTTAAAATCTTTCTGTTTTAAGAATATTCTATTATATGATACCATACTTATCAATTAATCAAATTGGTGTATGATTTAAATGCAATCTTCCTTGTCGCACATCTTAAATAGTTTCAAATATTGTTTGATTGTGTGAACAACTTTAAGGTAATTAATAATCAAGGCTGCCAATTACAGTAGGATTGTTAAATACAGCCCAACAAAATAGTAAACGACTATCTAGTCAAAATAATAATTCATTTCGTAGTGATATGTATGACAATCCCATAGAGTTGTATTAGCACTCTCACTTACATCAAAAAAGTTATAATAAACTTATGATCTTGCAATTTGGGTCATATATGAATCATTTCTACCTGATAGATAAGTTTGTGGTGATGATGCAAATGACTTGTATGACATAAAAAATGTTTGATGCATAATTTGATAATAGGTTGAATAGTCCTAAACAGTCTGAGCTATCTTGCTCTTCAAATCAAAGTTGATAAAGTAAAGAGTAATATTCTTGATATCGCTCTTCATAGCTAGTTTTGAATAATTCAAATACATGTTATTAAGTCTAACACTTCCTTTTGCTATATGTTGCCAAGCCATATATATCTTATCATATCTGCTGATATTTATGGATTCATTATTAAACGGTATTATCGTATCATTTTAAATAGGATAAAAGTCTCTATAATAAATTACATGTCTGGATCCAGACATAGTCTAACTATAAGCATCTAAAAAGTTTAGATCATCTGTAATTTATTGAATGCAATCTGTTTAAAGTTCCTTTTTGTGTTTAAAAAGATTAGATATTAAAATGACAATTAATGATACTACAATGATTTAAATGATAAAATGAGCAATTAAATCTTTAATGGTTTTAGGTATGACTGTATCATTTATATAGACAGTAATCTTGTCCAATTATTCTTCGATTTCATTTGAACTATGTTTGGTAGCTGTATTTGTCAATTCTGCTACTAGTTCTACTTATTCATTAGCTTCCTCTCCATCACATGAGAGAATAACATTAGTTTGGTTAGGTCTAACCTATTCTAAAACTGCTTATTATCTTCTTAAAATATCAGAGAGAGCAGGTGTTTTTGCAATCTATTAAGAAGGAGACTAATTTATTTTTGGCTCATCCAGAAAGTCAATTTCGATTACAAAATATAGAAATTCACAGTTTGAGTCTTTTTCGACATACGTCAAAACTTTTTAAACTACACTAAATTCAATAGGATATAATTTTGAATATTAAGGTTTCATACTTGATAAGCTAGTACTTATGTCCTTCAAAGTAGTTATCATTTATTTGTTTGTAAATTTCTTGGTTGATATTGATTAGGATGTTTTAAATTGAGTCCTGCTTTTATTCTGAACTTGTAACACTCCGATTTCTCGTTAGCAAATAATATCCTATTTTAAAATCCTTTTTTTATCTTTAATCGTTAACATTCGATAATACTCTTCAAAAATTTAAGATAATGATGGAATTATTTCTTAAATGGCTACCTATTCATATATTTCGCATGGTAAGGTCAATTCTTCATTTTTCTTATTTTTATAATAATATTTGTAATTGATTCTCTCGTAGATATTTCTGGTTATTCCAAAAATTAGAAAATTAGAATCTACCAATATATACCCTCTTTTGTTTTAATCAACTTCTTTTCTCTCGTACTTCACCATTTTCAATAAATGTCCTATAATCCAAAATTGATATTGATCATTTGAACAAGGGAATAAGGCAGTAAGACAAATATTAACTTTTTCGATCAAATTTTCTGAGTTCAGTATAAACTATTCTGAATTTGCATACAATCGATTCGTCTTACCTTATGCTAAATAAGATTCAATCAATCCATTATGTATTTAACCAAGTTTAATAGGCAACAATTACTCTATTTTAGTTAATGGTATAGTTAAGTTCTAATATCCAAAAAACTCACAGAATTGATCATTTATATTTTACGTTATATATCCAAGAGTTTAGGATTGCACAGTAGATATTATTGATAAAGCTTAGCCATTTAAGAATTGTAAATTATTGAATTATTAACTTTTAGAGTTGGTTTGTTCCTTCACTTGACACTCTATTTATTAAGCTATCCTCAAACAACTATTGATATCTTCCATACAAACCAATGAAATTACTAGTTTCACTCTAAGGATTAAAATGGAGTCCAAGGCAGGAATTTCTCTTTAACTTTGAAAATTCATAAATTCGTTTTTCAACATATTGGTTTTTCCTTTAATTTCTTTAGAATACTGAATCATTCTCTCGTAGGATATCAATTGATTCATTTTTTATTACCACATTGATTTCATACAAATGAGCAAATCCACTATGTGTTTGACAATTTACTCCTCAAAATTATAAAATAAATTGAAGTCTTATAAAGTGCGAAACTCTAAAGATCCTATTTTAATGCCTACTCTATTAGTATTTTCAATTTCAATTTTATTTAAATGTTATATTTAGTTGACTAAATTAATAAAGAATTTTGGAGTGTTATCAGGTTTTACTTTTTAGAATGTAAAGACTACATCTTAAATAGTCTTATATGATAACACAGAATTTTCTCTGTATCTTTAGAGGAAGGTTACAAATTTAATAGTAAGTTGCTCAAAGTATTGAAATTAATTTTAATTTTGCATAATTGATTTTATCATTTTTTAAAATTAATGTTGTACCCAAATATAAATATGTTGTGTATTAAGTTGGTTTTAGTTAGAAATAAATTTACTTAACTTTTATTTGCAAGGACAGCATACATCATTACAATGCTAACAATGAATCCCCAAGTATTTTAACAGTACGAAGTAATCTCTTTGATTAATGTTCTCCAAATGGCACAATTAGCAAATATATTCTAATGGATGCTCGTTTTTTTTCTATGACATAGACTTTAGAAATGATTGGCATTCCTTATCTATGTAAATGTCATAAAGAGCTTAATTTATTCCAAATATCAACTAAAATAGAAATAAAATTTACAGGGACACAGAGGCAGAAGGTTAGGAAGATGTGAGCATCACTCAAGTCTGATAGTATCCACACTGCAACTAAAGTTTCGAAAAACCATGAGCACCACAAACATTTGCTGAAGAACACGGTTTCGTATGAAAAACCAAAAGGAATGTTGAAATAAGTATCTAAAGCTATCACGATTATGATGAGGTTGAAGATTGAATGAATGAGATAATTGTAGTTACTGTACATGTCCTTCCAGAAAGATGACATCTATAAGGCCATATGTAATAGGATGGTTAGCAAATTAAAATAGCTAAATTTTCTGGTCACGTCTCCTTAGACAAACTCATAATTTCTAAAACAGTATAAGGATAAAAAACCTGAGAGGATTACTAGTACTTAGCCTATGATGCTTATTATTATAAAGTGAGGTGAGATCAAGGAGAAGCATTGTGGGGGATCTAGATTCCCATGTTGGGCCAAATATGCCAAACGACCACAAGTTAATATTCCAATCATACATTCATGAAAAGGGGTTAGGAAGTACCATTAAAAGTTCTTAAAATAAAACCGTATAAATCTATTAACAAAACTGTGTGTAGAGAGTGGCTAGAATAAGATGTTCATAGTACTTTGAATGTGATTTAGAAAAGTATTATTGCATAAATGGAACACATTGTCCCAAAAATACAATAATACATAATTTTTGTGAACGGGTCGTAATGAATGACTATCATCATAAATGGGATCGAGGAATACTATCCTATTTGCGCCAAATAATCATTTTCATAATATACAATGGATTTGCTTTCGAATTAACTAAAAAGGTAACCAAGCAATTAAATAAAATAGAAGACAATTACTCCCAAATTACCATAATCCACCTATGATTTTCTCCTTTCAGTGTTAGACCCTATTGAAATAAAGAAGTAAACAAGCCTAGAAAAATATTTCATTAATCCTAAATTTATTATATTTATTCATAATGATATTTATAATCTTATAGTGATTCAACAATTTAATTACATCCTCAATTAATAATGGGTGTCAAGCGAGATAGCGTAGTTACTAAGTGAATATATTTCCCGAGGTTAAATTTGGTTATATCATTCTGAATACAAAATTGATAATCGATTAAATTTAATCTAAGATCATTTTATTTACAACAATTAAAAATTTATAGGATTCTATATCAAATCATAATTGAATTGCTATTTTATTCATCCGATCCCACTTTGGCTTTGTCAGAAGTCTTCAATTCTGTGTGACAGTTCAATTTAATTAGTTCAGTATAAATATATAATATATAATAATAAGGTCACTCGTCATCATTAAACTGCATGAGTTCTGAATGTTCGGATTGAGAGTCAATTAACTAATCAAAATAATGATCGTCTTTGCTTTTGACATCATAACTAGCAGCAGTGACTGTGTGGCAATGCTTTTATACAGATCTCACCTTAGGGGTATCTCTGTCATTGATGGTCAACTATTGATATTTCATCTATTTGAGCATTTGTCTGTAATCCTGAATCCTATCATTCATGTCTTTGAAATATCTGTCAGCCATAGCTATAAAATCTTCAGTGTCAATGGATCGATAATTTCTATTTTAATATAATTGTTCATACCTTTTAAGTTGTTATCCCTCCTATAAATAATTTTGGATCTAACTAATTCTATTCAAAGTGGCAGGATCATTAATATTAATTTTTAATTGGTACTTTTTTAAATAAGAATTTAATTTATAAAAATTTAAGAGGATTCTTTCAGCCACTTATCTAATTTCCGTTTTGATACAAGCCTTATCTAATAGTGTAATTGATCTTAATTCTGAAACAAATGGCTGCAAATCAGCATACAAAATGGCTGTAAAAAGTGATGTCAAGGCAACTCCATAAAATAAACCTAAGGTCATGGACAGTCTTCCAAGTTCAGTGGTGGGATACAGATCTCCATAGCCGACTGTGAATATTGTGATCATGCAAACCCACAAGGAATTGTTTATGTTATAGTGATCGATTTCAGTTGTCGTCCTCAACAAAGCTCTTTCTGAAATTTCTAATTAGTACGAAAACAAGAAAATTCCAATGCAAAAGAGACCGCAAAGAGTAGAATATGGATTCTACCTAATTGCAACTTTGAAAATGAAATGAGGACCGAATTCAACTGAGTATATGCCACTTAAATTAACAAATGAATAATTACCATAATCTATTTACTCTATTGGAATAAAACGATTGGAACTTAAAGGCTATGTTCAAAATCTGCAATGATCGAAAAAGCATAACAAAGGTGAGGATCTCATTTACGAAGTAGAATCTTGATTAATCAGAATATCGTTGTAGGAATGAAACTTTGTATCCAATCGTGTATGGAGTTGGACAAGGAAGTAAAATGGTGGTTTCGATTAACACAAGAAATATGAGATTCGTTTGAAATATATTGGAGGCTTTGGGGACTGTAAGAGATCGTTTCTTGAATTCGAGTTCTGCTAAATATGCCATAAATGTCATTATAACTAAATAGGATAAGCTTAAAGTACTGGAAATAATGGTTAGGACCAGAATCAGATATAACAGAGTTTTAATTTCTTCGTCGTATGTATCCGTTAACTAATATGCGAATGAAACCTCATACTATATTATTTATATATAATTAACTTCAAGAACCATTAGAACAATACTGGCACAAATTGTCCACATTCTGCCTAATTCTAACACTCTATATCTTTCGAAATAGAGTCTTGTAACTCTGCTATCCTCAAAAGCATTTTTTTTTGAACTTCCAATAATTCTTGACTTTTTTCTCTAACTTATTTTCACTTTTGGAGAAGTTTCAAACAAGTATGATAGCCTTCCATGCTATTGAAATGCATCGTCCTCGTTGACCCTTGAAGCAGGATTACCTTACAATTCTATTGTTTCATAATTTGATGATTTCATAATATATTATTAACTATCAATTTTTTTGAATCAATCGTGGAAACTCATCAAACAAGAGTCTCTATGTGAATCGTCCAAGTTATTGAAAAATTCTTCATCTTTGCTAAGTTTCTCTTCCGTGTTTAATTAGTTCCTGAGGATCTTTTGAGAAACAGGGGAAACTTGTATTTGTTGTATTTAGGTCTATTCTTTTTCCAAAATCGAGTTTTACTATAGTTTAGACAGGTGAGCCTGTATCAAGTATTACTATTCATTGAATTTATACAGTTGTTGTCTGATTTCTTTGAATTTGCCATTGGCATCTCCGAATTTCCGTTTCACCATTTCTTAGAATTCTTCTCCATCAATATCCCTATGCATTCTATCGTGTGACATAATAACTCAATACCTTTTCAACATCCCAACATCTTATAGAAATCGTTCTAAATTAAACAGTGTATCTTCAAAATTATTATTCAACCCTTCAGTTTTTGAGACTTTCTTTCTTTTCCTCAACTCATTCAAATAAAAAAATATTCTTGAACTTGCCTTTTTTATGTTCTTCGTGATTGTGGCTTTGTCCAACAGAGCCCAAGACTGGTACTCTCCTGAATTTGGCTATAACATATTATATAATATGGCTGTAAACAATGAGGTTATGGTGACACCGTAAAACAACCCCAATGTCATGGCTATTCGACCCAAATCTGTGTAAGGAAAGAAATCCCCATACCCTACTGTGGCTATGGTTATCATAGTAACCCACTGACTTTTGGTGAGTCCATAGTTGTCCAAGGAATCAAAAGTTCTCAGGAGTGGCCTTTCCGATATCTCTAACTAATAGGTGTATTGGATGAAGCCAACAATGAAGAGCCAAGTCAAGGTGTAGAAGGGGAATTGGCGTATGCATAATTTCAACATTAAATGAGTTCCGAATCGAGTCTGATACAAACGACTATGCAAATTGACATCAATATTATACCACACTCTTCCGATCCGATTCGAATAATAGGTCTAAAATTTAAACCCGATATTCAGGAGCAAATAGAGTCTGAAAAACATGATATATGTTAGAATTTCATTCATCATATAAAATCTGGTTTCTGCTGTTCCTCTCTATTCAAAGTTAACATAATAACCTTAAGTGAAAGGATTAGAGGTGGGAAGGATAATGATAATTTCACATAGCAATCCCCATTTTAAGTCAGTTTATACGAGGGATGCTTTGCTGGAAATAATTTTTGAACACTTTCTATATTCAAGTTCAATTAAGTAAGCTATGATTGTCAGCAAGACAATTATCAATGACATATAGAATATTATGTACAATAGCAGGCGCAATTCAAATTCCATCGTCTTGGTTAGGAATGTTGAAAAACTATATTCATACTAATTCAAAACATTAATACTTCTAAGATCGTTAGCACCATACATGCAATGATAAACCAAAATCGAGTTAGTTCAACCATTCTATACTTCTCAAAGATCATTCTTGTTACTCTGCTATCCTCAAATGGTCCCTTATAGGAATCATCATCATCGATGATAGTTGCAGCTCTCTTGTATTGTTTTCTGCTTTTCTATTTCTTTAACAATGGCGCTGTTTTAATTGGAGATTGGCCAGTGAAATTTAGAAAGACCATTTCATTAACCATTGTTATTTTATTGTCTTGGGTCTTTTTTTATTTTTGATTGTCAAATGACATTTTAATTAAACAAGATATTAATCAATAATTACTTATATAATAAACCTTCAATTTTTATTTTCATTAGACTATTCATCCCTATTAATACATTTTAATCAGTCCACTTTCTTTAATTTACATAATAAGTTCAATTGAATTGGAACATTCAAAAATAGTTGCATCCACATGCAATTTGATTATTAATTAGATACACTTAAATTATACTTATATGGTTGCTTCCATAAGTTTATTTTGCATATAAAATTAACAGCAACTTTTGATTATGGAATTATCCTCTACCATTTTGATAATTATTAACAATTAATTAAGAATGAAACCGCATAAAAAAAATGTATTAATTCGTTCGAGTGTGCCTTCTCCCTCCAACTTCGACTCGAAGCCCTCAACCTAAATTCCTCGGCAGAGGTCTGTCAATTAATTTGAAGAGGCTGATCCCACTTCAAAAGGTATGTGGAAACTATATATATGAGATAGAAAAGTCATAAAAATGAGGAATGTTGTAGACTTAGGAGATGCAACCGAGTCTATTCACAAACCATCCTCTAAACGAATGAGGAGACAGAGTAAGGATGAATAAGATTAACTGCTTGAATAATTAGATCAATGGCATGAATAGATAGTTTCAAAGAAAAAAGCATTTGCTTTTGAACAAGTCAAGTAGAATGACAATAAATTAATGGAGAACGAGTTTGCTAATGACGGAGGACCCTAAATTAATCAAGCCATTATCAATTCTATTCTCAAACCCCAAGAGAAATAATAATTAAAGAACTTATCATAAGAAGAAGAGTAGAACTCAAATGTTTAAGTGAAATTTCAATTGTTGAGATCAAATAAGGAGTCGAATAACCCTGTTATGAAAACCTTAGATTAAGTTAGGATTGAAATGAATAAACATATTTTAAACTCATTGCTATTATAAAAAGTAACTAAGAAGTTGGACGACTTATAAATCAATAGGAAAGCAAAATCCAATTGGAATCATTAACAAATGGATTAAGAAACAGCCTAAGTTGTAAGAGATTAATCACAAGCCATCAAAACCTCAACACTAAATAATTTTAAGGGATTAACTGAATATTTTAGTAATCCTGCTTAGTATATCGATTATGATATAGTCTTATCCAAGGCAAAATATTACAGTAATCGACCGCCAAGTTAGTTTTAAGAGAATATAGTGTTGACAGGATAATAATCATCATCTTCCGCAAAATAACTGATGGAATCATTTTAGTAGTTTTAGGTTTAAATCAAGGAAAACAAATAAACCTTATATTAAATGAGATTGGATAATAATCAACTAGTGTAATAGACAACGAAAAAAGAGGAAGAAATTAGTGAGATAAGAAGGAAATATTATGGAAAAGAAGAAAAAGCAAGATTAGGGTATGTTCCTGATTAGGAAGGCAAAAAAAAGAATATGATGGAAATTATTGAGAAAATTCGATAATAGAGAGACTTAGAAATTAGAAACATACAAAAATTTATCTCATAAATCAAAGATGAAATGCATAGAAATACTGATAGATAGGAAGTAATTCAGAAGGATCTAGATGAATTGAGATAAAAAAAGAGAAGATGTAAAATGCTATTAAAGGATATATTCTTAAAATAACTTTAAGAGGCAAACGAATCATTGATGCCTGAAGGATTGGTTCAAATAATTAAATAAATGAAAAAAATCAATGAAAATGCTAAGGTTGAATAATTTCCAAGATACTTAGATGATTAATCAAGATAGTATCTTCTCAAGGCTGCATAGTTAGAAATAGAAATAGAAGAGGCTAGATCCCAGTCTCAGAAGCTTAATCACAATCATACTAATTTAAGAAGTGCTCAATCTTAATAATGCCTATTTTAAACATAACCTGTCAGTGTTTCTTAATTGAAGAGTTAAGTGAAGACTATGCTTAAAAGAAGCAAGGTTTCTATAAAAAAACCAGTGTTTGTTTAAGGCATAGATCCTCTGAATCCTTAATCATTTGCTCATGTGATCAAATGGGAGAATCAAGAATTAGAATCTGCTAATTTTTAGGACAAAGAGGAGATTCAAATTAAATTATCAAATATGCCTAGTGAAAATAACCTAATTATAAAAGACTACAATCAAAAATTAGTGTAATATTAGTAATAGCTTGAACTAATTTAGAAGGAAGAATAGGAGAGAATACTAAAATTGTATTAAAATAAGAGACATCTATCAGACGTTCAGGAATTGAAATTAGTATTGTATTCGTTATTTGGATAAGTGATCGGAGATTAAATTTGGTATGAGTTCGTTATTGAATGGACCGAGTAAAAATCTTTAAATCCTTAGTAAATTTTAAAAAAAGAAACAGAATCGAAACAGAATGAAAAAGGAATGAGTTAAAAGGTTATAAATGAAAAAATAAAATAAAGGATGGCTAACACATATCGTAAATTATAATAAAGTAATGAAGTTGAATATAATTTTAATATGCTAGATTGATTCTTATATTATTTTTCAAATGATTAATAAAAATGGTCTGATTTTTTATAGGGCGACTTTCTCATCAACTAAAACAACCTCTTTGTGCTAGCCATTATGAGTTATTTCAGCTTTTAATGTAAATGTAATTGGATACCTCTCAAATCATAGAAATAGAATGGCTCTCCAATTTAATATCTGTATTTTCCTGGAACAGGCATTGTCTTGAACTTCAAATTCATAACTGCACCTGATTCAACATCAGCCATCTTGAAATGTCCAGTAGTCATCGAGGTGTCAGTGTTAAAGAATTACCAAAACTTAGAGATTATTTTCAATCCGTACCTTATTTTTGAATTCTGGGAATTTTTCAGGACATGGATATCCACGATCGTATTCACAATCGTAATCTAAGACATGAATAGTTTCTTCCTTGAAGAGAGCGTTAATTTCGTTATTCTTATAGAGCATATCTCTAAGGTATGTTTCCTTAAAATCAGGATCACCACATTTATCTCTTGCTCTCACATATAACATGGCCAATGGCAATACAGTTAAAACCTATTTTAATTGAAACGAAATACTTTGAATCCAAAGGCTAAAGGATAAAATTGATAGCAGAAGAGACTGAATGCAGGCAAAAAGTAAACATTGAATTTATCAAATAATCTATGTCTTCTTTCAATTAAACATGAGAAATTTGGGACCTAAATTTGAGATTGTAGATCTTACATGTCTATGCAATAAATCCTAAATCCATGCCCATCCAAGTGGTACTGATTCCCAATTGTCTTTTGGTGTTTTAACATATGTATGCTCTTGATTAATGTCTCTTGGGTAAGTATAGTAAGCATTCTTAAATTTGTATTGCCATCTCTTATTGTATGGGTTTGATGATTGCCACACAATCTTATTGTATTGTGAACGATGCACTAATTACTACACTGTCTTGCTCTTAATAATTTACATTATTAATATCTTTTAATTAGTAATATAAACTTAATATATTATTATGCATCATATTTTCTTCACCCTCAATACCTAATATTTACTATAAAATCATCTTCGGTAAAGAGATTGAATAACAAAGCAAAATTAAGTATTAAATGAACTATTAATTTGTTTAAATTAAAATAGAAAACTTCAATTGGTGTGTTTAATAGAATAAAGGATTTTCAAATGTCATAATTTAAGAAGATAAACATGGTAAATAGTAAAATAAAAAAAGTAAATATTATTTAGTATATATATTATATATAATAATAAAAGTCCTATTTCAACTGTTTGTTCTATAGTATATTATGGGTTATGTTTAGATGATTTTAGTAACTTACCTTCCATTGATTTAACGATTGAAAACATTTAAAGGAGAAGCAGATCCCATAACAAGTTTTGTTTATAATTGCTTTTTCGTTTGCAAAGGAGACTAATGAGAGCAACAAGTCATTGAATTGTTTGGTTTTAGAATTGACTCTTTATTTGAATCTCTATTACTTGATATAAATTGTTGCAATAGTTCAGTGTCATCACTTTATTCCTTATTTTCCTTTTATCTCGTAGGACAAAAGATTGACATGACAAAGGATTCGACTTATCTGTTAATAGTGTCAAAATTAATGTTTAGTTTAATCTTTTCAGATATCCCTTTAATAGTATTGGAGTACTCTTCAATAACCTCATCTGGGATCAATGAATTCATTAATTTATAGGCTTCAAATTTTGAATTGATATTCTAAACAACTTCGATATCATTGTTTATCATTTTATGAATTTAATCTTTGTTAATTTATAGCAGTTTCTATTGAAGATCATTAATAAGAGCTATGATTTAATTTTTAATTTGGAGGAAGTAATTCTCAAAAGGCTTTTAGATTACTTTGAATAATTCTTAGCTTTAATCCATCAATTCCTCAGCTTTTTTAATGTTCTGTTCAATCAAGTGCTCGTAATTCTCAATTTCTTTCATCTAGCTAACATGTTTTGTATGCATTTTGATAACGCAATGTGCACATGCTTTTTGTAATTTATATGGACAATCATTGTCTATGCAGATAAATTTATATTAATTATTTTCATGGCCTGGTAGTTTGCAAATATTCGTTTTTTCTATTTACACTTAGAATGATTATTGCTGGCTGACATATTACTATTATTATTATAATTCCTCGTTTTTCAGTCTATTTATGGGAGAAAAGGTTTGGTCATTGGAGATTCTTTTGTTTATAGGCGACATTTGGGATTTTTCATTTATTAATGCCAATTATAACCATTCATCTTTGTCTTAATTCCCTTTTTCAATTTAATCTTCTAAAAAAGTCTTGGTATTAGGTTTCTCTTTATTTTTGAGAAAAGAATTATGTTGCTCTTTTAATTTTTGGTTAATTGTATATTCTGAAATCGATCTTTGGCTCTGAATATAGTTTAATGAATTACTAGATTTTTCTTATTGGAATCAACGATCTAACCCCAATTGCTTTCTTTTTCTTCAAAAGCTTGTTTAATGTGATTACGTAAACCTAATTGATTCCATAGTTCGCGAGAAGTCTTCTTTGGCTTAATCATATTCGTTAAATTAATATAATGCTAATTTATACTATTCATCAGGATATTATTTATTTAATAGCATTTACTTTGAGAGAAATCGATTGACAACTATCTTAAAATGATCAAAAATGATAAAGACACTAGATAGTGATGATAAAACATTTCATATAGGAAATAATGAAAATATTGGTCATTGTAAATTACGTTGGTATAATTAGGAAGATTAGATTAATTGAATCAAAATTGGGTTAAATTGCTAGCTTTATTTACCAAGATGCTTGTATATGATATGATATGGAAAGAAAAGAAAATCCATTTTGATAGAAAATTATTTATTATTAAAGAATGGAAATATTAATTGGAATACAACCTTCAAAATTTAGTTTAAGTGAATTGGTTTCTTGATTTCAATAAAAAAAATAGACGGGTAATTTTTAATAACAAAAAGGGTTCATACAAAATAATTGATAAACGGAAGTTAGAGTAATAGTCTAAAAATTGAAATGAATATAATATAAACATACTTAAATAAAAAGAAAGGTGATAACACATACAGTTAATGTGGAATACTAAAACGATAATTAAATAATTTTGACCATCACTTAATTGAACCTGTTTTTGCAAAAGGAGTTAAATAAATAGTCAACGAGAGCATAAAAGTAATAAATATCAATTGAAAAACTAATCCTTATTATTATTTTAATCAGAGCAAATATGAATGAAAATTAAGTTTTGAAAAGTAGGAATTTATTAAAATTAAATTAAGGTGCAAAAGATATTATTTAAGAAGTCAATTTCAGAAGGGATAGTGTGTACATTCAAAAATAAGTTATTAATTGATAATATATTATAGTTTGAATTTATTTCTAGTGATAAATTGTGCTCTTAATGACTGCTTGCTCATAAAATCTATACAATAATATAAACTCATTTTTTTGTTGCCTTTTTCTTAGGTATAGTGACTGATGTTCTCCTTTCTAAATATTCAAATGTAAGTACTCCTCTACGTAATTACTCTTTGATTGAAAATATATATTTTCTCACCTTTGGAGGGATGCCCTTCTCCTTCATTTATATCTACATAGAAATAACAAAGTACTCTATCTGCTTCAAATACTTCAGTCAATTTTTCAAATTTATCTGCATAATCGGAGCAGCCCTTTCCGATTCTTAACATGAATTATTCGACTGGCCAATCTGGTATGGCTAAGTTGTACCCTGGTGGTGGAAATATTGGAGTGATTGTTCTCCTTCTCATGGCAGGCTATTATAACAAAGTTGTCTTGAAGAATCTGCTAACAAAATTTAATTGCTAATTTCTCAATATAGAAATCATAATTAATATATTTTCGATTTTATTTCTAAAAATCTCTTTATCTTAAATTCCTTATGCTCCTCCTCTTTCTATTTGGTATTATGTTCTAATCTCAAAGAATACGATCTGTTCTTTTGTATAATTTGTTTTTTAGGAATCCGTTAACTCCTCATTCGATATAGATTCTCTATAATATCAGCTGCTTCATTTCCGTAATTCATTTTAATGACTTTCCCAAAAGGAGTTGAGGGTCTACTCTATAATATTGTGGTTACTTGTTCCTGAGTCCATAAACAAAGGTGTCTTCTGGCAATTTCACAGTTTTTGACTTTTTGTGATGCGAACTGTTCCCATATTACCAATCCGATGTGATTTCCTTCATTCCAATCCCATCTCTATTAATCTTTTTACCGTATGAATAACTGGAATCAGGTAGATCTGACACTGAAGGCTTTGCTTTTCCCACATCTCCTCTTAACAATAAAATGTTATTGGTTTTATTTATCAAATAAGGCAAAATAGTTGACATAAAATAATAAAATATTTCAATCATCAGATCATCAAAAAGTATTAAATTTAAATAACTCATTAATATTTGACTTCTACTTTAAAGCATTCTCCTTATGATAACTCTCTAGAACTACATCAATATTGTATTTTGGATAAAATGTTTTGTATATTTCATATTTGTCAATCTCGATGGGACTCCATTGTAATTCATTGTAAATCGCAGGATGCTTGATTAATCTAATATCATATGTACATGTTGAGGGAAGGCAACAAATGGAGACATCTCATAATTTAATTAAGATATTGGGTTTATCAAACTCTTTTTTGAAGGAACTTGCAACATATTATTACCCCCTGGTATTGTTAATGTATTCTATCTTTCATCCTTTTCTCTCAAATGCAATGGACTAATTATCTTCTGCGAACCATGATTGGTTCCTCCACTTTATTGAAAATTGTTATTCATATCAGATTTTAATGTAAAGGTATTCAAAATTGATAACTAAGAGTGTTTCGGAGTATTATTCATTGAGATACTACTGACACCACTTCTATATTGAGAATACTTCTCAGATCTATTATTGCTTTATTTCATAGGTCTCAATTTTTAATCTGTCTATCTAGAAGTACCTGACACCTAATCATCAGAAAATGAGGAACTTTCATTACTCGAATCCTCAATTTACTACTCATCTATAGTGTTATTCACATTATCCTATTGGGGACTTTTCTAAGAAGTTTATTCTTTGTAACCAAATCCTGCTGTGGAAGTAGTTGCTTTTGGATTCCCAGCTCTTATAAATATTTGATCGATCTCTCTGAATTATTGTTCTTTTAACGATTCTTATCCATCCAATCCTTAAACATTCTCTAGTGTAGATGGTCTTAGTGACAATTTCTAGCCTATTAATATTTTGGATGGATAATTAATCGAAGACTATGTGATTGTGTAATGAGATTGATTCTATTGATAATTTGTGTGATCTGTCTCTCCCAAAGATGATGCATATCCTTAATCTTCTTAAAACTCTTAACATTTCACTTGAGTGTTCAAAGCATTGAATTTTGTATTTCCACTTTTAGCACTTCTCCTTTAAACTTATTTAATTCGCATAAATACATTTATGTCTTTTTTACTCAGATGGTGCCAATAAATCCAAAATTAATTATTCTTTCTGTACTTCCAAATGTAATTACGGGCAATTCTATATCAAATGATTTTATGATTGACAATTATAACACTGAATTCCGAGAATTTCAAATTGATTCGAGAAAATAATTTCATTTGTTATCGTGTTAATCAATTCCTACAATAATTAAATGGAAAATATACTTTATCTTAATTGTTATTATTTATTGTGGCCAAGAAATTCTATCTGTTAAGTTTGAAAATACAGGATTCTCCTATACTTCTCACAGAAGCACATCTAGGGAGACCTGTGAAAAATGCAATCTGTCCAAAACATTCATGATCACTCAATATTTTAACACCGACAATGCTATTTTATGAATTCCTAAAATTGATTTCAACCTATCCATTTTTTATTATATAAATAGAACAATCATCCAATTAATCTTGATTGATTATTATTTCCTCATTTCGAAAGTATTAAATTTCAATAAAATTGGTTAAGTTACTTAAACTCTATCTAGACAATTAATTAAATATGTTGAAGTATTACAAATGCTTTATTTTATCTTAATAAATTAATTGTTGTCGTAAGGATTCCTTGATCCCATAAAAATTTATCAAATAGTTTAGGTTCTTAATCCTCGCTATTGACTTTTATTAAACATGCTGCTATTAAATCTGATTCAACAGTTTTCTCACTTTTGAAGTATTGATGTTTAGAGATTTTAAAAAACCCAAAAAGTCAATCATATTCTTTTTATCTTTAAAAGTTGTCTTCGACATTTATGCAAGTAAATAAAGTTGAATTATAAATAGATATTTGATTATCGTAAATATTATCCAGGTGTACAAAATAAATAATGCTATTTCAGTTCGTGACTCATTATTTTAGTAAGAAAGATCAATACCCACCAAATAACCAAAGAACCGTAAGTAAGTGGTAATATATGAATGGAATTGTTCATCAACGTTGAGGGATTAAAAATCATCAGTTGTTAATATGAGGAAGGCACAACAAAATAGATGACATTATTAGAATGCCAGCAAAATTAGTTTAATGAGATTTTCATATTCCCACATATATTGAATTTAATTGATTTGCTATACGGTAATTAAATTAAGGAAAATCAAGCTGATGATCAAGAGTTCTTGGTAAAGATCAAATTGAAGGATTAATGTCAGTAGAACTATGATTATAATTTGTAAGATATTGATTATTATATTGTGAAAGTACCTTTATTTATTGATTGACAATTTATCATAAGCATCTTCTCTATATTTTGAACAATTATGAAAGCAATTTATTGATAAAATAAGCAATTGCAAAATTTATAAAAAAAAATTCTCAATTCTATTTTTATTTAAGCAAAAAATGGAATTTAAAAGCAAAATTGAAAAGTTATTAATGTGAAATATATAGGTTAAACAGCGCATTATATTTACATTCTTACTCAACGAATATGAGAAGTTAATTTAATTTCCTTTGTTTTTTTCCTGAAGTAATTTATTTGTGAGTTTCCCTAAATTCTTGCTACCTCTCTCTTATTTGAAAAATTTAATTGATTATAAGAAGCAAAGGGAAAGATCATTGAAATTGATTTCCGTATTCGTTCTTTTAAGCAATTTTGTGTCATATGTGGAGAAACCAATTTCTTATTTGAAATCTCCAATCAAGGCTTGTTTTCTTTCATCACTAACACTTATTGGCAAGACCTCATAACCTGCTCTGATGTCTTCAGGCATTATTGTTAAATCATTTTATTAATTATCTTAGGGTTGTTGAGGCGGTATGAGTTTAACGCTTCTCATTGGGGCATATGATGCATTACTTTCATTTCCTTTCTTTGTTGTTTTCTCAATTCCCTTTGATTTTTTGGTTATTACCTAAAGTATTTTATAGTCTGTAATCTTTTAAGAACTCATATTTATTTATTTAGGTTTAATAATAATTGAAGTTTATAAATTAAACATCATACATGTTTGATAAAAAAATAACTAATTAAAATGGAGACATAAATATAGTGATGTGCTCATGCGATATTCAAAATTACAGAGCTAAATCCACTCGACTTCTTTTTTCATGAAGCACCAATAACTTATAAATGTTCTTCTTGAAAATGATCTCGAGAGGAATTAACTTCAGAAGGGACTTCGATAAGTGAAATCTTTGAATTTAGTAATAAATGAATAACAATTATAACACTATTATTGCAAGTATTGTTAAGAGGCCAATAATAATGATATTCTACTAGGAACTTTGGGTTAAGTTGGAGATTGCATCCAAAGAAACATTCACAAAATATTAGCAAAATTAGGCGATTTAATATTAGATTGCATCAAGTCCCCATAGTATGTAAATCATATAATTATGTTCTTCAAAAAAACTTTGAATTTTCTGAAATCTCTCTAAATTAGTCATAGGATATTATAAACTAATATCAATTTCATAATATATCTAAGACAATATATAGTGTAGGTTAACTATTCCTTAGTAGAAGTATGGATTCAAGACTTCATTAAAAATTCTCTGATTAAGTAACTCTGA